GACGCGTTGCCTGAACATGGGAGGACCCAGACGCCACCTTGCTATTATTCGTAAGTAGCAGAGAGCACGCATAAAGTAGGGTTAGCGGATGACGAAGAAACGTTTGCAAAATATATAACGCAAACTTGCTTCAAAAAAAAAAAAAAAAAAAAAAAAAAGAGAATTGACGTACAGCTTGCAAGGCTCCAGGGATGGCACTGTTGATAGAATCTGAGACAGTTTTGGAAACAAGAATTGCTGTCGTGCCAGTATCAAGAGTTGCTACCGCTCCACTGGCACTGATGCTTTTTCCGTTGACCGCCACTCCACCGACTGGAATCTAACAATGTACAACAACAATATGTGTTTAGTTACTGCATAGTATAGGCATTTGAATGAAGCAAAGAACCGGAGCAGCTGTTCTTCAAAGTGGAAGAAGAACTTACGGTCCACGGCCGGTCAGCAACGCAGTCAATATATGTGATATCGCCCGTGAATCGCGCAGTGTTAACTCCCCCAAACGTAATATCACCACCGGCAGAAGTGCCTGAAGTGACCGTTTGCGCTGCTTCCAGGTAGACGCCAAACATATTTTGCGCCAATGCCGTTGTGTTTTTGAGAACGTTCACGATTGGGATCTGGCTGCCTTGAGCATAGTACCACAGACCCATGATGCCATCGATATTTGTAGGCAGTTTGGCGCTGTTCGTGCTGACAACTCCTGCGATGGCTCGGAATTGCAGACTTCCAATGCTATACGTTTCCTAGAGAGAGCGAGATCGCAAACCAAGCCGTGCCTGTATGAGTTCATGGCTCATTAAATATGAAGCGTAAGGAAGGAGACATAATGTAGCATTGTAGGCACTTACAGCAATATAGGTGCCGCTGGCACTCTGGCCGCTCACATACGACGCATTGAAGGCAGATGTTGAGACAGTGCATGTTCTGTTATCAATGAACGCAAATATCGAACATCCGTCAGTATATTAGATGACTTGTCGTTTTCCTTTTCAATGGCTCTGTAGTTGAACTTACGAAGATGCCGCACAGTCGAATTTCTTGACGCCCGTGCAGCCAGCCCCGACGCAGTTGCTGCTTGAGACCCAGGTGATGGGACTGCCGGTATCGATGGCCAAGTTGAAGGTTTGTGCAGGTGTACCGAGTCCTATTGAGATTGCTATTACACAAAACAAAATTAAGACATGCAGGTCAGACAAGGGGTAATTAAAACTCTTTCTTGCAAAAATGACACAATTCGTTACACCCCAGGGGGGACATTAAGCGCAGGAGCACAGACGACTTACTGTACAGGAGATCCGACTGAACGTTAGTCAACGGTGCCGTCACAGAGGCCCCAGCACGCTTTTGAAGGTAGCGCCTTGTCAGGGACTCGGAATTCAAGTGAGCAGGGTTTCTCAGGCTCTGGATGGGTACACTATGATCGGATTGTGAAGAACAAAAAAACATAAGATAAAAAGGGGGTGCAATGGATTAGATACTCAGATATGATATCATTAGCTATTGTCTCTAGTGCTATCAGATCTGGAAAACACGTCCACGTTGCTGCTTCAGTCGCAGACTCCCCTGCATCTCCTGTCCTCCAGCAATTGATTGTCGGGAAATCATCCCATGGAAAAATAGGGCTCCAAAAATAGTAGGACAGGGGGGAGACGATACACCTGTAACCCCTAGCCCTGATCACTGTTTTGAGATGAACAGAAAGCAATGTTCTGATGAAATGAACAGAAAGCAATGAGAGAACAGATCACAGAGATGTATGGTGTGTCCCCAGAGGTGGATCACAGGCGAGGAAGGTGAGGTCGAAAAATGTGTGCGCGGAATTCGTTTATCAGGGGCAAAAAAATGTGGAGGACGACCTCTTGGGGATCCCTTTGGGATATGAGAGACGGAGTATTTTTCCTGGTTCCTTTGCTGATGCAATTGTTGCTGCATATAAATCGTATTCCAACGAAGTGTCGAGAGTAGGGAGAGTATGTGCAAAGCAGCATTTACGTGTATACGCCCGAGGCGGACGCTGCGGCGGCGGAGGCCAGGAGGAGTGCTGCTGAGAGTGTGAGCTTCATTTGTGTATAAATATGTACGAGAAGAAAGGTCGGCGAGAGAGCGAAGAGGGGGGTTGAAGAGTGGTTCGGAGGAGAGGGAAGGAGAGGAGGATGGCTGACAATCCACAGGAGCGTAGCGGAGACCAGTTGAGTGGGGGGTGTGGAGGGGAACTGAGGTTTTTAGAAGAGTGAGGAGCGATGTAATAATGCATCCACAACAAATGACATAAAAGTACGACAGCCAAACACAACCGCAAGAATAAAAAAAAGAACGACGAGAAAACCGACGACGTCGCATGTGTTCTTCAGACTGCAAAGGAATAGAGCGTTAATTAGACCAAAGCGACAATAGTTCTTAATAATGCTCAATGCAGGACAGGGAACATGCTCGCTCAGTCCGTCTCGATTGATTGTGAGCACCCGCCATCATCCTCTGAAATAGCGGCGCCGCCACCACACGATGAGAGCCGAGCTGTGTGGCACTGCTACGTTTTGCGCCGATCCCTCAGACATCGCTTTTGAGTTTCCGGAACCTAGATGGGACCCGTAGGGGCAGTGCAATTGATCAAGTTCCAGCAAAGAGGAGTGATGCCGGCCACAGGAGACTCAGCAAAGGCAGCAGTCCAGGTTATCGTGAACCCTATCCAAAGTTTCCTTTCCTGGCCAGTGCGCGTCCATATCTGACCCTCATAAGTAAGTCTATGCCTCCTATAAAGCTGCCTGTAAAGCTGCGCTAGCCTTATAGCAGGCATACTCGCTGGTCTTCACGCTTGTAGTATGCCGCTGGGTTGCCTTAGTCCCTCTCATTATTTAAATAAATACGAAGGTGGGATCAGCGACCAAGATACGGCACAACATCGCTGCTCCTTGCGGAGACCGCCCAGCAAATGTGTAGCAGACGCTACGGTCGGAAGTGGTCCCTCGTACAAAATCCTGCCGCCATCCAGTTTCATCCCTTCCTCGAAGCCCGACTGTATCAGCCGCGCTTCAAAGTCCGGAGACGGAACACCAACCGGTTTGCCACAATGTCGTAGAAGGAGGAAGTACAAATTTTGTCAAACATAAGGTGTAAATGAGTAGACCAATGATGCAGGCTAACAGGGTTATGCATGCTGCTGCAGTCAATCAGTCCAAAGCGTTGTATCCGTCAAGTATATCGCTCTAATCGTACCTCACAGATTGCTTCTCTACTTCCCAAGAGACAATGAAACTAAATCCCAAGGATGCGAAAGGGTTTGCAACTGTATTTGTTATATCTTGGGTACCAAGTGCCTTGGGCGTTGCATTGACTCTCAATGCATTCGGAAGATGCTCGATGGCCGTAAAAATCGAGCTGGTGGCATTCCTTCTTACAATTTTTCTTGATAGGGCAACGATAGTGTTTACGTTCAAATAAAATCCCCTGTCGTCCCCCGTTGAGTTTCATTGACTGCATGGAGTTGGTTGGAAAGCGTGTGCTGCGAATCGAGATCAGTGCATTCCTGAACAACGCGTTGCTGTTGCCGAAGAGGGACGTTCTCGTCGCGTTGAGCGATTAGCATGCTTGCGTAGAACCGAGTACTCATCAAGGATAGAACCATAGTTTCGCAAAAAAAAACCGGCCGGCCAAGACTGTCACGAGCAGCACAGACGCTATTGTAGCCTTGACACTTTTCTGACACGCTGTATCCACGGAACGAGGAAGACAACATGTCCAGGAACTCACCTTGATGGATGGATCTATCGAATGCTATTGATGTAGCGTCCTCCAAATCTGAAGTAGACCATCAAAATGCGTCCTATTGATATGACCAAGACCAGCTGGGACTTCTTCAAAACGGCACTAAGGATTCCGAGAGTAATTTGTGCAAACATCCTTGCAGCTCCCAAATTGAGCGATCCTGTTGTAGCTGTCGGGCGTACAATAATGATAATAGTAAAAAAGGGAGCGGGAGGGAGAAAGGTGATATGGTATGGCATGGCATGCAATCGAGACGAAGAGAGCTGTTTACCGACTTTGTAAGAACTGGACACATTTGTGTAGATTGTCAGCAAACCATGACCGCGTGTTTTGAGAAACGTCCATAGGCAATCCTTGTCAGCTTTGAAAGAGGCGATCGGCGCGATCGAGGTTGCCTGAAATCAGGCTCCTTGATAAAAAATATAAGGTCTGGAGGTGAAAGGCAACTGGACTCCAGCTTAGCGTAGAACCCACGACGGGCCCCACTGCCTATATACTTGATATCTTTTTCCACTCTATCGAATGCTGTCTGTCTGCAGCAACATGTTGTTTATTTCTTATTTCTCTGTAATTTGCTCCAACTTCGCCCCAAGTTGGCCTCTCAGCACTGTGACCTGAAGAGCATAGTCGTATATTTCATTACACACTCGGTCGATCTCCTCGGCTTCCTTCTGAGCGCGCGCGTACGATTTTTCACGGTCGGATTCGGCCAGGTCTGCAGTTGTCAATTTAGAGTTTCTGTGTTGCAGAGCTGTCAATTGTCGTTTGCTGGCGCTTAGCTTGAGAAAGATTGTTTTTATGGGCGCTTGGAAGGCTTGGTTGTAGTCATCGACCATGGTCAGTTTAGCTGTCGCCATGGCGTAGATTTCGGACTTGTTTGCGTCGTATTGTGAAATGATGGCGCTGATCCCGCCACCTGTTGCAACCAATGCACCAGCACCGACGGCCGCGAGCGGGGGAACGAAAATGGCCATGGATGCTCCTGCTGCGAAGCCGGTTATACTCAGAGCAATGGAAACTATCTTTGCTGTCACACAGCCGTTCATCAGGTCCTCGGACTCCGCGGTGTAGTACTCACCGAGGGCTTGGATCGTGGAGGATATCTGAGTTAATTCTTGAATCGCTATAGAATGCTGCTCGACGAGGGCTTCGACCTCCCTGGTACAAAAATCCAATGTTTGGATGGTTGATGCTGAATGTCTGACGAAATGTTGAAGCGAATCCTCGTAGTCCTTCATTAGCCGTTGAATGTTCTCGATCACTCTGAAGACATCCATGAGCGTTATCCCGAGATAATTCCCAAGAACGCGCAAAAATCTCATGACCAAGTCGTCGTATTCCTTTGTGGTTTTTTTGAAGATAAAGGCGTTACGTTGGGCGAGTACTTCTTCCAGTGCCCGAAGTTGGTTTCCTAGGTTGTCTTTTAAACGCAACAGATCGTCTGAAAGTAGCGGAATGAAGTCGTTTGTGCGCTCCAAATCTGGAGAAAGGAGCAGAATGGGGTCATCTGTATCATCCATTCCTGACAAGAGAGGTAGTGTAGGTTTGTTTGTCGGTTCCGTTGACGGTAGAGCAGTGACAGAGTGGTTGAGGGTTGCTGTGGTCTGCTTTGAGGGGATATCTCGTCTTTTGAAACTGAGCGATACGATGCGCATAGAATGCTCCGTAAACTCCTACAGCATCCCAATGGTTTGAGGGTGCATTGCATAACATGCATAGTGTCACATTGCTATCTTCAAACAACAGATGTACATCTACAAAAACCTTAAGAATGATCCGTAGTGTGAAACAATGGCTAGCGAGACTGAACAGTGGCATCGCGCCATGGCTTGGCGCAAACACGGGTGCTTGGCGCTGACGACTGTGGGAACAAGGTCTTCAGACAGAGGCCTACAATAGCGCCACTGGTGGTTGCAACTCAAAACAGAAAACAGGGTATTTATTTTTTACATCTTCTCGGTCACCATTTTTATACAGGTCGCTATCAAATGCATGAGCTGTGTATGTCTGCGCTCGTCCGCTTTCCGCATCTCTCTCAGTTCTTCCAGTATCGCCTTCTGGAGCATCAGTTGCTCAGCCTGCATAGCTTGCGACTCGTTCTGCTGCAGAATCGCCTGCATCTGCGTCTCAATTTCCTCTGTTCGAGTTCGTTTAGTGGAAGTACACCCAAGTATCGACGCAAGTGCAATATATCCTTCAGCGTCTTCAGCGGCATTCCTTGTCCCTAATCCTGATCCTGATCCCGATGCAGTGTGTCCGCTTCCATCGGCTGTACCACCTAATCGCAATGAAATATTTTCTCCATCATCGGCCGCATCTCTCGACTGGGACAGTGTGCTGTCGCTGTCTTCGTCTGCCGTCGCCGTCCTTTTTGCCCGCCGGCGTCGCCGAATGGGAGAGCTCTCTGAATTGTCCGAGTCGTCATAGTATCGTCGTGCCCGCTTTTCCTGCACGCGCCGCTCTCTCTCATATAGATCCTTAACCAGTCTCTCACGCTCTGCCCGCTCTAATTCGGTGCGGGTCGGTGCTGGCCTAATCGGCCTGAAACGCGATCCATGTGTTCCTTGCTGGTGTTCCTCTTCGCTCGGAGTTGGAGGTGTGGGCTCTAGTGCGTGGTCAGCGTTTTCTTCGAGGGTCTTAGCATATGCAGCTCTGATCGTTTCCCAACGTGACTGGCAGCAGCGAGCGGTAACATTGGTGAAGATCAGATTTTGAAGTGGTTGCTCCTGTTGTCGTTGTTGGTCGTGCTCCTTGAGCCATGCCACGACGCGCTCCCAAGCCGGAAGTTTGTCACCGTATTTTGCGGCGAAGGGGCGATGGACAGCGATGGCCCTGATGAGCAAGAGCTCTTCGGTGGTACCTTTTCGAAAGGCACGGAAATGGACCTTGCGTGGTTTTTCGGCGGATTGAATTGCTGTTGTTGCTGATGCCGCTGAGGTAGATGCCACGTTGCATTTGCTCATATTGCTCTGATGGTATGGTGTGCATACAAAGCAGTACTCGCTTGGTGTGTTTTGGCGGGCATGGAGTGTATTGCAGTCACCTGCCGTGTGGTTAAACATTTAAGGTTACAGTGAGAAGACCCTCAGGCTCCAAGGGATTGTCACGTCTTGTTAGGCTTTAGGTCGCTTGAAGCACTTGCTCAGTCTAAAATGACAGTTGCACTCCAGTACTGGCAGCAACTAGAGTGCCGCCTGGAGGCACTTTATCTTTGTACCTCCTAAAATGGAGGAGCGCGAATGTCTTGCACGTTACTGATAACGACGGTTTGAACGCGGGAAAAAGCGTTCGCCACGCCCGGAATCGCCTTGTACCTGAGGACGCGTTGAGCCACTATGAGAACCTTATACTTGGTTCTTTGATTCATCTGTCTAGCTTGCCTCTCTCGTCCGCCAATATCGGATTCACATGCTGTGTTGATACAAGCGGTCTTCATCAAGGCCTTTCTTTTTATTTTTATTTTCAAGACTTTGAAGTAGTATACCCCTCTATTACTCCCTTAGTTAAGCTTCTTCGATCCCTTCTCTAACCTTGGATAGTTGGCGCACTCGCCTACACTTGCTGTATCATGTTCCACAGATTCGCTCGCTTCGGCTACCTGGAAGACATTGGAGTTTGAAGGGGTTAAATCAACGATCTACTCAAAGACTGGGATCGTCATCAGCATTTCCCGTCGTGGTCGATAACGGATTCAGACGATGATTTTACAGACCACGCCTCTATAGTGAGTATAGCACTGTAAATTTGAATGGCGATAGGAGTAGCGTGGCTTTGAGAGTTTCGTCTGGAGGAGGAAAAACGGAAAGAATGTAATTAAAACAAAAGGAAGAACCCAGCGAAAAAGAAAGCTGGGTAAAGACTGTACACTTAGACCATGTAGTAAGCCATGTCCACTCTTCAATTGCATGGTGGTGTGCCTGTTCACCTCACAAGCGCGGCAACAGAGACGATTGAGGCGGAAGAAACGAGTGAGATGAAAAGTTAACAAGACACGACAGTCGAATCTCAGATATCCGAACGATACATAGTCAAAATCGTTCGGATAAAAATTAGTTCGGATAAAAATTAGGTTTTAATGAATTGATTGTATTCAGAAACTTACAAAACAAATATACTCTCCCTTCCCAGGCCCCCTAAATGCAAGGCCGAACGAATGGCTGACTCGCCTAGCTTTCCTCAGCTGCACGGTCCCGAACAAATACCATCGCTCTTTTAGGCACTCCTTCAGGCGCTCCTCATAAGAGCTTGTGAAGGTCAGGACATGGAAGGATTTCCTTCACAGAGGGATTACAAGCAGGAGGGCACTGAGCAAGACACATTGACATCAGGAGCCACGGAGGATAACCCTTTTCTCCTTTTGTTAATAAATGATTTCTTCAAATTTCATAGCCATTTGTTCGGGGCCGTGCAACTGAGGAAAGCTAGGCGAGTCAGCCATTCGTTCGGCCTTGCATTTAGGGGACCTGGGAAGGGAGAGTATATTTGTTTTGTGAGTTTCTGAATACAATCAATTCATTAAAAACCTAATTTTTATCCGAACGATTTTGACTGTATTTGAGGTTCGATTTTATGGCCCTTAATCAACTTCCTTTTTCGCTGGGTCCTTGGTGGACCCCTTATTTCTTTCCAGCCCCTCAGAAGACATGGCCAGGCCTTGTCATTTAGAGAGAGCTGGATCGAGCCTAGTAAGCGGTAATGGTAATTCAGGAACGCCAGTAAAAGAGAACCATAAAACAAACGCATACATTTTAACTTCGATCATTAATGGCGCCATGAAGCATTCGTCTTTGTGGTTTGAAAGGGATATATTATTTATTTACAAAGAGCTACAGTTGGTGGACCCTTCTTTAGACCCTGCGCTCGATATCGCCGCGGACTTCGTTGGCATGACCGCGTGCCTCGAGAGACGTATCACCGGTGACGGATCCGACAGTCTGCTGGAGCTGACCCTGGACTTGGTGACCAGCACCCTCGACGTGGGCCTGGGCTGTGGCGGCGGCAGCGGCAGCATCGGCCCTAGACTTTTGTTCGGCACCGCTGGCGGCGAGGTCGGGGTATCCGAGAGTCTCTCCAACGGTCTGCTTGGCGCCTCCGATGTAGGAGTTGGCGGTATTGGCGATCTTATCGGTGACGTTCGACATGTTGCTTGAGTTTGTTCTTGGTTGGTTTTATGGGAGAGTGTTGCTTGAGTTGTTCTTGGTTGGCTTGATGGAAATGAAGAGATAGAGATGAACAACTCCATGACCTTTTATACGTTTTTCTTCCCTTTTCTTGGTCGTCTTGTTCTCTACACCGTGACAAATGACGAAAGTTGTCCTGCTGTTGCGGAATTGGGGTCAAAAGTTGCGTCTTCCAACGCGTATCTGGCGATGATCTCACCATGACCCCGCTCCAAAAAGGGGAGCGCTCGACGCGTCGCTGCTCACATAGGACTACAGGGCACCATCTGATTAATGCAATCATTACATCACCTTTGGGACAAATAAGGTTCATCACCAATGACGATAAATCCCTGAATGTACGTGATCAGGGACGTCCTTCTTTGTGGACGTATTGTGTAAGAACCGGTGCCCAGGTCATCTTCGAATATGCTGTTTGAAATAGACGTGCTTTGAGCTTGATATGCAACATACTGAATACGGTCAGCGTACCGAGTCTGTCGCCGTTCACGGAGACAATTGTGGAAAAATCACATTTGGATAATCAAAAAACTTTTACTTTACTTGTATTACGGCTGTTGTTACATTCATATGCTGAGAAAGATAGGGAGAAGAGGGAGAAGGCGCCTAATGCGCCTATCTTAGAACTGACAGAGCGTCGAAATGACTTCTCCTGATTGAAACTCTGCCTCGGCCCTCAATTCCGTCAGTCCAAAATACATCCTCAAAGTAAAAATCACAGGCGTTCCTGGAGCAGCACCAGGCATATGAGGCAATGGAATCGTGAAGTCGCACAGCTTCTGGACACCAGGTGAGTCAACAAACTCGGGCTGGTCCTCTCCGGTGTATACATAAAGTGGCGATGAAAGAGGTTCCGGGTACTTGTGCGTAATGTATTTTTTGCTGATGCACTCGTCCACACCAATCGACTGACCAGGGCGGACAAAGACTGAAAAACCATCGCGGACGCGGTACTTGCCATCCTGCATATACTTCTTCTCAACAGGATCGCCAGCCTTGTAAGGACGCGTGGTGTCAACACCGTACCAACGGCGGGCGACACGGGCTTGAATAGGCTGGTGGGTCAATCCGTGATAGACAGCACCACGGACAACTGCCAGGTCTGGACGAGGAGGGTAGCGAATAAGTGGCACGCGGTTCTCGAATTCTTGCTGGACGCGCTTGTGCAGGTAGGGCGACGAACCAAATCCACCGACCAAGAAAATGGCCGAGCACTGCTGCGCCTGGTTCAACTGTCCGTCAATCAAGCCCAGAACCTGGTTCACAACGGGGTCAAAAACAAGTTCTCGCATCTCCTGAGCTGGAATCGCCAAGAGTCCATCCTCCAGTCTCATGTCCAGATCGACCAAGTTGGCGACGGAGGAGGGCATCGAGATGAAAGAGTCGTCATCGCCATCAAACTGAGGCTTGTGCATGAACACGAATTCTTCCATGATTTGTGCCCATGCCTTGGGCTGAAGATCATATCGCTGGAGCTTTTGACGAACAAGCAATGAAAAGTTCTCATCCAAGAATCCTGATCCGCAGCTGGCGCCTGATCCACGCGTAACTTCAATCAAGGTGCGCGTTCCAGAGCTGTAATCGACTTGAAAGACAATCAAATCAACCGTTCCACCTATTTTCAATGTGAAAAAAAAAAACGTTGATGAGAACAAAGAACCAATGCACTTCCTTGGTTATAGCCACGATGGGATAGGTATAGACGTTTACCTCCAGCATCGCAAATCATGAATCGATCTCCGTGATGCAGATTGAACTGTTCGCACTTTCTCTCGCAATACATGGCAGCTGCTTCGGGCTCAGAGATCAAAAGCAGACGATGGGGTGGGTCATTAGGCTGGATCAGACCCGCGTTGATCGCGGTCTGACGCATGACTCCCTTTGCGGCATCAGTCCACATGGCAGGGACCGTCAGACAGTACTGGATGTGCGATTGGTCAAAAACCATGCCTCCTGCAGTGTTCTTGAAGATCTCACCGATGGCGTAAGTATGAATTGCTCGCAGATAGTCACTGATGGCATTCTGAGGGTTGATGTTCCTGGGCAGAGGAGGCAAGTACGGAGCGAGGTCGTTGTCGAGGAACAACTTGAACTTTTGCAAAAGCTCCAAGTTGCGACCGGCGGGTGTTAACATCGCAGCCTTGGCCGCGTATCCCCATGAGTGCATCTTGTCATTCTCCCTGCTGTAAGCGCTGATTGTAGGCACTTTTCCGTACAAGTTTGCCTGCTGCGGCCTAGAGAGCGAAGATGGTGGAAAGAAATAAATGTCTATAATGATCTCACGAATGCACATAGCCCAATCAGAAGGCCGAGTACACCAAACAACACCGCCTCTGTAAACAAAGACGAGACGCTTACCAAGTGGTCATCTCGATGACATCTCCGTTCGATTTGAAGGCATACGCGACTCCGGAGAAGGTGGTTCCTGGATTTGAACAGGTGCGAAACAAAGGGTTATTAATACAAATTGCCTTGCCTCAAGCAGCCATCCCCTCATTCAAATAGGAGCCGGAGCTTACCAAAATCAATAGCAACAAGCAGCGGATACTCGCTACCAAGCACAGCAGAGGGGCGGACTTGGGTCTGCGTGGGAATAGGTACATGCTGCTGTTGTTGTGCTGGTGGCTGCTGCTGCTGTTGCTGTGCAATAGTGGCACCGTTCGAGTTTCTGTTGTATGAAAGTGGCTGAATCGACACGGCCGTAGGAACAGGGGGAGGCTGTTGATATGGTTGTTGTTGGTATTGCTGCTGACTAGGCTGCTGCTGCTGGTACTGCTGTTGTTGATACTGCTGTTGCTGGTAGTATTGCTGTTGTTGAGGGTTCATCTGGCCACCATAGGCGTCGTATTGCTGTTGGCCACCATAGGGATCCTGCTGTTGATAATATCCTTGTTGTTGTTCCTGTCCATAGCCGCTATAAACATTGGCATCAGCAGCAGAAGGAGAATAGCCTCCGCCTCCATTCTGCTTCTGCAGTGCTGCGTGGTAAAGCTGGCGCTGTTGCGCGATATGAGGAGGGACGTCGGCGTTTCCAGCCATTGTGAGGTTGTGCTGTGTGTTGTGAAAGAAGGCTTAGAGAGAAATAGGGTGGCAAGCTCTGTCGAGTACAAAAAAAAAAAAAGTTGAGCGTGAGATGAAGGAGCAAGAGGAATGAGTGTCTGTGCCCAAGTTCCTTTATATTTTGCGCCGGTGTTATTTTTGTGCGTTACCTTTGGAGTAGGCTGAAGGATCAACGATTAAATTGCTGTCGGGATGACAAATGCGATCTGATGAGGAATGGAGAATGAGAAATGAAGAGGGGGAAAAGGAGGAAAGAAAGAGAAGGAACGCTTTCGGTGCTTATGTACTCTCGTGAGAAGTGAAAGTGGCGAGAGAGGCGAGATAGCACTCACCGTTGCGCTTTTGCCCATGTCTATTTTTAGTCGCACCGCCACAAATACTTTGCTATAGATCGCCTGTTGGCCCCAAGGACTTGGACTATAGCATGCATACTCAACAAACCACAGGCCACTTTCTCCTCACGTATTGCATTGACCTCATGATGCATTGTATTTGAGAAAAAGCGCTTGCAATAAAGAATATACGTATGGTTACAAAGTGAAAGATAATGATGGTGATGCCAGTGTGTAGTCTATTCAAAGCGAATCTTGGTAGGCTGCTTCACCTCGCCACCAATATCCTTGAAATGATCACCATAGATCGAGTGTGCCTTCTTTTTGACCGTGCCACCAAATTTACGGAGTTCGTCAGGGATCTTGACGCCAGCATCATTAAGAACATTGATCAGTGCTCCGCTAAGACCCTTCTCGTTCACCGTGAAGAAGGTATGTGCAATTCCGGTCTGTCCTCCACGTGCAGTACGTCCAATGCGGTGGACGTAATCCTCTATTGTCAGTGGGAAGGTGACATTGATAACATGGGTGATTCCGGTAATATCGATACCACGTGCAGCAACATCGGTGGCCACCAAAAGAGGGACTGATCCGTTCTTGAAGGCCTCCAGAGCGGCGGTGCGGATATGTTGGCTCTTGTCTCCATGAATACCTCCGACATTGTATCCGGCCCTCTGCAACGTCTGTTCAATCCGATCGGCCTCCTTCTTGTAAAGTGCAAAAATCAGGATGCGGTTCTTGCGGGTTTTATGGTAATCCTGCAACAGCTCCAAAAGACGACGCTCCTTGTTGCGGGGATCGTCCAGAACCTCCACAATCTGAGTAACATTCGAGGACGCTCCCAGGTCGGGCGAGCCAATCGTGACCTTGACGGGCCGGTCCAAAAAGTCGTGGGCCAGCTTTCTCACGGATTCAGGCCAAGTGGCGCTGAACATGGCAGTCTGGCGGTCCTTGCGGGTCTTACGCAGGATGGAGCGAATAGCCTCTTCGAATCCAGTGTCCAGCATGCGGTCAGCCTCGTCTAGGACCAAGTAAGAGACAGCGTCGATGTTGCAGCTTCCGTCCTCCAACAGATCCAACAGACGTCCGGGGGTGGCGACGATGATATGGACGCCTGAACGGATAGCGCGACGCTGATCATCCTTAGACACGCCTCCGTAAATACAGACACTCTTAATGCCCGACGACTTTCCAGCGGCAACACATTGCTCCTGTGTCTGCATAGCCAGCTCGCGAGTGGGGGAGACAACCAGGACGGTGGGGCCCTTGGGCTTGACGTTAAATTCCTTTTGACCGCGAATGTGCATCAAGGCAGGGAGAGTGAAGGCCAGTGTCTTTCCAGAACTGTCATTAAAAGAGAAGTAGAGGGGTGTTAGGACATTATATAGAATACGTTAGCAATAGAATGGGAGTTCCAACATAAGCGGATGCAACATACCCAGTCTCGGCAATACCGATGATATCACGGCCAGACAGGACAATGGGCCAGCAGGCGGCTTGAATGGGACTGGGTGCCTTGAATGACTTTGTGACATCCAGCATCTCAGGTCTAAATCCTGCCTCGTCGAACTTGAGCACTGGCAAGAAGTCCTGGTCGCCCGAGACTTCAATTGTGTTCTCCTTGTAGAACTCGCGGGCCTGCTCCTTAGTAGTCTTGTTGGTGGCGGGCTTGTAGAACGCCTTGACGAGGCCCCCGGTGACCTCAGCTCCAGTAACGATGGTAGCCTTCAGGGGGGCAGCAACCTCGACAGCCTTGAGCTTTTTAATGACAGGGGCAGCGGTCTCATCCTTGGCCTCCACTGCCTTTACCTCCTCTCCATCATCCGAGGCCTTGCGCTTCTTTCCCTTCTTCTCCTTCTTCTCCTTCTTATCCTTCTTGTCCTTCTTTTCCTTCTTGTCTTTCTTCTCCTTCTTCTCCTTCTTCTCCTTTGTAGTTACAGTAGCCACATCCTCCATAGTGGCGACCTTGTTCTTGTCTGCCTTCTCGACAGTGGATGGCATTATGGTAGATGAGAGGGAGGGGAGGGGAGGGGGGAAAGAGATGAGTGAAGGATGAAGGGAGGTGAGTGAAGAGTGGAAGGAGGAGTGTAAAGAGCGAATTTTGTGTTTACATTTTCTTTTTTCTTTTTTTAAGCAGTCATACATTTCCTGCTTCATTCGGCAAAGTCTGTTCCAGAGGTGTGCACCAGTCCACGCTCACTTGCCTGACGTCCCATACTATGGTACACTAGCTTGTTCTTTTGGTCTTCTTGGTCTCCTCAGATTCTCATCGGGTTCATTATCTGTGATATATGCATACCCTACTTTGTCAGAATATTTTTTGCGTGTATGTGTGTGTGGGTGTGTGTAGGTGTGTTTGTACGTGTGTGTGTGCGTATGCCCAATGTGTGTGCGTCCGTGTCAGAGGGAAGCGCGTGAAAGTGCCATGGGCGAAGTGCAGGCATGAGTAAAGTGGACTGCGTTATTTTCCAGCATGTTCTTCTTTCACACCACCACTCCAGGTCGTCTTGGCTCCTTCACCCTTTCCCCATCCTTTCGCTTCTCGCCCTCTTTCACTCATCAAACCCTTGCACACACCAAAGCACAACACTCGACTCATTCGCTACCTTTTTCCGCATTCGAATTCCCTTCCGAGACGAAAACGCCATTCCTTGCTAAGACATCTCGGTCATGTCAAGCAACGACGAGAAACCAAGCTACTACGAGTTGCTCTGTGTTGACCCTGGAGCAAACAAGGATGACATCAAAAAGGCCTACCGCAAGCAGGCCCTGCTCTTCCACCCTGACAAGATGAAGCCTCACATGAAGGAGGAGGCCTCGCAGCACTTCCAGCTTATCAGCGAAGCATACGAGGTCTTATCCGATGGTAAAAATCTTTCTTCTACATTCCAACTGTTTCAATGACTATATCCAGATATACTTCAGGGCAAGAGAAGAACAAGAAGAACAATAAGGCGCATACTTAAAGACATTCTTCACTTCCCGGAATAGACAACAAGCGCGAATTGTACGACCGATACGGACACGAAGGCGTTAAGGCTGGAGGCGATCCGAACCCACAACCGGAGGCTGGCTTTGGCCCGAACTTTGGACACCGTGAACCATCTGGCTTCGGTTTCGAAACGCCTTTCTTTGCCTCGTTCGGTATGCCGGCTCATCAGTACTTTCAAGGTAAAGCCTTGGTGTCTTTTCTTTTTCTCTTTTTTTACAAGGCAGGAGCTATCGTTGGCTTTGCCTTCAGCAATCCGATCGGCCTTGTTCTATCGCAAACCTTGAAAATATATTAACTACCGTATTTTATTGTCGCATATTGTGGTAATCGCAGATCAATTCGCGGGCCACCACCAACAATTTATGAGGAACTTTGGGCAACAAATGGGATCCACGTTCGGCTCCTTTGGCATGTTTGGACCTCCGCCTCCTCCCCCACATCACTACAACCACCATCTCCACCATCATCAAGGCTTCCACAATGACCCCTTTATGAACGATTTCTTCCGTGGAGGCGATAGTTCAGAGCAATTTTCACAACCACGACCGACCCTGTTCTCGACTTCACCGTTCGCGGCCCGTGCCGCGCAATCGGCCATGTTCCCGGATTTCGGCATTGGTGGTGGTGGTGGTGGTGGTGGCAGTGGCGGTTTCAGCAGCTCTTCCACAAGCTCGTCTTCTTTTAGTGGGGGAATCAGGACTTCGACAAAGACCACGGTCGTGAACGGACAGCGAACCACCATTACAGAGGTTACGGATGCGCAAGGCGTGACCACAAAGACCATCGAGAAACCTGATGGCACGAGAGAGACCTATAGCAACGGCGTACCAACAGCGATCGAGGACTCTAGCCACAATCAGACACGGAACCTTGGGGGAAACAGGCAACTACCCATTCTCATTCCAGATGACGAGGAAGATCACGGAGGCAGGCACCGTTCTAGTGGAAACCAGGGTCAACAATTCAACGTTAATGAACCTATCGTGTTGGACACAGATGATGATGAGGTCATGTATGAGGATTTGTCGTCGCAGTCGTACCCGCGTCGATCGTCAGTCCATCAAGCACAAAACGATCCCGGCCTTTACCACCCTCGGATGGGACGCGGACAGAGTAAGGACAGGTGACATGCAGTGTGTTCGCTAAAAGAGGCAAAGACCCCATGGCAGCATTCCTCTAATATACACGGATTTGAATGATATCTTTTCCTACGTTGATAGCTCTAGGCGGCTCATCCACACGATCAAGATATAACAGAAATTGAAGGGCAGTTCTTATAATGTTACTGCAAAACAATAAGCATAACAATAAAAACGTCGTTTTTGCATCAAACAGGAAGGGAAATAAAAAAAATCTACGATCGATCGTAGCAAACTCCTGATCTTTATTGCCTTCCCGACAAAAAAAGCAATTAAGAATTGTGCACGCGGGGGCTGACTGATGATGTACAGTACATGACGAAAAACGAATAAAGACAAAGCGCATTGCAAAACACAAAGATATGTTACGAGTACAATTGGCAAATGAAAAACGGTAGTGAAGGAAAAGGAATCGTAGCTTGAGTAATTTTTTTTTTTATACATCGGTCGTTATTTCCAGTGGCCCTTGTTCACGAGCTGGCGTTGGTGCGTCTTGATATGTTGAGCTAATAAAACGCGAGAAACAGAACGTGTTAAAGGTATCGCAACCATAAATGAAGCGTTTACATACCACCAAAAAAAAAAAAAAAATACACATACACACACACAGACACAAGTATTTAGAGAATAGAGACAACCCAATCCAACATACAGAGATTATCCGAGCGCGAGAAACGCTTGTTACAGCCTGCGGTCTGACACGCAAATGGCCGTTCCAACGTATGGGTCTTGATATGCCGTTTCAGATGTTCCAGTCGCTTGAACCGCTTCAGACACCCCGGGACGGAACAGCAATGATTCTTCGCGGACGAGGTCAAACTCCTGCCCACACGTGTTGTGTTGCTGTTGATGCTACTGATCATACCGCGATACGACATGGCTGAGGATTGGGAACCCATCGGTGGCATCCTCGAGAAGGGTGAGTGTGGATCTATTCCATGGTATGGATGCTGCTGCTCCTGAGGAGGCTGTTGTGGAAGCTGATGTGCGTAGCCGCGATGCGGAGGGTATGGGAGCTGTGGCTGTGGATGGTAGTGTTGTTGACCACCGTGATGCGGTGTGTGATACGATGAGTCAATCGACGATGATGACGAGGACAGATGCAAGCGAGGAGGACCAGGCGCAGATGATGGGTATCCAACTTGGCCCCCCTGGTGGCGCTGGTGGTCACCGTACCCACCATGGTTCGAAGACCCGCGGTATGGCAATGAGTTTCCATCCTCGTCCATAGGGCCCGTATGGTCATAGTTCTCAGAACTAGTCTGGTTTGGAGAGACAGATCCGCTGTTGAATTGCTGATACGAGGACGAATTCGACATGGACGAGTACTCGCCCGTACCGTTACCGTTTCTTTTATTCTGGCTTGTACCTGAGCGCGCAAATGATGTGAACGAGGGGTTGGAAGAGGACATTGGATCAGCGTTCTCTCTGTCCTCAGGCGATGCATCGGCCGAAGATATGATTGAAGACTCTTGAGGCTGTCCGTGGTGTGAACTCGCTCCCGCTGGCATGAAGTGAGATGAGATGGACGCTGGAAAATTAGTGGCCTCGTCATCGCTGCCACTGCCGTTTGAACAGACAACAGCGGACCGAGGTGTCAGCATGGGTGACTCGCCATTCGGATTTGGATTCGGGTTCTCGTGGCCTGTGAGATTGCTGTGTCTTTGCTGCTGCTGCTGCTGCTGCTGCTGGTACTGCTGCTGGTCATAACCGCGTTCGCTTGGTCCACTGTACCATGCGTGGTGCAGTGTTGGTGATCCTGGGACGGAGGATGCTTTTGGGCCGCGTTCCGGACTTGGGTATCGCTGGTAAGGGGTCTGTCCATTATTGAACGAATGATGGTGTCGTGGACGGACCGGTGCGTACCCACGTTCATCACCATGGGGAGCTACCGATCGCTGCTTGTGAGCGCCTTCGGGAACATTGGACGCGGTTTTCAGGTCTAACTTGATGGTGTTGAATTTTGGCACGATATTGCTTAGGCCATCTGAAGTTGGCGAGTCGAGCGGATGCATTGCTGACGGACTGTGGCGGGGAAGGCTAACCGTGGAGAGACCGAAAGAGGAAGAAGACGCGCTGGATTTGGTGTCAAAGTCGGGCTGCTCGTCAGATGGGCAGTAGTACGAGCTCCGAGCAGAACGGCTACCGCCATTTGAGCTTTGGTTCGTGTGGACTAATAGATAATGCAAATTAATCGTATTAGTTCGTGAAGATAAAGAGCGACTTTCATGTTTACAGCGTCCAATGCTGAGAAATGGCATACCTGGAGTTGGCAAACCGTGCGAATAGTTATTTTGCGACTGTAACGGTGGCCTCGAGTCTGAGAAACTAGGGTAGCCCGCGATGCTGTGGCGATGATGGGCGTGATCCCCTCCTCCCATGCCGCCGCTATGACTGTCTACGATGCTACCCCGGTCCCCTGCGCTTCCCGGCGTGCCACTCAAGGGTCCAGGCATAGCATTTTCAAAGCTCGTTCTAATTGGTTCCATCAACTGCCGGTCAAACCGCCGCATATGCATCGCCTTCTTGGTATGCGTCCTTAAATGGGCGGAAAAGTTATCTGACCGGCTGAAAGATTTTTCGCATCCATGGAAATCGCAGACAAACGGCCGCTCCTTCGTGTGGACCAGCATGTGGCGCTTCAGGTGCTCGAACCGCTTAAAGCTCCAGCCGCAAGTAGGGAACTTGCAAGGATGCTTGTTCGCCTGGGTCATTGACGACGAGCTCGACTGACTGGCGTTGGACGAGATAGAATTGTTGCGGTGCTTTGTCATCGTCATCGACCCCGAATCCTGCATGCCGCTGGTGGAGTTGTTACGCATACCGTCTGTAGGATAGCCGTGCTGATCATTGCACGCGCCGTGCAGATATTCCGACGCATATAAACCCTCCTGATGCCCATCATCCAAACTGTTGATGCTGCTATTGCTGACAGGATGAAAAGATCCATGTATTGGCGCGTGGTGATGATCGTCTCGGACATCGTGCCCTGCTGCTGGCCCCCGATGAAAAAATCCTCCCCCGTCATTGTAATTGCTGCTATAACCAGCCCAGCTGGCGCGAGATCCTGGTTGTGCGGAGTAATATGATGAAGGGACGGGCGGGTATTGGACATGGTTATTGGTGACGGGATGACTGATGGTCATTCGTCGGTCTACTGAAGGTTCGCGTTTGTGTTGAACAAACTCCATATTGGATGATGATGGAGTTGATGTAGAAAGCATCGGCACAGAGCTCCGGCGGAGTTCACCAACACGTGTGCTTGGATATGATGGAGGGGTAGGAAGGCCCGGTGAGCCAAGTGCGGAGCCAGAGTAGGGGCGATGAGAGTTGTTGCTGGTGCTGCTGTTGTGATAAGTGATATGATTGTATGTGGCGTTGAGGGAGCCAGGTCCTGCAATCGAGCTGGATGTGAATGGCGCAGAAGCTGTGGTCATCATAGAGGATGGGATGGGATAATGCGCGGGTTGTGCTTAGGGTTGGGCTGGACACAGGATTGGTGAAAATGCTAGGATGGATGAGAGCAAGGACGCGAAGAATAGACGCGTTAAAACACGTTCTGCCCTTTTGGTTTGACGCTTTCTTGTGCACCTCCTTCAGAAGGCCCCAACAGCATTCAACACTCCTACTACTCGTTTAAAATAGACCACATGCATAGGGTAAAGTAAGGGAGTTGATTTATACCCTCTGTTGCTTTGTCTCGAATAAAACTTGATCTCAAACGGAACAGGGGTAAGTTGGAGAATTGTAATAGCGAAAGACGGCTATGTTATATATGCTGAGATTGCCTGGTGACTGAGGGGAACTTTTGAAGGAAAAGAACAGTTCCAAGGATGGGAAGGGTGTTATTGTAAACAGTTACGGGAAGACTGAAGTGGTTCTGTAATGGGTTTCGGACGAAAGTGGGTTACAAAGTCGGACAAAAAAAAAAGAAAGAAAGGAGAGCAAGGGAGACAGCGACAGCCCACAAGCGATGGCAATGCCCGTCAATCAAGCCAATGAAAAATAGGGCTGCGTTCAAAAAATGCAGTATAAGCGAGGAGTCGGAATCACGAGGAATTATCCCGGACTCCAGAATCCCGTATCCAGAACCGTTATTCAACGTCTACGAACAGAGCTGCAAGGAGACAGCACTAAAATTCGAAGAGCAGAAGAATAAGGAGGAAGCGAAAAGGAGGGTACCGAACATTCGTCGTCAGCGACCCTTTCGCCTCCTTGATCCAAGTGTTCGATATGTAGGAAGAAGGCGCGGTCATGAACCTGTTACTTCAGGCTCGCCGCACTGTTTTATTCCAACTGCTACTTCAGATTCGCCACATTGTCTTATCCCAACTGCGGGGGAAAACAAAGGATAGGATATACATGACAAGGAGACCAGCAAAACTTTTTTCCCAATGATTTCAGGAGGTGGCAAGGAGCTCCGAGAAGGGCGACAAAACTAAACCAAACATTTTTTTTTTATCTATTGATTGCCAAGGCAAAAGGAAATCAATATGCCAAAGGTGACGAGATAGGCTAGCCCCATATCCAAGGAAGGCTAAGATCAGAGAACCAAGACCTGAAAAGAAAAGAGATTGACAACGAAGGATTTTTGGGTGTTCAAAGTAGATAGACACGACAATGATGAGCGTGCGAAGTGTGGGAAGGAAAGGGGGAAACGAGGGGTGAAATGTTGGGATGAGAATGATGTTTACCTCGTCTTTTTACTGATGTGAAGCCTAACGCACGAAAACAACAGAATGAAAATGCGCCGTGAACTTGAAGTAATCTCGCTGCTTGGTACCTATGAAGTGTGGGAAGAGGAGAATGGATCAGAAAGGGGATCAAACCTTGAGGATAGGAAATTGGCTTTTCAGGTAGAATGCGTGGAGGGCCTTCTTTTTTTCTTTCTTTCACCGCTCAATCCTGAGAAAGAAAAAAAATGGGGCTGGGAACAAACACCACCGAAGTTGGAAATGAAGGAGGTGGAAGAGCAAAGGAGCGTATGAGTACCGATGAGGGAGATCAAGTGCAGACGCGAGGCAAGGCTATGTAACAAAGTGTTAAAGGGATGGAAAGGAGAGACGATGGGAGGGAGGGTTGTCGAGGGTACGCTTACTGCTGGCTGGAGATAAGACCGAACAAAGAGGGAGATAGAGGCAGAGAATGCTGACAACGGTGAAGAACAATTGGGGAAAAGAAAGAGAAGATGGAGGAACAGGAGCATGAGGAGGAGCAACAGGAGGAGGAGCAACAGGAGGAGGAGCGACAGGAGGGGGAGACGGAGAAGGAGAGGGAAGGGGAGGGAAAGATGCGTCAAAGAGACGATGTGAAGACGAGGAAATCTCAGGAGACAGCGCGATATTGTCGAAGGGAAGAAAGGGAAACCATTCGAGCTCAGGGTACCCGTTTTTCATAGATCAAAGAGCGCCCAATTGATTCCAGCGCTAGAACTGTCGACTCTACAGTAATCCTAACCGACCTTAACGTACAGATGTCTGGCACGCAACGGCTAACGGTGACACTAAATTAAATTGGAGACAGTACCTTCGTCGAGCAGACGGGCATGAAAATAGGAAGAAAGAAGGGCTAGATAGGATACCAAAGCGTGTTCTAGGGGAAATGGAGCTTTGCGTTGCTCGCGGGATGATGGACGATGTAGATCGAGTCCTTGTCGCGTTGTGAGGATGCAACACCAAATACGATAGGTTCGTGTTCAACTTTCGAACAAATCAAGTCGCACAGAGACGTTTAGGGTTCGCAGCGAAGGTCCGAGGATGATCAAAAATATGAATGTGCTGTCTGTGTGCGAGCGATGGAAAAAGAGGGGTGCAGAGGAAAATGACAAGGAAAGGAGAACAAAGAGATGAAATAGGGCAAAGGTACCGAAATGAAACGGTGAGCGACAAGCCCGCGAGCCAGCGAGCCAACGATTGTATCATGGTGCGAGGAGGCAGCAATGGAACGCATCCAACAACAAGGTCATTCAGAGTGAAGCAATGGGTGCTAAACACTCTGATGTTTACGGTGGGGATGTGGTTGGGTTGGGGAACGATAAACGACTTTTTTTTCCCCTCATCCAAACAAACGCGCGTAAGGATCGCTGCGTCGTCCTGGATGGATGTGTGACAGACTCTATCTGTCCATTTGCACCGAGACAAACAGGAAGGGGAAGTTGCATGGATGGGGGTAGTGAGTAAGCAGCAAACAGGGGTTGGAGTAGGACAGAACTACAGAAATGTCGCGCAATTCCAGATAACAGGGCCCTGAGCAACTTGCGCCATCGAGAAGAACGACAATACCCCATCATGTCAAAGACAGTATACTTCTGGAGACAATTCTAGGTAAGGAGATACCGTGCAGGTGTGCGATGTGGTATCCCTTGCCTACTGCATACGATGATGGCGGTAACGATCGATCTATATTCATATCCTTACTTGTGGACAAGAAAAAAAACACCGGCAACAGGAATAATAGAGTTTTTAGAAAGGGGTAGAGCTACAGATCAGGAGATGGTGGGCCCGAGGACTCCAACGAGGGATGATGTTTGATGGCTAGTTCGTAGATGTGTGAATTCGTGCATACGTATCTGTCCAAATAGGGTATCTATGGCGTATGCAGGGAGGTCAGGCAGCAATGAACAAGGGGCACGGCCTTAAAAATAGTCCGTATGTGCCCCGGCTGGTATATTCTTTACAGTAAGGAGAAGGATAGACGCTGGTAGAGCAGGGTGAGCGGGGGAAGGGGACGGGGGAGGGTTTCAACTGCAGATGGATCAGGGTCAGGGCGCACAAACACAATACAGATGGAAATCTCATAGAATATCACGGATCCCTTGAAAACAACATTCGTCGATTTAAAAAAGGGGAAGGGTGCAGGATGAGCGGATGTGTGATTCCTCCAATACAGATATTGACCTACACATATAGCCATCTCTGCCATCTAACCGTCCGTACTATCCAGAAGACCCGAGTGGATTCCATGTCAAAGCAGCGCAAACAACGCACCTGTATCTGCACTGTGGCTCAAATTGCTGCTGTCTCTCACATAAGAACTAGAGCGATTGAATGCACACAAATCATTCGGGGTGCTCAGCACAATGGATATGCACCTCCATGCATTTCTGCGCACTGTCCTCTCGTAGAAACAACCACCCGCGCTTTTCAGTCCTGGTTTCTCCTCCCATCTCCGCCTACTAACAAACGAAAAGATATATTGGATCATCTTGAGACACCCTCGGGGCGTTAACCAGAAGACAAAGAACATTGTCGCGTTGATCCTGGTGTAGCGTCTAGATTATTGCTGGGACGATGATCTACACCACTAAGATGAGCTCTGTTTATTTTTCTGTTTGTATCTGTAAGTGATTCATGAAATATGCTGAAGTAAATGATGTGCTTGGATGAATGTGCGGATGAATATCGGTAAACATGAGTAAGGTAAGCTATACAAATAAAAGGAAGAAGCAAAATATATACAGTCGCGTTTTTCACGGAAGAAAACATAAAAAAGACGGGAATGATAGATGGATCGGGCACTGGGTATGTATGGAAGAGCAGGGGAGGAAGGAGAAAGAGGGGTCATAACTTGAATGCGTTTAGAAACCGGACTGGGCCATGAATGCCTTCAGCTTCTGCTGCTTGGCGACAGTGCTCTGGAGGATCTTCTTTGCCACCTCGACCTCAACAGGCAGCTTGGTAGGCAGCGGAGGCTCGGGTTCGGCCTTGTTCTTCTTGGACTTGCCGATGCTCAAGAGGCTAATGCTTTGCTTGCGTCCCTTTGAGCCGCTTGGATGCGAAGAGTGCGAGGATGCAGGAGAATCAGATACCGATAACCCCTGGTGCTCAAGGATGCGCTCCGCCATCTGGATTCGCTTGGCCTCGCCACGTTCGCCTGTCCATTCCATAAGGATAGACAGGCACAGGTCCTGTGCAGACTTTGAGGGGCGACTCTCGCTCAGAGGCGCTTCGACCTGGTTGAGTGCATAGGCCAGGCTGCGGGGATCCGAGCAGGCGATGTCTGTCAAGAGAAACAGTTTCAACAGATCGACGCGAAGGTATCTGGCAGCCATGCCAAGGGCATTGCCCTCGTGATGAGATTCCATGTTCAAATTGGCCCCTCCTCGCTCGCGCAGCAGCGTGTAGAGCTCAGACGCAGCAACCGACGGCCTGTTGCTCAAGTGTGGGTTCTTGAGGAACTTATGGAACGGGGTGACTCCGCGGTTGTCCTGATCGTTAACACTCAACTTGCATTCCTGCATCAAGAAGCTGCAGACCTCAAGGGCGTGTTTGTAGTTGGTGGCGTGCTCGAGCACAATGTGCAGTGCCGACTGATGAGTGATGGTCGTTACTTGCTGCATGTTGGCGCCATGGCGCTGCAGTACCTTCAAGATCGCCATGAGGCTCTCGGGCTGGTAAAAACACGCAACGTGGATCGGTGCCACCTCGGCCAGCATAGAGTACGGGGGCAACGAGATCAAAGCATTGGGATTGGCACCATTGGTAAGGATATACCACTCCGTGAGATCAACATTTCCCTCTTGGCATGCTTCCCAGATAGTCTGAGGATTGCGACGCTTGGGGAGAACATCGTACTTGGGGATCGCGAGCGTCTCAACTGAGCTGGTAGAGGACTGGGTCGAAACACGCCTTGAGTCCTTGGCAGGGATGGAGGGACCTCCGTTGGAGGATGAACCCGTGGAGCTCCCACTGCTGATGGACATAGATCGTGCTGACGGTGCGAACGAAGAGACGGCAGACATTTTTCGTCTCTGAGAGATTGGCGGTACTGGAGGGGGCGCGCCATGGGTCTGTGGAGGATACTCGGGCTCTTTGGGCGATATGATTAGTTCGCGGGATCGAAGGACAGGGCTTGGGAAATCTCTGTCATGGTCAATAGAGTAGGACCGTGAGGATTTGACGGACCGCGACGCGCTGGATCCGTGGGAATCGCGGGAAGATGCTTTGGCGGAATAGGCAGGCTTTTTAGGTTGCTCCTCTGCAAAGCATTCAAAAGCATTTAGTGGACCATGAAGTTAAAAGAAAGAAGGTGGAAACAGAGAGATCATCAGTCAGTACCAAGTGCTTTGACCCGCCTCCATCCAAACCCCCCCTCCATAAGAAAAGTCGCAGGAAGAGAACATACCAAGGCTCAAGTCTTCGATTTGACGAACCAAAGAGCCCGAGGGCTGCTTCAGGAGGACACTCAATGTCTGGATGATCCAGTCAATCGAAGGGCGCTCCAAAGGGTTTTGATGCCAGCATCGGGTATAAAGATCCTCAAAAATGGGATCGGTGCCTTCTACAGGGCGCTCACGTCGGCCGGACACAATGTTCTGTGCGAGGCTCATCAACGATCCGTCCTCCACGCTACAAGCTGCAATCAGATTGTCAAAGGGTGGACGGCCGCTGGCGATCTCCCAGAACACCATGCCAAGGGAGTAGATGTCGCATTCGATGGAGTAGCGCGTTCCATTCTTGGTGAGGCGTTCTGGCGCAATGTATCCCATGCGTGCAGGGTGCTCCCGCGAGGAAATGACCTCTGCGTCGCGTGTGGATCCAAAATCTGAAAGGACTGCTGAACCGTTGGTGTCAATGAGGATGCTGGCAGAGTGCAGATGGCGATGGCGGTAGCCCTTGTAGTGGAGATAACGCAGGCCCAGGGCGATGTCCAGTGCAAGATTGTACCTGTCAGACCAGGTTAAGTGTGCATGAAAATTGATAAGATAGGAGTGAAGGGTGCCGTGTTCGTTGTGTTGAACAACAAGGTATGGAATTGACGTCGATGGATCGACGGTGTATCCATAGAGGTGCTGGATCTGTGGGCAACTGTTGCCCAGCTTATACAGTAGACGGACCTCTCGCTCGATGGTAGTTAAGTCGCCAAAGGGCTCCCTGATTTCGACATCATGCTCCCTCCATCGACCTGTATGGATGTTGCCGAAGCGGCCGGGGATGTAGGCGTCGTAGATGATGTGATCGATCTCCTGGAATGGAATATGGGGTGCAGATTGTTGGAGGATCTGCAAGACGTCCTGGCCGACAGGAGTGACAGGTACGGTCATCATATGTGAGGCGATATTACGTCGTTTTACTGTTAAGAACAAAGAGGAGAGTACGTTAGGTGAGATTCCATAGATCGAAAATGCAACGAGGGGGGGAGGGGTGGAGGGAAGGGGGTGCTGCAGCCAAATGGATGAAGTACCCATTATTATCCAGCTCACAAGATGGGGGAACCTGGGTTGTGGCGCCCATTTCGGTCCCGCGAGCAAACCGACAATAATAAACTATGACTATGATTTGTCCCGACTGCCCAAGGCAGCCTACTCCACCCTGCCTCAGCCCTCTCAGAGAATATTTTTGCTCACTTTTTTTGGAGAGGAAAGAGAATCTCTCTACTCTCACTCAAGTGCTGTTTTGCCCACGCCCGTTTGTGATTAAAATTCAGTGCTGGGTGCCTCTGAGACGTGGTTGGCTGAACGCTATCGATTGTTTGTTGCACAACATACATATGAAAACGAAGTGTTTTATCCAGGGCTATCGTACAAGCATATCATAGGTCGGATGCGTTGAGATGGTCATGAAGCACAATAAATAAAAAAATGAAAAGGTGGGATAGTGGATTGCCTGACAAGATTTACTGATTGTACTGCAGATTAAGAATCGGCGCGAAAAGAGGATGATGGATGCCGATGATCGATAATGGTTGGAGATAGTCGCAGGAATTTTGACCTGCGCTATTCAGGCACAGGCTAGTATGATTGGGGAAGTTCTATTTTGTTGTGTGATCATTGGGGGCGTCCACTCACAGGAAAGGTCCGGTTGCTGGTCAGTAGAATTCAGGCACGGATTCCGGAACTGTGTGGTATGACAAAAACGCGGAGGAGAAAACTAGGGTGGAATTGTGGAGGAATGTTCGTTTCAAGAGAGAGCGGTAGACTATATATTGATGCCACCCTGATTGATGGCTCCAGTCGGGTGCTGGAGCAGGTCTGCAATTACTTACGGCTTGATTATGGAATTCTCTTCGTTCGCTCTCTTTTGACAGGATTCTGTCGTCAAGCGTTAAGGAGAGTGGTGATATGGAGAGAGGGAGAGTGTGCGTGTGTGCAGAGGGGTATCTGGATGGAGGTGAGAATGCGAGAGTTGATGATGATAAAGCGCACAGTTCCGTGGAGGAGGGGATATTCATAAAACGGCGAGAGGATGAGGGAAAGGGTGCGGAGAAAGAAAGAGAAAGAAGAGGGAAAAGAGAAATGAAAAGAGAGAAAAAAAAAAGGTTTATCGAGCCATGAACCCGATGTAGTTTTAAATAAAGGCCTCTCAGTGCTTTGGCGCCTGGGCTTGAAGGGAAGTGGGGTTAGGTGGTCAGGGTACTCTTTCTCCACTTCGCTATCGAACAATATATGAATGAACGCGAACAATTGAATACCTTTGAATAGATTCGCACTTGCCCGTGGGCTACATGTACTTTCCACGCCATTTGACATCTGAAGAGGCATACTTCACTCATACAATTAAGAGATACACACTCGATTGAGCAGAGAGCCCAAAAGCAGGACGATGGAATGGGTTCATTTCCATATCGCAGCATATCACCGCAATAGATTAACAATAATGGATGTACTGTATATTCATATATTTTACTTAAAGATGACATGCACACTTCCATTTACTCTTCTTTCAATTCATTCCCCTTTGCAAACCATTACATTAACGACAACCACACAGTCGTAGGCGTCCCTCGGCGGAAAAAGTAAATTGTCGTCAGTCAGTTAGTCATCGGGGCCTGCCTGCATCCTCAATATTCGACGCGTAGTTTTATTTTGTTTATATCCGGTGGACAAAAAACCACTGGTGCTGATCGCTGTGGTCAGCATATGGAAGCTGAAAAGGGTACGACCTGTCGTCTCCTTTTGTCTCCACAGACGCACGAACTCACGCACATACATTTGCCAACATTGGAAATAGGGGGGATTGTGCGGCCCCATCATGAGAACTGCTGAAGTAAACGCCTACAAAGCACTGTATTATTTGTTTGTGGTCGTAGTGCTTACAAACGCAATAAACCATCATTAAACCATGTACTTTATGAACTGCTACCCCAATTCAGAATGTCAGTATTAAAAACAATAACAACAACATCGGCAACAACAACTGCAGCAGAACTGGTGGTATATATTCTATTCACAGAAGTCTGTCAAGCCCTGCCCAGTCCAATCTACCAGGTTGCTACGACAAACAAACGACAGAGAGCATTGTCTGATTGTGATTCTGGGCCCTGAAGGGATAAATTTATTTCAAGCGCAGATGGAGCTTGATACAACAGACTCAACAGAGTTGTATGAAAACGACTGCAAACCAAACTGAGTCACTCCGACACCGTCCTCTCTTCCGTATCTCTCATTGGAAAGCTTGGAATGGACGCCGCAGCCAGTTACAAGTTACACTCCATCTTTTCCTACTGACAATCTCAGTCAACAAGGTGGCCCCTACTGAAACTAGATCTACTCGCTGTCACTAGTCTACCCATCATCCAAAATTAATTGTACTATTACAGTTCTGCGAGTATCGTACTCGATGCAAAGTGGCAGGGGCCAAACGGTCTAATCCCAACAAAAGTACAAAGGGACCAAATCGCAACAATTGGTTCCTGTACATACGTGCTCCATTTTTAATTTAAGGCCATGAGCACGGGTCGGACTCTGCATTTGTGCTGATGCGAAAGTACGGACACTTGTTTCTTTGGACAAGAATCGGATTTTATCCTTTATTATGACTCGACCATGGGCCCCTGCTCTAGGTTTGAGGTACCAGGGTTAGCATCAGGATACTTTCATCATGACGGACTTTGCCCCGTATCTAGCCGGCCATGATAAGACGAGGGAGCATAGTGCATGAGCCTCAACCATATCAACCTAATGTGAAGACAGTAAGGTTCTATCGGTTCTATCGAGAGTCTTGTTCGTGTTAACACTAGCCTTTATTCAGTGGAAACGGCTCCATCTTCTAGCAGAGCCCTGAAAAAGGTGAGGAACAGTGGGCGCGCGCTATCGATTCTGTATAGCGAAATGAGATTAGAATGTTGAACTTCACAGGATGTGCATTAAAGGCCTTTGATCGACGGGAGAACGCCAGTTAAGAAAGATAGCGCGTATGAATGGATTCGTGCTTGCTCGTCCGTAAATAAAGCAATGTCGTGTTTGCAGGGTTTCAATCGTATCAGAGTCCTAATTTGCAATAATACTCGACCTTCTGAACATTTCCTTGACAATCAAAGCCGTTTTGACAGGTCGTTAACCATCTAATGATCGAAGGACGGAAATACAAGATGATCTTTATTCATAGTTCATTCCTTTGATTGAGGAATACCTTTGGATCGAGAGCACCAAAAACGTGAGAACAAGGGATATCCAGTGAAGAACGGATCCTGCTCGCTTCATTGGCGAAATGAGGACCCTTTCAAATTGGTACCTCTGTTGTGATTGGCTGGCAAGGATATAGAGGCAGAGGCGCCGCCCGCCAATAGAGCCGCAATTTCTGTCAAACATATGGGTGCAACAACTTTCATTGAAGTGCAAGTACCCATCCATGTCCGTGAAAAGAACGTTTAACATCATGGGAAAGAACTCTAAATCACTCTCGAAGCAAGAAAAACAAGAACCCTTCCTCTATCTATCCACTCGCTTTGGTCCTCTCCGCATTAACGTCTGTGCAATCGCCCTCGCCCTGGGACTGATAAGAAGAGCCACGAACTTTTTTTTTGCGTTCGTCTTTGGACAAACAGGTTACTGAGAAAAGCACGTCATCCCTCTGGGCCCAGCTGCAGTATATATGTAATTCCTTTGCCTCGCGAACTTCTCCTCTTGGCACATGTGTGAATGCTACATCTAACACGATTTTTCATCCGTTCGCCGCACAAGAGCAGTACGACTTTGCAATGTACGTTACACGCTCGAGCCACTGAACATGTGCATTATTCTCCCAAATGGAAGACGCAGGGTGATGAGGCCCCGCGTTCCCATGTCTGTTCCATGGCCCCACTCACATGTTTCTGTAGTGCGCTAACTTGGCGGCAGCACAACCCCTTCTTCGCTCACACTGGACACAGACGAGTCCTAAAAAAAAACCAAGGCGTAAAGAAGAAAAAGCAACGCGCTCAGAAATCAAAATGGAGCAAACGAGCGTCTACACATCCATAACACAAACACGAAAGAAAAAGAACTAACCATAAACTTGTCCTTCCTCCGCCTTCGGGTGCCAGACAACCAATATATTAAAAAGCTAACCCTGGACTAAAAAAAAAAAAACATTCCGGATCAATGGTTCCTTTGATAGGTCCAATTGCTATTCTATTTGTCGTACCAGGAACGAGAGTGCAAGCAGAAGGCGGGCGAATAAACAGACGCGTTTAGTTCTCCCAAGTCCTAGTCTAATCACGATCACTAAGCATAAAGTGTAAAAGGTGCTTGTTCCATGGTTGAGCAAATAAGCCCTTCCACACACACACGCTCTCTAGCCCATGTCCATAGTTCGGACCATCAGCGCTACACCATCCGTAGATGCATTGAGTTTGTCCATATGCCGCACCGATGCATGCATGTTGCACATGAAAACAAGACACATATTAAAGCGATTGGCAAACAAAGGACCAACTAACTAATCATTCCGCATCCATGCTGGATGTATCCTCAAATTGTTGGGGGGCTCAACTCGGCTGTCCCCCCTCCACACACACACACACACGCACACTTCACGTCGTTATGTGCGTGCGTGTGTGTGTGTGTGTGTGCGTATGTGTGTATATGTATGGCATATGGCCCCCTTCTCTTTCATGTGCAGTGTTGTGGTTGCAAAACAGCCGTAAGAGAGCCTTTCATGTGGAGAAGAAACAAAAAATGAAAGAGCATAATACGCTTTTAATAATTCATCTGCTCGATTCTCAATCCTCTTTTCCTCCACATGTAGACTCCACTTCATTTTCTCCGCCCCTCCCCACCCCCCGACTCCGCACCCTCCGCCTTCCTTTTCTTTCTTAAATAGTCTACACCTAACACACACAGGGATAGAAGAAATATGTGAACGCAACATATTTTATTTGTTTGTCTCTTAAGAGTGCAGTCAAATGGACGACATAATCAGGTTCCATGCTCAGAAAGATATTCTCTTGTCACTCCACAAAAAAAAAAAGCCCAATTGGAAGCGTTAGCGACGCCGACAGACCTCTTAAGCTAGACTGCATGCATATGCACGAAAAGGCTCCTGATATAAAGAACAATGCCTGTCAGCAGAAACATCGCGCTCTCTTTTCTCGGCCATGCAGCAGCAGTCTACAGTCAGTCAAAGGGGGAGGGGGTCACATTACTTTATTATGAATGGTTTACATGTACAGTGTTAGATGAGGTAGTAGGGGTATTATCTATTCCGACTCGGTGCGGCTAATGCTTGGGCGCGTGTAAAACTCTGGACTCAATGGACTTGTCACTCGTGTGTAGCTGACATGACTCTGGCGTGCGCCGCTAGCTCCGCTGCCGCCGCCATTCTCGCTCACATCACCTGATCCTCCCAAGATCGGGCTCGGACTTGGGCTATGGCTGTGACCCGGATACTGTGTAGAGTACGAATACGTTTGTGCATGCTTGCCACCTACTCCAACGCCACTACCGCTACTCCCGTTGCCAGTCCCGGCTCCAACCCCAACCCCAACCCCAGCACTCTGTGCACGAGCAACCATAGCCTGCGTCCAAGGATCGTCTGCCAAGAGTCGTAGGCTGGTGATACTGTTCGTACGATCGTTCTCACCATCATTTCCTATCTTGGAGGGAAGTGTGCCAGGGTTGCCTCCGGGAAGAGAGTACTCCAAGCTGGATTTACTCTTTCGGTAGTGAGGAATGTAGTCGCCAGAAGCATAGTGTAGCGGATCCCTGCGGTGCGATTGAGAATGAGGGAAGGCGTTCAAAATGGGCGAAGTGCGTCCACTGTCTTCTCCTGTGCCAGTACCAGTGCCATAATAGCTGAATCCTGAGCTGACAGGCTGTGGAGACGGAGGAGGGACAGCTGATCCCGATGGCGTGGCGCTCGACGACGAGCCACGTTCCCGTTCACGCTTTCGGCCTGCTCCATTTTCCGGAGCTTTGTTGTTCAGCTCCGCCGCGCGTTTGTAATAATAGGCAGATGCGAGATTATCGACAGACCGCTGATGTCGACCCTTGGCCCTCCTGAAATCCATGGCTGCGGTGCTGAACCCGGCCATGTCCTTTGCAGTGCCACGGGGGTCGTTCTCTCGGTCCAGAGAATCCTTTCTGGGACCCTGGTTTCGGGGTTTTAGGCCTCCCAACCGATTATATGACGTCGCAGGCGGCGACAAGGGCGGCGAAGAAGGTGCTGCCTGCTTATCTATCCTCCGGCCAAGTTCATCGGTCTCGATTGTAGGACTCGATGTCGGAGAGAGCGATCCTGAGGTTGGAGACCCGAGTGACGAAGAGAGAGATGTTCGAGCTCCATTTGGAGAAGAGACGACTGCGTCGCCAGCCCCATGCTCGTTTGCCAGTTTAGTGTCGATGGATATGGGTTTACTGGGGCTGTTGGGTGAATCATTAAAAAGCGCCAGCGCGATCGCGGAGGCGCTGCTTTGGAAGGATTTTGAACGGGTCCAGCTCTGACGTGGAGGTGGCGACAGGGATGTTTTGGCAGGTTGAGTGATCGCAGGCACGCTAGGAATGCTGGCCTTGCGCGTTGCTGTTATTGGTAAAACAGTGGTGGGGGACGCAGCGTTATCCATACTCGAACGCGAAGGGGCTACGTCCGACTTGGACCGATTGCCTCGGGCCTTGGACTTGGGACCGATTTTCTTTGAATTGGAAGAAGTTCTGGACAGGAGGGATCCTAAGGACGATGAAGATTGGGCATGGCTGACGCTGGACGGTGAAGAGACACTGGTACTGACACTCACACTGGGGTTTGTGTTGGTTGCTACAATTGGAGATGGCGCTGCATCCTTCTTCAACGATTTCTTGATGCTCTGAGAGCTTTTGGCGGTCTTGACGGACGGCGTCTTGCTCGAGAAGGCGCCAGGTGACTCGTCGGAAGACAGGACCAATAGCTCAGAAGCGCTGGTGGGACCAAGTTTGGACTTAAACACAGCCTCAGCCTTGGACCCCATGTCAACTTCAGAAAATGTAGGCGACAACGGATGCCTGGACGTGGTACGGGACCCGACTTGGTCGAGTAACGCTGACTGAGGTCTTTTGAATTCTGCCAGGCTGTAATATGGGTCTGGGTAGTAGTACTGAAGACCCTTATCCTCATCCTCATCCTCCAAGTGAGCGGCCGACGCCTGGGCCAATGCCTCGACAGTTGCAGGGACGTACGGTTTGCCATGCATAGTATTTGCTGGCTTTCCCTCCATATCCAAGGTTGAGTAGTCCTTGTCCTGGTCATTAAGATCCTGGCTCGTACGACCACGATCCGCGCTCTTCTGACCTCCACCAGAGAGCACTTTTGAGAATACGTTACGTTTGTTATCCCTTGGTTTGATGCCTTTGTTCGACTGAATTGCATCTGTGTTGCTGATGCCAATGCTGTTACGTTTGCTGCTCTTGCTCTCGTCAGGGAGCGACAGCTCCAGCTCAAACTTCCTTGGCGCACCTTGACGATCCGCGTCGTTTGACTTGCGGCCGGGGAGCCACTTCTTCCTGAACCCCGACGTCGGTCTTTCACCGCTCTTGGCGATTGATGGTCCTGCGCGGTAACTACTTGGTGCTGCCTGATTGTGGGCACTATCCGCATAGCTATCGTTGCCGCTGAGGGTTGGTGTGAACTTGGGACTTGGTGGGAGTTTGGACCAGTGCAGCGGATCAACAGAGTGCACTGTCATACGGGCGTTCTCTTCAGGTTCGTCTACTTCGGCGATCGTGTTGGTAGTGGGTCCACCGGTGCTGTAGTGCTGTCTGCTGGGCGAGAGCTCGTCTAAGGAGTATCGCGGTCCTGTTGCTTGTGCAGTGTCACCGCGCGACCTTGAACGGTAATGCCGAGAATCATTGTCGTTGCTTCTCAAGTCATCCTCATCACCATCACGACTGTCGAAGGTCACAGAAGGAGGGCCTCTGTCTTCCATGCCATGCATCGCCAAGACTACCGGAAGAAGGGCAGATCGATATTCTGCAAGCTGCTTTTGAAGACCGGTCAACTTGTGAATGGGGATGCTGGACTGATCGGCACTGTTCTCCTGCGCGCTGTCGTGAATGTTTGCAACAGCACTCCTGTTCACAACTTCCTCTGTAGACCGAGACGCGGAGGGCGCTGATGTCGATGGTAGGGCAGACAATGGCGAGGGCAACGGGTAGAGTTCCGGGGGATTTGAAAGGCTGTTCTCGTTACCCTCGGACGTCTTTCGAATATGACCCCATCCGCCAACTTCCCATCCTGTTGTTCCCGTTGTGTTGATACCCCCCGAATTCTTCTCCTGCTGATGATCTTCAGATTTGTTGCCACCATCTAGATATGTAGGATGAGAAATCCTCGTATTAATAGACTGGACGTTTAGAATGCGAAAACTCGACTCGAAAACTTGTTCGCAGTGTACCATTTGGTTCCGATTTCTCATTATAAGCTCTGTCATGACTTGTCATGAATCGACCGAGCTGCCAGCCTCCTTGATTCGTTGTCAATGCTGGTTCTGGCTTCTGAGGCTCCATGCTCGAAGGGCGAAGTCCAATTAAAGGATCCGCGCCTTGATGGTTGTTGAGGTATGAGGGTGAAATTTGAAGACTATTGGACCCTTCAGCCATCCTCCCTGCACCGTATGAATCCATGTTGCTGAAGTACTGATCGAACGAGTCCGCGCGCGCGTGGTCCTCTGTAGTACACTGCCCATCGTGCAATTCTTCTGGCTCAAAGTCTTGGCTGAACATCTTGTTGCTCTCCATAGACGTGCCGCGATTCCTGGAGTGAAAAGCTCGCATGCGATCGTACACGCTACCGACGCTGGTTTGACGCTGTTTGTTTGTTTTGTCCTTAATGCTTGTGTTTATGTTGAGATTGGTGGGATCATCAGCCGAAGCCCTGTTAGGGCATCCACGGTCATCCGGATGGCCAGTTCGTGAGCCATTAAGAGAATAAGGAGAGGCGACACTTCCGCTCAGATCATCAGCAGTCGCAAATGAGCCTTGAAATCCACCGTTGTTACTTGGGGTGTCATTTCTCCAACGGCCTCCGTATCTGCACCCTGGACCTCCACCTATGTCATTGCCACCTTTGCCAAAGCGCTTGAAATGCTGGCGGTAGAAGCGTATGAGAAATGCTGGTGCGGGGAGAAAGAATATGGGGCCGATGGTGATACGTATGCAGAGGTCCAGGGCTTGCGCTTGTTGCTCATAAATAGACTCAGGCACGATGCAAAAGTAGATGTTGAGGACAGCGTATGCCTATAGTTGATGTAGATAGCCTTGAGTTTAGCTGGAAGAGTCTCGGTGTGGTAATGAAGCGGCGACATGGAACGCCGACATTAGCTCTTACCGTGGTCAAAATAAGTAGACAACCTAAATACCAGGCGCCGACGGCCATCATATCGCTGTCGACCGGGCGGCCGACGGGCCCATGACAATGGTTCCTCACAAGTGGGATGAAAAGATAGAGCGACACCCATCCCCAGGTGAAGAGCATCAGCATTTGGCTCACGAGATAGACCGTGGTCTGCGGCCTCGCAAATACATCCTGCTCGGTCCAAGAGAGTTGTCTCCAACTCGCGACACCGGTCTCGGTCAAGTTGCCCCAGGGAATCAATCCTTTGCATTGCATAACAAGCTCCTGGCGCACCAGTGCAGACATATCCATAATCCCCAGGTTCTCTATACGAGACCTCAAGGCCACTAATTCAGGTCCAGAGATGTAATGGGAGCCAAAGTTTTTTTGGGCATAAAGCGCAATGTTGGATATCGCTACCAGTGCATAGACAATGATCCAGGCCATGGCCATCCTCCAAAAGACATTTTTCTTGCCAGCCATCGGATAGAACCCGTTTCCGACAGACACGATCGTATACGTGAGCGCTACGATGGATATGACCTCGGCAATGAAGTTCCACAGCCAGAAAACATTCGCAGGGATCATAGACCTGGCCCGAAGCAGACCCACGATGGCAACCGTTAGCCCCAGAAAGGTGCAGAAACTGGCAAAGTACCGTAGCCGCGTACGGGCGCGAAAGCACATGTATACGGCCATGATGCTGAGAAGGGAGATATAGGTAGTGGCGACATAATAGCTTTTGTTTGGCGAGATGTACCATGGCCTGCGTCTGCCGATATAATTGTTGTTGTCACCGTCGCTGTCGCCATAAGGGTTGCCGTATGGTGGGATTGGGCGAGGGCTTGGTGTGAAGCCGAAAATGTCTGTGCAATTGGACGCCCACATGATACACGGATTCTAAAGTGGAACGGTAGACTGGCTATGTACAAGATGGTGATAATGAGAAAGTATTACGGAGGATTGATGTTCGTCGGTCGAGGAGGGAGGGGAGATAGCGGGTCGTGGTCGAGGATGCGGAGGCTGATCGGTGTGTTTGCTCCAGGGCTATCTGTGCAGCTGTTGTTTTGCTGGACGAAATTCTGCAGGTCGATCGTCTTTGCGACATTCAGCACTAGCAGCGGATAAGCGTAGTAAAGGCAGGTGCTAGTAGTACACGTCCGGTGCTAAGGTGAGATGCCCTTCTTGCGTGGGTGCCGGAAAAATAGGGTGCGGGGTGAGATTAATGTAAAATAAATGATGGACCTGCAGTGGAGGGTGTAGTATCACTGCGAATAAAGGGAGGAGGAGGAATCAGTGAGGGTGGAAAGGAGGCCTGGAAGTGATGAGGGTATGGTCGATGGTGGATGAGGGGCAGGACGATGAGAGGAGCGAGGCGATGAGGAGAGAGTGAGAGGGGACTCTCGCCAAGCGAAGAGTGAGTGAGTGAGAGAAAGAGTGAGAGCAAGCGAGCGTGCGAGAAAAGAAAGCGGGCGAGAGAATGAGCGAGAGTCAAGGACGGGAAAATAGGTAGACAGCTCATGGGAGTAATAATGTGTGTGGGCAATTACCGTTACCTCCACATGGTGCCTGAATGCAAATCCAAAAAGACGGCGACTACAAACGTGTAGTCTTTGCTTGGCTACATGCACCCACAACACATGGCATGGTACAAAGGCACAATGGCGCAGAAAGGGACCTCTCAGCCATCTCCTATCCTTGCCCACTTCAATAGAGTTCGCGCACCAAACACAAGCGTAAATACAGGCGCACATAAACAAATCGCAAAGCTCTGATTGTTGTTGGTTGGGGTTTCCCACCTCAAGAACTAGTCTACCGTAATTTGGCGACTGTGGTCACTCCAGTCCCCCTTCCATTATCTTATCCTTGAAATGCACCATTTCGTCCTCTACACAGGCGCAGGTGCTCTCTGTAAGAATGATGGATACATAACCGCATTCCAAGCTAAGGGTTACTCGCCCTTGCATACTTCGGCTATGAAACTTAAATCATCACCATGTATATATTCATCCCCTCCTAATTAAGCGAACCAAAATAAAAAAAAAAAGTACCAGGGCTCCCTCAAGACTCCGTACCTTTAGGGGCTTATCTTTTCATTGCTATCCACAGTCAGTCTGGCAGAATGTGGAGAATAATATCACCAAAAGAGCCATACACAGCTTCATTTCTTTCGCTCTCTCATCTTCCCTTCAATGTGGGGTTGTGTGATGGTAATCGGTGTTTTATCGATGTTCCCTGGGCGTGCCACGGAAGAATGATAAGATCGCTCTCTATAGTTGAGCAGCAAAATCTGCATTCGCCTCTGTGTTTGTGAAGTGTTTATTTGGGAAGGCATTTCTCAGTCTTCTAAATGCAGCTGCATATCATCTGCAATGTCTTTTTGTTTATCTCGACTCAGGGCTCCGTTGTGTAAAGGGGCGTAAATGGCATCTCCTTGGTAGGTTGCAGCCTATAACGTAGTCATCAAATAACGCGTATTTTAATATACGGGATGTGTGTTTGACAGCACCCGGTGGAATGTCTTGATTCACTCCTCGCAGGTGCAATTGTTAGAAGTAGGACCTACCAGTTGTCGCCATCATACTCGGCATCGCCTTCAATCACATGGAAGGTGTAGATGTAGCGGCTCTTGTCGCTGCGATTTGCAGGCGACTTGTGCAAGACCGATCCATGGATCAAAACCAAAGATCCTGCCTTGCATTCTGCCAGCTTCCACTCCTCATCCGGAGCCTCGTGTTCTTTCTCGCCCCTGAAGGTCACACCTGTGGAGCTGGGGTCACGGATAAAACGGCGATTGACAGGGTACTCTGTAGAAGGGTTAGTTAATGAGAAAGTGCACACACACGAACGGTAAGAATTATGCGCTTACTGCGCTTACTGCCATGAACAACACATTTTTTTGACATACTCTTGTGGGAGCCAGGTGCAAAGGAAAGCGCGCCATTCTCAGCTGTACAATCCTCCAAGGCGAACCAGAAACCACGTGCAGACAAGGGTTCAGTGTAGAGGAAAGTCGAGTCTTGGTGTGGGGGAACCTGTCCACCGATCTTGGGCTGCTTGAAAATCAACATAGACTGCAGTACTCGGGGATCCTTAAACTCGAGATCGTGGGCCAAGGCCTTCATCTGCTTGGAAAGGGAAAGTACACGGAACTTTGGGTCGAGCTCATGAAGGGCTATGTATCGCGCAGTAATGACCAGGTCAGTTGATGACCATCAAACTGTACTATCCATGGCCCAGTGTTATGACCGTCATACCATGCCCAATCTTGTTGATGGCTCGCGACTTTGGCACTATCAGGTTTCCCTGTTTATCAAACGCTTCCTCCTCAAAAAAGAATCGGACCTTGTCGCCAGAGGTCAGGAAGTAATCGTCGCCAATGTGCTTCTTATCCTATATACATTTGTCAGACTCCCGTGGGAGACATACGTTGTAAGTGGTGAAAGCATTGATGAATCATGTCTCGGTTATTGTTTACTAAACCATACCTCGCCTGTGCCAGTTGCAAACGTGGTCATTGGATGGCCCTCTAGCGAAAATTTCTCGAGCATTTCTGCGGCACTATCGTGAAGCTCCTTTGCATTCTCGCGTGAGAAGAAGTCGGGAATGACAAGGTAGCTAAACGTCGGAGCCAGGAACATGGCTGTGATGGTGAGATATGGTGCCATTTGGGCGATCTGGAGCAAGGGTTTGCAGCGCACCAATAAAGCCAAGTGATCTTACCCATCATCCTCGAACTAGCGTCGTCATTGGAGTATTACAGATACGTAGAGTGGTCAATAAAGCAAAAGAAGAAAGGCAGATGGTCGTTCGTTTGTCATGGTGTGCTTTTTGGGTTACCTGTTGCTTCTGCTCGAGTGTCAGGAACTGAAGTTTCAGGTCGGTTGCCATTGTGTGAACTGTTGGAATGATTGAGGAACGGATGGAATGAGAAGAGATTCCAAGACGGAGCGTGGGAAGGTGGAGTGTGCGGAAAGAACGAAGGAGGGATCTGAGGTGTCTTTTATACTCGCCCTTTCTCTTTACGCGAGCAGTTGATGCTCGTCCAATAGCTGCCCCACTTCCCCGCATTCTCCTCTAGGCACATACCCAGTGTCAGGTCTACAGGTATATGTGCATTTGCTTTGGCCAGCTGACTCCCACTGAAGGACCTTTCTGACCCTACTTTATGGACTCGTGGGCGTGGACCGGGACCGATATAGACCAGCAGCTTGCGCGTGTTTGTGCTGGGGACGAGCATGAGCTCCGATTGGCCAGTATCTGACATGATAGAGAGAGCTGTTTTGGTCAATCTTCTTTGGTTGCTGTTAGCGGCAGGCATGACTCGTTCGAAAGGAGATACAAGTAGACTATGTACCCGCTCGCCACAATCCTTTCGCCGCAACGTCTTCCGCTGCCAATTGAGTGACATAGGCAGCGGCAGTGCAGGTGAATGAGCTCTGTAGCCTATACAGCAATCACCTCAGCTGAACATGTCTGTGAATGTCTCAAGGAAGGAACTATGTCGAGAGAACCGTGCTGGATCTGATTATCTTGACATCCTCGCCAGAAACCCACGGGTGCCCTGAACATAGACGCAATTGGTCGGCGTCTACTGTGTTTGTTTGATTCTTGAGACCGTTTGCAACAACTAAAAAAAAGCACAGGATGCAAACAAAACGACTAACGAATATGGTGCAGAAGCAGCCTGCAGCTTTTTTATTACGATTTTTTTTTCCTCCATTTGCCGTTCTACCGCTCTGTCCCCAGAGTGTGAGGCACACACCTTCCACAACCGTTAACATCCCATCCATCCACATCCATCCGTCCCTCCCTCATCATCATCCTCTCGACCATCCACCTAGAGAAACAACCCTGCCAGCTCAGGATGCTTTACCTGGCATAAACAAGGGATCCCCTTCTCCCCCTCCCCTCTCCCGTACTCGTCTCATCCCCACTCATCTCACATTGCCATCTTGCTGCACAGCTCTCCGCTCCACTCCATTCCTCTCACCCTCCCCTCTCCTCACTGCCGGCCCGGGGGTGAAGGCGGTCTTTTGAAGCACCCCATCCTTGAAAACGTCCTCCTCCTGTTCCACTTGAATCAGAACGCGTCTCGTGGCGCGCTTCCCCCGTCGTCTGTCCTGTCTAACTGCTCTGCCGGCATCCCTATTTAAATGATCCCGCCACTTCCTACCACGATAGTAGCAACAGTCTACACCCTTATCCTCGCTATACTCTCATGCGTCCAGTTTCGTCGCTCCCAAACACCCTTACGACTGGGGGCTGCGGTCATGGGCATCTGTGGCCTGTCAATTTCAGCACTCTCGATCGTCTACACCACCGATAAAATGTCACTGTCGGCCTTTTGGGTCTACCAGTTCGTGGCCGAGTGTATCGCTGTGACATGGGTGATCACGACCATTATCCACCTTGGTTACGCATTTTATCCTTTGACCAGACACCAGACTCTGATCTGGAGAACAGCACTGGGTTCTGTGGTTCTTTATGACCTGGTGGCTATCGCTGAACTCAGCTACTACTGCTATGGGGTCTGGGGCTCGGGCTCGCTCTCGGCTGAAGTTCCTGAACTCTGGATCTACTGGGTCAGACAGATGGTCAAAGTTCTTACTTGCGCCATTACCATCGCCTATCTCTTTGTAAGTATTGGTCTCTTGCCTCACGCTCTTGCAATCTCATCCTAGTACCAAATACCAATGCTTCAGGATGTTTGTTCACATAAATACCGTCAACCTTGAGTTGGATACCATTGCCATTTGCAATTGCTCCAAAAAGACATTACTCTCCTTCTTACGACATCAGTATATGTTCATATGTCGCTCGCCTTTTGCTAGCAACAGGTAGCGATACGTTTGTCTCTCTCTATGCATTGATTGGCCCCAGCTCTTCCTTACAACATTTCTTGTCGAACCTCAATCCCTCCTTTTGTTCATGTTCTGCATGTTCTAATATATATTATAAAATGGCCATTGTTATCTTAAAAAAAAGGGGATTGAGTGTATGAGTTTTAATGGCGGGGTTTAATCTCATGTTCTGCTCCGCAGCTTTTGCAAAATACACGGGCAAACTGATCTTGTCGCTAATATTGTGTCCTCCATCCCGCCCCTGCCCTGCCATACTTAGGTCCCCTTGGTGCGGCACCATCACAGTACTGGAGTAGCCATGATTGCGGACAGCAACACGTTGGCTGTCGGAACTTGGTATCTGAGTGCTCTTGGTGTGACATTCCTGGTAAGTTATTGGCACTATATAAATACACTTGCTTTTTTTCTTTTTTTGTCGTTTTCTTCAGCACCGGGTAAGTTTGTCACTACTACCATACTACGCTATTGTCGCACTGAAATGTGGACGAACTGAGAGGATGTTCGAAAAGACAGAAAAATGACGAGTCTCATGGTCGAAGTCTTCAGGAATAGACATAGGAGGGACAATGGAACAAAGGAACAAAAGAGAGCCGATCGCTGCCCCTTCCAAACCATGCTATGCAATGCAATGCTACGTCTGTCTCTGTCTAAGAGGAGCCCGCGTCATTTTTTTTTTTTTTCACTTGAATGCGAGGGAAACACCGCAGGGCTTTTGCATTTGTTTTAGTATGTTTATTTCGCGTGGACGTGCCTGGCAGTCGGCATCCCTCATCTCTACATCGTCTTTGTATCTTTCATCCCGTTTTACCCGTTGTTCCCTCCATATCAGCCCACTTCGTTGTCATCCTTCCATCTTTCTTTTGTGCACATCGCCAATATCGCAAATGTAACACAACGCGGCCCTTGCAACACAACTTGGGCTGGGAAGCCCTCTCTGACCAATCCTAATCAGTCATGGCGCACTTTATTTGAGCGCTCCTCCCTCATTAGTAAGAGCACAATTGGTCTGGTGCTGTCAGGTCCATGGGATATGGGTGGCTGGGTGGTTGGGTGGCTTTACAGGCACGCGAACTTCAAACTGAATTTTTGTAACCGTCTCTCCGCTGTGCTGTCCACTGTAGGGATACACGTCAATGTTCATCTACTACATGAACAAACCCAACGACGTGTTCAGCCCCCAAGCACAGGCATTAGATCTCTGTATCCGCCTTACAGCCTGCCCAATCTTCTCGCTTCCACCTCCGCAGTTCCTTCTACGCTATTTCCATGCCAAGTACGGCTCGACGGTTCGTGACGACAATCCGCACACGATGATCGAAGAGGGCATCACGAACGATCCCCGCCCCAGAAGACCGCCCATGCTGGTCAGCCAACCGACCTCGTATAACTCGAGGCGTGAGCATGACTATGACTTCGATTATCCATCTATTCATGAAAGGCACAGTCTGAGATTCCAATCACCATACTCTGCTCTCGACGACGATGATCGATGCAGGCGCTACATAGAGGAGGAGACCAACATTGGCACCACATCTAGCCTAGGCACAGCCGCGGACACTAGTCCCAAACTGAATCCGCATTCGGCAGGCTCGACGTTGAAGCAGGATGACACCCATATGCCACCATCGATAGGAGTAGCAGACGATGCGGTGCTTTCGGCTCTGTCGATAACCTTACCACCAACGGTTCATCATCCGACCCCCATCAAGGGCGAATCTCTATCGCCTATATCTCCCTTTTCTTTTGCACCTGGTGTCTTACTTGCGAGAGGCGAGGAAGAAGAAACAGCTATTGCTGCTCGCAGAATCTCACGTCGCTTGACTATGGAGGGGCGAAAGGACGGGTTGGATTTTTTGAACATCTCTGGGCTGATGAAATGGCCACATCGCCCCAACTCTGCCATACCAGCAACCAAATCAAGAGTAACAGGATCTACAAATTCATCCTCTGCCTTGCCAACCACGACTTCAGGGACGAACTTTCTCAAGGCCAGTCGCCGCCACAGCGATACTCCCGAACGTAATATATCGCCTTCCAGGAGAGCAGTAAGAGAGAAGCTGAGTATGATGGGCGGTAGCTCTCTGGTAGAGGAAGACGAGGCTGAGGAGGACCAAACATGGCATTCACGAGAAAACAAGGACATCTCCGAGAAGGAGGCATCGCACCACGAGCCACCATCGCGGCGAGGCTCCAGGAAGGATGAAAAGCTAACGGAGCCATCGAATACAACAACGACTAAGAGTGCTGAGCAGTATACCTCAGTTGAGCCATCCAACATTCGCACAAATGTTCAGCAATTAAAGAGTCATGAAAATGGCAGAGACGATCTACATGCTCATTTGCCAGCATTCAACGTCGCAGCATCGGAATACAACGGAGGTCGCGGCAACAACACGTCTCAGTCAATAGGCAAGAAGATGTCAATGGACAAGATCCGCAGAATGTCACGCAGCGCATTGACGCGACTTCAGGAAGGTGGCCTTGGAGCAGCACTCAGTATACCTACAACAACAGGACCGCTGTCGCCAACAATATTGCATACGGAACATGGGTATCCCGCCAGAGGGGAACGGATGGGGCCTAAATCGCTACCACATGCTGGTGGTGATGTACTAATCAGCATGCCCCCTGATCAACAGCACAACGACGAGTCTCATGGTCAACAGAATGGACCCATCATAACTCCATAGTGCCAGTCATTCCCTGCTGCCTGTCTTTTTGTTTGTCTGTTTGCTTTTTTTTTTTTTTTTTTTTTGGTGATGTTGTTCTCTTGCGTGAACAGCGCAAATTGTATATTATATCCAAGTTGCCCTTTATGGGGGGCCAGCTCTGCTACAACAGTTCTCTTTCCCGATCTCTCCTCCCTCATTTCGATCCTAATAAAAATACATAATAATAATAAAAAAATGCATCTTGAATAACTGAGGACATTTCAGATAAATTGATTCCAAACAAAGCAGCAGCAGCAGCCTTATCAACGAGCAAGCTAACGAGCTAACGGTACAGTGTGTAGATTAGATGCACTGACCAATGTTTTTTTTTTGGTTGCATGACTTGCATAGTGCATAGCGAGTGCATGTTCAACGGCCAGATGTTTTGTTGCTTGGGACCCAGAAACACAAATTTAAAAACAGCGGGCTTGCAGCGACATAAAAGAAGTTCTCACAGCAATTTCAGACACTTGGCCAATGCATATACATTACATCAAGATAACGAGAAACGGGCCCTTGTCGTCTTTTTTTTTTTTTTTTTTTTTGAAAGAATGGTTCAGGTTAGGTCTTGGGGTTTCATTAAGGCCGCTCGTGGAATGAGCTTCGCCCAACAAAGGCAGCCCGTGTAAAAAACGCATGGATCATTCGGATATGAGAAAAGAGGAGAGTACAAGTACATCCGGACCATAGAGGTTGCTTTTTCCTCGGCGAATTTCTCTGGTCCCCCTCCTCCTCCTTTTTGGAAACAAAGGGACTTCGTCAGATCAGAACCGAGTGAGGTGCTCTCTGTCTTATAGAAAAGACGTCTGTGCTGGCTATTGGTACAAGTCGCGCATGCACTCTTCCCTTTTTGTGGATCAAAGCTACTCTTTGGCAGTGTCGAGAGGTCGAATTACGAGATCGTGGCCTCTCGTAGAATCTCTCCTTTTTAAAAAAGAGGAAACAAAAAACAAAAAAAAAATCGGTTTTGGGTGGTTTACCTCGCCCTGTCTGACTACCGCGCTTAATACTGTCGCGTTTGATCATCAACCTAGAACTTCTTATTTTATTTTATTTTCTTGTAGAAAGGAACTAGAGAAAGAGAGCAGACATGCGCCCCTGAGTTTGGTTGTGAGCGTAATGAGGGCGGGGGGGGGGAAAGTCAGATCCAAGGAAACAGACGGAAGTCAGGCACGGTTACTCCTCCCGATGGTTTAGAAAAAGGAAAAGGTAATTGTGTTTGATGTGATAGGTGCTTCCTTAGTTCCTTTTCTTTATTAAAGTTCATTTCACGGTCAAGGCTCTAGTCATGGCCATAGCCATAATCATAGTCATGGTCATGGTTATAGTCATGGTCAAGAGCCAGCAAATGGCGCCCCATATAATGAGATTGTAACGGACTGGGGCGGATGAGAGGGCGGTCCTGATGAACCCAGTCATGTCCACCGCCATCATGCCAGTCTGTCTTGTCTTTTTATTTTTTACTCACCCCCTCTGTCACCATCGGTTTACACCCCTTTCCTAAGATACAAATATAACTAATGGACATTGACCACTGCATGTCCTTAATATACAACATGTCTATCGATTTCTCAAAGTAAAAAAGAAAGAAAAAAAGAAAAAGAAAAAAGCACACTTCGGCACCTATGTCGTCGGCTGCATGCTGCCAATGCGATGTTGGTCTGTTGTCGACATGGGGCATCCAAGCGGCACCTGCGTCTGTGTATGTATGCGTTCCTGTCTTCCCATGCAGAAGGATTCAGCTCTCTTGTAGATGTGCGATGTATGTACGATGTATGTTCTTATTCGCGCTCAGGTCTGTGTCCTCCAGTCTCCCGTCCGTCTCCTGCTCCCGGCCCCTTTCTTTCTGATACGCTCGTTCTCGTTGTCTCTTGCTCCTTCGCTGCTGCCCCCTCCCCCCCTCCTGCGCGCCACAGCACATCGTAGCTGCACCCATCTGCCCATGTAGTCATGTAGTCCAGCCTGGACAGGCCTGGCAATATATACTATCCAGGTCTAAAATGATGATGAGTATTCTGTCGTGGAGCGGACCTTGCAGGATAGTTTGTGTATTACGAGGTGTACCTGTGCAGGTGTCTAACCTTGAGACCCCACGGTGATGCCTCAACAATAGCATTGACTATACAGCTACACCAATCGTTCAAGGTCTGTTGCTGGCACACATCCACATATTCATACACACCGTCGCATCGCATCACATCGCTTCCCATCGCAGTTGAAGACGGCGAAGAGGAACAATGCTGTTGCGGAAGCTGTTGTAGCTACCCTTTTATCGGTTTATTTTTTTACGGTGCCTTGGCTCTTCTTCAATCGACAAAATAATTCACGACATCTAGTACCTTTCGCAACTTGCAAGTTACCGTACACAACCTTGTCCTGCCCGCAGCCCTGCTCATAGCGTGCCTTGCTTCGTCTGCTCTGCTTCTCCTCGTACTTGAATGCCAAACACAGGCCCTGCTCCATTTCTTTTTCTTTTCTTCTCTCTTTTCTTCATCTTACCCTTTCTCGTACGGTCCCACAAGCCCACTGTCCTCTCCACATCTCACATACCCCTCCGTCCTGGTTCCTTGTTCATTCTTCCCTCCAAGGATCCTTCCACTGCGCCCTTTCATATCCCTCACTCTCACACTCATCCTTCCCTTGTGGCCTTTTCCCTCGCCTCCTTTCGCTCATCTTTCTCTTGCCCTCACAGCCCATCCTTGCTTTATAATCACGCTGATCAGCAAGGCACACCTCCGCCCCTCTTACCCTCCGCCCTCCTCCGTCTATTCGTGTCCTGCAGCTAGACACTTCAACGACTTTCACGCTTTTCTTGACGTCCAAAGCAACCATCTATCATTTCCTCTGGTACCCTAAACCTCTTTCACGAGCAGAGTCCCTATCAAGGCCTACCCGTATCAGTTGCATTTAGTTATCAACTCTTTTTTGACCTGTAAGTACCCACCACAGCGCCTCACACGCCTTCTTTCCCTCCGCTTCCCTTATGGGCTATCCTACTGCGACAAGTTGTCCACTGGTATCTGCTATGAACCTGATGCACGTCTCAGATGAAAAGAACGTTGCATGTCATTGCATTGGCCACTCTCGTGTGTTATTCTTGGTGAAACGATTATTTTTCCTTGTACTCCCGTGTGTGTCACGGCTTAGCTCTGCTTTGGGTAAAACGAGGAGGGTCCCCACCCCTCTCTCCTGGCCCCTCATGCAGATGCACAAATTACACATATTCACACACGATCAATCTGGATCGGCGATCCATAGGACGATATCCGATTTTCAAATGGCGAGACCACTTTATTACTTGGGTGGGCGATAAACGAGACACCATTGGCCCGGTGCGCTCCACCTGTACGTGCCTTTATTTATCGCCTTTCAACACCCATCACTCTTTATTCTTATTTGATGCGTCCGCCGCAGCGACCCCTGTGCCATTCTTGAACGCACGTACTCTTTGACGCTTTTTGCGTTGTGTACATGGATAGGTACATTCGTAATCTTTCCCCCCTCCCCTTCCCCCCTCCCCCCTATGTTCACCAGAGATGAAATGCTTTTTTATGTGCACGAACCAATGCAGAGCATGGAGATGATGAAAAATTGCTCTCAAAGCGCAGCCCATCAATGATTAACGTTCTCGTTCTCTTGCATAATGCGTTTCACGCTTTGTGTTCTAATGGACGCATCCCGTATTCCTCATTAATAAAGCGAGCATTAAAAAAAAGAGGGGTAAGGCAGGTTATCACGACGGCAGCGGCAGCAGCCAGGAACCAACTACGACAAATATAGACTATCCTTCTCTCACACAACCTCCTCGCTGACCCATTATAACCATATTGCACCTGACAGGTTCTTAAAACGTCCACTCGACCGTACAAGACAAGGCCAACTTCGAGCGACAGCTTTTCCTTTTGGGCTCTCCGATTCCGAGTGGTTACATCGAATCTTTGTCAGTGACCGACACTATGGCTGATAGCACCAGTAAGTTTGCAAAAAAAGGCAAGGTACCAGTGCCATGCATAATGCAAGATAACGCCCATGTGAGCGTTATGTTTAATCGATGGTGCATGCAACGAAAATCCTGGGACCCCCTTGATGTCGACTCAAATACCCACGCTTTTCTAATTGCTGTTACAAACCTCATCTTCTCACCCCTTCCTTTGTTTCTCTGCTCCTTCACCTCTTCATTCCTTTCACAACAGCAACCGCAGAGGGATCCACGGCCATGGATGTCACCCCTGCATTCAGCACAAGCAAGGTCGACAATCATTTTTCGAGCGAGCGTGCCTCGGCGGACCAGCCAGACCCGTCCATGGAGGATCCAGTCTCAGATGATACCGAGATAGCAACTCCCATTATCCTAGCTTCACACAATGCTTCACCCATCCCCTACAAAGGAGCCAAGAACAACGTCATGCTTGGAGCGACACCCATGACACACCCACTCTCCATGCACCCAGAAAGCAGCTCTCTGCATCACTTCCAGACCGTTGGCAACTCTGTTTACACACATACTAACCCTGCTTATATCCACGCAGGCCTGGGTCCCACTTCCAATCCTGATTCGCCCAGCTACTCCACATTAACGGTCCCCAGCTCTGCGACCGCTGCATTCATGGCCATGCACGGTCATAATACCAGTCTGTACGAGCCACCCCGGCGAAACTCTGTCCCAACCCTGACGGCCGACCATGCAGAGCGCAAGCGAAAGATTTCCTCTGAAGAAAAAACGCTGCAGCGTCAAGCTTCATGGTCCAGTTTCTCCACTTCTTCCACCGCTATGGGCGGATTTCCAACTGCGCCTCTGTCTAACTTTCATCAGGTCAACTCTACGCACGTCGATCCCACTATGATGCACAGCTTCCGAACGTTTTCGCAGTCGCAGTCCACGCAGCACAGCCTCAGCAATGTCATGCCCTCGAGCACCAATTCGTCTGCGTACCCTTCTCCCATGCCCGAGAGCTTCCTGCCTGGATCTATGCTCAATATCATCAATTCATTCTCGAGCGACGACGTACCGTCTACAAGCGAGACCGGAGGGGTCAAGGCCAGGCGTAATAATTCGATCTGCTCGACGACAAGTATGTCTTCTACTGGAAGTACGTCGAATAACAAGCACCCGTGCAAATCTCCAAACTGCGGATGGAGTTTCAAGCGCTTTGAGCACTTGAAGAGGCATATGCTTGTCCACTCTAAGGAACGTTCCTTTGTCTGCGACTATGCAGGCTGCAACAAGTCCTTTAGTCGCTCCGACAACTTCTCGGCTCATCTCCGGACCCACTCAAAGAAGGGTCCAGACCATCGTCGCCGAAATGGTCGTGCCCTTGACAGCAGCTGCAACACTGATAGTATCGTCAAGCAGGAGACCCACGATCTGGACCTAGATCTTTCCTCGAGTCCATGCGATCATCAAAGTGCCGAGTTGGGCTTTGGTCATCCTTCCAATGGATACGATTCTGCATCGATGAGCCAAGAGCCATCTGAATCTGGACACGACCGTTCACCAACAGCATCCCCTGGCAGCACACCTTACGGAAACACTCCCACGGCTAAGAAAGAAGAGTCCTCCAGCATAATACACTCTAGCGGCTACCAGTTTGGAAGCGGTGCGATGTATTCGTTGGACCCAATGGACCCTCTAAGCGGTATGGTCCCTCGCTTTGACACCATCCGCCTGGACTTCAAATCGGTCGCACCTAGCGAAATCCACAAACAACACTCCGATGAAGATTCACATTCACAGACGCTACTGCCAGCTGGCAACTTCAATCGTGAATCTCCTCATTCATCACCGATACCGCATTACGAGCAGTTCACATTCCCCTCGTCCATCTCGACCCACTTTATGCCAATGCTGCACGAAAGCTTTCCGATCAATCACAGGGGTCTGCATCAGAATCATTCGCTGCACCATCCACAAATTCATGACGCGACATCCTCGGGTCATTACTCGCCGTTACCCTCAGCCGACTCTTCAGCGTCCTCGAGACACTCCATGCAGAATTCAGGCAGTCATTCAGAGCATGGATTCCAGTTCGCAAACACTGTTCACAGCATGGGATCTGACCCCCACTATCTTCCGACTTCGCCCATGAACGAGGACGGGCCAATGCAGCCTCTACAACAGCACTCCCAATTCCATCCTCACCCCCATCTTGACTTTTACGGCACCAAGGTGGCCAACTCTCAGCTATTGCATCATCCATTCCCGTCCCTCCACCCTCCCTCGCCCGCAGCGTTGCTGCCTCATCCGCTAATGTCCACCTCTGCCTTTTCTACACCTGGACTAAATGATTCGCTCTACTCATCTTCGCCTACACTCGTTTCTGCATCTTCGAGCCTTCCTGGACCGCGAGGTAAGGAGTCTGTTCCTCTCTGTAATACTTCAGCCTCTCCTCTACACCCTCGGCAATCCTTCCAGCAAGATGAAATTTCCACGCATACGTTTGCAGCTATTCCTGACCACGATACCACCAAACTGTCACCCTCCCCTTTTGTAAAAGCAGAGGCGAAAACAAAGACCTCTACGGCCTCAGAAGAGAGCACAGCAGAAGATGCCGACCCAACCATTCAGTACTATCCCAGTACCATTTTGCTATCCCCTCAGTTTTCATATCTGGCCATGTTGGGGGCCTCGCCTTCGGCTAGCTCCACATCTACACCCAAGGCTATACAGGAGCAGCAGCAGCTCTCGACGTCATCCTCTTCTACCTCCATATTTTCTTCCTTGTCATCCTCATCTTCGTCCTCATCGCTGACGAGCCTTTCTGATCCAGGCACTCCAAACCCCGCCAGCATGAGCAGCCCCGGCGACAGCAACAGGAACAGCGCAACGAAAGCACCATCTACTACCATCCATTCGTCCTCTGATCTGACGATACTGACACCCACGTTGGCATCACAGCGTCACTACCCTTTGCCCTCTATGATGAGGGTACTTTCAACTGGCAGTGATCGTGCTGAATCCGCACCTTACGCTTCACCCTCGCCATCGTCGTTCACAGCGCAGTACTTGGACACTCACTATATGTCTTCTTGCCCATCTTTGACCACCTTTCCGGATTATTTCTCGATCGGCTCCATTGACAAGACAGCCACGACCAATTCCGACAACGCCCTCAACGGTAATCCAAGCACCGCGGCCTTAGCTAACGGCGCCACCACCATGACCGGCAGCACCGGTACCGCTAACGGCATCAACACCACCACCAGCAGTGGTAGCAGCAGTAACAGTAGTAAGCATGGAGGCTCTGGTAAGCACCATACGTGCTCTGTGATCGGCTGCTCAAAGCGTTTCAAGCGACTTGAGCACTTGAAGCGGCACATCAAGACCCATACCCTGGAAAGACCCTTCAGCTGTCCCTATCCCACCTGTACGAAACGGTTCTCGCGCTCCGACAACTTGGGTAAGTCAAAGAAATCCTATGGTGGCCCTTTTCCTCGCTTGCTCCCTCTCCCTCCCTCCCCCCCCCCGATAAGAGTAAGAGCTGCTACATTTGGGATTCATGTGCTAAAGTCTGACATTGCCACTTTTCTATACTCGCTATTATAGCGCAACACGTCAAGACACATCAGAGACAACAGAGCAAGCTGCAAATGAAGCACCGGAGCCAGTCGCAGGCACAGGCACATGCACATGCGCCAGCACAACAGGAACAGACAGTTTAGATCAGCACGCGCGCATCGCTCTCTCACTCTTGGTATTATTTATGTGAACTCTTCTTTTTTATATACATATATATATTCTTGGAGACTGGCTCTTGTAACAGACCATATCATCTTTGAGATTATTTCTCCATTTTATGAATTGTTGTTTGTGAATGCTGTACCTTTTTTTTCGTACTAAAATCCATAGACGCTTGCCAGTTTAAGCAACACTATAGCCTTTTTTTTCCCCCTCGATTTGCTTATTTTGCTTCGCTTTCCCACCCCACAAACACACAATAATATTTAACACAGTCGAATTTGGCTGTCTTCAACAGATATGTGTTCAACAATCCTATGTGCTATCTTGTTCGTGTGCAAATGACATAAATGGGTAAAGATATGAAGAAGCAACGCCTCCTGGAAGAACAGGTGCCGCAGTTGAAATGCCCATGTGGGATGAATAGGCTGGAGACTGGTTCTTACCAGAGCATTCGACGGTAAGAAAAAAAAAGCGGGGAGGATCTGCGGCTCTCAGAGTGTCCCCACATTGTTCACCGCGTTGCCCATGGGCCACAAGGCCCTGATTTCTGCGGCAGGGACCTGCATTTTACTGCGGGTCGAGCGGAATGTACAGGATTGTCTGTGCCAAGAGAGGGCGTAGTCAAACTGTTTTGACAGTCTACCCTTCCCCGACAGCCTTGCAACGTGTTGCCCCTGAAAGTAAAGCGGGTTCAGATTGACAACTTTGGGGATTAGCCTAACTCAGACAGGACAGAGGCAGACTAAATGGAGCGACTCTTCCCATTCCGTTCTTTATTGTCGTACAAATAGGATGACACAGGAAGGAGAAATAACTCACTTTTCTAAAGGCGATGCTTTTTTTACGGTTTGTAGAGCCGATAACGAGTGTCAATTGACTATTCATCGCCACCGCCACCGTGTGCAGTGCACAGCAGTTAATTACACATGGCGTAGCAAATTGTTATAAAAGCATCGCATTTCTCGTCCAGTACCACTTTTTCTTCTTCATTTCAATAACACGCTCACTACCGATCAAGAACCAATACCAAGAATCGCTCCGCACATTTACTATAGCTGCAAAACTCACATTCTATGCACTCAACCCCCCGGCGACAACTTTCAGCCAACACGAATATTGAACAATCTCAAAAACAACGACGACAACGCAACAGCACTCACCACCGTACTATTACACAGACCGTGCACCCAACCATGTCCGATTACACATTCACCCTTCCGGATGAAGAGCGCCGTCTCCCCAACAACCACCATGGCCGCCGGGAGGTCCATGGCCATGAGAGTCATGCGTTCTCTGCTGAGGAGCTGACCATGAGGCTCCAGAAGTTGGAGCAAGAACAGGAGCGATACCATCACCAACACCACGAGTCCCATCACTCTCGACTCCATGGCCCTGTGGTGCAGATCGATGCCGACCTTCATAAGCGTACCCAGGAAACACTCCATGAAATTTTGGAGCGACTGGAGCGACGAAAGCACGAGAACAGCTTTCTGCAGAACGACGCGAGCGTGGTCCCGGGAATGGAGGATAACGGCACAGGACGGCTGAGACACGCGCAGAGATTGAACCCGAACGTGCTGAAGGAGGTCAGATCACATTCGCATAGCTTGCGACAGAGCCATGGCAATGCCAATCTACGGCATAGCTGACAGGAAGAGTAAAGAGCAGGACACTTGAACGGACAAGAAGAAAAGAAAAAAAAAGTTAGCACTGTCGACAACAAACCGCCAAGACAAAAAAAAATCAAAGCCGACATCGACAAGCATGCGCATTTTTTCGACCGAATCATCGACACCACGCATATACGCTGGAAAAGGATGCTTCGCGCTGCGCCTTCCCATCATAGTAGGAGTCATGAGTATCCGACTGAGCCAGGATCGACAAATCGATACCTGTCCGAATGGCTATTTTTTTTACCGACTCTGAAAACCGAAAGGAGCATCGGCCAGGACAAGGAGATCATCTACAGCGAACATGGAGTAAATATTTCTCTTCCATTACACGCCCATTATCCATTCCCCTTCTCCCTTCACCCTTCGCCGATCCCGCAAGCGTACATAGCATCTGTCCCGACTCCATTTCTCTCTCTCCCTCTGCACTTTTGGGAGCGATTGAGGACTCAAAGAATCTGAATTTGAATAAAAAAGGACATAAAGCAGTGTTCTGTTTCAAACTAATATCTGATTCGCGTTCGTTTGTCTCACTCGAGATGTTCATCCCTATAAATTGAAAATCGTCTTTGCAGATCAACTCCTCCCCCCATCCACACTCTCGTCAGTCACCCTTTCCCCCCCACATTCATCGAATCGAAGCACAGTCATAACAAACGATAAACAAACAAAGCAAAGGGAACAAAAGAACAACAAAAACATGTCCTCCAGTAACGAAGTCAAGGTCTGCGGAGACAAATCGATCCTGGGCTGGGCGGCCACACCAGGCTGCAAGGGCACTCTTCAAAAGTGGAGCTATCACTTGGAGAGCACGAGGTCGAAATCGACCTTTTTTTCCTTTTGCTTACACACACGTGGCTTGTATCTCTTCTATTTGTTCTCTGTCGACCCCTGAGGGGACCTGGCGTCAATAAAAAAAAAAGGCAGCATCCATTTCTCGACCGAGGGATGGGTCTCCTTAAACGTCCTGCGATTCCCCGGCAGGAGATCGTCGGCACGGTCGCCGCACGTGGGGACAAGACCGACCACCAGATCGGGGACCGCGTTGGAGTCGGATACCTCGCGTCATCCTGCCGCGGAACGGGTGGTGATGATCTTTGTGAATGGTGCAAAAAGGACGAGGGCCGTTTCTGTCCCAAGAAGTTCGTGACGTTCGACTCACCTTACCAGGGTGGCCGTGGAGGGATCAGTGAGGGTGGATTCGTGGATCGAATCCGGGTTTATGATGATTTTGCGTTTAAGAGTAAGTGAGGATAGGGTTTGATTTGTTTCTATTATTGCGTGTAAATAAACGTTGTAGGAATGTGTTGTGTTCATTATTTTACGTGTAATTGGTCTTTTCAGTTCCGATGAGAGGGAATTCCATGAAGATTATTGTAAAAAGCTTGGTTCTACGGCGAATGCTTGATGCGACGAATAAAAACCAATGGTCCGTATTGTCTTGGTTATTACCGAGGATAAAGGATGAATCCAACTCGACTGCATAAGAAATGGTGCTTCGCCCAGACAGACGCAGGCCGGTCCTTTCGTATGCTTTTGTTATCATCCGCCTCTTTCTGCTGCAGAACATACAAGGAATGCACGAAGGAAGACTGCCGAAAAAATCAAGAGAGCATAAACGCTGTTCACCTTTATTCGTAGTAGGACAATGGTCACCATGACATGATCTTCGATCAAGCGACGCGCGTCTTCATCGTCTTCTTCCATTCCTCTGCTTCCTGTCTTCCCCGCCTTCCTTCGGAAGTCATGGCTCTCGACGGAGACGAGGGTTTCTACTCGGATACATTTCTATTTTCGTGTTAAACTACGACTGCGCTGGGCTTGTCACACACGCCGCACTGTGACCATCTTGTCATACGCCTTTGTATTTAAACGTTAACCACCTTTACCTTTTCTTTCGCACGCTTTCTATCCTCGCCCGCCTTCCATCTCTACCTCTACACACACACATACACGCAATATCAAAGCACAAAGGACAACAGGATGGCGACTATTCAACACCCCACAAAGTCCACAGAGATCCCCGTACTCATCAGCGGTGCGGGGCCTGTGGGGACCATGGCAGCGATCATGCTCACACGCCTCGGCATCCCCTGCAGGCTGATCGAACGCGAACGAACTGTCTCGACAATGTCCAAGGCCCTTTCAATGCACGCCCGCACACTCGAGATCCTGGAACAAACAGGTCTCATCGACCGGTTTCTGATTGAGGGTCACCCGATCTCTCACTTCAACATCTACTTCAACGGCGTCCTCTCGGTCTTCCCGGGTCTGGTTAACAGTATTTCCCATTACAATTATGCGCTCTTCCTGGAGCAGATCAAGACCACGAGTATCCTGCATGAGGAGCTTGAGAGCCGGGGCGTTAAGATCGATCGCGGCTGGGAGCTCATGGATACTAAGGTCGTGAAAGAGGGTGAGAAATCGTGGGTCGAGACGACGATTCGAAGGGCATTGGATGGAGACAATATCAGGGCGACGGAGAGCAAGGTCCTGGGAGTGGTCGAACTGGACGCTGAGCAGGCTGGCAAGGAGTACGAGAGTGAGGTGATCCGATCCGAGTATTTGATCGCCGCAGATGGCGGCAAATCGGTGGTCCGTCATAAAGTCCACATTCGCTTCCCGGGCAGAACACTGGAGAACAATGTCATTCTGTTCGATGGCAACGTGGAGACAGATCTAGACTTGAGTAATATCACGTAAGAGCGTTTCGCCCTTATTATCGTTTTTTTTTCCTTCGGTCTACAGGTTACTGCATTCTTGTCAGAAACTGAACATCACAGCTTCTCTTTCTCACTTTCTTTTATTTTTCTCTTTTCTACAGGGTGATCAATGGACGGAACAACCAGACTATGAACGTGTTTCCGTTGAGCGACGGACAAGTTCGAGTTATGGTTGACGGCAGCGATCTGGACCCGACACAGGAACTCACGGAGGAGGCATTCCAGAAGATCGCACAGGCAGCGGCCACGCCCGCAAAATTCTTGGTCAAGAGCACGTCCTGGCTGACATTCTACAAAGTGAACGAGCGTCAGGCTGCCTCGTTCTCGTACAAGAACAGAGTCTTTTTGGCGGGCGATGCAGCCCATGTGCATTCACCTGCTGGCGGACAGGGCATGAATTTGGGATTGCAAGGTAGCCATTTGGTTCCTGAGCAGCCGATGCTGATGAGTGATGACGATGATGTTGATTGACATTCCGTCCTCCGGTCATTAAATAGATGCCTACAACCTGACCTGGAAAATGGCATTGGTCCTCAACCGCCTTGCTGACCCCAAACTGTTGGAGACATATGAGAATGAGAGGGCACCCGTGGCGAGCAATGTTATCAAGATGTCCGCGGCCATGTTCGCGACAGGGTTCTCGCGGCAATTGATGAGAAGAATTGTTCGAAAGGCCATTACCTCATTCGCCTCGGTCCTCATCCGCTTTGTCAGAGTTCCCTCTGGCACGGTCTCCATGGTATGTAACAAACTCTAGGCGACTTTGTTTTGCATGTTTGGAACATGGCATGGGCGGCAACTCTAATAAACGCGTTTTTGTTCTATAGCTGACGATCAGGTACTACGAAAACATGATCAACCAGCATCATAAAACCCAGGCTGTGCCAGCAGAGGAGTTCCAGGTCGGTCAACGCGCTCACGATGGCCCTCTGGTCAGAGTCCTGGCTGGTGGTCAACAGAGCGGCGAGACGATCCGTCTGCACCAGCTCATTACTGGACCAGGCACCTTCCACATCCTTGTTTTCACTTCAGACATGCTCAGTGTTACCACCTCTATCTCCAAAAAGACTGGCAGCCATCACATCGCCCTTACGAACGAGACACAGTTGAAGAAGGATATCGAGCACCGTCTTCAAGAATGGCGCGCCAAGTGGGCCTTTGGGACCCATCGCTTCCAACAAGAGCAAGCACAACTAAAAGAGAAGAGACCTCTGTTCAGTGTCCATGTCATCGGCGCCTTGTCCGAGACCCTTTCCGGACCACAATTTGTCGATCCATCCAAGATCAAAGCGGACTCGTTGTCTTCAAAGGAGGAGGGTGAGGGCAGACTGTATTTTGACGACTCGAGGACCTTGCATGAGAGGTATGGCGTTCCTGTGAAGGCGGGACCCGGAGCCATTGTGGTCATCCGCCCTGATTCGCACGTGGGCTATAGAGTGCAAGGCGCTGGTGAGCAGGCATGGCAGGATGTAGATGAGTACCTGCACTCGATCTTCAATACGCGTCCTTGAATCAACTCAATAAACATGGACATTTGAATAGTTTCCAATATCAAAATTGCACTATGAAACTTATACGATGCTTCGTCAAGGTATGCATGATTGATTTTCCCGGTAAGAAGCGCTCCATGAAAGCTATCATGCATGATTGTGCAATGGTTCATTGACGGACCAAAGAATCAAGGATCAGGGATCGAAGAAAACCACCTCAGCCAAGAAGCCGATTGGCACCGTTAGTCGGGCTTCCCATGCTATAGACTTTTTATTTTTACTGGCGAAGCAATTGAGGCCCTAATGTGTACATGTCCGAGAAAGAAAGCTAGCAGAGAGACGCGTCTGGCGCAGACGTTCGGCCGGATCTGAGTTTATGCGCACTGCGCAGATAGGGATGGGGGTATCCCGTGGAGGATGACGCTCCAAAGTCGACAGCCGGCTAAAGACATTTCCGAGGATGAAATTCAATTCGAAATAAAGTGTAGGACTATAGCATGCCGCTGCCGATGACATGATTCAGTCGTGTATGGACGACATGCGCGAACTTTCTGTGAATGGTTTAACGCGACGCGGCATCTGCGGTGCCCGTCCTGCCGATCACCCGTCCGTCCCCTCCATGCCCAGTCATATAACGGTCGCGGATGAGTGGAATAGAAAGAGACGTAGTGCAGTACCCACGCATGACAACCCAGAGACATGGAGACGACACAAATCAGGCAATCCGCGAACAACGACTGACTCGATCGATTCATTCGTCAGCGGTGCGTGGGGTGTTCGAATACAAATACAGTGCCGTCTCCCCCGCACGAACCTCCAGTGTTTAATTTGTCTTCATCTTCTCACGTTTCCCCCCACAACAAACCAGCAACCAAAAACCCAAGCTTCACACTTTCATCAAGCAAGCATTCAGATACTCACCCGCCCCTAGTTCACAGTCCCCCAAAATGCCCTCCAATATGACATCCTCCAACACTCCTGACCACGTCGACGTCCCCGTCCTCATCTCCGGCGCTGGGCCTGCAGGCCTCTTTGCTGCAATCCTGCTCACGAAGCTCAACGTCCCCTGCCGTATCATCGAACGCCAACTCGAAGTCTCGCCGCTCTCCAAGGCCCTTGTCATCCATGCGCGCACCATGGAGATCTTTGCCATCACCGGTATCCTCAACAGCTTCCTCGATCGCGGCCAGCGTCTCACGGACTTTCATGCCTACATCGGCTCCAAGTTAACTGCAGTCCTGCCCGCCCTCTCCAACAAGGAGTCCCATTACAGCTTTGGTCTGTTTCTGGAACAGCTCCATACGACCGCGACCTTGACAGAGGAGCTTGAGGCCTTGGGTATTAAGGTCGACCGTGGTTGGGAGCTCATGGATACGAAGGTCGTTGAGGAGGGTGGGAAATCTTGGGTCGAGACTATGATTCGACGGGCGATCGTCGGGACGAACGTGCGACGGACAGAGAGTAAGGTCCTGGGTGTAGTCGAGGAGGATCCTGAGGAGGAGGGCAAACGATATGAGACACAGGTCGTGAAGTCCGAATACATGATCGCGACAGATGGCGGCAAGTCTGTGGTGCGACACAAACTGAACATTGGGTTCCCTGGACGGACTCTGGACAACAACATGATTCTTTATGATGGTCATATCGAATCGGATCTTCCATTAAACGACCATATCTCGTAAGTAGAGTAGAGCAACAGACTGGACATGTCTATATGATTGAGAAAAGTATTTTAACATGTATCTTTTTAAATAACATCTGCATCGCTGTATAGGGTCATTCAAGGAGCCAACAACCACACCATGTTCGTGTTCCCGTTGCACAATGGTCAAGTTCGAATCATGGTCGACAACGGCACCTTGACTCCCGAACAGCATGCGGCCCTCAAGCCCGAGGACTTGACACTGGAGAAGTTTGAGGCACTCGCAGCTGCATGCGTTGCACCAGCAAAGTTCAAGTGTTTGGACTCGACCTGGCTGACTTACTATCGAGTTAATGAGAGACGTGCGGAACATTTTACATACAAAAACAGGATATTTTTGGCGGGCGATGCCTCCCATGTGCATTCTCCTGCAGGCGGTCAAGGTAAGGAATTTTGTTTTTGCCCAAAACGATGAATGCACTTATTTAGGGAGTGATGATACTAATACTCAGTCACAACCTTTTCTTTAGGGATGAACACTGGATTGCAGGATTCGTTCAATTTGACATGGAAGTTAGCTCTTGTTCTTCATGGCATTGCTCCGGAGAATATCATGGACACATATGAGGCCGAGAGAAAGGTACAGTCATGTCATCTTGTTTCTGTCGCCGATGAAAAAACAAAACAAAACAATAGAGGTCGCGACAATTCCCTGACACAGAACATTCTTTTTTCTGTAATGCCGCGCTTAGCCTGTGGCGGATGGTATTATCAAATTATCGGCAAGACTTCTCGAAGTCGGTCTGGCCCAGGACTTCGTCAGAAGAACGCTGAAGAAGATCGCCTTCACTATCGGACCATACATCCTCCCGTACATTCCTGGCACTAATCCCGTCAACATGGTAAGGAGCCACAATGGAGTATTATACACCGTACGAGTTCATCTATATGGATCTCTTTTTTGACTATATCTCCCTGATCTATCAAACATGACAGCTTGCGATCCGATACCATGAAAATGCTATCAATCAACGATCCAAGTCGCAGGCTAGTGTTGACGAGGACTTCCAGGTCGGACAGCGAGCACGCGACGGTTGCCTCCGAGTGATCAGCAAGCAGGACATGGGCCTGCCTGCATCGGAAGGCGAGTCAGTTCGTTTGCACGAGTTGTTGGTTGGTCCCGGCATCTTCCACGTCATCGTTTTCGCGTCGGACATGCTTCCCTCCATCGCCAACGGACAGCCAACTGCAAAATCAACGATCAAGGGTGTCGAGACAATGGATGCCTATGAATTGGCCAAGGAAGTGAAACAGCATCTGAATTCTTGGAGATCCAGATGGGCTTACAAACCTGCTTCAAAGATCGCTGGACAAGGAGACCTCGTCCTTCCTGCATCCATTTCCGGTGGATCATCGACAACGACCTCGCCGAATGCGTCTTTGGCAGCCATCCCGCACGCCAGAAACCCAAGTACCTTGTTCATGGTCCATGTGGTGGCCGCAGAGTCCTCGAGTACCAGCGGCGACAATACATCGATGGAGTTCAACCTGGATATCCTTACGGAGAACAAGGCTGGAGAGGGCAAGGTATATCTGGATCAGCAGGGGCTGCTGCACCAAAAGTATGGTGTTCTTGTGGAGCATGGCCCGGGCGCAATCGTGGTCGTCAGACCAGATTCGCATATTGGGTACCGCGTGCTTGGAGCCAACAAGGCTGCGTGGGACGAGATTGACCTGTACTTGGAGTCAATCCTTGTCAAGCAGAAGAGCACAGATGAAATAGAGAATGATAAGTAAAGAGGAAGTTGATCTTTACTCTTATAAGTTTACATTTATACTTAGACTCAGCCTAGCGCCTAAACATCCATTCGCAATTGGTTGTTGACCAAATAATAATAATAAAAGATAAGACTCGATCGTTATCTATTCTTCTGCAAACTATGCTAAACTATGTATCCGTAAACTGTCTTCGCGTAAAATTTCAACGCGTTTATTTCACAACCTTATACTAAGAGCATCCCTACTCCTGTGCTACAAATTTGTCCAATTGCACGCAAACACACTAATATTTTCTTTGTCCCGTCAATCTTTTCTTTAGCTACCATCTCCACTTCATCATTATTCCGCCCGGTCTTCTTCAGCGGGGTGCGTGGAATTTAACGCGTTAGCAATCTATGACTAAACAAGGTTGCTTCACTCCAGGTCAGTCTTCCATGGAATGAACCTGTGAAAAAAAAAAAAGAAGTTTTCAGATGCACCTCCGACATCATGCTAAAGGGTGCATTTTCGTTTCTCTGGACGTCAGTATTTAAGATGGCAGATGCGGACGATCGCGCGCTGCAAAAACTACAAAAAAAAATTCTTTTCCGTTTGAAAAGAAAAGAGACACCTGTTCCACACGCGACGTGTTATTCATCCTTGGCAAAACTCGTTTTGTATGACAGCGAGGGCCCAGACACTATGGTACAAACGGCCGGTACAGGCGCAAGAGACCTAGGTATGATGTGGAATAGCATCAGCCAAGCACAAGCAATTAAAAAATAGCATGCAAGATTTGCTCCGCAGTTGAAAAAAAAACGTGGGCATTCAAATCTACTTGCAAAATAGGATATTTTTTCTTCTGTCGTTCCGCCTCGAGGGAGGAAGGGAGGGATCAAATAGCTCTGGTCGCATAATTGTGGACACAAGATCAATAGGATTACAGTACTAGGACAGCGTACGAACGCCGAGACTAGGGGATGCATATGTTTTTGTGCTCATTATGTTCATACTGTCAAGAAAGAGGAGGGTGCTAATGGCTCTTCGGCTTTAATGTTGTGCCGAAATAGCCACAATAAGCAGCATGCAGTAGGATGTTGGCATAACAAGGAAGGGGCTCAGTAGGAAGGAGAATGGCTGTCATGCTTGAAAAGGGAATTTTTTTTGCATGTTGCAACACTTTCATCTCCATCAAACACGATGAGGTTAAGAGAGACAAGGTTTATTTGAATTGAATACTCGTCATGTTTGTTTTGTCCTAGGAAAACAACGCGTAAACATCATCAAGCAACCCATTTTTGTCCTATTTTCGTCCCTCCCAAGGGTGGAGGACATGTCTTGGCTTGGAAGAAGCGCGGTCAGTCATGACCCTGCGCAGTGCCCTTTTCGCAATTTTATTTTCTGTGCTGCAATGCAGTGACGCTCAAAATGTCAAGAATGCAGGGCTGCCTGGTCAAACACCTATGTGAGATAGAGAGGGAGGGAAAAAAAAAAGGAGGGAGGACGTATATAAAGCCCACCGACTTTTACCTTGTTTGCTCTCCATCATGGACTTCCCCAAGCATTAAACGCCTCTTAGCACACTCAGCAATACTCACTGGCACCTCTATACCTCTATAGCATAGACAAACAAATTATCATCGAACATTGTACACCACACAGTAGCCAGCCAATATCATCATCAACGACATACAATCAGCTACTCATTTTCACTCTCACACACGCAAAAGAGAAATTCAAGACATTTTGAGTACATGATGGCCACAACAGCATCCTCTGGCTCCACCACGTCATCCTCCTCGACACACTCGGCCATCTCCACTGTCCCTGTTCTGATCGCTGGCGGTGGCCCCGTCGGACTATTCGAGGCCTACCTGCTCACAAAACTCGGTATCCAAGTCCGCATCATCGAGCGCGAGATGGCCATATCGCCTCTCTCCAAGGCCCTGGGCCTCCAAGCTCGCTCCATGGAGATCTTCCAAATGGCGGGCATTGTCGACAAGTTTCTGGAACGTGGGACTAAACTGAAGGACTTCAACATCTACATCGGCAACAGGAAAGCGGCCACGATCCCGGTCATGGGCGTAAGCGCCGCAGATACACAATATGGGTTTGGCCTGTTCTTGGAGCAGGCAAAGACCTCGGAGATCCTGGTCGAAGAGCTGGAAAAGATGGGTGTCAAGGTCGACCATGGATGGGAGCTCCTGGATACCAAGGTTGTTGAGGAGAGCGAGGAGGAAGGTATTCAGGAGGCAAGTGTTGGAGAGAAAAGGAGTCACAAGCAGGCGTACGTCGAGACGATCATCCGGAGGGCACTCTCTGGCGATAACACCACTGTGGATGAGAAGAAGGTGCTGGGGGATGTGGACCTGCTGACGGAGCAGACTGACAAGGTATACGAGACGCAGGTGATTAGGTCAGAGTACCTGGTCGCTGCTGATGGAGGGCGCTCGACCGTGCGACACAAGCTCAACATCGGGTTCCCAGGACGCACCTTGACACATAAAACGCTCATGTGGGACGGGAAGTACGAGAGCGACATGGATTTTAGTGGTGTCACGTAAGTTTCAGTTGCAATGCATGTTGGCCAAAGGGCAGTATCGCGGATCACCGTTTCATTCATTTCACTCCTCGATATTTTTACTCATTATCCCCACGATTCTTGGTTGAATGATATATAGGCTGGTTCACGGAGTCGACAGGAAAAACGTCATTGCCTTCCCACTCACGAATGGCAGCATCCGTATGGGCGTCGAGGGTGGAAGCGTCGAACCTGGGGAGGATCTGGCCAAGACAGCACAGGATCTCACAGTCGAAAGATTCGAGGAGCTCGTCTCTACACGCATCGCCCCTGCAAAGTTCAAGATCACGGAAACAGATTGGCTGACGGTCTTCAAGATCAACGAACGTCGCGCAGAGCACTTCGTCTACAAGAACCGTATCTTCCTAGCGGGTGATGCCGCACATGTGCACTCACCCGCTGGCGGCCAGGGTCTGAACACCGGATTGCAGGATGCGCACAACTTGGCCTGGAAGCTCGCGTTTGTCTTGAATAAGGTGGCTCCACCTTCACTGCTGCAGACGTATGAGGAGCGAGAACCCATGGCTGACAGGGCCATTGAACTTTCATCCATGATCCTGAACCGGAACCGGAACTTGGGTTTTATGTCGATGATGAAGAGAAGAGTCTTTTATTTCTTGTCGCCGTTGATCTTTTCAGTAATGAAGACGTTTTCTTTTGCGTCAGAGGTTAGCATGGTAAGCTTTTTTTTTTTTTCTTTCTTTTTTTTTTTATTATTATTACCGTTCATACAAATCTTTAACTGTCCTCTTCGCACGTTAGTTGCAAGTGCGATATCAACCGAACGCACTCAACAAGAATCATGCAACGCAACCAGTTCTTTCTGAGAAGTTCCAGGTCGGCGTCCGTGCCTATGATTGCACCCTCCATTCCGCTCAGTCAGCATCCAGCAGTATCAAGGACTCGACTCAGATTCGACTTCACGAACTAACGATCGGTATCGGTCGCTTCCATATCCTGGTCTTCACTTCCGATATGCTAGCCGTCAAGGATACGAGCGCCATCAATGGAATTGAGAGGACCCATGCCAAGGAACTCGAGAATAATATCAACAACTACGTCCGCCGATGGCGATCCAAATGGTCGTTCAACTCGAGTATGACGGATGGGTACCAGGACAAGGATCTGTTCAAGGTTCATATCATTGCCGGATCGGCGACCGCAGCGGATGAGGAGGACGAGGACAGTAGTAGTCTCGATACGTTGATCAAGAAGAACGCGGGTGATGGAAAGATCTTCTTGGATGACACGAAGGTGGGGCATCAGAGATACGGATTCTTGTGGAACAAGGGACCGGGAGGAATTGTGGTTGTTCGACCAGATTCCCATATTGGATACCGCGTCAATGGGGCTGGGGAGGACGCATGGAAGGATGTGGATGAATTCTTTTCGTCCATCTTGGCCTTGTAAATACAGCGCATTTTGGCCGCATTCAACTTAATTGTATTAGAAAAAGAATTGGACCAGCTCGTGAAGACATATACATAAAAAAAAAGCATCGTAGCAATAAAAAAAAAAAAAAAAAAAAAAAAAAAAAAAAGAGGGAGGAGGGGGGCTTTGTGCTATGCTTAAGATACAGGCTGGATCGATAGCGAAGTCGCGACCCTCTGCAAGGAGCACACAATATCTTAGTGCTATAAATATCCCGTGCCAAGCAAACGATTAATCTGAGAAATCGGTATGCACTGCGGCTCCATCCATGGCATTTATTTTGTTCCCTGCCGCAGTGCTGTCCTCGGAAGAATCCCTTGGCTTGTAAATTTCTGATCATATCGCCTGCTTCCCTTTGTCTGCACGACGGTCTGCTGTCGAAGCTGATGCTTCAGGCGGGGGTATGATGGCGGCACACCAGGACTTCCATCTGTGTCTGGCGTCTGAGGTCACTCACGGCTCTGTCTCTTAGGGCGATATGGTTGAGATGACGTGTTCATTCCTGAGCCAGCGAGCTCTTCCTGCCATCTCACGATATGGTCCAATATCTCCATTGATCTCTCGAGGCAGCAGGAGACAGTATCCAGAAGCACGTAAAAGCAATATGAACAATTTTGCTGATGGTGTAACCGCCCCGAAACCTAAATGCAGCCGCCCACCAGAGAAAAAAAACAAAAAAAAACAAGGACGCGGTAGACCACGAAGGCAAATCAGCGAGCAGGAAGTAGAGGAATATGAGGAGGGATGGTTTTTTTTTTATTTTACCCCTGAACCACGACAGAGGGTTTCCTTCAGGATTCCCAGATACCTTCATTAAGATCACTCGAAAGATCCCACTCTTGTCTAGTGTCTAATTGCTATTAGATAGTATGTAAACCCTCAGCAGCTCCTCTTCCTACTATTCCTCCTTAGGCTGCTGAAGGCTGCTGCCGGCCTTGTTCTTCCTCTTGAACTCGTGCATGACACCTTCATCAAACTCAGTTACAAATGCCGCCACCTTGCCATTTCCTCCTGTCTGGAACATAACAAGACTTGTCACCATGACTGTACTATAGCGGATCCTCAATACAAACGCATCGAAATGATAATGCTCCAGCTTGCCGTCAAAATGCCCCATCCTGTAAAATAAAGCATTCTCTCCTGTCTCCGCCTCCTTTTCCAGTCGGACAGAAATTTCCCCAAAGACCGGGTTGAAATACGCTCCCACATAGGCTTGCCAAGCATGAGCTGGAGGTTGATTGGGCACTGGCTCGGGCAGATTACCCTTGTCGAATCCCGCAAGCAGGTCATAGTATACCTTGGTCTCCTTCACAGCCACGTCAAAGAGCCAATCCTGGGTTCGGGGAAGATCAAGAAGATCGTCCGCGATATGGTAGGCGAGGTTGGGGCCCAGTTCTGAAGGGAAAATGTTGAAGAGTTGGGCAATTACTAGATCCACATGTGGGAATATGGTCAAATTGGAGCGGAACCCAGAGATGGAGCCAGCTACATGCATATCCAAGCAAGTGAAGAGAAAACGCACCAGTTAAGACAAGGCAACTCCCGCATCACATACTCAAGCAATCAAACTCCTTCCGTTCCTTCAAGTTTCGAGTCGAGGATGTGACATTACAGTGGCGATAGAAAACCTGTCCCTTGTAGGAGTCAAACCACCAGCCGAGGCCATAATTGACTACAGGCGCAAACTCGGGTGTACGCGGTTCCGTCATAATGCTGTGCGCAGTCAGAGTCTCCCTAATGCTGTCCTTGTTCAGGATCTGTCTGCCGTTCAACTCGCCGGTGTTCATAACTGTCTTCCCCCATCGGACGAGATCCAGCACATTGGAGTGCATATCCCCAGCAGGTGCGGTGGACGCATAAACCTCATCTAGATCATTCATCTTGAATATTCCATTTTGAGCATGCTCGATAGAAGCAGCACTAAAGGACATGGCATGGTTCGATCGCTTCTTCATCTCCATGGGAGAGAATCCAGTGTTGGTCAAGCCCAAGGGGCTCAAAACCTTTTCCTGGACAAGGTCCTCATAAGGTATGCCTGCGACATTGGCAGCTGCCTCTCCTGCGACGGCGAACATCACATTGTTGTACTGAGTCTTGGAGCCTAATTTGGAGGTCATATCGACGTGCCTGAGTCGCTTGATGAGCTCCCTTCTTGGGAGTGTGCTCCTGTACCAGCCCAGATCTACATCAGGAAGACCCTAAAATGGATGTTTAAAGACAGATTGGTATGTTTGTGCATGCACTTTGTTGGCATGCAGTTTAACATCAAGGGGCTTACCGTGCGATGAGAGAGTAGGTCGACCAGAGTCAATTGGGAAGTCAGAACGGGATCTTTGAGCTCAAACTCGGGGAGGAACTTGTTGACCGGTGTCTTGTCCCAATCCATCTTTCCCTCAGCAACCATTTCACCAATAGCAGTTGCGGTGAAAGCCTTGGTCAGAGACCCAATTTCCGATATGGTCTATATTGTCAATATGTGATTAGCATCTGTCAGTACACGACATCCTCAGTGATATTGCTGAAGAAGAGGGAAAAAAAATGGCTTGTGCGTTCTTCTCATTACATCTACAGTGAAGGGCTCTTGCTCATTTCGCTTTCCGAAGCCTTCTGCGAAGATGAGTTGGTCCTTGTAGAGGACAGCAACACTCATCCCTGGGATGCCACATTGGATTCTAGCCTTCTCGACAAGATCATGAAGGTTGGCGAGAGGCTTCTTCGTTGGCCTCAGTGGACTGGGAAGCTGCATTTCGTTTTCGAACAGAGAATAGGAGGGCGGAGAAGGGTTGAGTGCGATGAGAGGTGAACATTGTGATGAACCTAACAGGAGCCCTTATTTATATATCTCTCGATCCGCGATGTGCCAAGATCATTTCGTCTTGGCTCTCTCGTTTTGTTGACACAGCATCCAGAGAGAGGACCATAAGATGGATTCCCACCCAAAACGGATGGGAATCCAAGAGAACACCGAATTCAATAATTCTGTCACTGGCAACGCGCGAAATGCAGGTCGAGTTTATTTTCGACTTTACTTAGCACTGACATTCGTGTGCCGTTTGCTCACAGAAGCAACCATAATACACGTCATACCCAGTCTTTCTTTCAGAAAGAATGGTTCCCATCTACAATGGTGGGGCGCAAAACTGCTCCAGTGCTCGCCGATTCTTTTCCTTTCTGAAGTTTCTCTGTCAATGCATGCCAAATCGGGATGTAACGTGGTGTAGTTGTAACCGTGGACCTCGCGAATAGAGACATCAATTACTGTATCCAACAAGAACTGGATGTGGTCATTGGAACAGTTTTGAAGTGCAATAGGTTCAATTCAATGGGCATAGTGTTGAGTAGAAGTTAAATAAGCAGAGGCTGGAGTTCTATCGTTTGGCAACGGCGCTCTTAAATAGCTGTGTCCATGCGGCTCGAGATCATTTACATGAAGCTTGGTGTTAAAATTGATTGTCCTCCATTTTGCAGTGAAGGATAGTACTTTTATGCTTTTCCTCGGTTCTATGAACTGCTTGATAAGACTGCGGCCTCCTAATTCTTTGCAGCTTTTTGGAGATGTAGGGACTTTCCGAGCTGGATCTTGAGATATGCCCAGATGTGTTCGGCTGGGTTGATTTTAAGAGGCTACGCTATGTCAATCGACTTTAGATAGGCTCTTGTAACTTTGGCGAAATAGTTGGGACCATTACATACCGAATGATGAATCCTTGCTTCGCCAAGCCTATTCTTTAATGGACATCTACAGATCCTCCTGAAGTATCTGGAAGTGCGGTTGGGAGTTCATAGTCTCATCGACCATGGCGATATAACCAGGTCCGCACCATGTCATACAAAGTCATACCATAATATCGCCACCACCAAACTCGACTGTCCCATCAACTGAGCGAGTAGTTATCCTCTCTGGTACGTCGTCCCATACCCAGCGAAGACCGTCAGAACATATCCTGTTGATATTGCGCTCGTCTGACCACATCACCATTGCTTAATATTCCTCAATCCATTCCTTGTACTATTTGATGAATTAAAGACAGCTTTTAATGTGCTTCCTTTAAGGTACTGGCTTTTTGGCAATCCATTTTGCGAGTAACCCTGCTTCTTTCAGTCGTCGTCGAACTGTCGAAGCGGAAACAGACTGTAGAAGCAATCGAATGGCATTCTTTTTGGTATCAAGGGCTTTCCTGAGAAATCCATGTTTCAAGTCGACTTTGAGGCATTCGACTGTTTCGGCTGGGAGCTTCCTGGGCCGTCCTCCATTGTTCACTGGCATGCTCTTCTTATGCTCTAAGCGGATCTTACCAGCTGAAGCAAGAGATATCTGGACTCGGCGGGCTGTTTCACGCGTAGAAACCCCCTCAGTCATCAGCCTCGTAGCCTCCTTAACTTTGGCTGGGGGAATCGGCTTCATGAAAGGTAAAGGTGTTGATCAAGGAAAGTTGGACATGATCCTGAGTCGAAGCATGACAGTATTGATGTAAATTGGCGAGGAAATGGTGAGTTTGTAGCCGTTCTGGCTCACAGTTTGATGTGGCATTTCGCACTCGAGATTCCAGCGCATACCTAGCGATGATAGCCACCACTCTTAGAGCTCATCGTTTTGTATTCCAGATCTATGGCTACAAATGCACCAAACTTCATGCTGGTCTGTCAAGTATTGACGGGGAAACTGTAGAAAGAAAACAATATCAGCGAACACCGGAACTGTTTTGCACCGCACTGTATACTCTTCTAAAATAACAAAGACCGCTAGCATCTTTTCATTGACACTCAATCCGTCCACGTCGCGTCTGATGGTTATATATTCAAAAGCCCAACAATATACATATACTCATGTCTACTCAGATTCATGCGCACACCTATATTACTATCATCATCATTAAGAGGAAATGCCTCTCGACGTGCCTCGGCTGCAGAACAATCGAACCCGAAGCAGATCTCCATCGCAGACAACTACAGCTACGGTTGCGGCCACCACAACCCCAACCAGAGGAAGCAACAGCACCCGGACTTCGTCTCTCCTGTATCATTGATTCAGGAACTCGAGATCCCCGAATCCGCCCAACAAGCCGCCGCCGCTGCAGAGCAACGGCTCCTGGGAAGATCAACCGTGTTAACTCTCCCAGAATTTTAAAAGAAGGGCGAGGAGGTCATCCAGACGATGCTGAAGAGACTTGAGGACTCACAGGGACCGGACGGTAAAACAGAGATTATGCGGACACAACATGTTCACGAGCTGGATCCGGAGCTGTTGAGACAAGCGTGCGCGCTGGTATTGGGGCGCTGTTAAGCCCAATATGAAAGCCGGAATGACGGAAGGACGAGTGATGAAAGCCTCTTGGCCGCTTGTTTTGCCCACTATCATTGTCTCTATTCTTCCTATTTGATAGTCGGATAAGATGTTTACTAGTGTATAAATAGACGCGCATAACGTCTGGTAGGCCACAACCTCGTCTGTCATTTTCGCAAAGCAACTCCTCATGGTGCATGCTTTGGGTTTGCGTCGTAATCAGGGTCTTTGTTGTTCGCACGGCGCGTTGTGCGCTTTGGTACCATTTTGACGTTTTTTTTTTTTTTTTTTTTTTTTTTTTTGGTTATCTGATCTTCCACAATCGAGATATTCTCGTCTTGATGGCAAAGATTTTCCAGGATACGTGCGGTACATTCCTGAAGGCGATCCATGCATGGCATGCTATGCCAAGTGTATAATTCGATATATTATGGTATCCGGCATCCTCACAGTTCCTGATTTTCTTTTTGTTATAGATTAACATTTCAAAGGCCATGTGTAAATGTGTAATGTGTAAATCAGGTTTCCTATTAGAACAAGTCCGTTGGGACCTTTAATACAGCAATTGTGAAAAGGCAAACTAGTCGAATAAAAAAGCAATACAAGCGAACGAAAGCCGAACAAACAAAGTTCAGAAAATGGACGAGAAACCGCGCGAACGAGAAGGCAGAATGCAAATAAAAGGCGACACGGACGGGGTTCTATCGGTTACACTAAGGATGGGTTGATGTGTGCGGATGATGGGAAGGGGGGGAGGAAGGGGATGAAAATGGTGGTTGTGAAGACGTAGTGGCATCCGACTGGTTTAGTCGGACTCATCCTCGTCCTCGTCTTCATCCTCCTGAGCCTTCTTGGCGTCGTAAGCAGCCTTCTCGGTAGCATACTTGGCCTTGGCCTTCTCGTGCTTGGCAATGTAGGGCTATGAAAGATAATATTAGGCAAGTAAAAGGGACACAGTCAGCGAAAGTGACATAAAAAAATGCGACGCGTCACAAAAAAACAACAATATGTTCAATTTGATCGCGTGCCCCTGATGATAACGATCCGGCAAGGGCAGGGTACTTACAGCCTTCTGGTCGTCAGTGTATGCCCTCCACTGCTCTCCGAGGAGACGACCGAGTTCACCTAAGGGTCAGGAAAGAGATGAAAGAGGAAATAAAGTCAGCCTTCTATCGGAAATTTCTTGCAGATCAAGAGCAGGATCCAAGTCCGAACGGGGTCTACTGTTTCGACTGAATGCCATCACGGGAGACTCTGATTGTTTCCACTCGGATAGATCCTCCTCCATGCATGAAGCAGCCAAATACAACAATGGAACATCGGCTTACCGAAGGATGAATCGGGGTTCTGGGCCTTGACCTTCTCGCGCCACTCCTCGCAGAAGAGGAGATAGGCCGACATGGGGTTCTTGGGAGCATTGGGGTCCTTCTTGGCCTTTCTCTTGCGCTTCTTGACCTCCTCGTTCTTGCCTCTCTTGGTGACTTTTGTCTCCTTCTTGGCGACTTTTGGCATTATGACTTATCTATTGGGGATAAAAGGAAGCAATTGACGCGTCAGTCAGTCGTGTTTTTCACGCTTCGCTAACAACTTAATCATCTAGAATGGTGGCGGTGTCAGCCTTTTCGGCGAGTCCACTCATCTTGCCACCACTTCCAAGTCCACAGTCCTGATCAGCTCTTTTACAGAGCCGGTAGCAGCGAGACATATACTTTCAGCTTTACTAGCGAAGGGCACATGGGGGTTTGTGTATAGAGGGTGTGTATGTGAAAATGTATATGTAGTTGATACTTATGTGTGTGTGTGTGTGTAAAAATGGGTTAGTGGGATGTGTATGGGGATGAAGGGATGGTTTTTTTTTATGTCTTTTAAGGATGAGGACGCGGACGTGTGGAAATGGATGGTATGGATATGAATTTCCGAGGTTGCTCCTCGTGAGTCGTGATATGGACTCAGACCATAATTGAATAAGGGCCCAGTGGTGGTCAAGGCAGCCCACAGAGCGGTGTATGGGAGCAGCCAAAAGACATATGGGGATGATACTTACATATGGGGAGTTCCTTGTGGGAGTGGGTGGGGATTGTAGTGGGAAGTGGTGGGTGAGTGAAGAGAGAGAGAGAGAGAGAAAAAATCAGCGGGGGAGTGCGATTTTTGGCTGCCCTTTTGTGAGGGCGCTGAGGGGGGGCAGACCCCCGCTCTGATACTGCGTGACCATACTGGACTATATAACCAACATATGGCGAATGAGTGGACATACTAATATGGCTCCAGTGCATAGACTAGCATTCGATACAGTCATTCAGTCAGTCCAAAAAAAACCCGCTCTGATACCCCAGCGCAGAAAGGGAGCGACTGAGGAGCGCACTGTGATTCGTCCCTGTCTCTCTGTGCTTTTTTTTTTTTGCTCTTGTCCCCTCTCTCGCTTGTGTGTTATGTTATGTTATGTTATTCCATTTGTGCGGCCCGCTCAATCAAATCTACTGCTATCGGCCTTGCCTGTTTGGCTGTCTAGCCTGTCTGCCTACCTTATTGTTGTTGTGTGTACGTGTGCCTGTCCTCACTCTCATACACACACAATGATATGCAGCCCATAAACACTTGTCACATTCATGACACTAACCACAGATGTATGAATGAGTGGGTTTGCGAGTGAGTGTATTCATAGGACATAGTCCCATACCATTAACGAAACAAACGGTGCAGCGTCATCATCGCTTTCGCTGGATATATCTGTCCCCAAGGTAAAAAAGACACACATGGGCGGGACTGATAGGCACCAATTGACTCTCACAATTGCAGGGCAAATAAATCTGCAGTAAGGGGTGAGTGAACAAGAGGGATGTCTACGAGTTCTCTGCTTTTTTTTTTTTTTTTTTTTTTTTTCTGCGCTGGGGCATTATGGCAGAGGACAGATGAACAGGTAGCATACGCATATACAACAAACAAAGGTCTTCATTGAAGTTCATCGGCCGGTGGAAAAATATTTTTGTGAGCCTCCCAAACATCACAAATTTTCAGAGTGTGTGTGGTCTATTCAAATGCAGCCTTGCAGTATGATCATTTCACAGCCGCTCACAAAACCAAGCAGACCCTCTTACCCTCTTGCTATCATATTTCCCTTCTGCGCAGACACATAGAGAGAGAGTAATGATGAGCCATAGAAGGGGTTACCAGAACCAAGAAAATATCCATACCTTGGCTATTCAGGAGGTTGTTCCTGAAAGTATTCTTTTTGGTCCGCTGGTTCAATTTATTCAGCCAAAGGTGCTATATCCTCGGCCATTGAGGAATTGAAGACGATTTTATGATCCTGGGTAGTCTACTGTCTGTGTGCGCTTCCGTTTATGTCATGTCCTGTAATCCTTAGCAAAGGCTACAATTAGTTACATCGCTGTGCTCTTCTTCATAATCCACGAGCACGTCCATTCTCTAGAATGAAATGAACTTACAGAATCACTGACCAAAGCTCCTTTTGCCTCTCGACGCATGAAATGAATTAGCAGAATTACGGATAAAAGTCCCTTCAACCTCTCGACCTATGAAATGCATCAGCAGAGCCACGAATAAAACTGTTCCCTGCTTCTCGACGCGCATCGTCCCAGAGGGTTTCTGCGTCCATGGTATCCCGAGTGCTTTTTAAAGCGATATATGCACTATCACGGTGGATAGCGTTGCATCCTTAACCGCTATCTTGCAATTATTAATGCGTTGTACTTGTATTAAGAAAAGCACTGGGCACATTTTTTTTTTCATTCGCTATAGCTGTCTGCTGGTCTCTCGAAAAGTCGGTAGAAGAAAGTCAGATTCAAACAATGGCCAGAGTGCTGGAAAACTGAGCAATACACCTTGTTCCCGAATGACCTTGAGTGCCGCGACGGTCCTTTCGATCGCACAGCAAACCAAAGCAGCTTCTGTCAAAACAATTAATGATGCCAGATCCAAGAGAGAACCGGCGAGAATCTTAGGAACGGGGCGATGCCAAAAGGACGGCATAGGCGAACAATGACACGATGATGTTGAAGTCGCCTGCAATCATATCATGCAGTTGCACCAGAGACGCGGTATGACAGGTTCGCCCTTGAGACCAGTCACCAGTTGAATCGGCTCCCCTCTCTAGACTCTTCCACACTGGCAGAGTCGATCTCGTTGCTTTGAAACCATCCACTTTCCGACGCGTCGTCGAATGCATTGCCATCGACCCCACCCCTGCGACATCAACTACATTCGCATCATTCATTACCACCATGTCCGATAGTCGCATTGACTATCAGCCTCTTCGCACGGAAGCACTGGATTCGCCTTCATACCACCGCTCCAGTGATATTGCAGACCCTTCCCAAGGCAAATACTCTGTCCGTAAAACCGACAGCGACGAGGACGACGATGCCGGTATCCATGCGACGGAAATCCAGGAACTGGTCGGCTCCTCAGGGCAAGACTTTTCAGAGCACTTACGAGGGCAACAGGGACAGGACGTTGACGTGGACGATGAACACCATACTTCTAGGGCCGACTGGATAATCCGAGTGCAGGCCTTCCTTTGCGCGGCCCTGCTGGGCGTGTCCACCCACTATACTCTTCATATGACAGGGCCGCTCAAGGATGTACTCAAGGAGGTATGAATGTATTGTTCTTTTTCCACAACTGCGTGAGAAACATAGGGACAGCCGTTATGCATGTTCAGGCCACTAACATCTTGAGCTCATTGCCGCAATATGATAGAGTATGGGCATCAGCAATACCCAATTCTCGTTACTACAGTCATCCTTGACATTGTTCCCAACGCTCATCCCGCTCATTGGAGGACTATTGGTCGAGCGCTACGGAACCGGACCCAGCTCGATCGTCTTCACTACAATTGTCATCCTTGGACAGATCATTGTCGTTTTGGGATGCTGGACGCGCTCCATCAAGGTCATGATTACCGGATACTGTCTTTTTGGGTACATTGGCAACATCAATTAGTGCTTAACCTAGGTGATCATGGTGGCAGATTGGCTGCAATCAGGAATTAACCTGGCTGTAACCGACGTTCCAGCCTAGGAGCAGCGCCCATTACGATTATCCAAGAGACCATATGGATTAGATACTTTAAGAAGAATGGCCTAGCATTGGTTTTGTCCCTTGGCCTTCTCAGCGGAAAATTGGTAGGACGAGACATATGTCGACTTTTGTCGGTTGCTAAAGACCTTAGATGCGAAACTAACCTCCATGTCTAGTCTGGCTTCCTCGCACTCGCAACAACCGTACCTCTGACGACCTTTGGGTTTGCTACCCCCTTCATCGTCTCATTATGCATCTCAGTGTTTGCTTGGGCGATGAACATTCTATTTTTATGGCTGTCGAAGAAACCCAGAGAGGACACCGACGCTATGACGAAGATCACAATTCTTTTGAAGGCAAAGAGGACGAACTTGGGATGGAACGAAGTGTATGGGTTCTCGAGCATGTTCTGGACAATGTTGGCTATCAGCTTCTTGGTGGGCGCGAGCTGGAACCCATTTATTCATCAAGCAAGGTAGGGAACATTTTCATGGCACTGGCGTTCCTGCGGACTAAATTATAAAATAGGCAATTGGCTTGGTACTCAAGGCCATATTTACTTGAATTTGTAGCAATATTGTTAAGCATCGGTACGGACTCAACGACGAACAGGCAGCATGGGAGGCATCAGTTATTTTGGCTGTCCCTCTCGTCGTATACCCCTTCCTCGGCACATTCATTGATCATGCGGGGAAACGCGCCTGGTTGCTCCTGGTCACTGCAGGATTGCTGATCAGCACTCATGTCGTCCTTATGATACCATTCGGAATCGTGCCCATTCCTCCAACCATTCCGATGTTATTCTTTGCGCTTTCACTATCTCTGGGAACACTCTCGATCGTCACCAGCATGCCAGTTCTGACAAAGCATGTTCCAACGGGCCTGGGATTACACCGATCCATCGATAATATTGGCGCGACACTGTTCGGCACAGTCGCAGGCATGTTGCAGGATTTTCCAGACAATGAAGGCGATGGCGAGTCCGAGACAGAGAGCTTTTTCTATCGCCTCTACCACCATCTTTTCCCTGCCCAGGTAGACCAGGCTCAGGAGGAGCGAGAAGACCTGCAGCTTTTGGGCATGTTCCTCTCCGTCGCAATCATTGCGTTTATCACCTGTGCTATTTTCGTCTGGGGCGACTATCACTGGACTGATGGCGAGGGCGGGAAAACGAGGCTCGTCAATGGCGTCTACGGCAAGAGGGAACCTATTGAGACGACAGCTACGCGGACAAGGAGGAATCGAAGGCGTCGGAGTCATGAAGTGCTGGAGGCAATGACGATGGAGGCGATATTTGAGTTAGAGGATGAACCGGATGCAGAAGTAGTGTCTATGACAGAGATAGGAAGCACGCATCTCGGATTCCACTCTTCGAACCAGCAAGGATCCGAGGCTATTCTCCCATTGGGCCCCACATCAGAGCCGCAGAGTAACCAAAGTACTCGCTATGAGCTTCGCCACCAACAACTTGGGCACCCGCAGCGGCGAAGTGAGTCCTCAAACGAAGACGAAGACCTTCAGGAGGAAGAATATGAGGATGAGCAGGATGAGTATCGGTTTGGGGTGCGGATTGAGAGCGGGGATGATGAGGTACCGCATTTTAAGAAAGTTCAGGCACATTTTTGGATCATGGTGTGGTCCGCGCTCCTGCTGGCCAGCTGGGCCGTGTTTGGCGTAGGCGTGTCGCGGTAGTCGACCAAATAAAGCAAATTAGGTTGTCACGATCATTTTGATTTGAGCCCTTCGTCAAAAAAGAGTTCCCCTGCTGTCTGCCCTCCTTTTCTCTCCCACATACACACACGCCATGTTGCGCATTCACCGACTTCAGCAATGCGCGAGGAATGCCACAAGGACAAGCATGAGCAGGCTTGTTGCAGGGAGCAGTACCACTCCATACAAGACACTGGACTCGATAGTGTCGAACAGACCCGGAGTTTCGCCAAAGTCAGGGGCAGCTCGATTTTACGCCACCAAAGCAGCACTTGCTGAAGAGGAGCCCGTCCTTATACGTGTCAGAAAAAGCTCAAAGAAAGCCGTCGCGGAAGAGACGGAGGTTTCAGCAGCGCCAAAGACGCGTCAACGCCGCTCTAGAGCGGCATCGGCGGAAGAGACAGGGACTACGGTGGTGGATGGTGCTACTGCTAAGCGTGCCTCGACCAGGAAGAAGGCGGCTAAGGATCAGACCCCGGCCGTGAGCAAGGAGTCAGTGCCGAAGGGACCTGGGGAGGAGACCAGGACCACCAAAACCACAAGAACTCGGAAGACGTCCAAATCAGAAAAGGCTGCGACACAGGAAATTGTCCAGGCATCGGCCACACCAATTGTACAAACCGAGCTTCGATCGTATCAGAAGGAGTGCATTGAAGCATGCCTGACTAATTTGCAGAAGGGAATCAAGAGGCAGATTGTGTCCCTTCCCGTTGGGAGCGGCAAGACGGTATGTATTGCTTCTGTATAGCTCATTGCAGCTTTGGATTAAGAGAATGGCAGAATCTTGTAATTCTTTAAACTTACTCTACTGTTTACTCGGACTCCTAGGTCACTTTCTCACATCTTATGAAACAAATTCCACCGCCCTTTCCTGGGGCCACCAAGACGTTGATACTGGCCCATCGCCAGGAGCTGTTGGAGCAAACACGGACGCATGTCCTCCGTACAGGAACAGGAATGGTAAGGCGCAGTCATCCCTTGTCGGTGCCAAGATGAAGCTGTCCGTGCCGATACCTGATTCCTAAGCACCAAGTGGATACTGACCTCATCTGTTTTGTAGACTGTTTCGATTGATCAAGGAAATCGCCATGCAGATATGACCGCAGATGTGATCGTGGCCAGTGTACCATCCTTGGGTCGGTCAGGGACACCAAGGTTGCTAAAGTACAATCCGAAGGAGTTCAAGTGTATCATCATCGATGAGGTAAAGTGTGGTTTCCAAAATTCCTGAGCTCTTTTTTTTTTTTTTTTTTTTTTTTTTTTTTTTTTTTTTTGAAGTCGCTGTGCTTAATGTTAACGAAATATCTGTGTGGAGTATATTATATTAGGCCCACCATGCAGCCGCAGATTCCTATGGTAGGATCTTGAAACATTTTGGCGCGCATGTACCAGAGACTCATATTTTCGTCTATGGGTGTTCTGCCACGGTGCGACGTCATGATGGACTGAGACTTGGTGGTGCGTTTGATTACATCTCATATCACAAGAGCTTTATCACCATGATCGAAGACAAATGGTAGAGTTTATGCATTCGACGAGCGGGATGTGAAGAGAAACCTCTGTCCGATCCCATATAAGCAACAATAACCATGAATGATTGATTCGAATAGGTTGTGTGGACTCCGAGTGTCAACGATTCAGACGGACTTCGACCTGCGAGATGTAAAGATGCAGTCAGGGGATTTTGCGCAAAAGGATCTTTCTGTGAAGGTCAACACCCCGATTCGGAATGAAATCGTCGTTCGCAGTTATATGACCTACTGCGGTATGCATTAATGTCGCTGCTTCTTCAAAGAGGGGAGAAATTGATTTCGTCCGCTTCGAATTCTCGGTTCCTACATCTCTGACATTACATTTTCTTATTTCTTTTTTTAATCATTATTCAGCGGAACGCAAGTCGACGGTCGTGTTTGCGGTGGACATTGAGCATTTGGAAACTCTAACAAAGATATTTCGGCAGTATGGATACGATGCTCGAGGACTCTCCAGCAAGACCAATGACATTGAACGTGCACAGCTACTGAGGGACTTTCGTGAGCGCAAGTTCCCCATCATTGTGAACTGTGGTATTTTGACAGAAGGAACAGGTATAGAGTCTCGTTGTTCGCATCTCTCACACCCCTTGTTGTCTTGTTCGTATCAGGTCGAATTGCTAATCAAGAAATGTCTGTGCGAATTAGATATCCCTGTGATCGACTCTATTGTGATGGCGAGGCCGACAAAGTCCAATGTCCTGTTTCAGCAGATGCTAGGTCGTGGCATGCGATTGTATCCTGGAAAAGAAGACTGTCTTGTTCTAGACTTTGTGGACATTGTTAAAGGCGAGGGCCTAGTGACCTTGCCCACGTTGCTCGGATTGGACCCAGATTCCATTTTGAAAAGTAAGCCCCTCCTCCCCTCCCTCTTCTTTTGCTGCTGTGTATTATGTCTCACGGTTGATCTATATAGCTGACATGAATAATTATGTTTTTGGTATTTGCATCTGAATTTGTTTTTGTGAAACAGAAACGGCAGTGATCAACAGTCAGGAGGATGTGGATACGATCCTTAAGGACGAGATCGCCTCGCTAGAACATGATCCGAATCTCCCACCCACGACAGAGTACCCAGACGAGAGCGAGATCGAAGAAACAATCGATCCTATGACGGGACTCAAAGTCGCGAGGATCCGTGTGCTTGAGTACGAGAACCCATATCAGCTCCTTGGAGACTGTAGCGGCATGCCTCGGCGGGTGTGGGACATGTCGCAGAATGCGTGGGTGAATGTGGGTCCGGACACGTTTGTGTTGACGTTCAAGGATGTGACGTTCCGGATCGATAAGTCGGGGGAGGATGGACTTTATAGGTGCCAGAAACGGACCACGTTCGCGCCGAAGCCGACAATGGCGGAGGCGAGTGTGAGGTCGTTCAAGAATGGAGTGTTGTCGTTCAAGAACAACTATGCAGCGGCGGCGGCGCAGAGGAAGAAGCAGCGTGAAGAAGGTGGTGGTGGCGATGATGGTGGTAATGGGGATTATTTCAGGTCGAAGGCGAAGATGCTGCCGATCGAGTCGGATACACTGCAGGATTGTCTTCACGGAGTTGATACGTGGATTGCTAAGAATATTGGGCACTTTCCGGATCTGCTGGGACGATATGCCAAATGGAGGAGCTTCCCAGCGAGTGAGTCGCAGCTGAGGTTCTTGCATAAGCTGGGATATAACCATGGGGCGATGGATGATGAAGGCGAGGACGGTGGTGATGCGGATGGAACGAAACAAATTAAGAAGGCCAGTAGTAAGCCGTTAACGAAGGGACAGGCGGCGAATATGATTACGCGTTTGGTCAACGGTGCAGGAAAGCGGTGGGAGGAGAGTCGGAAGTTTAAGATCAAGCGGGCTAAGGAGCTGGCTAAGGAGATCGGGGTCGATGTTGGACCGATCCCAAAGTTCGTCGAAGTTTAATGGCAACAAGTAGAATGAACCATAGAATAAAAAAAGAAAAAAAAGAAATGAAATGAAATCCACTGCAGGCATGCAACGAACGGCATGGCATCCTTTTCAAACGTGCGTTATTTTATTACTATTACATACACAGCTACACAGCTATACAGCCGAGGAGTCCTTGGGGACCTCTACGGAGCAAAACATGGGGCCAACGTATATACAAAAAATAAATATAAACTGTTGCTTGATGTCTCTGTTTTCGCCCCCAGAAGCGGGTTCCAAATGCTTAGTTCTTGGGTGGTGGAGCGGGAGTAGCATATTGCTGCTGTTGCTGTGGCGAGGGCTGCGCAGCGGGCGGGGCGGCAAAATATTGCTGATGAGCCATGGGTTGAGAGTAAGGTGAGGTCGGCTGTTGAGAGTAAGGTGTGCCGGGTTGGGAGTAAGGTGTGCCGGGCTGGACTGGCGAGAAGGGCGCGGGTGCGGCAGCGGCGTAGGTCGCCTGAGGAGTCATCGCTTGTTGTTGTTGTTGTTGCTGTTGCTGTTGCTGCAGTGGAACCAGTGTCACGGCTGTTCCGTAGGCCATGACTTCAGTCATTCTACGATTGAACAAGATGAAGAAAAAAAGAAAGTTAGTTGGCGGTAGGACGACGGGCGAAGCGTTTTTCGCTGAGAGGTCCTCGATGCAAATGGCGATAAATTTTTTTACCCCTGGAAGAGAGACGTTTTGAAAAAGGTTGTTTTCAGTTAGATGATTAGATTACTCAGGGTATTAAAAATCTACACGGTTCATTTGCTTGCCGCTGCTTCGAATGTCCCATACCTGAATGATTTCCTGGCCTGTGAACTGGACACCGATGACAGCTATAGTAACAGTAATGGCCCCCCTCCAATAGGACACAACCCTGTTAGGAAACAAAAGCATGGGTTGTCCCAGAAACTGGGCGCTCGATATTTTTCGCTTGCACGTCTCAATTAAACAGGAACAAAAAAAAAAAAAAATTGAGGGAAGAAGACGTACCATTGCCACCAGCAGCAGCAGCATGCTCGAGCATCCTCAGGAACGCTCTCTCACGAGCCTTCTCAGCCATCTCGATGTAGGTCGAGCTCTCGCCACCGGCCAAGGAGGCAAAAGCGCCGAGCACAGCTTTACCGGCCTATTATTGCGCGTCAAATCAAATTGACAGAAAGGGTGGAGGTGAGTTGAGGAGATCCTGCCTGGTCACCCAGCTTCTGTCGATAAGGTCCTGATGGAAATAAGATGGTAATAGCGCCTTACATTAGGGTTTCTGACAGTCAGTCTGTAATAAACGATGAGGCGAAAATGGAGAACGGGAGACGTGTTAGGATAAGACATTCGCGTCTGAATTGTAGGCTCGCTCTCATTTTTTCTTTTTCATGTGCTGTAGTTCCTTCTTAATGAGGATTCACACAGCCTTTCCTGTCCACAGCCAAGGCGCAAGGCATGCAGCCGTAAAAAGGCACGCTGAAAGCATGTGCGCGCTGTATTGAATGGGCGTCTGGGGGCGTTAAAAAGAGAAAGAAACAAAAACAAAAACAAGGTGATATGTTTTCATTTTCTTATTGAACTATTGAACTTGCCCTCGAACAACGCCATGGGAGGCCGCGATATGATATCCGGGGTATGTGAAGGCCGTGGTGCTGAAGCGACGGTCGACGGAGCGGACGGGTTGTGCCATTGTGTTGAGGAGAGATGAGGAGGAGGACGAGAAGGATGAGGATGGGAAAAAGAGCCCCTGCGGATAAATAGGGTTCACATAGCAGCAGCACGCGGTAGCAGCAGCAGCGGGCGACAGTTTACAGCAGCGGCGCGTTTTAGTCGAGTGTAGCCGTGGCTTGTCACAGCTCCCACGAGCGGGATGGGGTGGGCGAGCGTTGGAGCGCGGGAGCAAGTGCCCCTTCTTTGGTCGAACAACAACAACAACGCTCTCTTCTCGACGACGACCGACACCGAATTAAGGACGACCGTTGTAGAAGAACAAAGGCAGGGACCCAGGACCGCTTGCCTCACTTACCAATTCCTCAGGCACCCCTCGAGAACTTACATGTCGTTTTCCTGACAAGGAGGACAACCGCCTACAGAATCTGCCATGCCAGCGACAACAACGACCATCACTTGGCCGCCCACCAGGGAGACCCACATCATCACCACCATCCTAAACGGCTCGACGATCACAATACCCGCCTACCAGACCGCGAACCTAACGCTCTTCCCAAACTACACCACCATCACCACTACCACAAAACCCCCACCGACTACTGTCATTGGGGCCAATCCCCCTCCGCCCTACGTCAGCGGCTCTCCCACATCCACAGCAACAAATCAAGGCGATGGGCCCTCAACGGCCGTCCTTTGGAGGAATTGGGGCCTCGTCGTCCTGGCGGTTGTCATCCTGGCGATCATTGGTGGGCTGGCGCTGAGGCATTACAGGAGTGGGCGCACCAAGAAGCAGGAACCTGGGACGTTTGCTCCGGTGGGCGAGGACGATGGGGGAACTTCATCGACAATACCGGGAGGGAGTAGTATCAGCTTAGGGACATTAGGTGGACATCATCACCATCATCATCCGAGTCAGAGTGCGGTCACGGATAGTAATGTGAGGGAACGAAGGAATTCCCAACCAATTCCTCGCGCCCTGGATCTGGATGGACATTCTCGGTCTTGATATTTGGTAGATTGGATGAGAGCGAGAGGTTAGTTACTTTGTATTTTCAGAAAGAAAAAGACGACCGAAGAGGCAAGAAACCAGGACTTGGGCATTCACCTTCCAGCAAACACTCGCACTCACAATTCTGGATTACTGCAAGGAATAACAACTCTTCTACTGACATGAAAGCAGTTACTCGGGTGCCGCTCCAGGATACCCTTTACCCATTATTACCCTAATGACGGACCAATATTTTTCTGTTCTTGTATTCCCTCTCATTCACCCTTTTTTTTTTTTTTTTTTTTTTTTCTTATACTTCCTTGTAATAAAAACTGTAACAACATTTTTCATCTCTGCTCTTACGATCGAAATACAATTGGCAGTTAAAGATGAGAGCGAACGAGAAAGAGAAAGGGGGAAAGGGGAATAATGATGTTGCATAGGACGAACGCGGCTCTACTTTTTTCTTTTTCCTTGCTGTGACCATGGTGAGTAGGCGAAGCACCAAGTTAAGTTCAGGGACAAAAAATTCCTGGCGAGCGAAGACGCGACGCGACAAACAACACGCAAAAGTAAAATGAGGGGAAGGGGGGGGGGGGGGGGGTGTGCGTGTGCGCGTAAAGAAAGAAAGCTAAACAAAGATCGTCGGAATGTCACAATCCTAAAGGAGAAAAAAAAGCTTGCCTTTCACCCTCCCCTTTCCCCTTGGACAGGATGGACCAGATGGACCGAATGCCGAGGCTATTTTTCGAACAACAACAACAACAACGACATCAACGCCCTTTGTTTAGTTTGACACGTCCCTTGCAAACTAACGCGTAATGCGTCGATCAAAAAATAACAAAAACAAAAGGGGGATCTTCGCGATAGTGCCATTACTCCGGCCTGAATAGATTCTACCATCGCTTTTTTTTTTTTTTCTGCTTTGTTTATTGAACCATGGATAAATAAACCTTGGCTTCCAACTTCAATGATTATAAAGCAGCGTAGCGTAACACGCTTACTCAGCCCACCAGAGTTGAATTCGACCATATCCGCCACCAATTTTTTTTTTCTTCCGAAAAAAAAAAAAAAAAAAAAAAAAGAAGAAGCGATAGCTGCGGAGCATTCGGCCTTGAAGCTTGCTATAATGGAGTTGCGCAGTGTGTTTTTTTTTTTTTTTTTTTTTTTTGGGTTTTATGCATGCTTCTCCTGTATGGTTCTCATTCGCTCGTCCGATCAAGCGATCCTGTACAAACAACAACACAAGGAGAAGGGGGAAGGAGCTTATTACTCGAGGGACCAAGGATATCCCCATGGCTCTTTGTGCCCTGCATTTTGGTAACCATAGTTCGTTGCTTTCGATTCAGGAACAATGGGCCTTGGTTTTCCATGCCTGCGGGTGTAGCTACAACACTACACCAGGTGCAGATATACAGATATACTAGAAAAGAATATAAATATAAAAAAAAAAAAAAAGTCCCGTGTAAAGCGCTGCCATTGGCTGTCTTGGCAGTTTCCCACCGCGAAGAGGAGTGTGAGGAGATTATCTTGAACTCGATCGCGCGAATACGCGTTGAGGTTTTTTTTTATTTTTTATTTTTTTTCCATGGGGCCCACCAATAATGCATTGATCCGGTACCCTCACTGTCTCTGAAAAGGAGGATCAGGAGCGATTCGAGTGTGTTTCTGTATGCGGTCTAACGGCAGATCAATTGGATATAACCAGAATCGATGGTCCTCGCATGATTATAACGCAAGATAAGACGCTAAGCAGGTCTGTAGCAATATGTGCATGCGTGTGTGTGTATGTGTGTGTATATGCGTGTGTGTGAGTGTGGCCATTGTTTGGACAGCAGCGCAGGAGGCGCTTGAATCGCTGGGAAGGGTGTGTGTGGAAAGAGTCCTCGCTACCGGGCCAATCCCAGGGTAGGGGGTGGGGCAATCCTGAGGGCTGTTATGATGTCAAATCATGTCAACCAACCGACGACTCAATTGGGTTCTATAATTCCATAGGGTCTGTGCCTTGCTTGCCTAATTCAAAGGGGTCGTATCCCTTTCTAATCAATACAGCTACAATAACATCTCCATCCCATCCCTAGTCATCTCCCCTTTGCAATTGTCTTGGGTATATATATATATATAAATACATTGCTGCTGGCCCTCTCCTCTCCTTTTCTCCTCATCATATCCTTCTCCATCCTCGCTTACTGATACTCTCCATCAGCGACGAAAACTACACGGCATCTCATCCTGAGAACATCACACTCCCTTTGATCATTCTTGAACACCCCACTCTTTCCACACGCTCACCCACACACACACACGCGTACATACTCTTATATACCGCCGCCATGGCCTCCTCACCAATCCCCAATGACTTTGCCTTGATGACGCCCACCATCATCGATCTCAAGGCCCACGAAAGGAACAAGAAGCGCCGCTCCTCGCGAGATGCCTACCCTAGTCCAGAGTCTGCTGCCAGTCAGGACACCCATGCCGAGGTTGATGTCTCCCTCAATCTTGATGACTCCGACAGTGCAGAGTCCGATAGCATGGATACTCTGACCGACCCTGCCTCCTGTGTCGACAGCGATGCCCGCAGCAACAGCAGCAGCAGAAGCAGTGTTTCTGATGCCGACGACAACGAGAATGCTGAGCCTGCTACTGCGCCGGCGTTTGATCTGCGAAGGATGATCCTCTCGGGTCTCTGTCCGCAGGTCAATGGTGCTCCTAAGACGATTCCCACAATGGTTCTGTATGATGACCGTGGACTACAGCTCTATGACGAAATCACCTACTTGGACGAGTACTACCTCGCCAAAGAGGAGATCGAGATCCTGGAGCGGGAAGGCGACAAGCTTGTGGAGCACATCCCCGACAACAGTGTTGTTGTTGAGCTAGGAGCAGGGTAAGCCGCAATTCTAGGTTATTACTTTCTGCCCCTGACATGTAAGCATACAAAGCTTATTGTATTGACTGACTGACGCTCATATACGTATTCTGACGTTCTCCTCCCGACAATGTCATTGTCGATTGTGCGTGGTGTGCCCTGACCAAAAGCTCGCTTCGCAAGACGGTGCTGCTGTTGAATGCGCTAGAGAGGAAGCGCAAGAATATTCGCTACTACGCGCTAGACCTGATGCTGGACGAACTGACCAAGGTAAGAATCGCGAAAATGCAAGTAATTGCCTCTCGTCATTTGACGCCATTCCCCACGGTCCATCCTAGCTCGCGCATATTCTTCCATTCTATTCATTCTATTCGATTCTATCTTATTTTATCTTTGAGTTGCGAACCATCCTTGTCCCAATCCATCCGCCGCACTGCTCCAATGATTACACACAGATGCAGACATGCGCGCGCACATCTTTTTCCCATTCCCTTTTCAATCAGTACGCGCAGGAGGGAACAGACAGACGTACATAGTGGCATAACGTATTGGCTGAGTATAATCTCGCCCGGTGCTCTCCCTTTATTCCCTCTTCCGGTCAGACCTCCTCGTTGCAACACAGCGCCCCGGTCCATGTTTCCTCTTCTACTTCATCTTTTATGCGGGGTCCTTTTTTCTATTGTTTAGTAGTGTCTGAGTCCTGTGTGTGTGTGGGTGGGTGCAGTTTTGTAACGTTAAGTGGTTCTGGATTTTTTGCAGGCCACATTCCGAGTTATGCGCGTCCCCCGACTCTCAGATCCCTAAAGAGCGCATTGCATACTGATGCGTCGATGCGAAGGCATTTCGCGCTTACGTTCGCGTTTTTTTTTTTTTTTTTTTTTTTTTTTTTTTTTTTTTTTCACACGCTATGTGCATGCTCCTAAATCTCTAACCATCGTCTCCCTGTATATCTGCGTCATCTTTAATAGTCCCTCAAGTCCCTCGGAAAATTCGCCAACGTCAAGACAGCTGGTCTGTGGGGCACCTACGACGAGGGCCTGGCCTTCGTCAGCTCATTCGGCCCTGAGGTCCCCAAGACACTTCTCTGGTTGGGCTCATCGATCGGTAACTTGACCCGCGAGGAGGCCAAGGATTTCATCGCCTCCTATCGCAAGACTCTCAACGTCGGCGACAACTGGATCATCGGTATCGATCGTCGTAATGACGCCAAGGATATCACACTGGCCTACAACGACCCTAAGGGCGTCACTCGCGATTTCATCATGAATGGTCTCGACCACATTAATGTCATCCTGAATCAGGACTTTATCGATCGTGAAAAGTTCCGCTATTTTGCCCAGTACAACGTCGAGGTCGGCCGTCATGAAGCCTATTATCAAGTCAAGGAGACACACGAGTTGATCTATAAGGACCCCTCATCCGAGAGCCAGGAGTTGCGTGTCCAACTCCAGAAGGACGAAATCATCAACGTCGAGTACTCCTACAAGTGGTCGCTTAATGAGTCAACAGAGTTGTTTGAGCAGACAGAGATGAACAGGATTGGACAATGGACGAGTTCAAGTAACCGCTATGATCTTCACCTGGTCCGCAAGACGCCTTTCTTTTTCAAGTCGACCCATCCCAAGCCTTGTCCCACGGAAGAAGATTGGGCTGAGCTCTGGAAGGCTTGGGATGTGATCACCATGCACATGATCCAACATCCAGGCATGCTTCTGGAGAAGCCCATTGCCCTGCGGCATCCGTTCCTGTTTTACCTTGGTCACATCCCAGTTTTCCTGGACACACAGATGTCAAGGGTCCTGAACGAGAAATTCACCGAGCCAGCGTACTTCAACGTGATCTTTGAGCGCGGCATTGACCCGGACGTTGATGACCCTACCAAGTGTCATGACCACTCTGAGGTCCCTGACGCTTGGCCCGAGATCGAATCCATCGTCGATTTCCGTGATCGTGTTCGGGAACGCCTCCACAGGGTGCTGAATGACACTACGACTTATCCCATGAACCGCCGGCTGGCCCGTGTGTTGTTCATGGCATTTGAGCACGAGGTGATGCATCTGGAGACGCTGATCTACATGCTTGTTCAATCACCCAACACATTGCCACCGCCATCGATTTCTACGTCCTGGATGACTAGGGTCCACACCCCTGGAGCGCCTTCAACTGCTCCCGCAGCATCATGGATCTCGATCGAACCCTCTAAGCTAGATCAGACTATCCTGTCTCTCGGACATGACGATTCGGAGGCAGCAGACCTTTCAGAGAAGACGAGGAGCGACCTCGATACTCAGTTTGGCTGGGATAATGAGAACCCTCTCGTCACTTCCAGGAAGGCCCCATCGGCCTTCAAGATCCAGTCTCGCCAGGTGACCAATAGTGAGTTCTACACATACCTGCAAGCGACTGGTAACCAGGGTCAGCTGACGAATGATAGCCGCATCCCCGCATCCTGGTCCATCAAGGAGGATGGCGTCTGCGTCAAGACCGTTTACGGACTTGTGCCCTTGTCCATCTCGGGTGAATGGCCAGTATCCTGCTCCAACATTCAGGCGGCGGGCTATGCTTCTTGGCTCTCGAAGCAGTCAAACCAGACCTACGCGTTACCTACGGAGTACGAGCTCTCGATTGCATTCAAGCTGAAACAGTCAACGGTCCCTAAGACTGGTCTGGAGAACTATGGTTTCCGACTGTGGTACCCTTCACTGGAGGAATCGGCTCTTCGACCTAAACAGGAGGGTGCGACCACGATCGCTGATTTTAGTGGACCAGGAGGATTGTGGGATTGGACCTGCACGCCGTTTGCACCACTGGTCGAGAGGGACGCGTTTGAGACCTCGAGGCTTTACCCAGGATACTCCTCGGATTTCTTTGATGAGAAGCATATGGTGGTATTGGGAGCTTCGTGGGCCACGCACCCTAGAGTCGCTGAGAGACGTAGTTTCCGCAACTGGTACCAGGCCAACTATCCGTTTGTCTTTGCTGGATTCCGTCTTGTGCAGCGATGCTAGAAGAGAAAAAAAGAAAAAAAAAAGAAAGCGAACTGCGACCGTAGAAACACATGCATATTTGTATACACAAAAAACCAATGAATACCCAGTACCTTAAGAAGGTGTGTCTGTAGTAGCTGTCCCTGATTAAGGAAGTTCTTGTGGAGATGCGCCACCAATTGGTACGAATATGTTTTTGGTGGTGGAGGGGGGTGACCCCGCAAAATGCCATATACTTCAGCTGGACCCACTTTTTTTTTCTCATAAAAAAAAAAAAAAAGCTCATTGACGTCCCCACACACAAACGCCGATACTTCCTGGGACAAGTACACAAACGGATATTTCTTCTCCTTATACCCACGGACATTAGCAGTGTCGACGACAGTCGAGGGAGGGACAAAGAGAGCAAGCAACAAGGGCCAATAGGTCATAGGATGGAGCAAAGCGCCCCGTTTGGCGCCTACCTTGGCAACATTTGATCTTAATGAGGTAAACCGTGAACTTATAAAAGGGCCAGGGGTGCGAGGTACCCCCTTCGTTTTCTTCGTATCTATTTCCCCCTCCTCCCTTCATTCATACTTCATTCATTCTACATTCCATCCCACAATGACCCCTGCGACCCCCATTGCCGACCTTGCAAAGGAATGGCTGCGACTCGACCAGGTACAGAGCGCTCAAAGCAGTTGACGTCGTCTTGTTGCTGGTGGGGTGGTCCGCATCGAGTTTTTTTTTTTTTTTTTTTAACCTCGTTGGTTGTCCTTCCTTAATTCGATTGTAGAACCCAGAGACCCGCAAGGAGATTGAGGCCTTGCTCGAGACCAACAACACTGTCGAACTCGAACAGCGTCTCCGCAATCATATCGAATTCGGCACTGCTGGTAAGGGTTTTACATCTGTGTGTAAATCCGTTCTGTCCATGTTCAGTTGCTCAAATGCTTTTTGACAAGACTCTGATCCAGCAAATTCTTCATTGGTTACCTGACGCTTCAATTAGGTCTCCGCGCTGCAATGGAGGCTGGATTCTCACGTATGAACGACCTGACAGTCATCCAGGCCTCGCAGGGACTATGCCTGTATGTGCTAGATCATGTCAAGGATGCCAAAGAACGCGGTGTCGTCATTGGGCATGATCATCGCCACCATTCTAGTGACTTTGCCCGACTGACCGCCGGTGTCTTCCTGTCCAAGGGCGTCAAGGTCTATGCGTTCAAGGATCTGGTTCACACTCCCATGGTTCCCTTTGGTGTAAAGTCATTGAACGCTGCCTGCGGTATCATGATCACAGCCTCACACAACCCCAAGAAGGACAATGGATACAAGGTTTACTGGGAGAACGCATGTCAGATCATCCCTCCCCACGATGAAGGGATTGCCAAAAAGATTCTCGAGAACCTGGAGCCTTGGGTCTGGGATTACAAGTCATTCGAAAACCCTGCTCTGGTCGACCCCACCGAAAAGCTGGTTCCTGCCTACTTTGATCAGGTCCAATCGCTTTGCATCGCCAAGGAGGCCAATGCTGCTTCAGAGACCAAGTTTGTCTACACAGCCATGCATGGAGTCGGCTATCCATTTGCAAAGCAAGTTTTTGAGCGCTTTGGCTTCAAGCCATTGATCCCCACCAAGGAGCAGATCCAGCCCGACCCAGAGTTCCCTACAGTGGCGTTCCCTAACCCTGAAGAGGGCAAGGGTGCCTTGGCATTGGCGTTCAAGGCCGCAGACGAGGCTGGTGCATCGGTCGTGTTTGCAAATGACCCTGATGCGGATCGATTTACTGTCGCAGAGAAGCAGGAGAATGGAGAGTGGGTCCTGTTCACCGGTAACCAGATCGGAACCATGTTTGCCTGCAACGCCCTCGATAACTGGAGATCCTCTGGAAAGAGCGATGGTTAGTGCGAATCTGATTCATATGCCATTGCTTTATTGTTTTGTAACAAGACATTCGAATTCTGTTTAACAGTCTGTAATGAATTTCGTCCGACGCGGATCAAATAGCCAAGGTGGCGATGTTGTGCTCGACCGTCTCCTCAAGCATGCTGGCCAAGGTTGCAAAGACAGAGGGCATCCATTGGGAGGACACACTGACAGGATTCAAGTGGATCGGAAACAGGGCCATTGATTTGGAGAAGGAGGGTTATGATGTTATTTTCGGATATGAGGAGGCCATTGGATTCATGTTGGGCAGTATTGTTCGCGACAAAGACGGTGTCAGTGCCCTGGGATGCTTTGCCCAGATGGCAGCGAAGCTGTACAAGGATGGAATTAGGATCTCACAGTATCTTGACAGCCTTTATAAGAAGTACGGCTACTTCTCCTCGGCCAATTCGTACTTTATTTGTTACGAACAAGACACGATCAACAGGATCTTTGACAAGATGCGTTTCGGTGCCTCACCCCAAGCGGACGAGAGCGGACGGTTTACACACAAGCCTGTCTACCCTACCCACATCGGATCGCACAAGGTCGTGAACGTGCGCGATTTGACACTGGGATACGACACATCGAAGAAGGACGGTGTGCCTACGCTGCCTGTGTCGCCTTCAGCACAGATGATTACATTCTACCTCGAGAACGGCTGTGTGTTCACGCTGCGCACGAGTGGAACGGAGCCGAAGATCAAGTACTATCTCGAGGTGTCATCATCGACGCATGACGAAGCCGAGTCACAGGCCAAGGAGATCGAGGCTGCCATGTGCAAGCAGCTGCTCGAGCCCGAGGCCAACGGCCTGAAGTACCGCACTTCAGCTTGAGAAACGTACCATGAGGATACCATGATACCATGAAATAAATTTAAATACCTTTTTTTCTGGTGCATTTATTTGTTCTCACGCATGAGATACAATTGGGGAGGTTTTGCGCCACTTCTTTTCTTACCCCACATTCCTTTTTTCCCTTCACCGACTCTTTGCAATCAGAATCTCAATGTCCACAGGAGTAGGCCGCCTTCTCATGGGCAGGAGTGCAGCCAGGACGTGGATGACCCTTCGTGGAGCACACATCAGGACCACAGTGACTAGTCGCCATTCACCAACAGCACAGCGTCAGAGCTGCAAAGGCGTGTCATTACTATCGACTCATGCAAGATCCGCCACAGGAACTACGCCGAAAGCAGCCTCCGGTACTTCAACAAGCTCGACAACGTCCTCACTCCGCGAGCTCTTTGACAGTCCCGCGACGTCGGCCTCTCGGGCCCGATATGCCTCTGCGGCTTCACCAGAGGGTCTTTTTCTTTACCCGAACCTCAAGACACCAGAGACGTTTTTGGATTCAGTGAATGCGGCGATCGCGCGAGGTCATTTGCTTGTGGAGAGGATTGCGAACGCGCCTGAGCGGGGAGAAGACGAGATGCGGAGGGTGATCAAGCTATTTGACCGATTGAGCGACGTGCTCTGTAAGGTCATTGATGCGGCCGAGGTAGTACGGTGCTTACATCCAGACCCGGCCTGGAGACAGGGTGCTGAGCAGGTGTATGAGCAGTTGTTTTCGTGGATGAATACTCTTAACACGGATCCACGGCTTTACGAGGTAACGGAAGCGGTTTTCTGTCCCACAATTCTTTGTTGTTTGTTTTTAGAATGTGTGCTTTATTGAACGGGATCAATTGACGATAGAGCAACTCCTTTATTTTATTTTTCTTTTCTTTGCTGATGTGAATCGAATTAGGTCCTTCATCAAATTCTCAACACGCCTAGCATCGAGGCAGGATTGTCAGAGGCAGAGCGACAGGTCGCGATGGTGTTCCTGCGGGACTTTGAAAAGTCTGGAATTCATCTTTCAAAGTCCAAGCGCGAACAGTTCGTGCAGTTGTCGGACAAGATCGTGTCTTTGGGCAGGGATTTCATGCAGAACTCGGCTACGCCAGGCCCGGGCCCAGCACAGATCGTGGTCAGCCCGCCCTCGCGTCTTCAGGGACTTTCACCGGGATATATTCAGCGGATCACTCGGACGAATAAGCATGGAGAGAAGGTCGCCATGGTGCCGACGTCAGGATGGGAGTCGCAGATGGTGCTGAAGCATGTGGAGGATGAGGAGGTTCGTCGGGCGATGTATGTGGCCAGCATGGCAGAGGACAAATACAAGGTCGCGGTGTTGGACGATCTTCTCAAGACGCGGTACGAGCTTGCGCAGTTGGTTGGTCAGCCAAGCTATGGACACATGTTCCTAGGCGACAAGATGGTCAAGAATCCCGAGAACGTGAGCACGTTCTTGCAGACGCTGCATAAGACTCATCAGGCGGAGGTCGAGGGCGAGCTGGCGATGTTGACGAAAGCGAAGCGGGTCCATACCAAGGATAGGGACGCGAAGCTGGAGGCATGGGATCGGGATTTCTATGTGCGCTTGGTCAGCAGTAGGACCAATGTCATGCCCCACGGGGATCCTATCTCGGCATATTTTTCGGTTGGCACGACCATGGATGGGCTTTCAAAGTTGTTTTCGCACCTGTATGGAATCAAGTTTGTCCCGGGGACGGTGCGGCCGGGTGAGGTTTGGCATGATGAGGTGCAAAAGCTGGATGTGGTGGACGAGCGCGACGGGCTGATCGGAACGATTTACTGCGACTTTTATGGACGCCAGGGCAAACAGTTGAACGCGGCTCATTATACCGTACGGTGTTCGCGTCGAGTGGACGATGATGATGAGGAGCACGATATTGCAGAAGGGATGACGCTTCGGGAAGGAATCGAGCTGGCAATAGCAGATCCAGGAGTGAGCATGACTGGCAAGGAAGGGCGGTATCAGCTTCCACTTGCGGTTTTATCCTGTGGATTCTCGAGACCGGCAGGGGGCAAACCGGCGTTACTGAGCTGGGTAGAGGTTGAGACATTGTTCCATGAGATGGGACATGCTATGCACTGTAAGTAAACGAGAGGGAGCATTTGAACAGAAGGATCAAATCGATGCACCTTAGTATCTGTTTCCTATCAACACTAACTGGCAATTTCACTGTTTTATTTATTAGCAATGATTGGAAGAGCCGACTACCATAATGTATCTGGAACGAGGTGTCCGATCGATTTTGTTGAGATCCCGTCGATTCTGATGGAGCACTTTTTGGCAGACCCAACAGTCCTGGGCCTGTTTGCGACACATCATCAGACGGGTGCGCCATTACCTGCAGGTCTCTTGATGGCACACCAAGCCAGCCGATCGACCTTCCAGGCAATTGAACTGCACTCCCAAATGTCGATGGCTATGTTGGATCAGCTGTATTACTCTACAGTGGTCGGTGACCCAGCATTCAACTCGACCAAGAGCTTAGAGGATCTTCAGCGGGACATTGGAATTGTGCCACCTGTGCCTGGGACGGGATGGCAGACCGGGTTTGGACATTTGTATGGTTACGGAGCAGGATATTACTCGTATCTGTTTGGCAGGACTGTGACGGGGCAGATCTGGGATAAGATCTTCAGGTCATCGCCGACGTCGCGTGCTTCAGGAGAGCGGTTGAGGGAGAATGTGCTGAAGTGGGGCGGAGGCAAGGACCCGTGGGAGTGTTTGGGAGGATTGATGGGAGACGAAAGACTGATGAAGGGGGATCAGGAGTCGATGCGGATCGTGGGAGACTGGGGCACGAAGAAGAGTAGCTAGTTCATAAAGGTGTGCTGGTTTTCATTTACATAGCGATCTCCTGTAAATGTCGCGAGTGCATAGTTGGCATGCGCATATCCACGGAGCGTGTTAGTGTGTTTCAGTGGGCTTTATGCGGGGAAGCAAAATAAGAAAAAAAAAAAAATGACTCGACGTGAGGAGGAAACGAGACGCATCTCAACCAGCCAATCAACGGACGTGCTCATGAGAACTTTGTCCTCACAGTCACGTCCTCTGCTCCGCTCGGCGGGGAAGCTGCAGACTGCAAAAGGAATATACTTGGGGGCAGCCAAAGGGAGATCTCCTCCCATTCTTTCTTTGCGCTTCTCTCTTTTCACTTTGTCCTCATACATACTCTCCTCCGCCTGGTCGTCCTTCTCGTCAGCAGGAACATCAACAAACGAGAGGACAGGAAGCAACTATGGATCAGCAACAGAATGCAGAGCAGACGAAGGATGTCGCCCTCGACCTCCCCATGACAGACAAGATCTGCATTCGCGACCTCACTGTCCGAAACATCATTGGCGTTGATGCCTGGGAGCGGTCGAAGCGTCAGCCCATTATCATCAACCTCACCGTCTACACCAGCGTTTCTGAGGCAGGCGATACCGATCACCTGGTATGCTGATCCAGAATGCTGCGCTGCTGCTTCTGTCGAGTCGCTCTGTAGGGATTCAGACATATATTCTAACTTTCAAGTGTCCCATGTCTTTGCATCCTGCTCTGGCCCACTAGCCCTACTCGATTCACTACGGAGTCCTCTGTAAGACCGTTGAAGCTCATTCCGAAAAGACCGAGTTCCGATCTGTCGAGGCTTTGGCCGATTCCATTGCCCGTGTCGTTATCACTAAATGCCACGCACCCAAGATCACGGTCAGGATCGACAAGCCCCGAGCACTCTTGCATGCGGCCTCTGCCGGTGTTGAGATCACGCGCTCGCGATCGGACTACACGGAGGAGCAACTCCAGGACACGGTGCCTTGCCCGATCAAGTTCAACCAGCAGGATATTATCTTTGTCAAGGACCTGAGGCTCTCCTGCATCATTGGCGTCAACCCATGGGAGCGTGAAGAGGAGCAGGTTGTCGTGTTGAACTTGCAGATCTATCCGGGCATGGATGATACGTCCGACCGCAAGGCTGATTATGTCTCGAGCACACATAATTACCGTACGATCGTCAGGACGATCACAAAATACATCGAGGCCTCATCGTACAAGACCGTCGAAGCTTTCGTTACTTCTGTGGCTAGGATCGCGATCGAGAAGTGCCATGTCAGCAAGATCACGGTCAAGATGGAGAAGCCGAGCGCGATTGTGTTTGCGGGCTCGGCGGGTGTGGAGATCACGCGTGATAGGGCCTTCTTTGCAAAGTCGGCAGCTAACAAAGCACATACCCGTGGAGTTCCTTCGGTGTCGGCCATCCATGGATTGCCTGGGCTCTCTGCGGACTCGAAGCTCCAGATCCGAGGACCTGTGCCGGCTCATTTGACACATGAGGTTTATTTGGCACTGGGATCGAATATGGGCGATTCGGCTGCGAACTTGACAAACGCACTCAAGATGCTGGAGCAGGGCGAAAATGTGCGTGTGGTCGATACCTCATTCATGTATGAGACGCCACCCATGTATGTCACGGATCAGCCTCCCTTTCTTAATGCTGCGTGCAAGGTAACTTGACCGAGAACGAGTCCTCTTCTGCATCGTTATGCCACCTATTCTTTTACAGGCTTGACTAACACTGCACGCCTTTGACTGTGTTTTGAAAATGTAGATCAAGACGGATTTGGCACCAAAGGACCTATTGAAGAAAATCAAGGAGATTGAGGCTGAGATGGGTCGCGACTTCAACACGATCCGCAATGGACCTCGACCCATTGACATCGATATTCTACTCTATGGTTCGGTCGAATACCAAGATGATACCCTTACGATTCCCCATGTCGCTATGCAGGAACGCGAATTTGTCCTGAGACCCCTCTGCGAGTAAGCTTGTGTGCATGACATGCGTCCGTGTCCGTTTCGCAGCACTGCCCCGTTCGATCCTCAGTTCGCTCACAGGAATGAATATTTGATATGAATTTTATTCTAGTATTGCCAAGGATGTCGAGCATCCCAAACTGTACCGCCACATCAGTCAGCTCTTGTCACAGCTGTTGCTCAAACAGGAGGAGTCGAAGGAAATGAATGGCGTGATCCACAAGTCCTTCCCCCTGCGCCACAAGATTGTCCACTGGGATTCCAAGACCCTAGTGATGGGAATTCTAAACACGACCCCGGATAGCTTCAGTGACGGTGGCGACTACAGCACCGCAGAGGCGGCAGCGCTCCGGGCTCAGCAGCTGGTGGACGATGGTGCGGACATTATTGATATTGGTGGCATGTCGACCCGCCCGAACTCTGTCGAGATTTCAGAGGAGGAAGAAATTCGTCGTGTAGTGCCTGTGATCAAATTGCTGCGCGCGCGTGGATTCGATGCACCGATCTCTGTGGATACGTTCAGGGCCGGCGTCGCGGACAAGGCGATGGAAGCAGGAGCGGACCTGATCAACGACGTTTCGGCAGGTCAACGGGACCCGGCAATGTACAGTGTGATGGCAAAGTGGAACGTTCCTGTGTGCTTGATGCACATGCGCGGAGACTCGAAGACGATGATGTCGCAAACGGACTATGGTGAGAGGAACGATGTGATCGGCGAGATCTCGAGGGATCTGAACAAGTCGATCCAGAGGGCGATTGCGGCGGGTGTTCATCGATGGAATATTATTGTGGATCCGGGGATTGGATTTGCGAAGGATAGTGAGCAATCGTTGCAGGTGCTGCGTCGTCTGCCAGAGATGATTTTGGATCCGAAGAGCCCCTTGGCAGGGTACCCTTGCTTGGTGGGACCATCGAGGAAGGCGTTTATTGGACACTTGACGCAGCAACAGGACGCGACGAAGCGTGCATGGGGCACTGCGGCGGCGTGCTCGGCGTCTGTGGCCGGTGGAGCAGGGATTGTGAGGGTGCATGATGTGAAGGAGATTCGGGACGTAATTAAGGTATCGGACGCTATTTGGCGTGTGCATGCGTAGAATGGGGAAACAGAAGCTAGCAGGGTCTTGTTTTTTAGATTGTTGGTTGTATCAACCATAAACATTTACACCATGGTTTGAAGCTACTTGTATCCATGGTGACCAGATGGGTATCAATTTTGTCCAAAAAAAAAAAAAAAAAAAAAAAAAAACAGATGGGACCGCAGTGAAGATAATTCTTGTTTGAGATCAGGTTTCCTACTTTCATTCAGGTTATGTGCGCATGTTCCCTTGAGTTCATTGGCCGATCGCGTTTGGGACGTTCTGATGGGTGAACGCATAAGTGCTTAACTTTAAATCGCGTGTCTGTGCGTAAAGAAGAAGACGAAAAAGCCCCTTTGACTTGGCCCAGGGAAAACAAAAGGAAGCATATCATCTTGCCCGTATTATCCTACTTTATATCCTCCACAATCCGTAATTTGATATCTCAGCAGTAGCCATGGCCATGGCCATCATGGGGAGCGATGGATTGTTAAGGGACGGCGTGGGTTAGATAATGCCTTCTGCTGTCAATATCGTCACTATGGATAACGATATTATCGAAAGCATGCGCCGTGAACAGCACGATTCTTTTTTTTTTTTTTTTCGATCGTTGTTCAGGACCTCTTGATAGGTTTAATGTATTCCTGGGATACGACTCTTATAATTGCTCTTCAGATACGACTCGATCTGTCGCAGGTCCACTCCTTCCAATACCTCGAAAACCCTCCCAGCAAGGCAATGTGTCGGTTCCATGAGAAGCCCCTGTTTTGCTGGATCATCCAAAGCGGAGGTGATATCGTATGCTTGCTACTCCAACGCATTTCTTAGCGTCGTCGAGTCCTTTTTTTGATCGTAAAATGCGCCAAAGGGCAGAATCGCAACGTTGGCAAAGGCAGTTTTGTACCGAACCACCTTCATGGTCATGAGAGCATGCGAATCAGATCTCTTAGAGACCTCAGTAAGGGAGCGTTTGACATAGTATCTGTGTATTGCCAAAAAATGAGCTTTGAGCAGGAATCTATTTGTTTCCTCACTGCTGTGTGTACACCGTACTTTGCAGAGGAAGAGTAGACGGGGGATTTTTTTTTTTTTTTTGGTTTGACCCGAAAGAGGGGTCGGTAGGCTTGTCTCTTCGTCCATTTGGTTTCGGGAGGAACAGATGGGCAGATGAGGGATGCAGTACCAGTGCAGCCCACACATCTTTGTCATGAGGACCTAGACGCGACTCTCAACAAGCGCTTGGTGGTTGACCGCCTGTTGCAGCGGGTCTGGACAATTTGAACCTGGGCGATGTTATGTCCTTTCCGTCCTTAATGTACTTGACGCTCTCGAAAGGGCTGATGAATGTCCTTTTTAATGAATTACTCATTTTCAGGTCTTCTTGTTCAGCCGCCTGAGGACATTGATCGTGTCGGACGACGATTGCTCTCCAATATCCTGGTAGACCTTTTTTTCGTTCGCACTGGTAGTTGACTGCGAACACAATTGAGGCTAGGTGATATGTCCAAAAAAAAAAATTGGAATGGGGTCTTTTTACTGAGAAATGATCACAAAACCGATGGCGAGGCTGGTAATGAGGGGGCCAGGTTATTTCTTTTTTGATTCGCCATTCTTTCGTATAGCTGTTTAGCCGGACATGAAATGTGTACATCCTCAGGCGCGCTTTCCCATCAACATATGGTTTAAGCGCAAAGATATATATAGTAAAGCAAAAGTGGGTGGTTCAGAGACAAATGAACGCGTCCTTGGAACCCAAGCCTACGCGAACAAAGAAAAAATTACGTGTTCATGAACAGAAGCTGCGGAACTGAACAGGATCGGGACTTTGGACATAACTCGATCAGTAAATGCGTAATTCTCATTGTGGTATTTCGCCATTGTATCTGTACCGGATCTCCCAGCAGCGTCAGCTTCGTGTACCTAGACTAAAACTCATCCTCCCCTGTTCAGCCTTATTGCACAAGGATAGGTGGTCGAACGCCATTTGAGGGACTTGAAGATAAAGTAAATTAACAGCAGCGGTCAGTCCGGGGCCATCATAAAGACTACAATTAATTAAATGTGCCGTATTTCAAAAGCTGAATTGGTCTCTCATTCAACGACAATATGGGATTAATATGGGATTCCCTTTCATCAGGCTGTAATAACTGGCTATGAGGGATGCGAAATGAAGGGAATAAGGACGAAGGAAAGAGTGGAGTAACTCAAGCGACCCAATCTGCGATTTAAAATGGCTCTGTAGTTTATCGCGTCAGATGCATGTGCATGCTCTTCATTCGAAGGGCACGATGCATGTGTCTGTCCTTGTACGCGCGAAATAAAAAGTCCGATCAAACCAAATGAGGAGGATCATCTTATTTGTACGCCGTTTTGTCGCGATAGAGGTAGAAAACCGGTTTCGGGAACCATTTTATAATTGCCCTGGTGGATACAGGAGCAACGTTGGTCCATGCGCCTTTGCTCCGGGAGATGAGGGTCTAAAGGTCAGCTCTTACCTGTTAGGCCTTACCCAGTTCTTCCGAGCTAACCTTTGAATGCCTGCGCCCTCTCGAATCCGGTGTTGCAATCGTAAACGCTGGCCTTTATTACCTTGCTGTCGTTTTCCACACGGCGACCGTGGAGGCCCATTAGCCGGGGAAATTTCTTGGATTGCAATTACACCACCGAATGAAATAATTGACAAATGCGCTAAGACTGTCGCGGTAGACGATCGTGGGCGCGGCGATGGGAAAGGAACATGGAGTGGAATGTTATAGAGCAAATTGTTTTGGGGGAAGGAGGTGATAAACTGGGCGTCATGAGGGACAACAATTGCCCAGGCCCAGTTGACCAGGGTTCTTGTTAGTGTGCTAGGTCATCCTTGCGTGAACATAACAGATATAGTAGTGATAGTCCCTGGACTAGAGAGGATCTAATAGCTGGCCATGTGAGTTCTGGAAGAAAAAGTGATTTGGGCGCTTATCTCGCGCACAAAAGATGATCCCTACTGTGGCTAGACGAATGGTAGTATTAAATAAGGCGACGACTAATGTTCCATACCTCTATGGTAATTTGCCAGTTGTAACATCCAGTTTATAACAGGGGCAATGCATGACACCCCTTCCAATGGATATTTCCGTTTGTTTTTCATGTGCGCGATGACATCGATGTTGCCCTGTGCAGCAACAGCGGGCAGAACTGACATCGACATCAGTGAGCAGTAGAGAGCAGGAGGAAGATGGCGGGAAAAGACCCGGTGAGGGGGGAATCTGATTGCCTGAGGCTGATACGACGGCATCAGTCCATGCCAATACCACACGCTTGTTTTAATGAGTTTGAGACATGTCCAATAATGAGAAAATGACCTCATGTGCTCCTTTAAGGTTCAGTGCGCATTCAAGAAGCGAAGCCAGAAAACGTCCCCATGCATGCGGCACATAAATACCTCGCTCATTTCCCCGTCCTCTCCTCATTCTCATTCCAAGCACTTGATCCAGCCCATACTCCCTCATTCCTTCAACGACAACAACAACAACCACGACAGTAATATTAACAAACCACAGCCACAGATACCGAGAACGATGACCAACGACCAGGCAAACGGTACCAGCGAAGAAACGCTCGTCTACCTCGACATCGAAATCGGTGACCAAGAGTACAAGGCCACCTCCTGGGATCTGTACGTTCTCCCTTCCCCCTTCTCTTTCTCGGTCTTTTCTTTTCATCGCTATCTTGTTATTCCTTTATTCTTATACATCCCCATCAATTGACTAAACATGCTGCGCTGCTGCAATTCTACTTTAATAGCTATCGCCGCGGACAGGCCTTTTTTGCAACCCACGGTTCCCTCTACGGTTATGCAGGCATGACTCTTGAGGAGCTCGGACCCGAGGACAAACAGAACCTGCAAGAGATCTACGACTCCAACCCAGTGTTGACACAAGGCGGCTCCATCACCCTGAATGAGCCCGCGCCACTCCCAGGCGGCCGTCTCGTCCTCAAACTCGACACAGAGGGATGCCCCAAAACTTGCCAAAATTTTTTGAGCTTTGTGGAATCTATCTACACCAACAAGGTCCAGGAGGCAACCTATGTCAACACACGGTTCTTCCGGTTGGTCAAGGACCATATTATCCAAGGTGGGGATCTTACAAAGAACGACGGATCTGGAGGATTTTCGAGTTACCCGAGCGTGGAAAACCCAAAGCCGTTTGCGGATGAGCGGCATGGACTGAGGAAGGGGGTGTTTAAGAAGGCGGGTGTGCTGGCGATGGCGAATCGCGGGAAGAACACGAATGGATCACAGTTCTTTTTGACAATTGGGCAGGGCGCACGATGGACCAAGGCATTGGAGGGCAGCTACGTGGCCTTTGGAGAGGTCAAGGATGAGGAGGGGTCGCAACAGAACGGTCAGCCCGGAATCGAGACCTATGTGGATGGGTTGGCATTGCTGGACAAGCTGAACAAAATTCCGACAGACGACGAGGAACGACCTATCCAGGCTATCACCATCATTGGGTGCGGGCGCCTTTAGAGAACTATATCCCAACCTCAGGAACATCCAAGATACCACCCCCCACGCACATTCCACACTGCATTTACCTCAATAAAACACGTGATATTCCAAAAATAAGAAAAAAAAATGCGTTCAATTATCCCGGGTTCGTGCATCAAGTGAAAGGTGAAGAATCCCTCATTCCTTCGAACATCATAAAGTCAGGATCAGGAATCAAAAATCACAAACGGACCACCATGTCAAGACTAAACATTGTTACGAAATTCCGGGGCCTTACAAGGACCAGAGCAACGCTGCTTCCTCACAATGCTCTATCATCAACACAGGTCGTTTCAAGAACCGTTGTTACTTGTAGGCGACCAGATTCCACCAGGAGCCTTTGTTCTCCACTATCAAGGTCTACTCCAGCCCAGATATCAAGATCGTACTCAGCAACGCCATACTCCACATCCTCGTCCCCCTCTTCTGGCGGACCAAACCAACACACGTATCAAAACCTCTGCACGCCTGCCTCGATCGCTTCTTCCAATTTTGATCTTTCCCGAATCCACCCTTCGGAACACGCCCAAATCCTGCGCGACTTTATCCTCGTCCCCGAATATCTTTCGCCAACAGAACACGACATGCTCGTTGAGGCCGCAACCAAGAAACTGAAACGCGCGCTCGGGAAGCAGGTTCGGTACGAAGACGGGCATTTCGATGGTGTCATCACCCGCTACCGAGAATGCTCTGCCACAGACTGGGGAACTGTACCTGAATCAGAAGCGACCACTATGGCCTCATCCTCATTGGACACGCCAACAGATACCCGCGGAAGAACCACTCCCCGGGAGATCATGCACTCGATCAAACAACAGTTCTTTCCGCACCATTGGAACTGGGTCGCTCCACATATCCTGGAGCTCGAGTCTGGGAAGGGCGGGATCAAACCACACGTCGATCATTTGGACGCCTCAGGAGAAGTTGTCGCAGGACTGTGTTTGGGATCTACGGCAATCATGGAGCTCATTCACGAAGACGACCCCTCAAAGCAGTTCCGGGTGTTATTGCCAAAGGGATGTTTTTATTTCCAGCGGGATGGTGTTCGGTATCATTACAAGCATGGGATCCCTATCTTGCCAGAGGATCACCAGTTCAAGGGTACCGTTGTCCCAAAGGAGAAACGCATCTCGATCATGCTGAGGGTAACGTTGAAAGTTAGGTCTTGACTGCAAAGGTAATGCTGAGCCGGCATACAGGCACTAACCACCTTTACCACTTTTTTTTCTCTTTGCCAAATAGAATGCATTGGAGTTTTCTACTCACGGCAAGCCTCCAGGGTATACAGCGCCAGGTACCCAAATGTAAATAAAAAGGAATTCATTTATTTCGAAAGCAAATGTATTCTGGTGGTATGATGGTAATACAAATGTGTACGAGATGCTGAGAAGCGAGCGTCGGGATATAATACCAATAGAGCTCAGCCTACTTCTTTCCCCGAGATCTCCCCCGCGTACTCTTTTGCTGCGTCGTTGCATCGGTACGCTTGACGCCGGTCTTCGCTGGCCTCGTAGTTGATGCCTCCATTGCTGTCGAAGAACCGGAAGCCTTGGGCATTGGAGGCACATCGCTCTCATTCGTGTCCGTCGCTGAGGCCTTGGCCGCACCGGAAGTAGAAGCGCTCTTAGTCTTCTTTGACCGAGCAACTGTCTTGGCCTTGGTCTTTTTCGTCCCCTGTTCCTTTGCCTCCTTTTTCTTTGCTGCCTGACCAGTCTTCTTGGCCCCCCTGATTGGCGCAGTAGACGCGACAGCCGCCTCTGACTCAGAATCGGTCTCATTTACTCGCGTCTGTGTCCTTGTTCTTCGGACACGTTGGCTTCCTGAAAGCGTTTTGGATGTTCCCGATACCGATGTCGTAGCGACTGTAATGCTCTCTACAGATCCTCTCCTTGATGCAGTACTTTCTGTCGCCGAGATCGTACTGGCAGATCTTGCTCTCTGTGGCGTCTTTGGTGTCCTGGCAACTGCCTTCCCTTTAGAGGACGACTTGGAGAATGAGGCATCCCAGTCTTCATCATTTTTGTCGTCATTGTCTTCCTCATCAGACTCCGTAAAGCCTTCAATTTCCTCGCTTCCGGCCGATCCTTCATCACTAACATCCACCAGCACGGGTGCCGACCGATTGGAACTTGAAATCCTGTGCCTACATTGTGAACAAAACCGTATTATGAGCTCGGTACTTTTTCAATTTTTTTTTCTCCGCAATCATATTATCCAGGACAAAGAGGATTGATCGACTGCAACGTATAAAAGGTACGTACTTGGACCAATCCAAAGTTTGATGGATAATAGAATCCATGACGAACTCGTGATTCATCACATCCTTGAACCCGCGCTCGAGATAATGCTCAATCTTGGCGCTGTTATTATCTCCGAGGATGATGAGATCCTCATCCTCGCTTTTATCGCTCCTCGGCGCTTTGATCTAACAATTATCCACATGAACAGAAGAAGGATGGAAATAAAATTTAGCGGTTCACATCGTGCGTGCGTGTGTGTGTGTGTGTGTGTGTGTATATGTGTGTGTGTGTATATGTGTGTGTATGTGTGTGTGTGTGTATGTGTGTATGTGTTCAAGCATCCTTTTGGATATACAGGGAGCATGGCAGACATACAACCATCTTGCCACCACTGGCGGTCACTAATGAGCGCACCGATTTCGTTGTGTATAGATCATGCTTATATGGCACCATATAGAAGCTGTATCCTTTGAACAGTTGCCCCTTATTATCCTTGGCCAGTCGGCATGATTCGCTAAGGTTGAACTTGTACTTCACTTCAACTTGTGTATTCTGGCAAATGTAATCCTCCCCTACTCAGTCATATAGAGGCATTGCTCAGAGTGAGTGATGGTTATTAGAATTCTTTAGACACCAGTACCGGAACAGACGGCGTATCACTTACAAGGTACAAATCTACCGAGGCTATCTGAGTCATCAAGCCATTTGAATGACACGATCGGGATGCCTTGTGCTACCGCAAACATAAGCTTCGTTGTCCTGGTGGAGCCGTCAAAGACGAGGATTGCTGCCTCCTCGATATTGTTGTTTTTGAGACTACCTCCCCATCGCGAAATAATATTCTCGTATCTTTTCTATACGTTCAACATCATATCAGAATCAACTTAGTGCCGATCTTTTGATGCGAAGTAAACCTAATAACCTAACAATATGATACATACCTTTTTCTTATCGCTGTATGACGAAGCACTGAGCATAATCCCAGAACGAACTGATTCCAGGTCAGAAGCCCGCCTGCTAAGGCTTCTTGAGGATGGCGTGCGAGTGAAGGGCGAGGGGAATGTTGAGTCATCTACACTCTCAGTCTTCATCAACTTAGCCGGCTTAGGTGGGCTCCCCTCAGTGTCGCTTTCGATTCCATGTTTCGGCGAACCCTCCTTTGATCTCGTAGACGTCTGACTTGATGGTCGAGTACCCGATTGAGGAGTCTCTAAAGCATTCGCGCCACTATACATCCCGGTGCCTAAAATGGGGGTGTCATCGACTTGTGGTGATACATCCAATAGCTCCTGACTGTCTTTCAAGATAGGTCGCGATGGCCGCCGGTGAGATCGCGATAACAGTTCATCGTCCTCTAGTTCTGAATACTCCTCTGTACTGCAGTCATTGTCGTCTCGTAGAGGTGTTGCTGTTCTGACCACGAACGATCTCTCCTCGACTGCATTATCGGACCCACGATCCAGCTCATCCTCAGATTCAGCAAGGAACCCTCCTTTCTTGTTTGAAGCAGCTAACTCTCGGAATGCAGGATCTTCATTATTCCCTGAAGTGTGTCCTGGATGTGAATCCAATGAGCCCTCTAAAGAATCTGCCGTAGGCCCTGGCGCAAGGACAGTACTCGCGATCGACACGTTCGACACTCCTATATGACCCTTCTCTTCCTGTGTTTGAGGCACCCTACCCTCCAATTCATGCATTCGCTTCCTCAACTTCCTTAGATCGCCATCATCCGATACAAATCCCTGAGTCTCTGAACTGACGTGGCGTGTAGATGAAGTATTAATGATGAGTTCGACTGGCGTTGCCGATACCCGCTCTTGAGGATGAAGGATTTGCTCCGATAAGACTGCAAAGAAATCCTGTGAGACCTCTTGTGATGTTGGTTCTGCTGACGCTTGACGAGATAAAGTAGGCTGTGTCTCGCAAATTCGGTCCTGCTGTGAACTGGAGACATTGATCGGTTCTGTTTCTAGCGCATTCTCTATTGGGGCTTCCAGTGACGCCACCACTTGCTGAGGAGACTGAGTTTCCTGAACAGAGTCGTTCGGGTCGTCCTGGGAGCCCTCAAATTGCGACTTTCCTCCTGTATCAGGGTATGGCTGCGTGAGGGCATACTGTCCATCATGTGAGATTGAATAGTTCTCAGAAGCGCTGAGATCCTGCTGAGAGTTGCCGGAACTAGAACTAGGATTGGAACCCGAAAAGCCAGGGGTTCCCGATGTTGTGGTATTCCGTCGTTCTATTAATTCCTTCGGAAGGAGCCGTCCTGAATCATCTGGCCTTGTCGAACGTATGGCGCTACCCTCTTCCGCACCTTTGACAACGTCCTTATATTCATTTTCATCCAGCCAGAGGAGATCATCCATTGTCTGTGTAACTCCCGCCATCGGCAACGTAGCTGCCTCTTCCGTGTTAGTGTCGTCACCGACATCATGATCTTCTGGGCGATGTTGGACTGGCACTTGTTGCACCTGCGCCTCGTCTGCCGCATTCTGATGTCCTCTATGATCCTGTTTGACAACACTGGGTACGTTGGATTCGGCGCTACCATGAGCTCGAGATCGGATAGGCACAGGTGGAGCAGCCATTGTCCCAGTGCGGCTTGGACTCGTGGCCTTGCCTTTATGCTTCTCCCTTGCCCTCCGAGCTTCCAAGATATCAGCTGGGATTTCTTTCTATATGAATAGTAAATAATGGATGTAAAAAACATTTATAAACATGTTGCTCCTAACACTGACATGAAATGTGCAAGCAAGCCAGGGCCGAGTCTTCTTACACGCGGCGGTCCTTGTTGTCGCTCTGTCTCAGTCAACTCTTGAAGTTCACAAGTGATCAAGCTACTGAATTTGACCGTCTACAATATAGATGAAGCAAGACGTGTGAGAAGGCAGGACCATGGTCTTGATCAAGTTCATACATTTACAACAGTCCTTCGTGCAACGACCCTTCTGTGTCAGAGTACAACATTACCTCTCCATTCGAAATGTGATACCACTGCCCCGGAATCATACTTTTTTTGCCCCAGATTGTAGACGGTGCCCCGCCCTAATATAAAAAGAGACATGCATCCACATCAGATGTGATGTACAACACAGCCCAGGACAAAGAGAGAATGCGCGGTCCTTACTTCATAAACCATAACAGCTGCGGTTCCGTCTTCATCGCATTCTACGGTAGACAGCATGATATTGAAATCGGTAATGAGTCAAACGGTTGACCTCCATGATTGGTAGAGCGGACTATATAGACTCTTTCCATACCGATTGCAGCATGGGTGTCGAGGCAATTGTCCCATGGCAGGTACACACGAACTTTGCGGGGATCTCTGCCTGCCTTATTAATACCCTTGTAGAGCGGGTATGTTACGGCATCCCGTCCGGAGAACCTGTAGATTTTGAGTCGTGCCACAGGCAAGTCCTCTGGATGCCCTCCTTGAGACATGGTGCGAACGGTGCGATCGTCGAATGGAGTAGAGAGACAGGGGACAGGTCATTTGCCACTTGCTGGCGCAGTGTTTGCTCTCTACAAACGAAAATTTATTTTTCATTTACAGCCTTATTTGAAACAAGCTATGTTGCTGCGATGCTATTGCAAATATGCTTGGTGATGTCCTCAAACCACACTCTTTTCCTTGTTTTCCTTGTCGGCCCGGCGTGCTTCCTTCCTTCTCTTCTTCTTGCATTTGTGACACATGCAGATCTCCCCAATGTCGCTTTCGCTCTCTGTCGAGCTCAAATCATCGCTCGAGTCCGAGCTGGAACTGGAGCTGCTGGAACTGCTATCGTCAGTGGACAAACGAAGCATCGGAACATATGTGAGGGACCTACATTTATCCAGCAAATCCTTATAAAAGCACCGTCCTGTTTTGGCGTACAGCCGCTCAATCTCGGACCGAAGCTTCTTTGCCAGCTTTGGACGGGCATGACGTGTATGCAGCCATACCGCCTCAAAGTTCGTGGGCGAACAGAAGTTCTGTGTGATGGCGATCGTAAAGTCTAGAGTAAAGTCCGCCAGTAAGCGATAATGACAATCAGCCGCGTGTTAGCCTCGTGTAGAAAGCACGCATAGGTATACCACTAGCAATAAAAACTACTGTTCGGTTTCATACCCAGGTTCATAACGATGTGGGGCCATCCACCTGGCACGAACATAGTCTCGCCAGGGTGCTGAATAACTTGAATCATGCCATATTTCTTGCCAAGCTCAAAGTCGTTTTCTGCAAAGCGCGGATAGACGTGATGGTACCAAGAGACAGCTTCCCGATCAAAGGGCTTCATGGGTGGGTCGTAGACGCTCTTGGGTATGCCTGGCGGAAAGAGGCACCACCGTTTATGTCCTGAAGTAAGCGTATTCCAGGCGGAGGTTCCTGGAGATAAGTAGTGCGATAACGAGAAAATCGCAGGGCATTTAGATTTACCTTTTCGACAAGAGGAGCAAAAAAAACAAACAAACTCTTCTTTGATTTACCAAGAGGGTCAACGTGGATGCCAGTGCCACTTCTAGCGCCTCCCACGACAAACCAGCGGAAAGGTGGCCTCCTTCGATCCCCAGATAACCTATGAAAGAGGAGTAACACAGTATTAAAAATCTATTTGAATAGTTGAAGAAGCAGCAGTCTCCAGTGCAGACGCTATGGCTCAGGATTCACATACTGGAACAAGTCGTCCTTGAAATATTTTGGTACGATAAAGTCGTCAAGTAATGTACTCGCATGCTCCTCCTCACGCTTGGATGGGCGTTCCTTGGACTCGTCATCAACAGATTCCACTCGGCTACTGTTTGCGCTGTCCCTCTTCCCGAAGACGCGAATGGCCTTTTTTGAGCCCGCTGTAGGCGAACTTGATCCAGAGCGAGGTCTTTTGCTTCCGACGACACCTGCTTCGCCTCCACTGCTGGAGGAATCACCCTTTGAGTGAGGCGATCTCTTGACCTTTCTCTCTGACGAAGACGAGGACGATGAGGACGAGGACGAGATGCGTCTCTTTTGCACAGGTGTTAACTTGCGCTTGACGAATCCAGAGTCGAAGATGTAAAGAGGCGAGTCGTCCTTGAGTCCGTCTGTTTCAGCGTACTGCAGAAAGTATTTCATTTTGACATACACGTTGTTGCCATCGTCGTCCTCTCCCACTTTAAACGGCTGCGAGTAATACTTCTTGAGGAATGTCTAGGTGTAGATCGTAAGCAGTAATTGAAGATAGAATATGTTTAGCGCGTTGCCCGGAGACCATTTTGCAGTATGGCCCATTTTGAGTACAGGCTAGAGGACTAAGTATACCTCAGAGTTCCAGTTCTTGCAGGCTCCCCAACCTTCAGTTACTCCTCGGATTACGACCGGCTGGCATTTTTCTTCAAATTGCTCGATGAACTCCTCCCTAGAGACTTTGTCATAGTCGATCCTTTGAAGTGTGTCGTAGGATTCCGGAATCGTAAAGTCCTGTTTGGCGAATTGGTGTTTGTCCCATTGAAAGATATCGAGTTCTATTTTGAAGGGACAAGCGGATCTTACGAAGGTTAGATCCTGTACAACCAACATTCAAGTCTTCCTTAACGGATCTTGTTAGCGAGCCGATACAGGAAATATCGCACTTCAAATGCAAGCTCCAGGGCTTACCCGAACGAGCTCTCAGTTTTGCCCGTCTAATCCGCCGGTGGTAACGGGTCATCAGAGGCGGCTGCATGGTGGTTTGCCTGCGATCGATCAAAGGGGATGAGTATGGAATTTTTTTTTTTCGAATCGATCAGGGGTTGAAATATCAGGAGAGGATATCACGTGCTTTATTTGGGCTCAAATAGCTCCCACAGCCGTTTCCGGGATTGGCTCACCAAGATACTCGGGGCGCGACGTTCAAACAGAACAACCCTTTCCATCAATGCGACTTCTTCCTGTAATACACTCGGCTCCATGGACAAGGCATTGCTAGCATAGCTTAAGAGTCGCCCGTAATTGCCCAGGTACACGGCTGCATCATCTGGTTTGTAATGGACGTACTCTTCTCCAGGCTTCAAAGGCGGAGGCTTCAGGTCGTCACTGTCCATGAAGTTTTCGGGAGGATGTATATCGGTATTCAGGTGCTTTATGAATGCCTCTAACCCTGGAGATATTCCTTGATCTCCATTGTACTGGTCTACTTCCTGGACATACTCTGTCGACTGAAACACCGCAAGCAGATGGGCGAGTGCTATAATAAAAAGAAAAATAAAAATAAAAATAAAAAGATTAGAAAATAAGGCCTGATATGGTTCCTGTAGGGTTTATTTCCGCTCATGGCATTATCCATGAAAGTACATAGGCACATACTTGGCTTTCTTGCTGGCCGCAGCGCACCCTTGGAATATTCGCTGTAAAGGTCTGGGTTGACCTGGATAAGTTCTTCATACTCCCTGATGAACCACGTGAAGGTGCAAAGGGAATTCATGTTAGTTTGAAACCATTAGTCTTTTGAGAGAAAACGCACATATTCCGATTCAAAGAAAGTACCCAAACGACGAAGGCAGTGTAGTCTGCGCTTGGACGCTATCAAAAACATCCAGTGACTTGATCCATGAAGATTCCTGCGGTAGTGCGTTCATCCAGTATAACCGATCATCTGCAGATCTACGGTTTAAAGAAATAATAAAAGATCGCCTTAGCGTGTGCCGAATTTCATGACACAGGCAAATGGTAAAAGAGTCAATTTCAGTACCTTTGCTTTCCATCCAAACCAAAGAATAGCTTGGCCACAATAATCACAGCGGCCATGGCATGCACAGGAGCTCTCAGCGGAGCGTTATCGACGAGAACTTGAGTCAAAAAAGGATTTTGTGTTTGAGGTGATGTACAAACATCGAGGTAGAGTTGGAACAGTCGTAGCGCGCAGGGGTAAACTTCAACTAATAGTTGCGGAGCAAATGCTGGTCAGACATAGATAATGTTGATGGTGATTAGCAGTAGCTAAAAAGCAGCGAAAGAAAGTGGATTACCTGGCAGCATTAACTCCTGAACAAACCGATAGATGAGCGGGGCTAAGTTGGGCATGTCGCTCTTGAAGCCAAGCGATTCCCGAAGCAGCTTCAACAGCGCATTCGTAGGTTGATAGAAACTAGACAATGTCCTGGACTGAAAGCCGAAGAGCAAGAATTAGTTGTTGAAGAGATCTTGTCATAAACAATAGACATAACCTCGTCGCATCGGATCATACCTTTGGAAACAGAAGGCTAGTACCTGCTAAGCTGAGCCTTTTGGTCAGGTCCGCTGGTAGATGGTCTGATGCATTGTAATAAAGGACTCGTCCATCCATGGTCCACCTACAGTGAATAGTACAATGTCATGTCAGATTCAGCAAGAAGAACGTGTCCTACCAAGGCTGATAGCCTCGTCGTGATGCTTACCGACGAAAATCGGCCAGAAGAACTGGTATTTGCAAATGTTGCGCTGAGAGGTAGCAAATTGAGATGGTGAAAGCCAGTGAGAGGCGCGTGGGATCATAGTAATATTGCACAGACTTCTTAAACGTTGATTGACGGCCGCTAATCTCCTTGCCATCGTCCACGAAATCTGCGTCATGTGGCGACATCTCTCCGTCGTAGTTATCCTCGTCCCTGTCCGCGTCGGAACCCTCTGATGTTGAGTCGCTATCCTCGCTATGCCCTCCCTGGTACTCGGCCATTTGATCTAATGCATCCGGAGCCTTATCTCTATCGACCGTTTTGTCTTTGAACAGGGATCGATCGAATGTCTTTCCACCGCTAGGTCCGAGATCCTCGTCAAAAAATATCTCCTCTACTTCACCATCGATGCCACTAATATCGTTGTCGCTCACATCTTCTCCGCCCAGGCCATTCGTATCCGTGTTCTCTGGGATCTCGTTCCATTTCTCCTTGTACTTCACAAGGCCTGACATGTAAAGCAACCAGTATTCATGGGCAACATGCTCTAGCTCTGGTGGAAACCCCAAATCATGTATCAGTGTATGCAATTGCTTCCGCAGCACCAACTGGATTGCCTGAAGACATACATAGTCCGCATCAGCTCCACTTAATTCTAGTTGATGATATGTAGAGGATCGATGAGCATATGTGGTCGTCTGCGCCCTCTGTATCCAAACCAAGAAAGTCATACTTACGCTGATGTCCTCGTTCTTTACGTTTCCTCTTGGGTCTCCTTGTTTTCCTCTCAAATGTGTTGCCTCCACCGGCATCGAACTCGCCTTCCTCCTCTTGATGACCCTATCGAACAAAAAATGGCTGATCAGTTCTTGCTAAGAGGTAACACAGCTGTGGTTGCATCACCTCCAGGGCGAATCCTTACCTCGAGCTGGTGGCCAAATTCGCAAACGTAGAACCCCAAACTATTCTTCCTCCATTTTCTGCTACGACAGATTCGGCAGGGTGGTTTTTTTGCCATTGGTTGACGACGGTCGGTCGGTCGGATGTGTTGAAGGGAAAATAAAAATAAAAAAACCGCAAAATGCGTTCAATATCTCTGCTTCCTAGTGACCAGTCACTTGTAAGAATTGTGCTGTGCAGTTGGAGTCAGGAACTTCACTTCTCCAACAACCCACATCACAAACACGAACATCCACAATGACTGAGAAACGCGTGCAACTCGATGCGGACGAGCAGAACAGGCTATTTCAGGAGGCAAGGAAGAGCGGGAACAACAATCACCATGACGACTCCGGCGACGAGAGTAACGAGGAGAATGGCGTGGTCAGGCGTGGTATCCCCAATGGAGAAGAGCCTCAAACTTCAGACGGAGGTAATACCCTCGCGGATAAAATTTTGATTGCACTGGCATCATAGTTTCTAATGAAGCGTTGGCTCTAATCTACTATCTATCGTCCAGACTTTTTGACAGATTTCCCAGACGACACCGAGGTACACCAACTGTTTGTTTTGAGGCGCGAATTGCGGTGGATCATACCCTTCACAAGTGCCGAGTGCTTACCATTTGTACTTGTATGAACACAGGAACTAGAGCTGACGCACCTTAGAATTGATGACATTCCTTCGTTGCATCTCGAGCGCTTCAAGAGCCTTCAGGTATAGCATAACAGGCAGGATTCAGGGTACCATTATAGTTAACAAGGCAGAATATGATGAGTGCTGACAGTAATGCCTGTTCCACTCGCACTATCATTTGGACAGAAATTATCTTTCCGCCAAAATTTGATCCCGAGGATCAGAGGCCTAGAGGCGCTCACATCTCTTACCGAGCTCGACTTGTACGACAATCGATTCAGCAAGATTGAGGGTCTTGAGAATTTGACAGAGTTGAGGTAAGAGCTACTGCGCGGACAAAACATTTCTAATGAGTATATCCACCATCTGTTAACGCATGAAGGTTCATGCTCGACATTGATTTAATGCAGGTCCCTGGATTTAAGCTTCAATGGCATCCGCCACATCAAAGACATCGACCACCTCGTCAATCTCACGGACCTATATTTTGTCAGTAATAAGATCACGGTCATCGAGAACCTGAGTGCTCTGGTGAACATTACGAACCTCGAACTGGGATCAAACCGCATCAGGGTACGAAAGAACCTTTTTTTTTTTTTTTTTTTTTTTGAAGCAATACCTCAGCATGTAGACATACATTAAGATGTCTACACGCATTGGGCATTAAACATTACTAGGTGATCGAAAACTTGGACAGCCTGGTCAACCTAGAACAACTCTGGCTTGGAAAGAACAAGATTACAAAACTACAGGTAATGTGCTCGCTGATGTCGAGCACTTCAACACTAGTGCCCCTCACTCTTGTAGGAACAGAATTTCAAACATTCACTAATCCGTTTCTATTATAGAATCTGTCAAGTTTGAAGAAATTGAAGATCCTGAGCATCCAGTCCAACCGACTGACAGCCATTGAAGGGCTAGAGGAACTCGAAAGTCTGGAGGAGATCTACGTGAGCCATAACGGGATCTCCAGAATCGAAGGATTTGACAATAATGTATGTTGCTGACAGCCCCGGATGTGCGAATTGGTGGCAGTTATTTTCACATTGATATACCTTAACTGTTTTCTCTTGTGGATGTAGGGCAAGCTGACCACAGTTGACATCGGCAACAACAGGATCTCAAAGCTCGAAAATCTGAGACACTTAAAGAACCTGCAAGAGCTATGGGTATGCTTTTATTGGTCTTGAAAAATGAAGCTATGCATGTCTCTTTGCCTCCGTTAATGGTTTGGTTTTTTTACATTTCACTTGTTTTCTAGGCAAGCAACAATCAGCTGGATTCCTTCGAAGACTTTGAAACTGAATTGAAGGAAAATTGCCCTGGACTCGAGACAGTCTATGCTGAAGGGAACCCACTTCAGACTAATAACTTTACGACCTACCGTCTCAAGATGAAGATCATGCTGCCCCAAATCAAGCAGATCGATGCCCAGTAAGTAGTCTGCCATCGACATCGACATCCCCCTAACAACGGTCATTGTAATCTTATTCAGCTAATTTAACTGTATCATTTGCTTATCTCCAGACTTGTGCGTCCTTAGGCTGCTCTGCCAAAGTCCGCGTGAGAATTGAACGGAGATCTTTGATATTCTCGCAACAATCTCCGTACCTACCATGTAGAAAATACAGACGATCTTGTTCCTCCGTCGGTGTACCCGTAAATTAGCCGGCTGCATGTATATTGTGTTCATTTTGCCAAGACTTTCACCGATAAATCGGACTCTGTCCCACGCATGGTGGCTATGTTGAAATCGGGACTTTGCTTGGCGCTCGGCACTTTGCAGCCCTCCTATACTTCGCTATAAAGGATGGAGTGGGGGACACATTTTTATTTGCTTAGCCCTGCCAAAACACAAAAAAGATAAAGAGCTCTCGCCTCCCCCTCCTTTCTCCTCCATCGCTCCTCCATCTTTGCATCGCACCTCATCACACCCCTCGTCTGCTCACCCAAAGCCGCAAGTCTACGGACTGCTCTTCTGCCCTTTTGCCTTCGACTTTACTGCACCTCATTTTCTTCGTCTTCTTCCTCTTCCCTATTCTACCCTTTATTTTTCTTTGTCTTCCCTCTGCTTCACCATACACGTTTTCAATATCGTAGAGGCACAGTCTAATCAGCCTCGACTCTAGTAAAACGCGCTTCGCCCAGTGAACAGGACTACCCGGCACGCTGCAGTGTCATCGAGCACTCTCTTTTGCAGAAATTCACCAGGACACACTCCTCAGCGTCTTTCCGACCACAATACACCACACTCAAACAACAAGCGCGACCTGTCTCCGTAAATAAGAACCGATAGTCCCGCCAACTAACCGCAGTAGCCATGAGTCTCAACGACATGACTGTCAAACCACCAACTAGTGGGTCTGCTCTGTTGCAGTTCTTTACAGCAGCGCTGCGCCAGGTAATTGACCCTTCCCTGTACCTCTTGGGCGCATGTTGGTGTATCTCATTCAGCAACTGGAACACAGTCAAAAGAAAAAGAGAGATCCTTTTTGTGCTTCCATAGCACGGTCCATTGCAGGACAACAGGCTGTGTGACCTATTTTAAAGTCATGGGTGATAGTGACCAAAGGAACAATAGCAAGGAATGTCATATGCCAGCGAGCAAAGAACAATGGACGTAACAGCCGACTGAGTCGATTGTTATTTTTTATTATGACAATATCTCTGGCGGGATGTAGTAAACGTGCGAGAGTGAAAGCGGACATGCAGGAACGCTTACGAGATTTCCGTTGGGGATGTATATAGTTACTTGTTTGCCTTCGAAGCGACTCTTTACGAGGCAATGGGGAGAAAAGACTGAGGGGGCCTGTACTTTCTCGCTCATACCTATCATGCCTTTCTTTGCTTTCTCATGTTTGTAGGAAAGCATGGCCGGCTCTCAACAGAGATCCGACTTCAGCTCCGAAGAGGACGATGATATAGTTCACGTGAATGACGAAGGTAGGCGGAACAAGGCATCACGAGAAGGCCTAGCCCGCTGGCTGAGAGTGCATTCATGATGCTCACGACCTATGCAGTCCCGCTTTCGCACAAATTGCGGACAAGCATGGAGTCCATCACATAAAATAATGCTGACAAAGCCAGAGCTCGAGACTGACATAGTTTCCTTGCGCGGTGATGCACTATGTGTCTATGCACTAATAGGCAGGGGATCGATTCGCCGGACGCTGATCCGACAAGAGTCCATCCATGGACTGGGTATCCACTCGGATGTGGAAGACGAGGACTTTAGTGGCGATGAGGATCACCGCCGTCAACATGAGAATCACCGCCGTCAACATGAGAATCGTGAGCCCGAGAGGGAACGTGCTATGAGTGAAGATGGTGACATCTCAAAATCCACTAACGCTATTTCCTATGGCTCCCCGAGAGATAAGAAGACTATCGCCGAAAAGTTGCAGGCAGCATTTGGTTTTCCGGAAGTTGAGGAGTTCGTTGGAGGTAACCATAATAGCAAGGCTTTTACCTACCGCATCCCCTACTCGGCTGCTGGGATGAATGGATGACTAATCTTTGTATTCATCCTTTGGTAGAGTTCTCGTGCGAGCTGGCCCGGTCGGTGCTTCTTCGTGGATATATGTATTTGACGTCAAACCATATTTGCTTCTACGCTAACCTCCCGGGCAACCAGGTTAGCATCATAAACGATGTTTTAATTTATGAGAGAGCCAAGGAACTAATTGCTTTGCAGTGGGTTACAGATCTAACGCATACAACTTGTAACTGTCCATCTATATCGATGAAATAGGATGTCGTTCAGAAGGAGGGATATTTCTTGAAAAAGTCGAAAACCACCAAGCAGTTTACGCGCTACTGGTTCATCCTTAAAAACGACGTGCTCAGCTATTACTCAAACCAGAGCGTAAGAGAAGCATTTTTGGCATTGGACATCGTGAACTTGATCCTTGCGGGAATTTGGGCTGATCGCCATGGTCATGTTGTATCTGTGGACATTTAGGATATCTATAGCCCCAGCAAAACGATTGCTCTCAAGCATGCGCTTTCTGCTGAACCTTCGCCCAAAAATGATCTCGACTTTCATATCTTCATGAACAATCGAAAGTACACCTTCAGGACAGATTCTCCGCTACTAAAAATGGATTGGGTCAAGGCCATCTCAAATTCTATCTTTCATGCCGGAATGAAGGGTGAAAAAGTCAAAGTAATATATAATTACCTGGGTACCTTCACATCGATGAGAGATTTGTGCATTTCCAAATGCTGTCCACTAACAAAATAAGCCCTTATTTCTGGTAGATCTCGATCCCGCTGGGTAATGTGCTGGACATGGAATTGAACACCATGGCTTTTGCACAGGCGATCCATGTGAAGGCGGTGGAAAGTGATGAATCATTTGCTGTTGAAGATGTAAGCGAAAGTATATTTTTTGCTGTTGCATTGATGGGTGAGTGTTGAACTGGACCAAGTTCTGACCCTAGCATACATATTAGTTCTATTTTGCCTACTTCAATGACGCTCCCAAGACATTAGCTGCCTTGAAGACCCAATTCGAGAAGTACCAACAGGACATACTGCAGAACCACAGCCTTAATCGAGATCACAAGATCTTTGACAGTACCTCTCTCAGCACGAGTGCTTCGGTGAAAACGGGAGCAACCACTGCGGAGGCTGCGGGACCTGTGCGCCATCGTCCTAAATTGCTTCATCCTGACAGAATCAAGTTCGGCTCGAGGAGTAGCAGCCCTTGTAGATCACAGCCAACATCGGATACGGAAGATAATGAGAAGGAGAAATACCGGCACGCGCTATCCTTCTCCATTCGCGGTACGACCAGCTGGCTCAGCGATCACAAGTCCGACTTTGGTGCTGCGGACTCTTCCATGACAACGAGCGAGAAGGAACAGGAGGCATTCAGGAAGGACTTCTCTTTGCCGGATTCTGAAGGACTGAGCGCTGTCGTTTCTGGATATCTCTTGCGCATTGTTCCGCTTTCGGGACACGTCTATCTGTCTGACAATTACCTCTGCTTCAAGTCTAAATGGTACAGAACACGCACACAGGTCATTGTGCCATTGGCTGATGTTCAGGAGGTAAAAAAGGATAAGGGCACTCTATTATCTTTTCACGGACTCAGTCTTCTCACCAAGAAAGACGACGAAATCTTTTTTGATTTTTCTTCGACTGAGACCCGTAACACCATTTTGAACACACTCATTGACCGCACCACTCCAGAAGCCCAGGCGCGTCGACTAAAATTACGCACACAGTCTCTGGCCGCTGAAACGCCGTCCTCTGAGTTGGATGATCCTATGGGACCTCGTGTCACGGACTCGCTATTGCTTCGGGAGGAACCCATTCATGTCGAGCGTATGTCCTGGGCCTCATATCCGGGCAAAACCGCGAGACCATTGCACATCACTTGCTTGACCATCGGTAGTCGTGGAGATGTGCAGCCTTACATCGCTCTGTGCAAGAGGCTGATGAAGGACGGACACAAGTGCCGTATTTCCACACATGGCGAGTACAAGGATTGGATCGAGGGCCATGGAATCGAGTTTGGCCTAGTTGGGGTAAGCGCAGAAGCCTATTCCTGCATTGTTTTTTTGAAGTGTCAAATGGAGCTATATCCCAACTCATACTATGTTTTACTGTTGTGTCACTAGGGTGATCCTGGAGAGCTTATCGAGCTTTGCGTCGAGAATGGGATGTTCACGGTATCCTTTATTCGCGAGAGTCTTAAAAGATTCCGCGGCTGGTTGGATGAGCTCTTGGATACGGCCTGGGAGTCATGCCAGAACACGGATGTTTTGATCGAATCTCCCTCGGCCATGGCTGGTATCCATATTGCGGAGCGACTCGACATCCCTTACTTCAGGGCTTTCCCCTTCCCTTGGACGCGCACACGCAACTTCCCCCATCCCTTTGCTGTGCCTGAACACAACCTCGGTCGCTCATACAACTACATGACTTATGTCATGATCGAGCAGGTCTTTTGGAAAGGCATCTCTGGTCAGGTGAATAAATGGCGAAAGGACACGCTTGGTCTGGGGCCGACCAGCTTGGAGAAGATGGATGCCCACCATGTGCCTAGTCTGTATTCATGGAGTCCCCATCTCGTTCCAGCACCAGGCGACTGGCACTCTTGGGTCCATGTCACAGGGTACTGGTTCCTCGACAACCCTGATCTCACTTGGACACCTCCCAAGGACTTGGTTGCGTTCTTGAAGGCCGATCCTAACAACAAACCGGTTTATATCGGCTTTGGATCGATGGTCGTGCCCGACCCTGATGGCATGACGAGGGCGATCATTAATGCCGTCGTCAAATCTGGGGTACGCGCTATCATCTCCAAAGGATGGTCGGATCGCCTGACTAGTCAGGACGATCCTCTGTCCGCGGCCAGTAAGGCGGCCAGCGAAGAGATTGTGTACCCACCAAGTATTTACATGCTCAAGTCCGTTCCCCACGACTGGCTCTTCCCTCAGTTGGCAGGGTGTGTGCATCATGGAGGTGCAGGTACGGCAGCAGCCGGTCTGCGCGCAGGCATCCCCACGGTGATCAAACCCTTCTTTGGCGACCAGTACTTTTGGGCGCAGCGCCTTGAGGAGGCTGGCGTGGGTGTTTGGTGCCATGAACTGACGGTTAAGAAGCTAACATCGGCCCTGGTGACGATTACGACGGACGAGAAGATGATCAGGAAAGCGCAGATGATGGGGGAGAAGATCCGCGCAGAGGATGGAGTCGGCGAGGCAATCCATTACTTGTACCACGACTTAACCCTTGCCAAGGGTCGCCTCCACAAGCTCCGCAAGGAGAAGGCCGAGGACACGCCTGTGAAGTTTAAGGTGCAGGAGGCAGGGGATGACTGGTGGATTGTTCAGCCTTCCTCGGGAGCTAGTGGGGCGACCTCAGGAAACGAGGGATCTGAGAGTACAGCTGGATTGAATATGTTGTCCGGTAGTGAGGAAGATATGGTCTCGATACCCTCGGAGCATACGACACCTCAGTTAGGTGCCTTTACTGATCTCCAGCATTCTGTCTCCCTTTACGAAAGGGCTCATTCGAGAACAGGATCGGATGCTGAACCTCTTTCGCACAGCACGAAACAGTCTGCGACGGATCCGGGCTCTGATCGTGCCATTGAGATGATTGAGAAGAGCGACCAGAGTGCGGAGGAGCTCGCTGCACAGCTTGAAGCCATGCATCTACCGAGCAGGAGTCCACTGCCGTTCTTTGCACATGCATTTGGGCAAGGAGAAAGCGCACACGACAAGGGCAAGGACAAGAGTAAGGATGGGAACAGCAAGTCCGTCAAGAGAACATCGACAGCGCGCAAGGTGATCGAGACCTTGGCGACAAAGGCGACACATGTGACGGGATACTTTAGTCCCAGTAATCTTCACCCGCATGCGTCACAACAGCCTACACCGCCTCCTCTTTTGATCGATCCTCCTCAGCCATCTGGCAGCAGCGTTAGCAGCAATAACAGTACCACCAGTACGCCTGTATCGAGCGTCAGTGGCGATCGACCGTTATCGAGCAGGTCACAGCACAAAGCGACGCCGTCGTTTGATGCGAAGGACGCATCCAAGGTGGCGATCAACCTGACCACTGCCAACAGGCTACGATAGTGTAGTAATAATGTTACAGTTCCGCTACAGATACAGTTCTACGTTTTCGAAATAAACCTGCATATAAGAATAGAACAGTTGGAGCGCGTTGTCAGTCTAGTTGTGATCTAAAGTGCGACTTTGGGACAACTGCTGCATAGCCACAAATGCAACTTCGTCACAGTCGCCATCTCGCAGAAAAGGTGTTGGTCATCCGTCACCTCTTCAGTCTCCACTGACGAATGTAAGAGTCCGCCCATACCCTTCGCAACCTACACTAACTTTTAAAATGAGCCTCATCCCAGCACGAGTCCTGTTGTCTTCTACACACTCAACCTCACACCGACTCTCCACTTTACACACTTCAACTATCCTTTCACTAGTAACTGTAGCTGCGAGTGCAAGTGCAAGTGCAAGAACAAAGACAAGAACACCTGCTTTAATCTCCTATCGGCCGTACTCGCTGTTCTCCTCCTTCAAGAAGACCAGCAATCCCGAAAGCAAATACAAGCCCTCGACCACCTCGACATCCGCCACCACGGGTAACGCAACTTCGACCACAGCAGCAGCAGCGACGCCTGCCTTCAACAGTGCCAACATGACCCATCAGAAATCGGACCAGGAGTGGCAAGCAGTCCTCACACCTGAACAGTTCCGTGTCCTTCGTCAGAAGGGCACCGAAATGGCGTACACGGGTGAGTACACAAAGAACAAAGAGCAGGGTGTCTACCGCTGCGCAGGTTGCCAAGCACCTCTGTACACATCCTCGACCAAGTTTGATGCTTGCGGTTGGTGCTCCTTTTACGATGCTATTCCTGGTAAGCAACAGCGAGACAGCAAGGACAAGCAGAGACAACTCGAATGATGCTTTTTCAATGCTTTCATTACACTGACACCTGTACTTGTGTGCTTTTTATATTTTTCCACATCTTGACGATACGTACAGGTGCTGTCGGACGCCATCCTGATCCCGACGGCCAGAGAATCGAGATTGTATGCAACGCCTGCGGAGGCCACTTGGGACACGTCTTCAAGGGCGAGGGATTCGGCAATCCGACGGACGAGCGCCACTGCGTGAACAGCATCAGTCTCAAGTTCCAGCCCGGCGACAGTTAAAAAGCATCTTTTTGCGACGTAGAAAATGTCTCGACACTTGCGATACAGTGATGTTTCAGTAGTCATCGCCAAGAGAATATAAAAACGAGAAAAAAAAAATAAAGTGGTTGTTGTGTATGTCCTGACCAGAGATGACAAATCCACCGGTTATGATACGACAGTTTGATACCAAAGCATACTGCGCTGAGAGCAATGGTCAATGCTTTGCTCAGCCTGCTTGTTTGCAAACTCCCTTTCGGCCGAACAGCCACACACGCCTTATGCGCTTGGCTGAAGGGTAAAGAAGACGGAGGAAGCAAAAACAGAGAGGCCCATGGCATCGTCAGCTGCCAGTCCAAGAGAGCAGAAAATAGATTTACAAATATGCTCGGGCTCATCTGGACCCGCGGTTCAAGTTCAGCCCTACGCTTCTTCAAGAGATGTGATGTTGTGTGTTTTCTGTTCTTTCCTTCCTTTCTTTCCACTCAATTAATAACTCCCCAGTAACTCCCCCGCCACCTCCTCAACAAATATACCCTGTCTTACCTCTCACCCCAACCCTCCTTTTTTTCAGTCTTCCGAGGAGCAGCGAAAACGCACATCGGGGCAGTATTATCCAGCAACATAGCAGCAAAGACAATTAAGCCATGGATCTTCTAGGCACGCATCTGCAGGAGAGCGCCCGTCGCGCAGCAGGGTCGTTTCTCAGTCCACTGACGAACGCAATTGGTGAGCAGCGTCGATTGGTCGAGAGTCTGGCGGTCGTGTCCAAGGTCCGCGTCGAGGAGTGCAAGCATATGATGGTCTGGAGCAAGTCCCAGGTAAGAGGATGTTGGAATCAGGCACCTCATGCCAGCAATGGCGGCATCTGGAACAAAGAACGAATGAACACTAACAGCTGCTCATTTTTTTTTTTTTGCCCTGCGTCTCTTGCCTGTTAGACTGACGATCTTGGGGTAAGTTCATTTTAGTCCGACTGAGATAAAGCCAGCGTGTCGCCGCCTGCAATATCACTTATTCGACCCTTTCGTTTTGCTCTCTCTAAACAATGTAGGATGTGCTGTTGAAGCTGAACCTGTTGATTCGCAAGATCAGCGACTACGAAATCCGGTTCGGGACCCAATACGAGTCGTTTCGCGAGAAGGTCAAGTACCTCCGCACAAAGGACGACTCGCTCTGCGAGATGGGCCGGCGTCAGTCCGACCTACAGAACAAGATCCTGGATGCGTCCAAGAGCCGGCTGCGGTCTGCCAAGGCTTTACTTCTCCAGAAAGAGCTCGATGATATCCAGAAGGCGAGCGCACCCACAGAAACAAAGCTGCAGAAGCTGAAACGCGAGGTCATCAAGGGCGCTTATACGGAGCAGCTTAACGCCATTATTGAGCTCGGCAGGAAGATGCAGATTATTGGCGAGCATGGAAAGCAATTGCTTGAACATATCGATCTCCCGGCTTCGATTGATGATGGTGAGTCATAGCAAGATATTGCCCAATGATTACTATGTCCTGAAGGCACTATGAATACTTTACCGACTAATACTTGCTTTGTCTACACAAAACACAATAGGTCGTAAAACTGAGGACATTCTTCAGGCAGCCCGCATTGCCCTTGAGAACTGGGATCAATTTGTGATGGTGGATCCTCACTCAGTTGTCGTTCATCCCCCGCCTCCGCCTCCAAGGTCTATGTCTAATATATCCATCGATAATATCCAGACGCTCGCTGTCTCAGAGTCGCAGACGGCATCGATTGCGGATTCTGGCTCGGATTCTGACTCGGAGTCCGACCAGGATTACGTGGCTGCACCTTCGACACCGTTAAAATCCAAACCATCAGTTGCATTGACACTTTCTCAGGATAACGCGCCATCAGAGGAGCCAGAGACGCCTGTGAAGGCGGTGGCTGAACCAGTATCAGAACCAGAGCCAGAACAAGCACAGGAGATAGTGAAAGAGGAGGAGGAGGAGGAAGAAGGAGCGGAGGATCCCAAGACACCTAGACAGGAAATGCACCTCTCGCCATTTGCATCCACACTCGTACCCAAGTTAACACTCACACCCAGCAAACCAAAAGCAGCGACGGCAACTCCGGTTCCAGCACGAACATCAGATTGGGCATATGAAGCCGCCGCAGCCTTGGCCAGCGTTCAGGGCAAGAAGCTGGAGGATCTCATTAAGGAGGAGGATACCTCAACGTCCGAAGCAGAGACATTACGGCGTTTGGAGGAACTTGAGATCAAGCAGGCGTTGGAGCTCAGTTTGGCAGAGGCGAGCAAGCCTGCAGTGACCAATGAATCGGGTGATCTACAGCTCACCGCAGAGGAACTTCGTTTTGTCATGGGAGATGTGGTACCGAAGCGATCAACCAAGATCGTCAAGAGACAAGCTAGGGCACCCGAGACCACTGACGGCTCAGCGCCGGTGTCTGTAATGCACGCTGGTTCGAGGAGGGCCTCAAGAGCCAAGTCGACCAAGATCACCGTCGATACTGAGAAGACTGCATCTGAGACTGAGTCGGAGCAAGACCTCGAGACACCAAAGGCCTCCAAGCCGCCGCGCGTTGTCCGTGGACCCCAGGGGTCGCTGGAAGAAGGCAACCGGATGTCGCAGCAGGGACCTCGACCTTGGATCCCCAAGGATGAAGATGACGACGAGGATGATCCTTCAGAGACCTCGACCGTGGACCTGGATGGACCAGAGGAGCTGGCAAATGCATCAGATGTCGCAGAGACCATGGGTGAGGAGCATGTTGTGAAGCCATCGCCTAAGAAGAAGGACACTTCCAAGGTGCACGAGAGCATGGGATCTGAGCCAGAGAGGCCATTGGAGAGTATGGGACCCGAACCCGAGAGACCGCTCGAGAGTATGGGTCGGGAACCCGAAAGACCTCTTGAGAGTATGGGCGATGATGGTCCAGAGGAGCCTGTGGTTCCATTTGTGCCCATGCCTCAACTTCCGGCGATGGATCAAATCCGCCAGCAAAAGATCATGGAGAGACAGCAGCAGCAGCAGCATCAAGCACAACAGTTGGCCGCATTTGGTGTTTCCCCCAAGTTGCAGAGCTCTCCTCAGATGATGAACCAGCAGCTGCAGGGATCTCCTCAGACATCGCATAGTTCGCTCCATGCATCGTCGCCTGCCCAGAGCTACCAGTCCCCGATCCCATATAAGCCCTCGACAGCGTACGTTCCTCAGACACCCAAGCAAAAAAACAGACTGTCTGGGTCCCACCAAGGAACGCCTGGGTCGTCACCCCAGCCACAGTATCAGCAGGCACACCCGTATCAGCACCAGCCTCAGCAGTCGGGCACATATTCGGCGCAATACCTCCAGCAGCAACAGCAGCAGCAACAGCAGTATCAAAGACAGCAGCAACAGCAGCTTCAAGATTTCTACTACTCGCCATTTGAGCAAGAGTACCAGCAGCAGCAGTATCAGATGTACCATCAGCAGCTCCGGGAGCAACGTCAACAACAGCGGTTGGACTCTGTGTCGTCAGTGTCGTCGACGGGAAGCGGCAGTAGCGCGAGCATTGGAATCGCGCCATTGGGCTGGAGCCTGCCTGGAATGGCACCTCCGCAGGTCACGGACGATGATGTGAGATATTATAGTCAGCATCATCAGCAGCAACAACAACATAAGCAGCAACAGTTCCTCCAACAACAACAACAACAGCAACAACAACAGCAACAACAACAACAGCAACAACAACAACAGCTCCATAAACGCACAGGTTCTGCAGCAGGATCATCGCTTCATGGCGGTGATGATTACCAGTCGTCAGCCGCGCCTTCACCGTCGCCTTCACATATCTCGCTCATACCCGATAACACACCTTCACCCGTGATGGCTTCAATTGCACCCTTGACGCCCCAGAAGCATGCTGGAGCTGGTGCAGGTGCAGGTGCGGGTACCGGGTCGAGTTCGAGCGCAGGAACGTCGAAACCAGCACTCACTCCCCACCCAGATGATTATAAAGTGGAAGTGAAATAAACCAAAAGTATTTTTAGTTGCATTCATCATTCAGTCATCCAATAAAATCAATATTAACGATATTTAATTTAGTCAAAGTGAGTTTTATTTATTTATTTACACTTGGAGATTGTAGATTGGAGAGGTAAATGGTTCGTTGGACTATACATGCGATGGCGTTGACGATTGCTCAGCATTTGGAATAACTGCGTTGCTTCTTGGTCTTGCTCTCGCGTCTTGCTGCTTGTTCTTGAAATATACGTATTTACATGGCTCGCTCGCCTCCACGTCCGCTAGCCTGCTCCTTCAAGGACTGTTGGTGCCAGAACTCTGCCTCCTCATTTAGGGCCTTCTGCATCTTCTTGTTCAAGCTATGTTCGATATGTTCAACACCATCATAGAGCATATGGGCGCGCTTCTCCAGGTTCTCCAATCCGTGACTAGTAGCCTTCTTGGACTGACTGCCACGTCTCTGCACACGTTGAGGGATCCCGGTCGCATCTTCGGGTTCACGAACGATGAACTTGCCGTCACGCATATCAGATTCGGCCGCGAGTCTCGAGACCTCGATCTGGTGCTTTTCATTGCGGGATTGGCGTTCCTTGGGCAGGGCGGCGTCGATGACGTTCTCGTGGACTTTGAGGGCGGTTTGTTCGGCGTTCTTGCCGGCCAAGGCCGCACGGTTGACGATGTCGTCGTGGCCCTTGACGGCTGCGGAGGCGACGGCCTTGTCGATGAGGATCTTGCGGGGTTTTGAAGAGCTGGACGAACTGCTCGCGGGGACGGTGGCTTCAGTCAAGGGGCGTTCGACGACATGTTTTTTCTCGGGACTGATATTGTCTGTAGTAGAATTTGAAATAAGGGCCTCATTGACATTCTTGTCAGCGACCTCGGGTTTGGGCGGAGTGCTTTCAGTGCCCTTCCACCATGACCAACGGGATGAAGATGGGTTCTCGGGAATGTCCTGATGGAACTTGTTACTCGTGTGCTGCTCAGCTCCCGTTGCGGCCGACGATGCCTTGGCCTTCATGTCCGCTGTCTTCTCATCCATCCAGGACTTGGCTTCATGGGCCTGTTCCTGACCTTCTTCTGCGAGATGTTCGCCCTTGCGCTTGATGTTGTCCCAGGAGGATTTGGCTTCACGTGCCTGGCCCTGACCTGCTTCTGCGAGATGTTCGCCCTTGCGCTTGATGTTGTCCCAGGAGGACTTGGCCTCTTGGGCCGACCCATCAACGAGTTTATGGATCTGGTCCTGTCCAGCTTCTGCTAGATTTTCGCCCTTGCGCTTGATGTTGTCCCAGGAGGACTTGGCTTCATGGGCCTGGTCCTGACCTGCTTCTGCGAGATGTTCACCCTTGCGCTTGATGTTGTCCCAGGAGGACTTGGCCTCTTGGGCCGACCCATCAGCGAGTTTATGGATCTGGTCCTGTCCAGCTTCTGCGAGATTTTCGCCCTTGCGCTTGATGTCGTTCCAGGAAGACTTGGTCTGTCTCGAGAGATCGTCTGCGGTGGCGGAGGTCTTTTCGGCGAGAGTACTTCCAGTGGATAATTGTTCCTTGACTTCACGAAGGGGTTCTGCGGTTGGACTCGTGGAGTGAGTGGAGACGGTACGGACGGAGCCGGGATATTGGCTGGGCTTGACGACGGCGGTGTGAACAGGGAGGAAGTATGCGCCGGCGAGGGCGGCCATGGTCAGGGGAGTGAGGATCTTGACGGGCATGCTGCCTGTTTTGTGATACAGAAAGAGCGGAATTAGTGTTACACACAGAAAAATACTCGCAAAACATGGGCGAAGTGTGAAGGATATTCAAACACTACAAAGAGCAGCGCACACAAACACACGCAGAAAAGAAAAAGAAAAAAAAAAGCAGCAGCATGCAAGAAGGTGTACTTACGGCTGTTATGAACGAGAGCATATCCCGCAACACCAGCAGCGCCAGCGTAAGCGACGCCAGGAAACCAGGGCTCCCGTTGAGTGTTCAATCTCTTGGTTGCTTCCTATAAATATTCGTTAGGCAATGACAAAAAGGGACCGTGGTCGTTAGAGATGTGTAGTGCGAGAACAGCCTTTCTTGGTTTTTTTTCTCACTTGTCCGTGCAAATTCGAGGCAGCATTGATCCCTACGTCGTGAGGAGTGCGATCCATGATGTTTAATGTGAGTGGGTGAAGAAAAGTAGAGGGGAGGTTTGTGTTTGCAAAAAAATGAGGAGATCCGTGAGAGTGTTATAGAAGAGATCTTGTGTGGGAATGTAGCAAAGAAGAAAAGAATAGAGAAGAGAGACGAAAAGTCCGAGCAGAGAGGGGGATTAAAATAACAAATGACGACCCTGTCCACGAACGGCCTAGTCTCGGTTTTATGGAGGCAACAAGTAATGTCGATGTAATAGCCAGGTTTGACGCACAAAAAAAAAATAGGGAGGCCCAACCAGCAATTGTCAGTTGGCAGTGCGGTAACCGTGTACTGTACTGTGGGGAGATGTGTACGGGAAATGTCTTATGGCGCGTGATGTAATGCATTCACTATAGTCTTTCGCGTCTGATTATTGAGTCTCTCAGCCATGGCGGGTCCTCTTTCTCCTCGCTGGAACGCATACTGAACAGGCACCCCCGTTTCTAACACGGAAACATGGAGTAGTCCTTCCGTGTGAAATGGGTGTCAGAATGCGCTTCCTGTGGTTTCAATAACCTGTGCCTCAATTGCTTCGATGCCTCAGTGAGGCGGGGAAACTGAGCACAGCAAACGAGGGTGAGGGTGTGTTTGACCACACTGTATCGCTATATCGTTATGACGACATGATGCTGATTCAAGGTTACAGGAATTGAAGGGGTTAAGCGCGTTTCTGCGCAGGCACTGGTGCATAATAATTATTGGTTTCTGGGCGGTTGTTTGTTGCACGGCCTTTGTATTTTCCAGCAGCACCAAAGGGAGGAAGGCGTGGTCGTATACACATTGCTTTGGTGGTCAGCTGTGGCGGACACCCCATTGAAGGTGGGCAAAAGGAGACCCGATGGAGATCGGCCAGGACTGAATCATATGCCAATCGCAGTCACCGCCACCACTCCCTCTTTTTTCTTTCTTTCTTTTATTTTAGCTCATCTAACTGGCCATTGCTTCCTTCTCCATCACCTTGTGCATTACCATTCGTCTCTCGTCTTTCTCTCTTTCTCTATTATTTTCTTTTCTTCTCTCTTTTCTTTTCTTTTCTTTTCTTTTCTTTTCTTTCTTTCTTCTTTTTGTACTTTACTCCGTCCTCCTTCGTCCTTTAAATCGTTGTCTGTCTGTGTGTGTGTGTGCGGGTGTATGTGCGTGTGTCTATCTTCGACTTCTCATTATTTTTCTTAAGCGCCACTGTTTCTTGTCATACAACACTTGCTCCACAAACACACGTACCATCGCACACACCTTCCCAAGTCGCAGTTTTGAGTTGCACCTCTTTGAGCGGGCACCATGACATCCAATATCAAGATCGGCCCTTACATGCTGCTCGAGACCCTCGGCGTGGGCTCCTTTGGCAAAGTCAAACGTATGGATCAAACAACCACAGCTTTTTGCACCGTGATCACACCAGAGGGAACAAACACCGCGTGGTTACACCTCTATGCTGTGTTTGCTACTTTGGCACGCATCAATCATTCTCCACTGGAGAATCAAGTGGTCTAACTCGCATAGGATTTATACAGGAGGGTCAGGACAGGATGGACGACAGAATATCGTCAGCATTGGACACCCAACACTCTTAGTAAAATCAACACACATGGGACTGCAGGTCCAGACACTTAGACTCTAGCAGAAGGAGGAGCAAAAGAGGCAGGGGAGAAGGGAACGCAGGGCTGATGTGGGACAAGACATGCATCCAGGTTGATCACAGCCGCATTGCTGCAGTTGCTGTTGCTGTTGCTGCTACTGCGATGTGCATGTGTCTGTCTCATTTTCACCTGCGGTTCCTAGTCCTGGTTTGAGGGCACAGACTCTTGAGCACATGTCATTTTGAGTACAAAAGTCTGTTCCCCTCCCCCCTTTTCTCCTTACCCACGCCTGCGGAATGACACACAGGCTGCTTGTCCCTTGCTTTCCCCCCTCAGAAGCAGCTGTCAATTTCTATGGGTCATGGTGGTATGGTGGAGGTTTTTTGATGCGGGATCATACTATTACTTCCTCAAGGAACTGAGTTCGGGGGCGACATCATCCAATGGGGGCTGTAGATCGACAACGTGCACTCTCTTCACCCCAGTCAAGACCCATTCATGACCAGATGCGTTCTATCCTAATACTCTTGCTTGCTCTCGGCTATCCTTAGGTGCGGTCCATTCACTCACCGGACACACGGTTGCCATCAAGATCATCAACAAAAACAAGGTTGTGAACCAGGACATGTTTGCTCGGGTTAAGCGGGAGATCCAGTACCTGAAGCTGTTGCGGCACCCGCATATCATTAAGCTGTAAGTTGCTTTCCTTCCTTCAGTTTGTTTGTTGAGAGCACTGGATGTCGGTATTTTTGGATCTTGGACAACGGATCAGATCAAAGGACAAGTCGGCAACATTTTGCCCAACCACTCTGCATTCAAACGAAAAATAAAATGAGCCAATCTGTATGCACAACAGCTGATCTGTGATCACGCCAGCCAACCAGCCAGTCGACCCTCGCCTACCAGCTCTCTCAGACGCCTGGAAACGATGCTTGATCTAACCAGAGACTATGGTTTGCAACTTTTACTGACTTGTGTTCATCAATTTACTTATAATCAGATACGAGGTCATTTCCACCCCAACATCAATATACATGGTCATCGAGTACGCGGGAGGGGAACTGTTTAACTACATTGTCGACAACACCAGGGTAAATATTACTTCAATTGCTCTTATTGTTTCATTCGGAACCAATAGGCAATGCGGATACACAAAACATGCACAGCGAATATCAACACACGGCCCATTCTCACCTTGGCTACCCCAATGACTCATCGTTGTGATTTTGGTAGCTATCAGAGGATGAGGCACGGCGGTTCTTTCAACAGATCGTATGCGCTATCGAGTATTGTCACCGACACAAGATTGTTCACAGAGATCTCAAACCAGAAAAGTATGAAACCAAGCTACGGCAATGTGTTTACAAAGAGTCCAAAATGAGTGCTTCCGGGGGTTGAGCATAAGTTTCACTGACCGCGAAATTTGTTTTGGTCCTTGCTGCAATATGACACTACGATAGTCTGTTACTGGATCCCTCGATGAATGTCAAGATTGCAGATTTCGGCCTGTCAAATATCATGACCGATGGCGACTTTTTGAAGACAAGTTGCGGGAGTCCAAACTATGCCGCTGTGAGTCTACTTTCGATACCATCAGCGCGCAGTGTCTGATGGAATATGAAGATCTCTATTTTACATCAGAACTAATGTGTGTGCTCCTGTGATATGCTTAGCCCGAGGTTATCTCAGGAAAGCTGTATGCGGGACCAGAAGTCGATGTGTGGAGCTGTGGAGTCATTCTCTATGTCATGTTGGTCGGACGACTGCCTTTCGACGACGACTATATTCCACTGCTGTTCAAAAAGATTAATGGTAAGCAGGCAACGACTCCTTTAGATATTACCCCCACGGGACACTGTTGTGATCTACGAACAGGGATGTTAATTTGCGCTCCTCTTTTTTTTTTTTTTTTTTTTGGTACTTGCAAAAATATAGGCGGCATTTATTCGTTACCGTCGTTTCTTTCGCCAGAAACCAAATACTTGCTGACATCCATGCTGGTGGTTGATCCTCTGAAGCGCATCACAATTGCTGAAATTCGACAGAACGCATGGTTCAACGTTGGACTGCCAGAATACCTAAAACCTCTGCCATCGGGATCAACGGAAGACACGATCTGTAATTTGCAGGAGGACATTATTGAAGAACTCATGAAAAAGATGAACTTTCCCAAGGAGACGATCGTTATGGCACTGGAAGAGCGGCAAAATAACCAGATCAAGGTTGCATATCAGCTGGTTGTTGATCACAGGCGGATGATTGAAAATGGTGCGTACTCTGCGCAGTGTTCATGTTAATTATGGCTGCAATCCGAAGTCGAAATTGGATGTTGAGCTAATCAAGTGACATTTTTTGCTTACTGTAGCATCTCAAATGTCGCCGCAAAAGCCGTTCCAGAGTTTCCTGGCAACATCACCACCGCCCTGGAATGTAACGGAGAAGGACGCATCACCTAACAAATCAGTAACAGGATCGTCGGTGGGATCTGCATTAAAATCCGGTCCAGATGGAGGAGACACATCAGATGACTATACAGATTCACCAGTGCCTTCGTCGATTGCAGTGCTCAGCACAAGTTTACCGGGGAACACGTTCGCCAAGGAACTGCATCGGAAAGCCTCCTTGAAGAATACACGGAGGGATCGCGCAAGCAGCCAACCGCAATCTCCGAATCAACAGTCATACCAGCAAAACCAACTCACCTTGCCAACATATGGGCAGCATACTCATTCGGAGTACGGTGCGACCACAGCGTTCCATCAGGCGGCTGTGTTGGGCAATAGCAGTCTTGGAGGAGGGATCCCTACCCCAGCGACGACTACGAATGCTGGCTCACGGACCTCGGGATCGAATAGTAATTTGGCGATTACATCAGCGACACAAAGACGGATGAAGGCACGTCCAAAATGGTATTTTGGGATCCGGTCACGGAGCGCACCTCGGGAAGTAATGGCTGAGATCTACAGGGCACTTTCGAACTTGTCGATGAAGTGGAAAATCATCAACGCGTACCATTTACGAGCAAAATATGAGTATGCGGAGGGATTTGAGGTTAAGATTGAGCTGCAGCTGTATCGTCTGGATAGCGAGAATTATCTAGTGGACTTCAAGTATGTGGGGCAGCAGTCTGCGGCGGAGATGGAGGCGAGGGCCGAGTTGATGAGGAGTATCAATGAAGAGTCTCAGAGGAATTTGAGCATGTATCAACAACAATATCAACAGCAGCAGCAGGCTTCGGCAACGATGACAGAGTTCCCGACACCGACTATAGAGGCAATAAGAGCTGCCGACGAGGTAGATGCTGATGTATCAGGCGCAGGAGATGAGCATCCCGTCGCGGTTATAGCTCAAGGCGCGGCGCATATCATGTCGGACCCTCAGGATATTCCTCAACCGAGCTCATCGTCCGCCATCAACGGTGCCGAACACCATCTCTCGTCTACAGTGCCTACATTACGGCCCCTTCAGCCGATTGTCAGTTTTCAGACGGGCGTCAACGCCAACGCTGGTGTCAGTGCCAGTACCAGTGCCATGGCCCATTCTCTCAGATCAAACAACAGTCCTGAAGAGAGCGCCATGACAAGCATGTCCCTACCGGTTCGTCCACGTCCGTCTATCAGCATCAATATTAGCAACAGTATCAGCAATAGCGCAAGCCCTGGGATCTTGTCATCGTCACTGATGCAGGAGCAGCAGCTCCAGAAGGAAATGAACGAGCTGCGACAGGAATTGAAGCACCAGCAACGGCAGCGGGATCTGAAGCAGAGACCCACGCATCTGCTGTTCCCGAAGGCGAGTTATCAGCTTGCTTCGGCGACGAAGGAGGTGACTTCGCCATTCCCCTTCTTTGATGTATGTGGTAAGCTGATCACTGAGTTGGCCATCGGAAGCGGGTAGGCAAGAACCCAAGGAAGACCGACATTGAACTCGGGTCTTTGAGCGTATACGTTGACACTACATCACCTATACCGCAACTCATCTTGTATTTGTAAATAAAGGACGAAAAGAACAAGCGTGATGATGATGGATTACTTTGCACATCGCGTTTACGTCTTTATTCGTTTAGGCGCTCTCGTTGAAAAATGGTTATAGTTGACGGTGCTGCTGCTGTGGAGGCTGCTGGAATTGCTGAGGCAAGTTTTGGAGGTCCATATTCGACTTTGACCTTGTCGGCGACGCATGCGTATTCAATCCTTTGAGCGAGCTTGGCGAAGGTGGCGTACCCGCCCGCCTTACTTGAGCCTGTTGCCATCCATCATGGTACCCGTACGACGATGGTAACTGCTGGTGCTGAAGATGTGACTGTGGGAGCTGGTATGGATGCGCCTGTCCCTGAGCCTGATCAAATGCCGCGCCCGTCGTCATCGTCGTCGCTGTCGTGGGCACGCGGGTTGCTGAATTTGGCCCCAGGCTATCGAACCGAGGCCTGAGCTGGCCACTTCCTCCCTCTACGGGTGACGACGGTTGGACGATCCCTGGATTCAGGCCATATGACCTTCGAGAGTTATCGAATCCCCTCGTCTGCAGAGACGGGGATATGGATGCATTCGCCATGCTGTTCGCAAGGTACCGGTCATCGACCATCATCATAGAATTCGTCCGCGCGGGGAGCTTGGGTAGAACGTCAAAGATCGTGTTACTGTTAAGGATCAAGTCCGCGAGAACCAGGTCGTTGCTCCAGCTCGCAGCCGCCGAGACCGTGTTCGTCGGAGGCGCAAAGGTTGAAGTTGTCGTAGCGACGGAGAGTAAACTAGGTGATGCCATCGAAGAGCCTAGGACCAGCGCGGAAGTATTTGCGCTGCCCCCCACGGTCGGCGGTGGGATGTACGCAGCAGATCCCGATCCCGATCCTGGAGCGACGGCGTTAGCATCCGAAGGCATCCGTGGAGAAGAGGGTGACGAGGTATAACCGTGACCCAGAGACGTGTTTTGATGCTGCTGATGCTGCTGATACTGCTGATACTGCTGTCCCTGTTGCGGTTGCAATTGCTGGGGTTGTTGCTGCTGATTCTTTTGATCTGCTGGTGGGAGCGGGTAGCTCGACCAAGGCGCCGTCTGCACGCCCGGAGAATTCATCGATGGCGACGTTGACCCCGCCTGCGGCTGCGTCTGTGGTGCGAACGAAAGCGCTGTCGACGTGTTGTTGCTAGTGCTCTCGCCCGACGATCTCTCGGGTGGTTGAGGTCCAGTGACGAGGGCACTGTTGAAATCGTGGAAGATCGCTGGCGTGAAGATCATCGATAAGTTCTCGAGGGTCATCTTGTTTTCTTCCACGTGTTCGTGGATCCTTTGGAAATAGTAAGGAAAGCGGCGGTTTTTTGTTGTTAGAGCTCTGGACCTGGCTGGCTTCCTGTTCATTATGAAAAATATTAAAGGCAGTTACCTGCGCAGATGCTGGATTAAGAACTGTAGAGTGTCGATATTGCAATCCGGCAGACGTTTCAACCGCCCCTTCAGTTCCCCGAGTCGGATGTTCTTATCCGGAATGCCTTTATAGAAGGAGTCAAACAGAAAAAAAGTATTTCAATAAACGCAGCAAGTAACGATAATGCATGGAAACGGGACATTGAACTGTACCATTGCCTTACCTGAGTATGCGACTCGTTCGCCAAGTGGGAAGGGGAACAAGGGCTCAGGCAGCTCCCGGAGATAGATCTTCAGGACCGCAGCAATCGAGGCGCAATCTTCACTGAACGCTGGGTCTGCCAAATCAACAGTCTCCTCGTTGAGGTCGAACTGCTTCTTGAGGTTCATAATCTGAGCGTGACGTCCAGAGACGCGGTAGATGCCCTCCCGACGCAATCCTAATGCAGGACAGCAGAAAGTGTTTATACGTGAGGATGTCGGATCAAAAATGTATTTTGATTCCTAAAAGTCGAATGTCCATGTAGGATAATCCTTTTACCTGCACGATCGATCGCCTCTGAACATTTGACAATCACGAGTGGAATTGGGTGCCGGTACCTTCGTACATAATCCGGCAATCTCATTCCAAAGATGCTCTCTACTAGAAGCGTGAAATGAAAAAAGGCTCTTGTCAGCATCGCACGCGCACATTCACTCGCTAACATGTCCATAAAAAAGAATAGTAAAAAAGAATAATAAAGAAAAAGAAGACAATTACCTGAGGCAGATTTTTGGTAATAGTTCTCGTACAGGACCGGCTTTGGATGCGAATTGATATCCTTTGTAAACGTCAGGTTGATCTGATCCATATCGCCCACGGGTTTGATGCAGTCGACCACAATCGAGAATCGATCCATGTCCTCCTTGGCTCCCGCAATCAGGTCTCGTTCTCCGACGACGTAGGCCTCGAGGCATTGGCGACACTTTGTTCCTCGCTCCTTGATCATAGTTTGCATCGTCTAAGTTTTTTTTTTTTTTTTTTCAAGTAGACCATTTGAGAATAAGGATCATAATCACTGCGTTCCTGGGAAAAAAAATTGGTGGCAAAGAAATGATTGCAAAAGGACACGTTCTCCCCTATTCGAGGATCTGCGCCTCAGCGTACACTGAACAGCTTTGTACCTGGAATGCAGAATCGAAGCATCGTTCGCGTTGAATACGGTAGACCTCAAGTGATTGCACAGCCGTCTTGTATTCGTTATCTGTTCCCGACAATGAACCAAAAAAAAAAATACAAAGGATATTTATAGGTCAACAATTGATCAATTCCACGGGCAAGGGGAGTCGAAAGCTTGCTATTTTTTGTTATTTTGCCACCGATGTAATCGTTACCAGCCTCCTCCATATCACGCTTGTTCTTGACCAGCCTTCCAGCAGCGCCTGACGAACTCGCCAGGTTCTTGAGCCGTTCACGCACAGGAAGGTGATCACTGTCCTCGATCGCGAGCACCTGTTCGACTTCGCGGCATCGTTGTTCGTAAGCCCGTTTGATCTGAGGAGAGGTGGTCGAACAAGCAGAAGAGACAAGGGGAGATACACAGAAATGGCAGGATTTCGTCAATATGTGGTGCAAGGTTGCATATCAAATGCAAGTACATGTTACAGGACCGTACCTTTGGAACGGTAGAAAGCCTGGTTTCTGCATAGAGTTGGAAGACCGGCCTCACGGTCTCCTTCTGGCTCTTGCGCTGCTTCTCATGAGCCTCCTGCATATACCCGTATCCGGCCGGTGAGGGGATGAATAAAACAAATAAATAAATAAATTCCCGGGTGTTAAGAACGAACGATCACTCTTGCAATCATCTAACGAGACGACGAACCTTCAAGCTGGCCAGGGCTCCAGTCAGTGTTTTGAGTAGTCGAACAAAGGGCCGCCGCCTCATGTACAGTTGCTGTGTTGTGTCCAGCAGCGCGTCATAGGCCATACACAGCGTTGTCGGGATCTCTTCCGGGTCAGGAGAATTGCTACCAGTTCCGCCCTGACCGCCTGCTCCACCACCAGCAGCATTGTTGCTACCGTTGTTGTTATTCGATCCACCATTGTTATTGTTGTTTGAGCTCGAGCTTTTGGATCCTCCCTTAGCAGAGGTCGTCAGCTTCTCGAGACTGCGACTGTAGGTCTCCTCGATTTCGAGTCTGGCCTTGAAGTAGGCGAGGTACTTTGCTGTGTCTTCACCATGCATGGTCTGAAATATCTTGTTGAGCGACGCATCCCAGGCTTGGGCCTGCTCCTTTGACTCCTTAGCCTCTCTGGTCATCGGCGGCATTCCCAGGGGCATAATGGGTGCGGCACGTGTCAGCCCGCCAGGGTTGCCAGCGAATGATTCACGGTCCATATCGCTAGGCACGCGGCTGTGTCGCGAGGTCATTGGGACTGAGGTATATAGTGTAATGTATATGTGTATATATTATATGTGGAGGTGTAAAGTAAGGGCCCTGATTGTTCGATAGAGAGCTGGAGGCTGATAGAGGCTGCCGAAAAGCAAGGAGAGGAGAGATGGCGTGATGAGAAAGGGAAGGAAGGATGAGCAGGATGGGGCGGAAAAAAAGAGATGGAGTAGGATAAACGAAGGTCCAGTCTGTGTTTTGGTGTGCCTTGCCCTTGACCTTCTGGTTTGGCTAGCTTGACTTCTGGTTTTTCGGCGGACTGGGTATCGCCTGTGCGTGTGCCTGGGCTTTTTTCCCCTTCTCGTCTGGCTTGGCCCAAAGTGCTCTCCCTCTTTTTTTATTTTATTTTTTTTTATGACACAAACACGGGCTAGGCCCTGTTGTATTTTCAATCTGGCACAAAGTATTGTCATAGATGGGGCACTGGAGTAAATAAATGAAGGCGGTGCAACGCGTAGATTTTTTTTTTTTTTATGGTTCCTAGGATATCTGTATTCGTCTTTGTCATCTACTTTGAGAACTGAGCGCCCTCCAGCTTCTCAAAGTGCTTCCTGGCAATGCTGATGTTCATGAGCGTCGCAGCGGATTCTATTTACAATAAAGAGAAACGGAATTGGTGTCAGTACGACACTCTATGATAGTACGAATGTCTACAATTAAAAAAAAAAAAAAAAAAATGCATGAATCTGTGTAGCCTAGATAACTTACGAATGGTTGGATCCGACATGATGACCATCACATAGGTGTTGCCCGTCAGGTAGTCGATGAACCCTGCAAAGTTGGAATGTCGTACCTCCATGCTCTGGAAACTGCCTTGTGTCCTCCTGCAGTCGTGTCAAACACGTAGACATTAGTCGGAAAAATAAAAAGTATCAAAACGTGGCCTCGAACGGAAAGGTGACATTTCCACTTACGAACATGAGAGCTTGAACTGCTTGATAATATTGCTGATCTTCTCGAACCGGTGCACGTCGCCATTGTCGACTCTGGTTGAGTGTGCAATGACCAGGAATGTCATCCGTTCAAACAGCACAATCTCGTCCGCCTCGCAAATTTTGCAAAAGTTGTCCAGGTGGCTTTCCAGGAGCTGCACATTGGGGATGAGAGAGTAGACGATGGATGACCAGGCCTAATGAAGTATAAAAAAGCAAGCAAAACAGATATATGTCAGTCGTAATCCAAGGCGTCTAGGCGCGTGATCCTGTCTGACACACCATGGCCACCTGCCTTATAGAGCGTCTCGTCCCAAATCGAGGTCCTGAAGGGTATCACTTGCAAGGGCAGGGATCTCGTTTGCAGCTCGAGTACACGGTCGTTGTAGATCTTATCCCGCTGGTCCTCTAGAACAAGATCCATCTTGTGAATCAAACAAAAGATCTTTGCGTCCTTGGAGTTTGTCATGATGGCCTCCAGACAAGACTGATAATAATGCATGTCCTTTTCCACATCCCGGCTCTCCACATCGAATACGTAAATCAAGACCTCCACGTTCTTGAAAATATGGTCGCGCTGCGATGCAAAGTAGTTCTCCATGAATGCTTCTTGCCTATCCGCAGAGCAAATTGTAGCCAATGTCAGATGGTCGGCAAGGTATCCGTGCACTTTAATCTGTCTATGAGGATTAGTTGTTTAGGCAGGTCAAGCGAGGGCTTACCCTCCACAGTCCCAGAGGTTCAGAACCAGGTTTCCGAGAAAACGCACATGTGAGTGCTCAACATCGACTATTAAAGAACAGATGGGCAAACGAAATCATGGTAAAAGCCATTTTAATACAAAGGATGGGACTTTGTAGATATCGAGTGAATCATCCAGTCCAGACAGGACAGTGCCCTTACTTGTTGCTCCAAGACGACGGGTATCCCTGGCGATATAGTTTGAGAAGATGATGGAACGCATAGAGGTCTTTCCCGACCCGCTCTTTCCCATCAAAAGCACCTGTGATAATTTCGTTTTCCACAAGATGGGATCGAGTGAGGGTCAGAAAGGATGCGACATTGCATCAACCTGAAAAGCATGCGAATGTTGAGTGCGGCAAGGCAGCAGCTTACTTTTTTCTTCATGGCTGCAGTGTGTGTTCGCTAGATTGTCGATAAGATGCTTTGTTGGAGCGTGGACTGGAGAATGAAGGATGGGTACAAGTACGAGTGCGTGTGGAGGTATGGGTCAAGTGAAGGGGGCGAGAATGCTGAACGCGACTGAAGAAGTGAAAGTACTTCTGTGAGCTGGGCGAGCGAGTGACCAGCCGAAATTTATGTTGCTCGCTCAAATCACATGATACATCTGCTGCCCAAAGATGATAATATATTCTCCACTGAAGTACTATCGCTTCTTTGACACTAGATTGGCTGCATCATTGAATAGTCTCTCGGATGGCACTGAAGAAGGTTGGATTGAGAGGTATTTACATGCAATGTGCTTGCCCTGCAGGCGATGTCGTCCTCGGGCTGGTAACGAGCCTATTCCAGCATTTGACCCCGCTCCCCTCGCTCCTATCCTTCCCCTCTCCTTCTCCTTTTCTTCCAGGGAGATAGACTTTATTCGTTGCTACACACAATTATAACTCAAATTTGTATGAGGAAAATCACACCAAAAAACTTGGACTTGATCTCCTCATAGGATATGTGTCTGATTCCTGGGTACTCATGAACCTTATTCGTAGACGAGCTTGAATTGTAGACAGGGCAGGCCGTCCCTTGAAGCGACGAATGTTTTGGTGTAGTTATTGCCGTCCCTGCAACTGAGATTGATATCGGCCTTATGAACGCCGCCAAACATCGCATCCAGATGTTCCTCCTGCCACCATTCCGCTCGAGGGCGAGGTCGATTTTTGCCGTATCGCTGTCGTGTATTAAGAAGTTGCTGATAGATACTTAGATACTTGAAAGAATGTGTATCCAAGGAAAAAGTCGAACCGTGGATATCCTGCATAGCCACGTATCTATATATCCATACCATCTTTGTCGAAGTGCCCGGGTGGTTCCTGAAGCAGCTCGTATCCTGAAATTCTCAAATGTATGTCCATTGCATTTTTCCCGGCAAGGTCTGTTGTCTTGAGTACCAAGTCAGAAAGAAGTCCGGATAAGCTACTGGAAGAGGGCGTCCTCAGATTGTCCATCGTCTAGGTTATCTCGAACCAGGCCATTTCGATAAGCATCAGGTAGTGGGCATTGCTTGTATAAATTCAAGAGCGCGGCTTTGCCAGCAGGACAGATCGGATTGTGAAGCACCGCCCTATTCTTACTCACGTATCGATACACTATTCCAAGATCCAGAAACTTCCAATCGAATATAACGTCGGGTCGGACTTTGCCAGGCAGGAACATCTGCGCAAGGGCCAAATGGGTACGGTCCTTGGAGATTGTAGGAAGCGAATTGTAATGAGTTACGGCAACAAAATAAAACTCATGACGCCGCCGTTCCTCGAAATTCTTCAGTCTTTCCTTGACTTCCTGCAAGGTAAGCGGTGAGGTTCCGATCCCTTGGACTAAATTCACGAGCTCACGCGGCACGTAATTCGTGATCCTCAGCACCTCATCTCCGATGTCAGATACATGATCACGGACCGTCGAATCGAAATGAGAAAATACTGCAGCCTGTAACTTGCCGAAGGTTGCTGGTGACAGTGGGCTAACGTAAATAAGGCGGGTTCTATCTTTAAGATAAAACCTCTCGAATTTTGCAGTGCTGATAAAGACCACTCGCGCTCCCGCTGCCGAATCATCCCAATAGTTGAACGTTTTCAGGGGCTGCAAAACCACGAGCCGAGCAGGTACCGGCGGGTCAGATGCGAACAGCACGCCATGCTCGTCGATGATACAAAGAGATTTGTGCTCTCGTCGCTGGAGCAGACTCCCGAGGATGGTCGCGGCGCTAGACATCACGAGGGGAGTTGATCGATCCTCATAGGTTACCAATTCCCTGAGCTTAGCGGCAGTCAAAATATCCCTGTTGATAGCCAAGAACTGTTTGCAAATCTCGATTGATGCACTCTCCGAGGTGACTTCATTAAGCATGGCCGCGTCGCCAACGTAAAGGACCAGCCAGCCATTAGCGTACGCCTGGGCTGCGAGATACGACCTTCCTACGCCCATTGGACCGGACAAGACTTTTTCGACCGGGAACTTGGTATCACGCGCAAGCATTTGCCAAATTTCCATCATCTGCTCGATAACGATGAATTGGTTGCCCTGATAGGTCTGTCCAAAGTGGTTGGGGACTTGGCCAAGATGTTTCGTCGTAATTTGACTGCCGGCTTGAACACTCAACAGCGAAGAGAAATCTGTGCGAGGGTCCGGCTTGAACTCGTCACTCTCGAGCATTGCCAATAATAGCGGCGGCAGCTCCACAGATTTGCCATCGGCTGCAATGTACGGTTCCCAGCGCTCTGCTGATTGACGCCGTTTCATCGGACTTGCCTCCACTGCCATGTTCAAAGAAACGGACAATATTGTAATCGGGTATAAATGATACAGATGGAGTTACCACAAGTCAGCAGCAAATCCCGATTATACGCTGCAAGTCAATCAGGCGTTTTGATCATCGCAAGTTTTCTAACCTTGGTTGTCGAGAGGTCTTTTTAGGGATTCTTTCGCATCGGACACACAAATAGAGACTCTCATTTAGTGGGGGTTTCAATTATTATCAAGGCTCAGTACTCAGCACAAGTACAGCACAAAAATAAATATCGGGTAAGTCCAGGCACGACTGTAAAGTGAGCGTGAAAGCCTTACCTGGCGGTGGTCGCTGAACGATGATGTGGATTGCATTCTTTGGGGGCCCCTCACTAAACACTTCCGAGAGATCGCTGGTCGGGCGCAGCTTCTTCTTCTCATTCAGGGTGTCGAGCCTGATGGGAACCTCCTCAACATCAACGGGGATCGTGACAAGCCAGAGCGTGAGCTTGCCGGCCGCAATGTTGTTGAAGGCGAAGCCTTCTGAGCCTTGATGAGCTTCTTGAAGTCATCAACAGTGTCTGATGCCGCAATTTTGACTGTAAATGCGATCGACTCTCCATCAATGATACAAAAGAGCTTGAGGTTGGCCATGGTGTAGGAACAGTTGGGAATGGCGGTGAACGTGTAATGGGTGTGTGAATGCGCTGAGAGATTGACAGCGTTGTGAGAGCGAGAGACTGAGTAGAGTGCAGAGTGAATGGAAACAAGGGACGCGTACGCGAATGCTCGCCACCATTGCCCTCAAACGTTGGAGAGAAGTGAAGATGAGTCACGTGTGATGCGCATGCCTTGGGATCCTGCACCCACAAAGGCGAAGAAAAGGCCCGCACAGCTAAGGGAAATACAGGGAAATACGCTGTTTGCCTGTTCCCTGCTGGTGGCCAGAACAGGTCTTGTGCGCTGTTCCCATGCCCGGCACCCTATTTCCACGCATACAATTGCTGAGAGAAGCGTAGTGTTTGACTAATGCAGCCTGCTCAATTGGCTCACCCCACTTTTGGATGCACACGCCGGGGATTGTTCCTTCGAGTGAAGCAGCTGTGGCACTTGGAGCACCTGAAGAGCTGCAACGGCGGGATAAACCCAGCCCCACTCGAGTCCTGCTCTCGGTCGACTCTCTCCTCTTTCTCAAGGCGTCTGTCACCGCCCTCCATCCTTCCCAACGCCCACTCCATCTTGTCCATTCCTTCCTCTCGTCCTCATCCGGATCACTGCAACAACTGAACAGGAACAAAAAGCAGAATCGAACAAAAGGCCTGAAACTCAGGCTGGACACACCTTCTTTCTTTCACACCGACTCCAAGCTTTCTACTCCTCACGGGTATGGGCCCTTACACGCCCTCCTGTGTCGCATCCGACGGAGTGCGCTTTTTTCTCATCAGTCTCCAGCCCTTTAGCGGCGCCAACTCCTGGACCCTGACCACCGACCCTACAATAACCGCATTTGGCCGACGCTTCGTCCTCCTCCAATCCCAACCCTTTCCAAACACCGTGACAGGATTCTCCTGGACGGTCGTCGACAGTTATCCGTCGCCTTCATCCCCCTTACAGACCAATGAGCTTGATATTCTAGTAGGCGACTATGCCTCCGGAACAAGCAATTGCCAGGTCGACTCTGAAGGTAATTTTATCTGGATCACCGCCAAATCCATCGCGAAGGACCCAAACGACACAAAGACCGCCCATGTCGAGTCGAAACCTAGAGGCATTCGATACAGCGTTACTGCAGGCTCGCATCCAGGAAAAGGTGGAAGTGGCACTTGGTCTCTCATCAACACAAGTCGATTAGCCAGTACGCAGGGTGCGACCGATTACATCTGGGGCGACGAGGGCAAAGTGAGTGCCTTGTTTGCTCTTGCTTCGGGCATATTTGTCCATGCTATGGCGTCGACTACTGTCCCTGGTATTACCCTTGGCGTTCTGACCGGAAACAATCTTGTTCAATCCAGTCAAACATGGTCCTTGGTAAGCGAATTTTGGTTAGACGGCGTTGTCGGTCGGTGACTTTTGAGCTTTTGGGCTTTCTGTTGTCTAGTTTGTTGCGTCAGTTTAACACAAATAATTACTTCGCCCTGTTCTTGCGTGTGTGCGCGCAAACGTATTCATGCGCGTAGGATCCTGCGATATACGGTATTCCCAAAGCAATTGCATATACCAACCAAACGATATATGTCCTGGGATCGAATAAAGTGCTGAGTCTTCTGCCAGTCAGCACAACAGCAACCGATGTTGCCTCGTTACAGACCTACCTGGATTCAGTCGTTCCAAGGCAGTTTTCCCTCATGAAGGTCTCTGATGAGTGCCTGACCTCAGCCACTCTCTTCTCGTCCGCTGTCAGGGACGCGTTCTTCCTGTTTTGCACTGTAAGTATACTACGTCAGCTACCCATTACGATGCATTTTTGCTGTCCATACTCACTGGCGTTTCGCTGAATAGGAATTGGACCCTACTATTGCCCTTCGTGTGTTTGTATTCGAGTACGATGCCTTGAGAGGCCCCTACCTGCTTCCATATTACAATGGACAGTCAAACATATCAGCCTTTGCTGTTGTCTCGACCACTGAGAAAAATCTGCCTGTATCTGACTTTTTATTCATGTCAATGAGCGACAACACGTATGGAATGACCATGGGGTCCAATGGACTCTATTCCGAGACAGTCAGCTATGTTATGGGCGACGACACCACTCCCAATAACATTTCACCCAGTCCCTCGTTATCGCCACCAAACGTCGATCAGCCCAGCGGCAGCGGCAATGGCAATGGCAATGGCAATGGCAATCGATCAGGTGGCATTGTTGGGAGCATTATTGCGGCGATATGTATAATCGCTTTGCTCTATTGCCGGTTCGTGCGCAAGAGACGCGTACAATCCAAAATCAACGAGATCATGCAGAGACATGATGGATCGACACATGTCGTTCCTCCAGACCCCAGGTGGGCCACTGTGTCCAATATAGTGCCTCCGCCCCCTCCACTACCACCGCCTGCCCATCATTTTGCGAGCTTTGCAGCCATCCCTACAGAAGAACAACAGGATCTGGCACAGATTGAGATGCAGAGAATGCGGTTAGGACCGACGCCGTCTATTGTCGGTTCATCCGCAGGAGTGGCTCCTCCAATTGCCCCTCCGTCTACGGTTTCAATATCTGATGATCATTATGAGACTTCCACTCCACAATCACATTCACACCAGTACCTGCATCCTCAACATCAGCATTCGACATTTAACCGCCATATAGCCTCTAAGAGTCAGGGAACCGACTCTGGCGAGGATTCTTATTTACAGCATACATATTCAAATTCACCTTCAGGGTCGTCAACTGGCCCCGTAGCCTCGAAAGACCCGGTGTACCCCAGCTATGCCGGGTCCGGTTCAGAAGGCTCGTCCTATCGTCATCATCACCATCCTCTGCAGGTGTCGCAGTCTTTTTCGAGCCCAAAAGAGAAAGATAAGGGCTGGGCTGATGATGACTCTGAGAATTTATCATCATCGCCCCCTCCGCCACCGCCACCGTACCTCGCGGTGGCAACCCAGTTGCTGAACGCGCCCAGTGCCCCTTCATCCAGCAACCCTCCTCCTCCTCAATAAAAACACTTTGAGCGCGCATTTGCATAATGGTAAAAAGGAAATAATAACATTTGGCATTTCACATATGTAGAGAAGGTACTCAAGCTGGTCGCGTCTACAAAGCGACGCGTTTATTTGGGCTCTGATGGCTCATTTGCGCTGTGTGCTTGAATCCATCCTTGGAGATGCTCTTTTTTTTAAATGTATCTTTTAGCAAAAAGTTTGGAATTCTAGGGACACTTCCATTTGTCTACAGACATATTTTCATTTTGGTATACCTTTGAGGCCTAAGAATGTGCATGCAGATCTCATTTGTCTACAGACATATTTTCATTTTGGTATACCTTTGAGACCTAAGAATGTGCATGCAGATCTAAGTGAAGAGGTAAAAAAAAAAAGAGTCAAAAGACTAAAGAATTATTATTATTTTTTCTTTTTTGAAGGGATTGGAAGGGGCATAGCCTTCAACTCTTTAATAGGGCCGAGTACGTTAAGAATGACCAGGCCATAACACCACGCAAGCCCAAACCATCCACATGCGTTGCAACAGATGGTTCAAATCACCAGGCCCCTTGTTGATAGTTGCGTCTAGCACCGGGCACAACATTCCTCGTCCTATTCATTACGCATAGACACGCAATTTTAAAAATTGGGTGCTCCCATTCACGACCGCCCCTTGGGTTCGATCAGCCAATGAACTCGAGAGCACATACATCCTGAATAGGAGAGTATAGGGATATGAGGCTTGAGACAAACAAGAAACGTGTTCGAATTATTTAGCAGCAGGCACACCCCTACTTTATATTATTGCGGTGCAGCCTGTGGCACGCTTGCACGCCTGGGGGGATCTGGCGTCAATAAAAAAAAAATACTTTATATTATTGCGGCAACACGGCAACACCACACGTGCGTGCATGCGCGTTGTTACATTTTCCAGGCACGGAAACCGGCAACTGGTAACTGGTATGTTAACAAGACATGTTCTCACGATAAACATGCCTATACATATCGACTTCTTCTCGCCGTCATCTTGAGTTCGCCATGCATGCGCGTCAAGTGGGCAGCCTTTTTATTAAAAGATGGAAAAAAAAGGAAAAAAAAAAAAAAAGAAAAGAAAAGAAAAGAGAGAGACACTGTGTCTGTGTGGAACGAATGCTTATCTCAAGAAATCAAGTTAGATATGCGAGTTCGATCTGCGTCTGTTTCCACGGTGGGCCCGCTGTTTGTGACCAATTACTGTCTGCACCCACGTATCACCTGGATCATTACAAGGTTGCACCAGCGCCTTGTGCAGCGCCAGATACTTTCTTTCCTCGCGGGCTTCGAGCGTCTCGCGAACTGTAGGCTTTCTCTCACTGCGCCCCGGGCCCGGGTCGTGGTCCTGTTCTTGCTCCTCGTCTTCACCGGCCATTTCATCCCCATCCCTGCCCTCGGCCGTCATGTTCATGTCCTCCTCTTCCGCTCCATCACGTCCAGACTCCACTCTGTTCCGACGGGTCCTTGAACGCTCTGGCAAAGAAGATGGCGCTGTATCGGTGTCAGATCTCGATCCACCGGTTGCTGACAAAGAGTACGCATCGAGGATTGACGATGCACGTCTGCTGCTGGTTTTCATCATGTGCTTGAGTAGCTTGGGATTCAATCCCTTTCTCGTCTCGTCTGCTTGCGCCTTCCGTACCGCCTGCAAACGTTGCGCCTCTTCGATAATGGATCTCTCGTCCAAGTACACTTCTCTGGCCACTTGGAACACCGCGTTTTCATAATGCGCCAGCTCGTCCGGTTCATAGTCGATTACACTAGAGAGCTCCATCCGAAGTGCCTCCATGTCCTCACGAGTAAGATCCGATCCCTCCGAGATCTTGATCGGGGGTTCAGCTTCTCTCTCGCCGTCGTCGCTCTCATCATAGCCACGCGTATGTATTGCCGGTTTATACCATCGGTAGCGTTTGTCGGTCGCCAACCAGAGTTTCGAAGCCAGCTTCTTATCTTTGATATAACCCCCCTCTACCAGTCCCTTGGCATCGATTGGATGCCATGTCTCGACACCGGTTCGATGCAGCTCTTTATCAGAGTTGGCTTTAAGCACGACCTCCGCCGTGAGATCTCGCGTATACCGATTCACCCTGCTGCCGTCTCGATAAAACCCTCGCGTTGTCTCCCTATTGATCAACTTTGGAATCTGAATGGGGCCTCCACCTTGAATAGAGTCCCCCTGGCGCTTATAGCGCTCCGTCCGAACAAGCCTGATATTCGCAGTCCGGGTTTCGGGCACGAGGATCGATTGGAAGACGTGGACCTGGTACTCTGCAGGCAAGAGATGGATCGGGTACTCGGCTGAGGGGACTGGCGTATTGTTGTCTGTTGACGGGAGCTCGGCGCGCTGAGGGAACGTAGGTCGATCATAAAACTCATTGCCATAAAGAGCATGCCTAGAGGCGACTGCAATGGGCTTTGAGTGCTGTGCTCGGACTCCATCGATCTCGAGGATATTTTCCAAATGCAGTCTCTGGTCTCTGTAGTGCTGAAAAAGCGTTGGACGTGGGCGATCTCCAGCAATAGTCCGCAGCATGTTGGGTCTCAACATCCTAAAGACGCCGGGCGCCTTAGAATTGGACCTGCCGAGTGCCAGCATTCGAACATAGTTCGAGTCCGCAGGCCGCAGCCCCTGTCTGAATGACAATGTCTCCCGAAATACAATCTCCTTGGCGAGTTTTACGCAGTCGTCCCACGACCGTGGTGCATGGCCCCCGGTCTCTGCAACACTCTGGATGTCTCGTGCCACGCTCACGATCGTCTCGTCTTCTTCCAGAGCCATTTGTCCGTCGTTCTGCTCCCAATTCACAATGTACTGGTGATTCTGAACTTCCTTGCGCAACAGGTGCCGATGGTGTATGTACAGCAATCTATTGTCCGCGATTGTCTTTCGGACATCCTTCCTGGTGTTCTCCTGTGCCCAAGCCGGCAGTGAACTGGTCCGAGGCTCTGGCGGATTCACAGGTACAAGTCCAACGACAGATCGAGTCAGCCCCTTTTCTTTCTCGAGTTGCTGTGTGATCCTTGGATATAACGACATCAGGCCCTTGTCCCGGAGGTTCATCTCAATACGTTGGGGTGTGCGATTTGGCCATCTCACTTTCGATAAGAAGAGTTGGTGCGCTTCTTTCTGGACGACCTGATCCACGATCTCCCTCTGTTTCTGGTCCCGGTGCTCCTCCGTGCGCATAAGAAAGTCTCTCAAAGAGTCATACTCCTCTTTGTCCATTCTCATCTCGATAACGCCAAAGTGCAACTGATCCATTAGATGCTTGTTCTCAGGTCCCAGCTCGGCCTCCGTTCTATCCAACCATCCCTGCTGTCTCAAGCCCCCCTCTACTTTATTCATCCATGCCGGTTGTGTCAGCTCGGGGCGACGAGGAAACTCTGGCTTATATATCTCCAACGTAGCAATGCTACCGGGATATATCGCCTGCATCATCCTCTGGTTCTCAGTATATAAGTCGTCCTTGGCCCTGAGAAACTTCCTCATGGGATTGGTGCTTCGGAGTTTTCGGAGCGGATTTAGAATACTCCTCCGAATCCGGTTCTTGAGCTGTTCAAACGTCTGAAGCCCGTGAGACAAATCTTCCCATTCATCTCCACGAATTTCGGGTATATTCCATTCTTCAAGCTGTCGAATGTAGAGGTATGTCATGGGCCGTTTCTTGTACAGGGCAACGAATCTTGCAAAATATAGCGCCGCCTGGGTGGGGCTCCGAGCATTGCAGGTATATAGCTCCCAGTCCTGACTACGCCGTGTGAGATGGTTGTGTTGAAGCAAGATGTAGGTCGACATGGCAGGTGCGTCTATGTTATTTCATCAGTAACGCGAACACGTTAGATATTATTCTCGAAGAAGCAGGAAAGTATAGGCTCTCAAGGGTAATAGAATACCGAGACATACCTAGCTTCTTCGTGGTATGTAGCCATTGATTCAGGAGCCCGTGCGCAGTGTATTCAAATTTCGGGTTTGCATCTGCATCGTTTGCGATCCTGTCCCAGTGGATACCAACTTGATCCATATTGTCCAAAATGGCGCCAAGCATACCTCTAATTGTTTGAACAAAGGAAGCTCCTTAGGAAATGATTTCCTGCTGGTGACAACATAGCTTTGGTGTCGATAATATTTACTGGAGTCTGGCGGGCGATAGCGTGGGAGGATCAGGATCAAGGCCCTCGTGTTCCTTGAAAACACCTATAACGATATAAGGGCAGCAGTCAATAAGGCGTGTCAAAGGATGCGGGGAAGAAAAAAACAATAATAAGCTGCTGGCTATAGTGATGCAGCATGGATACGTACTGCAGACAAGACACACTTCCCCGGTGCGGTCGACCGCCGGCTGAAAGGCCACAGATTCGCGAACTCCACAGTTGTTGCATCCTCGGGGCAAGGCGACCGCACTCAATTCATAAAGCCTCTGGAATCGCCTCTTTTCCTTCAAAAGAGCCCCGCATTCGGCCACTATATATATAAAAATAAAAAATAAAGATAAAAAGGTAACTGAGTGATAGAATTCACTGATTCAGTATACGCATTGGCATTAAATAAAATACGTCAACATACCACAATAAATACAGAGTCGGTTCTGTTCATGATCAAATGGGTACAAAGACGGCAGTGGTCCGACGCCCTCGATATCCACGCGCGCCTCATCCAGCATCCGTTCCATATCGTCGTGTTTGGCTTCCGGAATCACTGTGCCACACCAGTGGCACCGACATTGATCTGCAGGTGCGGACGAATCATACGGCTCTTCCTGTAACCGCTCGATTTCTTCCTGAGCGAGGCGAGATATTTCCTGATGCTTCTGCTCATACTCTGAAACGTCCGGCTTTGACCGACCTATGATTTTTGAAGTGAGAGGTATGATGCTGAATATTGAAACCTGCGCTTTAAAAAAAAATGAACCAATGACATAAAAAAAACAATAAGGATTTTTGCTACCCGACTTACTGCAATATGAGCAGACAGTATCAGACATCTCAGTATTGGCCTGTTCCGCGTCAATTTCCTTGCCGACGCAATGGCTACAACACGTCTGTGGAGTGTAATTCACCATCATAATGTCTTCAATAGCCCATCGCCTCTTTAGGATCTCGATCTGCCGCCTCTCATTCTCCAGTCGTAGTGGTGCTCTCGGGCTCATCCAGTCATAGCGATCTAATATGTAGCAATGGGAACAGCAGGTTTAGTATAGGGGCGATACTTATCATCAAGCAGCGCTGTCCTGTGCTAGACCTCCTGAGACAACACATACGGTTGTAGTTCACGGAGCGGTAAGGCAAGCTTTCCTGAAATGTATTGTGCTGAATGTCGATATCGGATCTCCAGTTCCAACTCTCATCGTAAACCTGGTCTCCCAGGATCCTCCTTTCCGCCTCTTCTGGTGAAATTTGGGGGGCTTGGTCGTCGTCATTCCCATGGCTGTCACTACGAGGAGACGAAGGGTTGTCCTGCAGCAGAGGTGTATCCCCGTCTTGGCTAGTCCTGCTGTATGTGTCGTTATTTTCAACTCGCCGCTGCAATCTTTTGCGGCGAAGGACGTCGTCGTCGCTTATGTCACTTGCACTCTGTACATAGTGTGAGCCTGCACTGGCTTGGTTTCCAAGCGAGCTATGCCTGCGCTTCTTTGGCATGGTCAGAGAAGAAGAGGAGCGTGCCAAGCTTCATACAGAGAGAAAAAAGGGAGAAAGAGAAAGAGAGAGAGAAGTGATAGGAGTGGAATTTTGGCTAGTAGGCTGAATTGATGACAAGAAACAAAAAAAATGCCAAACAAACAAAAAAGCGTGACTACCAAGTCGTCCGTTGAAAAAAAAAAAATTGCGTTCATTTTTCATATCGCGCAGAGCACAGCCTGCACAGGCAAAGCGGACATTGAACATGAGTGTTCTTTACAAGTGCTGGTTTATTTATTGAAAGGTCTGCATTAAAGGACAGAGATCAGGGCTAGGCATCAATCTTCTGACGATGGGATCCAGAAGACTTCCTGTTCGTGCCGTGGTGCTGCTTGTTGGCCTGCTGGCGCTCTTGCTGAGCACCCGAGTCTTGTTGGGTGTGCAAGCCCTCGCTCGAGGTTTTTGACTGGGACTGTGTGTGCGAACCAGTGCCCTTGGGGTTGTGGGTCGACGACTGCTCGGTCTGGTGCGAACTCGACGACTTGGGGACCTTGCCCGTAGCGTGCTCGGACTGCTGGACTTTCTTGGGATGGCCAGTCATTTCAAGAGTGGTGCGGTGCGGTGTGGTGCGCGTGTGTGTGTGTGTCTTTGTGAATAGTTGGGTTGAACAGAAAGAGATGGCGTTGGGGCTTTGGACTATTGGGAAGGACCTAGGTCCTTTTATACGCACAAAAGACTATTTTATGCAAGACCGACTACGATGCCAAAATGGTAAATGGCAGTATGCGACTCGGGGGGTGGACTCGGGAATGGAGTCGAGAATGGTCGCTGTCCTGGGCACGGGGGTATGCCGTCGCTCATTGGCGGGGTGTGGTACAGACTGGGCAAATCAGGGGAGCCCCTTGGGCCTGAGAATCCTCCTTCGTCTGCGCGCGAGACTCAAGTGGCCATTGCTGGCGCGTCCTAGCAGACGGATCTCAAACCGGACTTCATGCCTGACCCACGACTGGCCGCGTTTGTTGATAGCAACAGCAAAAAGGGCGTGTATGTAGCTCGTTACGTACGCTTTCGGCATGACAACGACCTTACAGCGACCAGTCATGTATCACCTATCCGTGCCACTCACCATTCGATCTCTGTTGCACAAACGCGTTTTTTTTTTTTTTTTGGCGGTGGGGGAGGGGGGACCTTGCATTGCATACTATAGATAGTGAAGAAGACCCTGGCTATGTCGCCGTCCAACACCTCGATCTGTCAACTCCCAGATCCACTTCCGCCCATATCACCATCACCACCGTTGTCGCGGACGTGGTCTTGATCCTGAGAAATGGGCGTTCCTTCCTGAGCTTTGTTTTCTTCCGAATCTAGACCTAATTCAATAAACCCTCCTCTCCGTGGCCACTCTATCGAATGTTGTGTTATATTCCGATCGCCTTGTCGCATATCTGACTGAATGGGTGTCAAAGATGGAGAAGCACTCTGTGCAGCTTCGATCGTGACAACGCTCAACACCCCGCGCTTGGCAGTACTACTGCTGCTACTGTCGCTCCTAACACTAATTCCTCCATTCCGTAGCACTTGACCTTGTCGTCGCTGTCTCTGGTGTTGCTCTCGCTGTAGTTCCTTCTGGTGCTGCAGTCGCCTAATCTGTCTCGCACTGCTCAGCCAGCTCATATTCGCTTCGGAATTAGTAAGGCTGACATTAACAGCGCTCACACTTGACCCCGGTTCCAACTGCACAGGATCCTGCGTGGCACTCTCGAACGACTCGGAAGAGGAGCTCTCGCCGGCACCATGTGAGGACATGGATTTGCTTACGGATGTTGGCTCAATGGCTCCATTTGCTGTCGCTGCTGGAGTTACGGCCCCTTGTCCCAAGTTGATACCAGATACTAGAGAATGCCCAAAATCCAGCATGGATACAACATGAGGGACAGGGCCGGTATAGGGCACATCCTTGTTCCGTAAACGCGGCGAGATCATGACGGGACGGGGTTGAAACAACGGGAGCGGGTGTTGCCTCTTCTGCTGCTGCTGGTGATTTCGTGGCCCATGAGAAATCGGTCTCTGTACCTGTTCAAGCCTCGAATCAATAGTTCCCATAGCAAGGTATCCAGGCCTGTGCAAGGTCGAATTACTATTGGTTCGACCAAAGAGCGCCGTTCCTGCTGTTGCATCTTGCGTGGAAAAATTCCTATGCGGCCTCCGTACCCCACTTGACTGCTGGTACATCTCATCCGACGACCTGTATCGCCGTGGACGTTGTACCGGAAGTGGTGATTCAATTACCTCGTATGTGGCTGCTGCACCTATATCGCTTGCATGTATTCCACCACCACTACCATCGCCACTTCGAAAACCCACTTCCACAATCTCGTCTTGGCGTGAATTCACATTCGCGGCAGTATTTGGCCTCGTTGCGAGAATGACACTTGAAGGAGGTGCATTCGTATCGGACCGTCTCCAAGCGCCTGCTAGGCGCTTAATCCAGCTTTCCGCCAACCTCATCTCATTCTTCTGACGCCTCGCCCTTTTCTGCTTCCCGATCCCTTGGTCAGGATTTTCCAGTCGTCCTGGTGCTGAGAGAGAAGCTTCTTCACGTCGATAATCGCATTGGGATTCCCTGATCCCAGGTATTGCTGGTATTGTAATTGCAGTGACTGTAGAATGTGGACTGGAACATTGTGCTGCTTCCAGGACCGATTGTGCGCGGGACGCATTGGCATAGTTGATGGCCTGTGTACACCGATCGGCATGATCAATCACCCAATACTGGCCCTGCCGAATCATTCGGATATTACTGCAAAAGTGTAAACGGATAAATGGAGCGACAGGGCATGTTATACCGATCTAAACAAAGTCCACCAAAAAAAAAAAAAAAAAAAAAAAAAAGAATTAGCCAGTAGAGAACAGAACAATAAAGGTGATGGGAGGTGCGACCCCATGGACATATGCTGATAAACAACAGCAAGAGCATACAAATAAATCGACAACCAAGCATCTGCGCATGGATCGGCAAAGTGTCTTGCTGTTCATTTTTCGAATCCTTAGTTTCGAAAGCGGAAGCGCGACCATGAAGTAGGACAAAATCCAGCAAATCAAGAGTCCAACCCCTGGAATGAAGCCTAACATTAAGCAATGCGCAAAATTTAAAATTAAAAGGCGTCAAACAAACGCACAGCATAAAATGAATGTCATTTCTAGTCCATTTTCGTCGCTCACACTCACTCAAAAAGAATGATATGCCGAGGTGCTGAACAGCCCCTCGGATACCGTCTTCAGATAAATCTTTCCTCGTCAATGGCCTATCCAACTCGCGTGTCCCATCGAGAAGCACGGCCCAGTTCTGAGCGCGTTGAAACAACTGTCCATTAATCCGCATATCCTCCTCGTTGATGTCAGGGACCCCTATCTCATACATTTCAACGGCTTCAGAGTGCACAGTGGGCAATCTCTCGATCGATGAGGACCGGGAGAGGTAAATGGAGTCATTAAAATATGTTGGATCGTACTGCATTCTTAAACGGTGTTGTGTGGAGCCGTGTTAAGAGATATCTATGAAGTGTGCAAGTGGTTTTAAGTAGAATGGTGTTGTAGAGGTGTGGATTGAGGTTTTTGAAGGAAGAGAGGCAGGGAGTGAAAAGCTATGTTTGAGAAGAGGAGAAGAGAGGATGCAAAAGCATTGAGGACTCCCTAGAGAGGAATGTTTATATATTACCATCGCACCACATCATGGAAAAAGAAAAAGTGAATATAACGGCTTTGTTCAAGATGCGGCAGCTTTTAAAAGGCTCTGAGGCTACCTATTTGCTGAGGAATAGACCATGATCTCCATTCAAAGAAACCCCTGTGTCTTTGTGGATATCGAATTTGTTTCGTCCGCAAACGCTTCTATTGTCTATTGAATGCTTCGATGCCTTGCCCTGCTGTTCTAAACAGCCTCTTTCTCCATCATAGCTTGCGCAGGTTCACTAGGGGCTGGAGTCATAGGTGTTTCCGAAGTAGATGCACTGATCTTTACTGCTGACTCTTCTCCTGTGGCACTAACTGCAGTATTTGCTTCAGAGATGCCGTCTACTCCCTCTGTTTTCCCTTTCTTGCTCTGCAGTCGCCTTCCAGCAGACGGTCTGAATCCTGTTCTCTCCCGAACAACAACCAACGGCTCGTACCACCCCCGTGTCAATCCACCCTTCTCTCGATCTGCAGTGTTAAATGGTGGCTTGAGAGATCCCTTGAAGTATTGCACCACCATCTCCTGGAACCGTCTCCGTCGTTGCGCCTCGATAGGATCCACGATCTCTTCTCCTGGAGTGCCGTCCTCCTTTTGCGCATATGCCGGCGTGACTTGTCGAAACTCGTACAAGTCGTTATCGGCGTCATCAATTTCCGTGTCTTGACTCTCGCCAGCACCAAAGGCCCTGCTGTCCGATGCCTCTTCCGAAGCTTCGTCCCCAGTCGTGATGGCACCTGAAGTAACTGCTGCCGCTCCAATGCCCTCGTGTTTTTTCAGCAGATAACAGAACCAACGATGTCCAATCTGAACATGCGTGACCTCGTCCTGGTGAATCTTTTGCAGCATCCTTGCAGAATCCGTATCGCCACTTCGATCGAAACGAGCGATCGTTGCCGGGTTAACATCCAGTCCTCGAGATTCGATCGTCATATGCACGACGGCCATACGTGCGAGAGCCGAGCGAGCAGTGTCTGTACAAGAGTCCCAGATCGAGGCATGGACAGGTAGGTCCCCATAATGCGCTCCCTGTGACTCTAACCGCTCGTTCAGCCATTTAAAGTGCTAGTTCGAGTAATCGAAGGCGTTTCCCGTCAATGATCTGAATTCTCCAGCTGCTCTTTGACTACAAAACATATTTTTTCCTTGAACATACCTTAGATTCGTCACAAGCCATTTGCATAAAATCGTCAAAGAACCTATTTGGCATCAGAAACTCCTTCTCCTGTTCGTTTTCGGGCCGATCCTTGAGAGTTGTGCCAGCAGTGGCCTGAGTGTAGTATCCGAAGCGTGCCATGTTGTCCAATGCAGTGTCGATCGCCCATTGTTCCACGTTTGCCAGGGCTGAAATTTGAAAATTTGAAAAAAGTCAGGAAATGATAGATGTGTAACCAGTTTCCTCGCACCGTTCTTCAGTTTGTCGGAAACATTAGCGGTGGTTCTGTCATACCGTGCAAGATGGCGATCCTGCTTGCTACAGGGAGAAAAAAAAACGAGCACGCCAGAGATATTGTTAGCCTTATCATTGCGATGTTTCTCGAGCTACAATGAACAAAATAGTTACGATGCGCCGACGGAACGTACAGAGCGATCCAGCCTTGCCGACCTTGACCCCAAAGCCAGGTCGGACAAATTCGAGATTGTCAGGTCGCAACGGTATCTCTGGCGGGGTTGCACGGCCGACTTTCATCAGTGTCATGCCATTTGCGTTGTCGCTATCGCGGGCCTTGATGGTTTCCCGCCACTGCTGTCCAAGAAGAAGTGTCAAGTCGGCTTTCTCAATCGGATCGATCGTGTGCATGATGTGAACGCATCGCTCCAACAGCGAATCGCATCCATCTGGAAAGCGAATGTCCTGGCCCATTGTGATCTATGTTGTCCTGTCGACTTCTTTTCTATGGTGCGCTTTTTTTTTTTTTTTTAGAAAGTTGTTGTCGACTGAGTTCCACATAAAAACAACATCCAGACAACAAAAATAGTCTTTATTTTAGAGACGTGCATGGACTGGGGGGAAGACAAAAGAAGGAAATAGAGGATGGTCGGGGTGTATTGAGAGAGAGGCTTTATTCTATCTTTCCTTGCTTTTACATCTCATCCATGGCGCGGAGGGTCTCCTCGAGCTCGTGCTTGGCCTTGTCGTGCTTATCGGTCATATCATCAAGCTTGCTAATCAACGACTCGTGCTCCTTCTCCAACGTCCTAACCTTGCGCGAAAGATCCTCTGTCTTCAACTCGATCTCGCGAAGCCTACGGAGAGAGAGAGAGAGAGGGAGAGAGAGAGAGAGAGAGAGAGAGAGAGAGTAAAAAGACAATGGTCATTAGATGGTGGTCGTTGAGTCGCCCGAGCAAAACGACAATCCGGGACGATACAATTGACAGGACAGCATAAATCAAAAGCATCTGCCTGTTTTTTCATGTCGGCCTCTCCATGTCCATCTGTTTATAGTGCTCTTTCCATCGGTCATTTTTCATAGCTTCAATAAAATTGAGCAGAAGCAAGATGAAGCGTTCCAGAAAGTCGCTTTGGACCAGTCCCGTTCCTGAATCTCGTCCCATCCTCAGTCCTGCGTTCAGAACAAAATGAATTTCAAAACTTACTTGTTCTTATCATCGCTGCTGCCAGTCTCGGCGCTCTCAAGTTGGGACTCAAGGAGGACAACGCGTTCATGGAGCGAATGGGTCTCCTCCTCCTTGGTAGCAATATCAGCCCGAATAGCAGCAAGCTCGCGTTCAGCCTTCTCGGCGCGCTCCTTGGCCGCCTCAGCCTCATTACGGATGGTTTCGAGTTTCTAGGATTGGCGCAGTCAATAATGCACACAAGGTTGTGTCAGTCTCCGATAGGATAACAAATAATATTCTCGGCAACTCATGGAACAAAGAGTTGAGGATAAGCGTCATGCATGCGATAAAACACGCGTCCCATGGTCTATGTGCTGTAAACATGAGGGTTGCTGCTGTCCAATACTGTCAAATGGTCATCAAGGCACCAATGGCGAGGAGAGAGGAATGTGTCATCCTGTTGCCGCAGTTGCGGGCTGTCCTGACTGTTTAGTTCAATACATCAGCAACAGAAAAGAAGTATTCCTGGGGGGCCAGTTGGGGACATCCAGTCGCGACGATAAGGCCGACGTTCCTGCACAGACGTAAAAGAGACGGACGAACTACTGCCGGCACAAATGCTTCAGATGCTGCCATGTCGAGTGAATATGAATTAGGGATCCTACCTTTTTGAAGGCGTCCATTATGATTTCGTTGCGTTTGGGAGTGAGGGTGAAGGTGCGTGTGTGTGTGTGAGTGTGTGAAAAAAGATGATGAGGTGATGAGCCGTGGAGGTTCTTTTTTATTCGTTGGATGTGACCCATCTATTTCGAACGGCGCGTTAGCCTCCACCTTGTGCAGGTTCAGGAACGCGTACACAGTACGCTTGGATGCATTTTTTTTTTTTTTTTTTGTCGGTTGAACGCGCGCTTCCTCTATTCGGCGCCGCATACTATCCGACTCAGCCATCTTTGATTCTCAAGGCCATAAAAGTGCGTATTCTTGCTACATTCATGATCGCTTCACTCATAGACATTATTTCAGAAACGCTACAATACCAGAAAAATTGAATTCAGGTTTATGTTTTATTCGTCTACAAAAAGAGAGGGAGCCGTTCTCTTTTTAAATTGGTTCAGTTGAAGGTATATACAGACATGGCTTGATTGTTTTTGATGGTCTTGGAATGGAACCACGAAAATGATAGGAAGATCGAGTGCTGGATCCCTTTTCTTTTTAGTCGGCGCGCCAGAGAGAGTGAGCCTCGGTGGGCTCCCATGTTGGGTTGGACTGATGGCCCTGGAGACAGACGTACTTGCGTCCGTGGTACTCGACCTTGTCCCCGGGGGAATAGTTACCGACAGGGTCCCATTCGCGAGCGCAATGGCTCTTTTTCTTGTGGTCATCATGGCACCCATGCTTATCATGCTTATCATGGTTGTCGTGTTTGTTGCTATCATGGCACCCCTCGTGGCGCGCATCCGAGTGGCATGACGTGGATTTGTGGCTCTCGTGCGAGGTGTTCTGATGCTGCTGTCGTTCGCGCTCAATTCGTGCCTGCTCCTCCGACTTGGTCCTCTCGAACGTCGCTCTCTCCTCCTCCAGGTGCTTCTTCTCGTTCTGGAATCTCTCCTGCTCCAACTGCTGCTGGCGTGCAGCCTCCTTCCTTTCCTCTTCCTTCCTCTTATCATCCCCGATCACCTTGTTGGCCAAGAAGCCTGCGCCTAGGGCAAGGAGACCGCCTGCGACGGCCATACCGGCATCAGCGGCCGTCTCTCTGTTCTTAATAGACTTGATGCGCTTATGGTGCGCTTCCAGCATATACGACTGGCCCTTGACAGGCGTTGGAGACTGGCCTACGGACTCAGTGTTCTGGCCAGGAACGTTGTGAACAGTCAAAGTCAGGTTGATCTGACCATTCTGCTTTCCATCCGCGGTGTAGACGTCAAAGATGCCGTTCATGGTTCCACCTGGCGCGTGAACAACCTGATTAATCGGGATCGCTGCGAAGGCAATGATGGCATCGGCAGTGGTTTCTTCGTCCATGATTTCGATGTAAAGATCAGGCTGGCCATTCAAGGGCACATTGAATGACTGATTCCAGACGGGGTTCTTGCCAGCATTCTTGTGAACAAAGGTCTTCTGGAACGACTTGAGGTCGGTGATGTCGAGCGTGAAGCGGAGGTAAGGATCCTGCTTGCCGAATGTCTATGTATATCAAAGTATTGCAAGATTGGATCCGTGAGTCAGTAAAAATATCGCTATGATTATTTTAACAGCTCAATGCAAAGAGAGGGCGAAAGTACCTCGACATCCTTCAGATTGCTAGCACCGTGGGCGGCGACCGACAGGGTAGGTGAGCCCTGGACAGAATGCGTGCTTTGCGAATATCCCTGGGTGACACTGACACCATGAACAGATCCCTCAGAGGTAATAGTGGCTGAGGTGCGGGTGGTTTGCGAGGACTGGGAAGTGTGCTGGCTGAGCATCATGTTAGGAAGAGCGTCGAAGTAGGAGCCGGATACAAAGATGTGGAAGAGTGTGTTTTTTCTGAAGTGCTTGGTAGGACCGAGGTTAGATTGAAGAGTTGTACTGCGGGTGGAAAAAAGATGAAATGCCTCGAGGGTATTTATACCATGAAGAAGGGCATCAACGGCTATGGCAGAGCGAGGAAAAGTTAGACAGCCTCATCGCGATTGGTGCTGCTGTAGCTTGGTGTCAAGGAGAGATAGAATGGATTGCGATAATTATGCTACGCTAGGAATAGAAAAGGGAGGCAGACCTTGCCCAGGGGGAGGAAGAACTTCGATCCATGTCCGATGCATTTGAATGCCCCTTCATCCAAGTGCGTAGAAAATTTATGACGAGCATTGCCAGTGCATCTTCAGAAAGGAAAAAATAGCACCCTTGTCACACGCAAACCCAAATCCAATGCAACTCATGCCCCTCCTCGCTCAAGGACTTGATCCTGCGTGTAGCATGAGCATGACTGTCCGTCGCCCTTTGCTTGGTTTGATTGTCTAAGCAATGCAGGGCTAGAAGAGGCAGATAAAACCAGCAGCACATTAGTACATTCGTGCATAGGAAAATAGATGTTGCGCACCCCAAGGTCAGCGAGGTCCCGGTCCCTTATCAGAAATCATATTCTTTACACCAATGGAAATTATCCCCTGTTCATCTTAGGTGCGAAACCAATATATCACAGCCCTACTGACCCCATACTGTCCTCAAAAACAGATACCCGAACCAAATCCACAATGCCTGCCTCCTCAGACCCACCTGCTCCGTTACCTCTTGCGCATCCCCAATTTTTTATTTTTCATTCTATAACTGTTGTGCCGTTGCAGTTCAGCTCACTCAAGTACCAAAGGGCCCCCCTACTGGCGTTTCGATGTGACCAATGTAGGTGAAAAAAGGTGTGGATCGGAATCTATTTTTTTCATACAAACCTGTCCAATGGTATAGTATGCGCGCTTAATGAAAATGCCAACACATCAATAGCAGGATTTATGACCAGCCGCAGTTTCTCTCGCTTAGCCATGCGTAGGTGGTACTCAGTAATTAATCGTTTACAAACAAAGACGCGGGCGAGGCCCTGTGTTGTATAATCAACACAAGCCGCGCTTATGCGCATATCCAGGTGCGCGTTCAACACACCTCTCTCTCCTCTTCGGCTTTATTCCATGTTCCCATTGCTCCTTATGACTTTGCGGTCTCCGTAGTTACAGTTTTCCTGGTGATCATATCGATCATCTGCTTGCCGATCACTGCCGCCTCTCCAAAGCGATCTTTAAAGAACTGGGCCGTGTCTTCGAATCGCGCTCTGTAGCCGTCCATATTGCCCAGGGCAATGCACTCTTGCCAACCACGAGCTGACATCATGAACTCCATATCATCTTCACGGATCTCCTTGGCGTAAAGTGCAGCCTGAATAGCATCTTGAAGGTACTCTTCGTTCAAGAACAAGTACTCGGAAATACCACTATGTTGATGTGCTTTCATTGCATTAATACAGAACAAATTACATCTCTCACATTGGCATGCAACCCATCAGGAGACACGAAATGCAGGGACTTACAGCCAGAAGCGGAAGAGTGGCGTTTGACAGACCATGTGCGAATAGGGGTTCATTTTGAGTTGGTACCAACAATCAACCATCGCCAACAATGAAAGATGAGAGTTCGGCTTAATTTTTTCCTTGGGTACGCTACCAAGAGAGTACTGGTCCAGCAAATTGTCCGACAGCAAAATCTGTTCCCTGTCTCCTCGGTTACCAAACACAAAGTCGCCAGCCTAAGTCAATAAAGATAGACATGCGTTTGAATGGTCAGCAGAAAATAATGGCGGGCATACGTCCTCTGGTTACGTCCTTCGAAGCCGTCCTGCTCAGATAAAAACGTACAGCTCGAATCCTGGTGATAAACTCCTCCTCTCTCTCCTGAATCATGAGTTTGAAAAGCGCCGCCACTGATAACGAGTACTGTCGGACTTGTGCCTTGGCTGATGGGTTCAAGATCGCCAAACCCGCGTACACTATGGAATACAACGTATATTAGCACTCGTTTAAACAAAAGACGGCATGAGAACACGAATGAAATCTGTTAGTGCCTCTGATCTTACCGTGCCACTTGTTGGAGAGAATGCGCATAGTCATGTTCACTTTGACATTCTCGATACCCCCCGTATAAGTTGGATCGAACCACTACTTGGACAGTGGACAGCATACCCATATAATTAGTGTCCTTTCATTCAGGACCCATATCGTGCCCATTTTTTACATTTGCATGAATCGACTGCTCTTACCGGGAAGTTATTCTGATGTTTCCATGTTGTACCCATGCTCAGGAATGCCATGTGTGTAACCGCCTGTGTATCAGCCGTAATCCTATCGTGTTCCTTGTACGACAAGTGCGCGATCTCGCTCTCAAAGCAACCCAGAATCCTCTCCACCAAGGCCAATGCCTCATCAGATCCGCGATGGTTGATAATCACGAGCGGCTGTCCACGGGATGAGACTGCGGGTCCATGCATAGAGTGGCAGGTGATAATATAGACGTCCTCAGGTAAGTGCTTTTCGAACGCCGCAATCTCTGGCGCCTTGACAGATGTCTGGCCGGCCACAATGGCACCGACCTTTGTTGCTATTTCGACGCAACGAATAACTGTTAGTCAATTGTTATGAAAGCGTTCACCGATTGCGAATCCAGCATCAATCGAGCTCCTTACAAGGACCATAGGTAGCCACAACAGTGTCGATGAACTCTGCAGGGACAGAGTACAGGATCCAGTCACACTGCCTTGATACCAAGTGTCCATCTTTCATGACCCTGATGCCGGTGCCTTCGAATTCCTGACGCAATTGGTCGTATTTGTTCGGCATATCGCACACATTCACGCTGCAGAAGCGATCGTTGACGATAAGAGATAATCGATTAGAGCACTGTATCTACGATTGCCTTGCACTGCCAGAAAAATAAGACGACTCACTTTTTCCATCCTGCGGCGAAGAGTTTCCGGGCATAGAGCTTGCCCATGTCACCCATGCCAATGATGCCAAGCTGGATCTTCTCCATTTCAGCGATGGTGGCCTCCTGATCCGACATTTGTGTGCGTGAAACGTTGTATGTTTGAAAACTTTAAACTTATATTGGCGAAACTCCAGATAATGGCGAATAGTTCTATCAATGGAAGCTTGAACTGCTTTCAGTTATGACGGTAGAGGTTGCGGTAAAGGATAAAGAGCCGAGGAAGAGCAGGAGGAGTTTTGAGAGACAGTAGAGCAAAGGCAAGAGAAGAAGGCGAGAAGGTTCGCGTGTCTGTACCTTTTTCTCCGAGTCAGCACCGCGAGAAGTGGGGGGCATTCCAATTGCCACCAATTGACCAATCACATGATGGAGTCTACTCGTCTGGCAGATGCCAAACGAACGTGCGTTCTGTTCTCTACATCTTTTTATTCACTCGTCCATCCCTCATGTCATTCCCAAAGGACAGTAAGCGTACCCAGCCTGATATCGCTCTCCCGGAGGATGAGCAGCTGACGTTTGGACGGCAAGCCCCCTATGCCACCAGCTCAGCTACCTCGCACCCCGAGACAGAAGCTGAGCCATTATTATCAGAACCCTTCGCAGCATCACAACCCCCGAGCAATAGACGCACACCACAGGAGTTTGCGCCTCAAGGTCCGTTCAATCGAGACTACGAATAGAGGAAACCAAGGATTGCTTGGTATTGTGCACGAATAATATCGAACGTTCGCCCTACCATTGTTTAACCAAGTGGTCTTGATCTTTTGCGCAAATGAACGACCAACAACAGATATACCTCCGCCAACGTACGAGGACGTAGTAAGGCCAAGGATGCCACAAGGCACCTACGGACCCAGTCCAAGCAACGAACCAGATAGTCCCAGGGCAAGTTCCGATCCCAACTTCTCGACGCCATTGCTTGGTCAGGCACCAGCTACGCCATACACGACCATCCCTGTTCCGCCCGTACAGCCAACTTCACAGAGAGAAAGCTCGAGTGGTGAGTCAGTTTGTTTTAGTGTACTTTCAGACGGCTCGAACTGCATAGTATTTAATGAAATCAGGCACTTTTGCTGAGGAAACCTTTTGCTAACCAATCACTGGAATAACTTTTCTATGAACACATATCTAGAGGCTTCTAGCAAATGGAGCAGATTCTGGTTGGTCTTCTTCTTTGTCATCGTCGTTCTCTCGGTCATCGATGACAATACTACAACGGTGTGTATACAAGAAACATAGTTCTCCTTTGGTTTATACAAGCGGCTGTGAACTGATACGTATCAATGTTCTGTGAATAGGGTGGTGACAGGGACGGTGATGACAGGAGCGGAGGTGACAAGTGCGGAGGAAAGAGCAGATACACAACAATTATTGCGAGTGCTGATCTGCAGTCGGATATTAGTGATTTTTCTGTGATTTCAAATGGAATGGTAAGTTTGTCTCTTAGGATGGCACTGCTTTCTAGTATCAAATATACAGTTCCTTCATGAAGGATACTCATGCATGCATTGCATGCGCGCTGTGTCATTATTAATCTTGCTAGGCAAGCCACGTCGTTGTGGACCAAACAGCGGAGGGGGATTCGACCTCTGGAATGACAAAGCTTACTATTGAGGCTTCAGGAACTGAACGGGACGATCTTCGTACAATCAGACACGAGGTCAAGCAGGACTCTACCTATGGCACTATGAAGGCTACGGTCACTGGTGTTTCCGGATCCGATAGGCCAGAGTGCTTGAGGACCGTCGTCAGGATCAGCTTTCCACCCACGAAAAGGACTGTTGAGAGGATCAAACTCTATGTTGTTGAGGGCAATGTGACTGTTGAGCTGCTCGATCCCAAGAAGCCATTGCAGGTCAGCGAATTAGACATCAAAGTGATAACAGGACACAGTCTTGTCAATGCGGATGTTCTGAGCTTGGCTCGGATCGGCGGCAGCGTGGGAAGCATCAGGGGTGATATCGTCGTTGGCAGTGAGTTCTCGGCTCTGATGGTTGACGGCCACATATCAATCAATCTGGTGCAGAAGAGTGAGCAGGATGCGATGGAGAGTAAGGTCGAGACAAACAATGGCAACATCATAGTCGGTCTTGTAAGTCGGAAGCAGGAAGCTATGCTTATTCGTTCAGTTGGTGGCAGCATGATTTAGCTTATCTCATTGTCTCTAACCATTATCTCTGGAATATTTACACCGCGTTTTTTTTTTCGTGCAGCCGACACCGTATGTAGGCGAGTTCAAGGTGGAGACGACGAATGGAAAGGCACAGCTCGTAGATTTCGACTCGAAAAGGACCCATGTCTCCTATGTGTCTCCTACAATGGTCAAGGGCTGGAGCTCTGCCACAGGAAAGTCGCCCGGATACTCAAGCTCCTTCATAAAGCTGGTAACCCGTAACGGACGACCCACCCTATCCATGAAGCGTATCGAGTTGTAACAATGACCCCTCTATACCATAAAGCTGTTTATTGTATATCCACATTTATATGCGAAGAAGACTTTAAAGACCTAAATGTCGGCGATTTGGTTACAGATACTGTCTCTTCATGCCCATACACCAGGTGGAATTGATTGATTCTTTAGGTAATACATTTTTCTCGTTGTCGTTGCACGGAGCAAATTCTTTAGTCCTCCAAGGCTGTCAAAGAATTTTATGCGCGGAATATAGATATAATAGATACCGTCGTGTGGAGTGTCTCTTAAAATCTAGTCCTATTGAGCTGACGAATATTAAAGCCAAAGGCCCGCCCACATCATAGTCAATAGCATAGAGGGTGTATAAGAAAATCATAGACATCTAGCCTTCACAAACAGGGTCATAAAAAGCATTAGACTCATGTTCGGAATTATGCGAAGTATCGACTAAAGTGCATCGCAGCACGGAAAATTCAATGTTGAGGGCCTAGACTAGTTTGTCGCATAATTTTCTCAACTGACGCGTCTTTTGAGAGCGCGACTTTTTACGCGACGAGCGGCAGCAAATCGCATGGCGGTACCTGAGTGGCTTGCCTTTCTTTAACTCGCGCGCCTCTTTTGCCCATCCCTTCGCACAGCACTTTCATTCACACCCGACCGGACGACGCAGCAAAACAAGACTATGTCAGGACCAGGATCAGCATCAGGAGGGGCTTCGTTTGAATGCAGCTTGAACGGCACAGTGCTCCCAGGACAATTCAGGCACCTATACGATCGACTCTTGGGATTGTGTGAACATGCTGCCCATTCAAAGATGTTTGAGCACGAGATGCTTTTTACGCCCGCCAGTAAGACCCCACACATGTTCGTGGACAAAGAAAAAAAAAAGAAAAAATAGAACAGGAAACCGAACGGAGGCTGAGATATCGTTTTTTCAATTGCTCTTTATTCCCTGCGGACGAAAATACTAGTTCAGAGACCTATCTATGCAGCCAGGAACGACGATGTCCACTTACGATTGCGAGTTAAGCTGACAGTTCTGGATCACGGCAAGAAGCAACAGCGAGACGAAAGTGGCAGCAGGAAGAAACTGAAGGGCAGCAATAGCGTAGATGAGAGTGCAGCCACCACAGCTGGCAGTACTGACAAAGATAACGGTATACCAATTACGGACTCATTGAGCGGCGATACAGGAATGACGTCTAGCACACAGGAGGCAGGGAACAAGGATCCAACTTCAACAGCAGGTGTTCTAGCTGATGGCTCACCGAAACAACACTCCTCGACGTTATCGGGCGGTGATCCGTCACAAATGACAACAGTAACAGAAGGGATGGCGTCATCATCAATGGGACACCATCACGGATCGAAAGCCGTGGTGACGAGGCAGTATCAGCTATGTCAATACGGACACCCCGAACCTGGAAGGACGATCGTTGTGCGCTCGGCTATTCTGGTCAAGATCCATGGCGATGCATTCGGCTTTTTATCCTTGCTTGGTTATGGGTAAGGGGTTTGGGACGGTTTTTTTTTTTTTTTTTTTTTTTTTTTTTTTTGCTGCAGGACAGAAACGAGGGTAGCAGCTCGTGCTGATCAACGATATGTATTGCGTGTGTTCCGAGATAGGTTCGAAGATGAATTTGTTCGACGTGGATACAACTTCATGTATAATAACATTTGCAGGATATCGGTGTTCCGGAAATACAAGGTAATCGGCTAGAGGGTCTCTTCAGGATCAGTCTATTGAACAGTGTGCATATTACACAGGACATCTGTTTATCGATCTGTGGTTCTCACACCTTCTTTTTTTTTTTTTTTTTTTTTCTGTTTTGCGTTTACTCCCATAGCTCTCGAAGCAACACGATCCATTTTCAGCAATTGTGCCAGAGGGAGAAGCCGCTGGAGGGCACGCTCCCGATATAGCGTCGCCGTGGTTGGTCGAGATCACGTCGAGCTTCGTTTCGCAAGAAAACGTCAATTCAATGTCGGATGAGATTAATGTGGTCAGGAATTTACTCGCAGGATCGGTCGTCTATTGAACTCATACTGGACGCCAGCTGTCCATATACAACAATAAAGCAATAGAATATCGAAAAAAGGCATTATTGTGTCGAGATTTAGTTGGGGGGGTTAACATAATAGTAATTGAAGGGATACAAGCGTCAAGGGCAGTGGTGAAAGGTCGCGATTTTTCGATCTGACAGGTACATGATTTTGTACGTGTGGGTCAGTGGTTGATGGGAAGGTCGTCCCATTGGCGCGTGGGAAGCAAGGTTTTGGCCACGCACAGACATGGCATGCAGGTTGTACCTTTTGTGTCTGCGCAGAGGCGCTTGTTTACGACCGTTGAACAGCAAATAGTGCAATCTTTTGTTCTCTTTTACAACCACACTGCCAACGCCGTTATCGTATTCATCCTAGACAACGTGAAGGAGTCCCTGTCCAGGACAAGCCCAAAATCACATCATTTTAGCGTAGCCAGACTACAAAAGGGCACCGTATTTTTTTTTTTTTTTTTCTCCCCCAGATTTCGATCATGGAATAGGGTTTAAGGCTCATTTCTACCAAGCAATATTCTTCATGTGCTAGAAATCGTTGTCAAGCCGTTGCGACAAGTAGCACAAGGATCAAATAGAAAACTAACAGTAAGAAGGAGGACATGCTGAACCAAACCAAAACCTTTTATTTGTTGGGGTGGGGGTGAGTGTATCGTGGCAACCTTCTTTTTTATCTTTGCTGTAGGGTCCCCCCCCTCTGGAAGCATGCGCCTTTGTCACCATACTCTTGATCCCCCCTCCCCCTCCCCCTCCCCCCCCAGTCTGGGCATCTCAGAAAAGTACTCATATTACGCGTTGGGACATGCTTAGAATGCGATCGGATGATATAAGGAGTCGGTCATCATGGTCAAAAACAGCAGTGGTCAAAGAAGATCGGAATGTCGATATGCATTTTTTGAAGAATGTTGCCCGATTGTCGGTGCTGCTTCTTTTATTTTTATTTTTATTTTTTATTTATTTTCATCACATTTCACCAGTAATAAGGTCGACTTTGTGAGTTCGCACGGATGTGAGGTTCCTGAACGCGAAGGAGACATGTTTCCTGTTTCCCACAGGCCAGCAAAAACGACAGTAAACTCTTCTCGCCGTGTCGATCTCATTGGCCGCCATAACTAGGAGAATCAAAGGTCCGGGTTGAATGGACGACGCGCAGGCATTGGGGCTTCCTATCCATTGAGATCCATCCAGATCGCGGACTTTTTTTCTGTGGTGATGAGTATGAGACCTGTCCCTGTTTTGAAAAATGGGGGAGTCTGGCTGGCATGGCGGTTCGTCTTCATGTGTCGTGGCAGTCACTTCTTTCAGTGGTCATCCAGGACCGGAATGATGTCGTGCCGTAACGAGCTGCTGATTGGCTGGCTGCCTTTTCTTTATTTCTCAGACCAAACGTGGGTGAAAAAAAAGTGAGATAGCTGATCCTCAACTCCGGTTGCTGCTTGAGCAGGTACATCTTTTTTTTTTTTCTTTTTCTTTTTGGCCTTGGGATGCCACGGGAAATGATTGCATTCCTGGCGCCTCGTAACAGGGTTACCGTGGGAAGTTATATGGTATAGCTCTTCGATTGCTCCATTGTTTGATCCTGATCGGTCACCTCAACGGTCCGACGCGTGCTAACGAGGATACCACTGATGATCCTGATGACTCTTCCAGGTGAGGTGAAATCCTGTTGTACATGCATAAATGTAATACGAGATCGAGCAATTGGAGAGGATATGTCCCTGTGTGCGCGAGCGTGAAGAAGAATTACCGTGGAGGGAAGGAGAGAAGGAGAGTGTTAGATTGATACGTGACAACAGCAAGATCTCGAATGATTACCGGGCAGCGGACACCCAAAGGAATAGAGGATAATGGTGGTGCGAGAGACAACCACTCGAGAAGAGGAAGAAGGGGTCGATGGCGACGATAATGGCGACGGCAGATGATGATTCAAGGCCAGCCGAGTAAGGGTGGAGGTGTTGTTCGTGTTTGATTTGATTATTGTGTGATGTGAGCGCAAGATGATTTGATAAAAGGCAAACGAGCATGGTGGGGGCGTGCCAGGAATGTGTTCCTTCCTTGTCGTTCCTATTTCTTCTCGTGTTCTTCATGTGGATGCGGACGATGCGTGGATGGGTGTGAATGTTAACTCCGGCGGTGCGCTGGTGTCTGTTCCTTGGCTGGCTGGGCCCCCTCCCCCAATGCGATGGACAGAGTCCGTTGTTCTCGTCCTTGAAGCTGGAGCGAGGCAAAAAAAAATAAAGTCCGTTTCCCCCAACTTTGGCTCCCTCCTGAGGCCCATATAAATATACGCCATCAAGAAACGAAAAATTTTCCCTCTTCTTCTTTCCTCTTCTTTCTCCCTCTCTCTTCCTCCTTGCTTCTCCCTCATCCACCCTCATCACCACCGCCCCACCACCCTAATCTCAAAAGTCATCATGTCCACCTTCCTCTTCACCTCCGAGTCCGTCGGCGAGGGCCACCCCGGTATGTATTTCTCAACGAAAACAGAAAAAAAAAGAAGAAAAAAAAGGCACACCGCTTTGGAATGAGCAACGGAAACCGATCTCACGAAGAGATCGTTTTTCTGAAAAAAAAAGCTACCTCTTTGCTGACCTGTATCTTGCCTCGTGCTTTCCTCTCTTGCCCGTGTCAATTGTAGACAAGATCTGCGACCAGGTCTCTGATGCTATTCTCGATGCTTGCTTGACTCAGGATCCCATGTCCAAGGTTGCTTGCGAGACCGCCGCTAAGACCGGTATGATCATGGTTCTCGGAGAGATCACCACCAAGGCCACTCTCGACTACCAGAAGATCATTCGTCAGACCATCAAGAACATTGGTTATGATGACTCTGAGAAGGGCTTCGACTACAAGACCTGCAACGTTCTTGTCGCCATTGAGCAGCAGTCCCCTGATATCTACCAGGGTCTTGTCCAGAAGGGTTTCAACGTCGAGGACATTGGAGCTGGTGACCAGGGTATCATGTTCGGCTATGCCACCGATGAGACTCCCGAGCTCATGCCCTTGACCTTGACGTTGTCCCACAAGTTGAACAAGAAGATGGCCGACGGTCGCCGTGACGGATCCCTCCCCTTCCTCCGCCCCGACTCCAAGACCCAAGTCACCATCGAGTACAAGAACGAGGGTGGTGCTTTGGTCCCCATCCGTGTCCACACCGTCGTCATCTCTGTCCAGCACTCTGCTGATGTCGACAACGAGACCCTCCGCAAGGCCCTCAAGGAGGAGGTCATCGAGAAGGTCATCCCCGCCAAGTACCTTACTCCCGAAACCATCTACCATCTCCAGCCCTCCGGCAAGTTCATCATCGGTGGTCCCCAGGGTGATGCCGGTGTCACTGGACGCAAGATCATTGTCGATACCTACGGTGGTCACGGTGCCCACGGAGGGTAAGTCGCGTCTTGTTTGCTTGATTGCTTGTCTTTTTTTTTTTTTTTTTTTTAGGAAATGCAATTGAGTTTACACGTGCTAATGTTTGTTCCTGATTCATTAATTAACATTTGCTTCAAACATTCTTTTATCTGTCGTGTAGTGGAGCTTTCTCTGGAAAGGACTGGTCCAAGGTCGATCGCTCTGCTGCCTACACTGGCCGCTGGATCGCCAAGTCAATCGTCGCTGCTGGCCTTGCTCGCCGCGCCCTTGTCCAGCTCTCGTACGCCATCGGTGTCGCCGAGCCCACCTCGGTCTTCGTCGACACCTACGGCACCGGCACGAAGTCCGATGAGGAGATTCTCGCCATTGTCAAGAAGAACTTCGATCTCCGCCCCGGTGTCATCGTCAAGGAGTTGGATCTCTTCAAGCCCATCTACACCAAGACCGCCTGCTACGGTCACTTTGGTCGTGATGAGTTCACCTGGTACGTTTCATTATTTCTGCTGTTTAACTGTATACACTTTGTATGCTCAGTTAGTCAGACGCTAACGATTGTCTTCTGTTTCATTCATTTCTTGTCATCAACAGGGAGCAGCCCCGCAAGCTTGAGTTTTAAAGAGTGAGCAAAATAAGAAAAAAGGCGTGCGCGACTGTTTGATACTGGACATTTGCTCCGGTTGACATGGACGGTCGTGTATCTGTATATGCAATATCGATTGAGGGATCTTTTTACAACGAACGTCCTTTATTCAAGTCCAAAACAACAGGTGGTTCAACCCATTCCTGTTTTTGCCCTTTTCTATTTTTCCAAAATCTTTTAAACCAAAAAAAACATCCCCCCAAAAGCAATACCACACTGATGTTCAACGTTTTTTAAAAATCCCCGCTTTGTATGTAGACTTTTTCTTTTTGCTGTTTCATCTCTTATAACCATTGTTCAACACAATAAATGTACTTTTACCGCCCCTACCGCATAAACCAAAGAAGACTTTCTATTGCCCAATTGTGAAGGTGTAGCTGTTGAAAAAAAATGATCCCATGGAGATTCATATGAGCGAACCAACTGATTGGCAAGCGTAGTTCAGCTCTGTAGAAGGACGTTTTCAGCGCGTCCCATCGCTTTAGAAACGGTAGAAACCATGGGCGATCATCCTTTACTGTACAGGTTCATGTTTATTATGAATAAAAAAAATAAATAAAAAAAGGTCCGAATTATTGGACAGGGAAAATCTCTCTAAGAGGCACAACCGCCTCTGGCGCACATCAAGGCGCGCACACCAAAGCTGGCGACACTTCCCAAGGCCAACCCAGCTGTCAACCAGAATCCGAGCTTGACCCCCACACGGCCCTTCTTCTCCCCTCCGAGAACACAGGCCGGACCGACCATCATGACGATACTGCCCAGATATCCGTTCGAAAGCGCAAACAAGAAGACCAATAAGAACCAGATTTCGTCGCGCTGGATCAACAATGGCAACAACCGGCTCTCTGAAGAAATCGGCAAATTGGCGGTCAAGAAGATTGGGATGAAGACAAAACGTCCGAGAGCAAAGACCATGTACCGCAGTTGCTGTTTTCGTGTCGGATGCTTTGTGTTGGGCGCGAACCATGCAAAGGCAGGCAGGGCCTTGCCTGTCCAATCGCCCACGTTGTAGGTCAAGAAATGCAGTGGCACAAACAAGTCTCCAGAAACGCGAGGTCGATCCGGAGCAGTGTTGTTGGATTCGACGAGTGCGGTCAAGGATGGGAAGAGCGACAGGGTCAGGCCAAAGACCAGGGTGATGGAAATGTAGAGTACCAGGAGCGGGTGGGTCTTCTTCTTGGGATAGATATCCTGCATCAGCTGCATAGCACTCTCGTCGGTCGCCAGGGCGGTCGCGCCGAGACTCGCGCTCCTGTAATGGTTCACACGCTCGGCGGCTTCATGCTCAGCCTGTTCCTCTGCATGACGACGTTGGTTCTCGGCGATCATGGCGGGCGTGATGGTCACGGTCGTAACGCCCGAGGTCATGGAGCTGGTGGAGTTGCGTCGTCCATCGTCTTGATCCGTCTGTCCATCCGCGGTATCGTTGTTGTCGTCGTTGATGCTGCCGCTGTTCAACAAGGAGGGAGAAGGTGGTGCCAGGAACTCGATCGGCTGACGAGGTTGCTCCTCTGTGTGGTACCCATAGATGGGCAAACGGATCAGAAGCGCATGTGCCAGAACCGAAACTACGGTGAAGCCCAATGCGAAGGAGAAGAACAAGAAGGCGGAATGTTCCAGTCCCTCACTCCTGCGACGCCCTCCTCTACTATGATCTCCTCGTCCAGCGAGCGATGATGATGATGATGATGATGATGGTGATGATAACAAGAGAAGATCGTCCGTGTAAGAACTGCCCTTGGGTGGGGACAGGATTTGAGTGACAATCTGTGAGATCGCAACGCCTGCTCCAGCTAGTCCTTGTCCTCTGTTTCGATACCGCCCAAAAAATGAAAGTTAAAAAAAAAAAAAAGCCCATCAGGCGACTTTCCGTTAGCAGCAGCTTGCAGCAGTAGACCATAAACTCTCTTTTTTTTTGGTGCAGGAATCTGACGATTGGATTACACACTAATCACACGAGGACTTACAACATGACACCCTGGACATGCCTGCCGGTGAATTTGGATGCGAGGCCAAACATCCCGTTCTGGACCATGGAGGTAGAAATCGCAGACAGGGACAGCATGGACAGGGCAAAGTAAAAATAGGTGGTCGAATCAAGTCCAAAGTCGTACTGGATCGAAACTAGGATCGATAGGAAGACGGTTGCGTTCAAGAGTAAACTTCCGATGATGTGTGTCGTTCCGGGGGCCTAAAATTTGGGGGACACAAAGATCGGAGCGTCGTCAGTTCATCGTACATTAACGAGCCACTTTCCGAGGAGAAAAATGAAAAATGAAAAAAAGACGACGACATCGATGTTTCTTTGAGGGGGTTTTGGTCTAGGCTCCTTGTTCATATGTCTTTGTAATGCTTCCTGGTACAAAAAGAAAAGAAGAAAAAAAAAACGCTGGCCGTTAAACATGGCAGCCGAGTTGACTCTGGTTACCTGCTTTTGGATCAGGATTGAACTTCCAACGACAAGCAGATTCGTGCCCATGAACGCTATCGAGAAGTAGTTCTGAAAGTTGTTTTCATACGGTGATCCTGTAAACCGCAGTTTGAAGAACCCTTGAGCAGTAATAAACACTACAAAGCGTGAAACGAACAAAGAGTCAGTCTTCTTTCTAAACACAGCAACTTGACAAGGTCAATGGTCATTCCTCTTTTTTTTCATCTCGATGCTGCTGATTCTCGAATTACCATTCCACGGCAAGAGCATGGATGCACCCTGGAGGACCATGATCCAATAGGAGATTCGCCAGGGATCTGCAGGTGGCCCCTGTTCGACTGTTCTGTGCCTCGTCAAGAGGTGTGAAGTTTCATACTCGTCATTGTCGTCGTCTGGTTGGGACTCTCCCAGGTGGTTGGAGTTGTGGTCCCCGTTCTGCGGCCAGAGGGGCGTTGTCTCGTCCACTGCTGCAGCTGGCATTCCCTTGTAAGCGAATCGGGTCCGTCTGAGGCGTGTAAATGTGATATGATCTGCTCGCGCTGCCTGGCCTTGTCGGATGTGGAAGAGAAGAAAAAAAGAGGATTGGAAGAGCAGGAAAGGAGTAAAACAACGAAGGGAGAGAACGAGATTTTGTTTGCTGTTCCAAATGGCTCTCAAGGATACGGACACCAAGGGACCATCCCCATGGCTGATGCAATCAATTCACTTTTTTCATATCCAATTACTCTGTGGATTTATGGATATGAGGAAATGCTTACTCGTCTGACCAAGGCCTGCTCTGACTGGCCACAGCCATTGTCGGGTGCCAGAGAATACCAGAGGCACCAGCTGAACCAGCTAATTCCCACAATCCCGTGACATAATCCTGTATAAAAAAAAAAAAAACTCCCCGTAGTCAGCAGTCCATAGTCAATGCGCTGGGTGAGCACCAGCAATAGAGTTATGACTTTTGTATGAGAAAAGAAGAGAGCATGGCTACCTGGGTACACACAACGACCGTTGAAGAGCAGACAGACAGCCTGCTTCTCTCTGGCCTGCTGTCTGTCCTCTGCTGTCGTTCTTCCCGCTATTTGCTACTTTACTATTTTATTTACCCTGTCATATCGTTATACCGCACCCTCGTGTGTCTCTCGATGACAACAGTACTCGCGAAGAGACGACGGAAACGCGTCAAGGAAGCCTGGAATGTGCCCCTCACGTGCGAATGTTTTTTATCCATCTGGCAGTCACGGCAGCAGTTTATTATCTCCAGCAGATGAAAAAAAGAGTTTCTCTGTCCTCAGGGCAGCCTTCCTACGGGGCAGAGCAGAAACAGAAACAGAGATAATAAAAACCCCGAAAGGACACCCTTCTCTCTCTTCTTCTTCGTTCCGCGTTCCCGAATTCCACTCCGCAGACCCGACCCTTCCGCACTTGCTTCCCTCCCTCTGCAGCATATCAGCCATGTCGCCTCCCTCCTCCAGCAGCAAGCACTCCGAGTCGGGCGTTGCTCGTCTCTGCGGTTCCGGAACCTCTGGATTCCTCGAGCTCATGATCTTCCATCCCATCGACACCGTCGCCAAGCGCCTCATGAGCAACCAGACTCGCGTAAGTCTCCTTGCTCCAACCCCGCTGCGCTGCTCTACACGCATCAAATGCCTGTTCAATTGATCGGGATGTGGGATATGAAAAAACTAGAATCCGGACCAGCAGCACGTTTTTTTATTCCTTCAGGTCTTCAGGAACCAAGACTAAATAACAACAAAAACAACAAAAACAAAAAACAATATACACATACACAAAAGCACAAAACACGGAATTACCCTATCTGCTATCTTCATGGGCTATAGGAATGCAGTCGAACTCACAATCGATCATCTTTTTCTTTTGGGATCTATTAGCTCTTCGTGCCTGGTCAGCCCACCTCCGTCGGTATCGCCAACACGAACAAGGTCATCTTCAAGGATGCAGCCAACGCCGCATTTTTGAAGAGATATGCCTCCCTGTTCCCCGGTCTCGGATTCGCAGCCGGCTACAAGATTATGCAGCGTATCTACAAGTTCGGTGGTCAGCCCTTCGTAAACGAGTTCCTGAACCGCAACTACAAGAGCTCGTTCAACGGCGTCTTTGGCGAGAAGACCGGCAAGACGATCATGCACGCCACTGCCGGATCGGTGGTCGGAATCGGTGAGATTGCTCTCTTGCCCCTGGATGTCCTTAAGATCAAGAAGCAGACCAACCCCGAGGCCTTCCGTGGCCGTGGTCTTTTCAAGATCGTCAAGGACGAGGGATTCGCCCTCTACCGGTATGTGCTTTTATCTCGTGCGATGCGGGATTTTTTTTTTTTTTTTATTTTTTTTTTTCTCTTGAAAGGCAATAGATATCCCTCCTTATACTTACAATCTTTCGCACTCTTCCATTAATTAATGTAGTGGTGCTCTTTGGACTGCTGGTCGTAACGCACCTGGATCGTTTGCGCTGTTTGGAGGAAGTGCATTCGTCAAGGAGTGGATCTTTGGATTGGAGGATTACAGCAAGGCGACGTTCTTCCAGAACTTCTGCGCGTCGATCGGAGGATCGATTGCGTCGATCACGGTTGCGGCCCCATTGGATGTGGTCAAGACCCGTATCCAGAACCGTAACTTTGACAATCCCGAGGGCGGCATGAGCATCATCCGTAACATGGTCCGCAACGAGGGCTTTGGTGCGTTCTTCAAGGGTCTGCTGCCCAAGATCTTGGTCGTCGGACCCAAGCTGGTCTTCTCGTTCACGATCGCACAGCAGCTGATTCCTTTGTTCCACCATAAGTTTGAGGAGATGGGTGTCACCAACCTCGGCAACACCGTCAAGCCTGTCCAGCTTTAAAATCCGACCCATTTTTTTTACTATAGACATCTAGACAGCCTTAGATCAATGGACTTTAGTGACCTGTCATCTTTTTTTCTCATTCTTCATCCTCATTCTTCATCCTCATTCTTCATATATCCGCTTGTTTTTCTTGTACCATTCAAATAAAAATAAAAGGCTCATCGCCGTTAACACTGATAGAGATAAGAAAGAGTTCTGCTCTCAGATAGTTAGTAATCCTCCAGATGGCCACAGCTTCAAATTGCTGACCAAAGAATGATATTTATCTTTCTGGTGTATCCGATGGGGAGGATGGGGAGATGATCTAGCTGCCGCTTCTGTTATCAGGCTCAAGAGCCAACCTTTTTTTTTTTTAAGCCAGGAACTTTATTGTAGCCTAGGCGGTGAATAATACTGAAAAGCCACGTATGGCATGTATGAAGAGTCTATGTAAGGTGTATAAAGATTTATCGGAGTTGGTGCTGTGCAACTATCCGAAGCGCGTTGGTGCGCATAGATCGCGCCACACCAGCACTATCGATAGGGCTGTCATTCAACACAAAAGTATAATGAATATCCCACACGGCTCTGACCCCGCATGCCACCAGTTGAGGCAGGTTGATGGAGCGGTGGAACTCTTGCTGGATGGTGACGCGCGGCAGAGACAGCTCAGGTAGTGAACAGAGGTCCTCGTCGGTCCAAGCAGACTGCCTAGTGAAAGTTGACAGGTATGATGTCCATGCGGCTCGTTTCAGCGGGCAAAGGAAGACCATATGGCGCTTGTCTTCGACGTGAGAAAAGCGAACTGTCGGTGCCCACCATGGATTTTGCGTAAGGGAATGTACCCCTTAACACTAAATTTATTTTAAGCCCAATGAAGATGCGTTTCATACCTGTCAACTTTCACTAGGCAGTCTGCTTGGACCGACGAGGACCTCTGTTCACTACCTGAGCTGTCTCTGCCGCGCGTCACCATCCAGCAAGAGTTCCACCGCTCCATCAGCCTGCCTCAACTGGTAGCATGCGGGGTCAGAACCGTGTGGGATATGCATTATACTTTTGTGTTGAATGACAGCCCTATCGATAGTGCTGGTGTGGCGCGATCTATGCGCACCAACGCGCTTCGGATAGTTGCACAGCACCAACTCCGATAAATCTTTATACACCTTACATAGACTCTACATACATGCCATACGTGGCTTTCCAGTATTATTCACCGCCTAGGCTACAATAAAGCTTTTCTCACATCTCTCTTTCTCCACCCCGACCCTCAACCCACTCGACTCCCACACAATGGCCGACGTCCTGAAACTCTTCTGTCTCGTCGAGGGGCATTCCACATCGAGAGCATTCTCAGTCAAGTTTTCCTCAGCAGACACAGTCGACGACCTTAAGAACCTTATCAAGGCCCAACAGACTTCCGAATTTGATGGCATTGACGCAAATGCGCTCACTCTCTGGCTCGTTTCGATCCCTGTCCTCGACGACGAGGATGATGGAGAGTCCGCAATTATGCTCCACAGTCTGAACGAAAAGAAGAAGCTTAAGCCGACAACAGATCTTTCCGAGGTGTTCACTGAAGGGGCACCCAAAAAGACGATTCACATCATTGTACAACGGCCTGTACCAGGTAATGGAGCCCATTAGTTATTGCAGATCTTTTGAACACGCATGCTCTGATTCATCCTGCTCATTTCTCTTGTATCTCTTATGCTCCAGGTCCTTTCGCTGCGCCTCGCCCTGTTTCCTCTTTCCTTCGCGCTGCCTCTCCAACATGTAAGCGGATGATGGCTGATGATGGCTGATGATGGCTGATTTGAGGCCCATGCGTCTGCGAAGATCTACTTGACAGAATGATACTGATCATCTCTCAATGCTGTAAAGACAAAGAACTAGACGCCATAATCAAGGATGTTGTAAAGCAGTTTTTTGCTCCCGAGTCCTTCGCCGCTCTCTTTCTCGATTCCTACGTGCAAGGTCAGCAGGGACTACCAACCACGACGGATGGCATCTGTGGCCTACCAAGGATGTGGCGTCGTGGAAGGCGCAGAGCACCCGAGTCGCATCCGAGCCTCCTCTTGCTGGACCTACCACTGCCTCCAGAAAGTGCAGACCATCTAGTCCCTGAACGATTTAGATCAAACGCCGTACTGAACCTGCTCGAGGAATCGTTAATGCGAGACATTCCCATTTTCGGCGTTAGCGGATGTGGAAAGACTCGCTCCGTGATAGAGGTCCTCTGTCTACAATGGGGGTTCTACTTCAATGCATCGGCGGATGACATTGGATCGGACGATCTCAATATTTTCGCAGGGATCATCACTGAGGAAACGTCGGTAGAACTAGGGACAAGTGCCAACACGGTTTTTGCAAGGAAAATGACCCTCTTGCTCTTCCTCTCTCGGCTCTTGATCTTCAACTACTGCTTGCAGGTCCCAGGCTGCCGACAGACGTTTACGAGTGCAAGTTGGGCCATACTACAAGTCTGTGCACCTATACTCCAGGAGCCCCAGGATGTCTTCTCGGTGCTATCCAAGGAACTGTTCGACCTATTGCAAGTGCGTTCAATTGATGAGGAGGCTCTGGAAACCGTTGTCCAGAGGGAGTTCCAGTCAGTACGAGACCGTCTTGCAGCCCATGGCTACCCCAACTTTTCAACCGCCACCATGTTGCGGCTGGTCTTGGACAAGGCCCAGATTCTAGGCGACTGGGGCCCCACACTATTTCAATCATTATTCCAGGGATCTGAGAAGCGGCCCATGTCTCCTATGCTGGATGGATTTCGAGGAGTTGGCAATCTATATAATTTTACAATCATCTATTGTGGTACAGGATTGAGCATCCGAACTCCTCGAAGTGGGATGGAGGCCGCCGGCGGTGACATAAAGGAAATAGGTTCAGCGATGTTCACATACGTCGAGTTCCTGGGATGGACCAGCCGAGAATCGATACATTCATACATCGATCGGGTGAAGGAGCAGCTGTCGGATGACGAGTCGAAACAAGCAATGGACACGTTGCTGCAAGAACAGTTCTTGATGAGCCGTTTGCTTTGAAGGCAGTCGTGAACTACTTCCAGGTAAAGGATCGACTATTTGTTGCTGCTGCAGAACGGGCGATGCTGCACTCGACCGATGCTTCGGTGCATGGAAACATGTGGGAGACCATGATGCCGGCTGTCTTCGTGGAAACATTCAAGGATCGTCCTCTCTCGTCTTGGCGTCTGCTGCCTAACGACAGCATCCCCGATCTGCTCGCTGGCCAGGTGACGATTGTGGGGTACAATGAGAAGGACCCGAAGCTCGGAATCTCATACCGCAGCATCACAACAGAGGAGTTTATGAAGGCACACGTCAAACACAACTCGAAGCAAGGAGACAAAGCCATTCCCCCGTTCCACTTCCCAGACCCCCAAGTCTCTGACCCTGACGTTATTTTCTTCATCCAGTCAACGGACAGTATTTCCCAGTGTTTGTCCAACTCAAACTGCGACAAGTACTTCCACGCAGTGACGCCGAGCAAGCGCTCGCAACGATCAGCGGTCGTACTGTCGAGGAGAAGCAGAAGCAGGAGAAGCAGAAGCAGGAGAAGCTGGAGCAGGAGATGTCGAAGCGGGAAAAGTTGGAGCAGGAGAAGCAGAAGCAGGAGAAGAAGCAGCAAAAGAGAGCGAGGCAGAAGAAGTCAAGGCGAGAGAAGTTGAGACAGGAGAAGCTGGAGCAAGAAACAGAGTATCAAAAGCCAGAAAAGCAAAAGCCGCCAGAACTTCAAGACTACTGTCCCACCAAAGTCTATATTAGCATGATAATCACCTACCCTGCAGTGGTGGTCAGCTTCCGAGGCCCGATCCGCCCTGACCCTGAACCAGAGCTTGCTGAACTCCATCGTGTTATCATCAGAGTGGACGACAGCAACTTTGCGCAGATCTTCCCGGAATATCATGTCAAGTTCCTCGACGGGCTTAAGCATTTTAAGCGAAACGCGGAAGATCAACAAGGCCAGGGTCGGCATAAAAGGCTGTGGGCCGATTGCAAATAGACTATGTCTGACCCGATGCCTCCTGGATATTGATCGTTATGAGCACATCCTTTGCATTTACTACCAAGAGATGTATCGCGGCATTTGTCGAAGAAAATTGCCTAAGAAATGACTTACTTGCACTATTTGTCGCTATATGAAGCACACTGCTGTTGTGGTGGTGGAAAAAAGACGAAGCACAGGACTTCAGGATAGCAATAGCAGGATCGAGCATGGCCCTCTGGCGGGGTTCGACCGAAATAAAGATGCGCTTTTTCCTTTCTTTACTATCAAATACAGCGAGAGGTAGAAACTGAATACGTGTGAACCCACGATGTCCGCGGCCTCATGTCTCATCTGAATGGCATCGCACTCTTGCACTCCTACATTCGTACACTCCCGTAGCGGCTCTTGCAATTGCACACTCGCTGGACTGTCTGGGTATTCGACCTGACACGGAAATGGTGGCTGTGCTGCTTGTGCTACATATTCAGCTGTGCTATGCTGTGCTATGCTGTGTTATGTTGCCTGCGTCCATCTAAAGGCCATGGATTCAAAGCATATATGGACAGGGTCGATGGGCAATGGATGGTCGACTCCCATGCGAGAGAGACGCGTCCTACTGCTCCCCACAAGGAATCCAAGTGTACGGAGTAAGACTACAGAAGCGATTCGGGTAGAGGTGAGCTGAAAGGACCACTGTTGGAATGGATATGAGGCCCAGATGCAAAGCACACTAACAGTGAGATCTCTGGGATTGTGGTCTCGAGAAAGGGCCTTGCTCCGTCGCAGGAGAAAAGGGAAGAAAGAGAGGACTAGCACTAGAGTCCTCGCCAGTAAGTAACGCCTCATATATTTATAGAATACGTTTTTAAATTCAAACCAGATGTATTTTTCAGGTCTATTCTTCACGTCTACGCCATCCTCGGCAGGGAATTCTCAACACTATCACACCATCGTCGTCGATGGTTTCATAGCCGCGCGTCTCTTGGGTGAAATATTTAGAAGCTGGATCTTGGCTGGCGTGGCCTTTGTGGGCGTGACGACTAGCCCCTTGAGAGCAGGGGATCCAGCAGGAGTAGATACGTCTTCCCGTCTAGACATAGGTTACGCGTCTTAAAAGTCGTCTAGGGATTGAGGGGGAGATGATGGATGAGGCAGTTGTGCAGGCGGAAAGGCTTCACATGGATTTTAAAAAAAATGCGTTTGGATCGATTCTCTATTTTAGAAATTCGAGAATTATTAGGGGCTGTTTTTTGGGGACATATTTCATCCTGAATTTCAGTGGCTTAACGGGATTATTGAATTGTAAAAAATATTTCGGGCATTACTTTTTGGCGAGGACTTAATTACAACAATGGGAGATACGAGGACGCGCTCAGGTCAGGGGACAACTCGGTCAAAAGAAGCTCTGCCCTGACTCCTGTGCGTAGACCAACGGCTGTCGAGGGGGTACTTTTCTTGATCCTCCGCGCTCGATCATTATAGGACCATGATCGTTACCTTGTCAATCCTTGCTGTGTTCAACAGACGAATAGCAAGCGCAAGGGGGGACGCTTGTAAAAATGCCTTTTGATCCTGAGGGACGTGGGCGCTCGGGGCGGACTAGCAGCGACCTTGGGGTGCAGAGGTCCGAGCGCTGTGATCCAGTCTCTACTCTTACTGGGCGATGAGTATGAGGGTCAGCTATGGTAGAGTATACCAGAGACAGCATGGTAGAGTGTGATGGGACGTGGGTGCGTAGAGCGAGTTGATGGATCGCGCGGTGGCAAGTGTGTCCCGTCTTTTCTCTAGTATTAGGGAACTCTCTGTGAGTGCTAATACCCTGTTGATATATTCCTTCTACTGTCCAGCTCCATCATCAGCTCTATCAACACGCGTGTCAATCCCATCGCTTGTTCTGTTTATTGACTCCTTGTTCATTGTTCCCTCTTGACACTGCTTCGCCAAAGGAAATGGCTGATACTACCTGGACTTGCACCAAATACCGACGCACTCATGTCCTTGAGTACCATGTTGATACTTTCAAGCCGGTTCTGCGTATGCCATATTGGACTAGAATCATGCAACAGTGCTGAACATCTAGTCGTAACATTAGACTTTTAGCTAGAGATGCCTATTCATTTTATTCATTTTCAAATACAACCGCTGAATCATTGAAATGCGTATTTAGCCTTCCTTCTACAAACCAGTGTTCGCCGTTTGTCAATATGACCTCCAGTTCAAAGGAATTTTGAGCTTCAGCGTTTTCTACATACAGTCGCTACTCGATGTCCCGCACTATAGCGCAATGCAGCGTGACCCATCATAGACTATCAGCAAGAAAGTTAAATAGAGTGGAAAAAGGGCCCTGCCTGCCTTTTTATTCCCCCATTCCCCATCATGCGCAGCCTAAACTCAATTGCATTACTCCAGCACGGCTCTGTACCAAAGTGCTCAAGTCCCACATCCGCTACGCCGCACTATCCTTGCCAACCATACACTGTTTTCAATCTTGCATCGTTTGATCAAGCATATACTGGCGATGGAATAACAGTATCCAAGACCTTCAGCACAATTACCAGCAAAGTTATCCGGAATCGCAACAGTTACGAGGTCAGTGCAAGATCCAAGGTAGCGCCGTAAAACGAACTTGACAGAATTCTGGCCCTCTATCCTGCTGATGAAGCATCGATGTCGATCCTTGGCAACCAGGTTTTAAGCAAACATCTGGAGCGCCTAGCATATTCGCTGCCGTCCTACATCGCGGCGGCGAACAATTCTGTTTTGCGAGATTCATCGGCCAGGCGCTCTCGAGTGCCGGCGGAATAGGTTAATATTGAAGCCTGTCTGGGAACTCCAATTGTGTATTTAATAAAGCTATGCTATTTGGCCTCGAAAGCCGAACATCTCAATTTGTGAAATGAAATGGTGTACCAAGTCTCAAGTGGCCTTTGATACATGGCTTCGAATCGTTGTTGTGCTGAAAGACGAACTCGTCCCTGGCCTGGCCCTAACCCTTCAACTGACATCTGCAGATCCTGCTGAAGATCCTTGACACGAAGTACATTGGGTACTGGTGTGTTGGGAGCCGCCTGGTTTTTTTTTTCCACACTTCAAGAAGTACTGTTGTTGAATCTGCCCGCACTAAATGTCCAAGAAGCTATTGGCTTCGCTACTTCCTGGCAAAGGCCTATTCTTGGCCAAGTCTTTTTTTTTTTTTTTTTTTTTTGTTCTGAGGTGTTCCATTGGCGACATTCAAAAGCCTCGTTCAAATCCATCCTTAAAAAGGACCATCGGCCTCTTCATTTTTTTTTTCTTCCTCTTTCTTCTCCACAAGTTGGTCTCCTCCTGCCGTCTCTCGACACAGCCACTTTTTTTTTTTTTTTTTTTTTTTTTAAAAAAAATGTCCGCCGGTACGACTGCACCCTTCACCCGCGAGACCGCCCGCTGCATGGGTCCCTACACCCTCTCGGAAGAACCCACGGGCCTATACATGACCGCCGTCGAATTCTCAGACATCCCAGAAATGGTCCGCCTCCTCAACATCAACCAAGACGTCTACAACGGCTCTGCGCTTTTCCAGTATCCATACCTCGACACCCACGCCCGCGATCGTATTCAGCGTGCACACGATATCCTTACCCGCACGGGGATCAACACTCATTTTGCCCTCCGCCTCTCTCCCACGACCTCCTCCCCTCTGATCGGATGGGCACATCTACATTTCGAACACTATAACCCTCCTCAACATCTTCCACCGGTGCACCCCGAGACAGGAAGGCCCTTGAGGGTCGCAGAGATCGGGTACTGGTTGAGTCCAGAACATACCGGTCGAGGGTATGCGGCCAAGATGGCGAGGTATCTCGTGCACGAGATCGCGTTTGGGGAGGAATCGAACGAAGGGATGGGGTGTGATATCGTACGAGCGGTTTCCTATGTCGAGAACATGGCCTCGAGGAAAGTTGCGGAAAGGGCCGGGATGGAGCTCGAGTTGGAGACTAGAGCGATTTGGATACCCAAGTTACAGACCATGCGGAATGTGTGCTGCTATGCAGTGCACAAGGATCCGGCCACCAAGAGCATCGTCAAAGAGAATTATGACTATTAGAACCATCGGAGTCATTAGAGCCATTAGAGCCATTAGAACCACTAGAGCTATTAAAGGACAGCCCTTCTTTCTTCGCACCAAAAAAAAAAAAAAAGTATTGGCCGGACAGGTTGAGGTGGAGGATCGCACATAAGCTTCAGTAAATTCGAGGTTTAAGAGATGACTCTTTAAGATCCGGCATGGCACAATAGTCAGTGTCATAATCGTAGCCGTATATGGTCGCGTATTGCAGATATGGATACTTTTATTTGCAATAAGTCAACTTTTTACAAAATGTACAAGTGCTTCGTGGAATTTTTTTTTTTGAAAGAGGTCTGAAATCATCAAGGAATCCCAAAGAACGGGAGAGAAAGTTAAAAGGGAACAGAAACACAGGAATTAGAAAACGATCGCTCACCCAAAGAGTGCGTATGATAACAATGAGAAAATAGAAAAACAAGGAACGCCAGATCCGGTCGAGAGAAAGAAAAAGAACAATCGCGCTGACATATTTCTTCTTCCGCTTCCCATCCAGCCTTCTTTTTTTTCCCATCGAAATCAAACATCATTCTCGCATGCCTTTGCAATCGCTCCATTGCCTCCTGGGCCTTCTATCCATTGCTCTCGCTCTCGCTCCTCAGGCTTGGAGTGACACACAACGCGAAGGAAATTTACTTGGTGATACCAATGACACCGCAGGCAAGACGGCCTCCAGCGTTGCCGGTGCTGGACGAGAGCTCGTGTCCTCCAAGTCCGAGATCATCCTCACCCTCGTGGACGACAACAGTGCGACTATAATTCGATGCAATTGATTATTAGCATGAGCAATCCATACAACTTTTTTGATAAAAATCCAATCATCATAAAAATATCGCAGATGGACAGCCAAAGAACGATTCTTACCCGATGATGCTGTGGGGTCCAATGAGCTTGATCTGAGAGTCGGTGATTTCGAGGGCGGCCTTGCCGTCAGCAGTGGCGTTGACGTTGCCGAGATCACCGGCGTGGCGGACCTGGGCGTCGGGAGCACCGTGGGTCTGGCCGTGGGGGTTGAAGTGGGCACCGGCAGACATGCATCCGTTGGTGTTGTCACCGAACTCGCTATTTACGGCAAAGATAGGGAAATAAAAGGCATCGTTTGTCGTTAGGGGCGTGCGATCCACTTTTTTTTGGGTCTCAAAAGGAACAAAAAAAAAGAAAAAAGGAAAAAAAAGACACCAAAGCGGCGGGAGATGGATCTGTTCTCACGCGTATTTTCAAGATGCACCTCAACCAGCCATCTTGATCACTTTAATCCATCTTTGAAATGAAAGAACGCTCATAGTAGAAGAGACGATCGCCTTTCGCTTTCGATCGCACCCGGGGTGATGGATAGGAACCATATTGGTTGATGTTTTCTTGTTGTTCAAGGAGCCCGTTAGAAACCTTAGAGCCGAACGCGCAAAGAAATTCGCGTGTCGAGAACACATCAATGATGTGTCAAGAAAAACAATAGAACAGCCCTGGATTGACCTCGCGATGGAGTAATGTAGTGTAGGATGCAAAGAGGACTTACTGGACGTGGAATCCGTGCTTGCCCGCGGGCAGGCCAGCGAGCTCGGCCTTGACGTGGACGGGAGCGGACTCGTTCTCCTGGGTGAAGTGGATGGTTCCAGAGACGTTCTTCTCGTTGGAACGGAAGACGCAAACAGCCTTGACAGTCATGGTTGGAAATTAGAAGGGGTGGGTGGGCTTGGTTGGGATGGGGAGGGAGGGTGTGGTTGATGAGAAGAAAGAAGAGAGATGCAAGAACAAAAAAAGACAGGTCTGCGCAATTTTAAAGGTTTTTTTGACAATGCGATCCACCCCAATTCGTGACTTTGCTGCATGGATTAGATCGACATTGTATTGGGAAGACGTCATTCGCTCTGTGCGTCTGAGTCTCCAACTAACCGAACAAAGGTCTCGACGGCCTTCGATCAAAGACACTGCGTGGGTTCACAAAGGACCATGGGGGAGTAATGCAGTCGACACAAGGGCTTGACATACGAGGAACTCGTTATCAGTTCCATTCTAAAAAAGAGATATAAAAACGCGTACTGTGGAAGACGAACGCGTCTTTTTTTTTTATCAACTGCGCAGTCGTGATGATTCCCAAGGAATTATCTCTAGACCTTCAACCAACGACTAAGGATAGTACCATGGATTTGCACGGGGGCGACCCACAGGATATCCAATCGAAGTAAGAACGACGGAACCATACTGGATACGTATGCAAGAGCATTAGGGTCATCCCAGCCGCCAGCAAAACAACGTAACATAGCCATACCATGGACATCAGCTGGTTGTGCTGCTTTTTTCATTTCGTTTTTGTTTCTGTATTGTACGTGGGAAAAGGAATGCAGACGCAAAGGTCTTCCAGCTTGTGGTGCGATGCTGATGACCTTCATCAATGGAATGAGTCTCGCCATGAAGGATCAGAAAGCGCGCAGCCAAAGTAAAAGTCGCGCGTTCAAGATCCCCTAGCGCGCTCAACTGGGGCATATCTCTGGCGTCACGGAAACAAGCAGGTACAGCGAACCCTTTACTATGATTGAGATCGGATGGCCGCTTCCAATCATGGGCGCTATTGCTTGGCACACGGCATATTGTAGATTCGGTCACCATATCCGCCATCCAAATACAAAGGCTTCAGGGTAGGCGTACCGATACTTGATGGTGAGGAATATAAACGTAGCGAGGATAGGAACTTCATTAAACAAAGCCAGACCAGTTTGGAGAGGTTTGATGGATCGTCAGCTCTTGGATACACATTCAGCATTGGCATTGGTATTAGCTCGCTTGAAGAGTGCTTTGCCCCAGTCCTCACAAGCCCTCGGTTGAAGGGCAACGGATCGTTGTGCAGCATATGATTTGGCGCTTACCAGCCGAGTTCTGGGGGGAAGGGGAGAGAGGGAGTGAGAAAAGATCGGTTGTTATGACCTCGGTTGTCGCTGCCGCACTCAGTCTTCGTTGTCGTCGTCGTCGTTGTTATTGTCGTCAGTCTTTTGCATTTATTCTCCACATCGAGCCCATTTCCCTCTTCTTTCTTTTTTCTCTTTTCCTTTCACTTCTCGGCTTTGTACTCCAATTGACCTGCACTCACCATTATCTGCGGCCATGGCTGTCCTCTCAACACTCTCCTCCTTGCCAGCTCTCTTGAGGGTATTCCTGGATAAATACCCAAAGTCCTTACAGGACCTGAAGAAGCCTAGGAGCATCGCACGAGTGCTCATCACCTTTGCGGTCTTGAACGCCTTAAGGAAGGTAAGTCAAATCCAACGGACATGTCCTCTGGTGCTTGCTGCACCTCCGAGAACGTCAATTGTGGAGAAGGAAATCATTTTTTGTCACTTTAAAAGCCATCCACTTGGCCCACGTTGACGTTGGACCCTGACATTGCATGTACCCTGATTCCACGGTTTCTGGATGCTACTACTACCGTAGATCATCAACAACCGATACTTTCATCCACTGAGCCACATCCCGTCCAGTATCCTCTCGTCAACATATTTCTTTACCGCCCTCGGCGTGTATTCGGGACGAAGGTTGGTTCGGTTTCGAGGCTCGGCTTAACGTATATTCTCAAGCTTAAAAAAAAAAGGACTTACACGGTTATTATCTCGTGGTCTACAAAGCCATTACTTCTTGCCAAGTACACATAAGCGACATGGTAAAATCGTTCGATTGGCGCCCGATATCGTCTCTGTTGCGGACAAGGATGCCATCCGCGAGATCCTGGTCACTGCAGATTATCCAAAGAGTGAGATCCATGAAGGATTGGAGCTTTACAACCAGCATAATCTGTTTTCATCCCGCAACAAGGATTTCCACAAAAACAGGGTAAAAATCATCAAAGGACAGAGTCGTGTCAAGGTCCACAAGTGACCCGTCCTAACATTTCGAACCTTTCCTCCACAGAGACGACTGGTCGCACCGGCGTTTGGGTTACAGTACCTTCGTTCTCTGGAGCCCATTATGCATGACTGCATCCAAGTCCTGATTAAAAAGATCGACGAGATCTTGGAGGATCCCAGAACTGTCCAGAAGGGCGCCAAGGTCCTCCCCCCTGGGCACATCAACATCTGTTCGTTCATGAACCGACTCTCGCTCGATATCATTGGTGAAACAGCCTTTGGGGAGTCGTTCCAGATGGTGAAAGAGGACAATCATCCGATTCCAAAGCAGATGGCACGATCGTTGAAGCGAAGTATGCAACAGACATTCAATCCGTGGATGCGCTGGTTGTTACCGTTGGATTACTCTTTTATCCAGTTCTCAGTTGATCGAGTCAAGGTCAGGAGGGATGCTGGCGAGGCAGGAAGGCGAGCGGATCTGTTGCAATTCTTAATCGATGCGCAGGCGAACGAGCGCGCGAACGGCGATGGGGAAACTGGTGATGATTATGCGGACATGATCTCGGGCAAGCTGACAGACCAAGCTGTTCAGACGGAAGCCTTGGTCTTTTTGTATGCGTCCCTGTCGTGTGCTATTGTGTCTTGTCATGTCTTGTTTTTTCCCCCCTCGTTCTTGTATTTGAAGGCCTGATTGTCAAAAATACCTAACACTGCGATATTACTTTAATTGACACACGCACACGCGTTTTTAGAATCGCGGGTTCCGAGACGTCTTCGACAGCGATGACCAACACGCTGATGTACCTTGTCAATAATCCAAAGACACTACACAGGTTAAGAGAGGAGATCGACCAGGTGACGACGAGCAACCCTCCAGAGGCATTGCCAACGTATGATCAAGTCCGTAACCTGCCATATCTTGCGGCCTGTATCAACGAATCCATGCGCTTACGACCTGTAGCTGCAACAGGTAATGGGGGGAGGAAACTCTTCTTTTTGTAGGTGCTGCATGCCTTTCAAGATACAGATCAGGACGCTGAAAGCATGATTGCATTTGTTACTCGTATTGGTTACAGGACTTCCTCGCGAAGTAACCGAGGACAAGGTCATGGGCGGATATCTTATTCCTAAAGGCACAAGTAAGCAAACATATCGCATCAACAACCAGCATGAAAAATGCGTTTAAATGCTTTAAATGCTTTTAAATGCTTTTGACTAACGTGTTCCGTCGCACTATACTTTACCACCTTTTTTTTGTGATATGCGTTGTGTTGTGTTGTGTTGTGTTGTGTTGCGCTGCGCTGCATAAAGTTGTGCTTGCCCAGATTCCTCAGCTGCATTGGAGTGAGGAATATTTTCCTCGGCCAAAGGAGTACATCCCTGAGAGATGGTTGGCCGAGGGAGAATCGCCCTTCCCGCCCGTGCAAGATTTTACGTTTTACCCGTTCTCCGCAGGGACGCGCAACTGTGTGGGCAAGAATTTCGCAATGATGGAGATGAAGATGATCTTGGCGACGGTGGTAAAGAGATACGAGATTGAAGCGGTTCCGAGGCAGAGAACGGATTATGTGCAGTTTATCACGACGGCATTGGCGACGGAGAGCTATGTGATAAAGATGAAGAGGAGGCAGCAGCAGAGAGCGTAGAGGTAGAGAGAAAATGCTGTGTTATATGCTTTATGTCTGTATTCTATGTATATTTTTAGTAAAGAATGAAAAAAGGGCTACTCCCATTCCTCAGCAAGCGATCGAAAATGCATGTTGCAAAGGCTAATGTGTATATGCTTTGGGGCGTGTTTTATGTTGGTTGTGTTCGAGCGAGGGTGCATTGACGACTGAAGACGACGACGAAGGGGAAGAGGACGATGGCGATAATCGAGGGATTACAGACAGACATTGAGCCGTACAGACATGCATACATGCATGCATGGCATATGATGCGACATGGTAGTACGATCATGTGCAATGCATAGTAGTAATAATAATGGAGCATGTTTGTTTGGAGTCTATGGGTCTCCCTCGCTCCCACCCACTCTCGGATGTATCACTTGCGCGCTCACTTCTTTCTTTGCTTCACTCTGTTTGTTTGTGTGTGGACCGACTGCAAACAAAATTTTCTTTGTTCATCATCCCTCTCACTCTCATCACCACTCCCATCGCTAAATCCAATCCTCCTGCTTCCTTCCCCCATCCCTTTTCACATCCTCTCTTTCATCACACCAGCAAAGCACCCCACCCACCCTCAGTTCCTATCATTCATCTTACTCGTCAACTTCCTCATACTGCTGTACACAATAGCAACAACACCAGCAACAGCTCCTTCTTGTTCTCCCACCACTACCCCATACCATAATATTTTGCTCATCTATCCCTCCCTTCTTCTCTTTAATATATCCTTCTCAATTGATACACACACCCATCCCGCCTTCCCCACACAAACACACATACTTTTGAGCACTCATATCCACCGCACTGCTTATGTCGTATGAGCAGCAACAACAACAACCGACAACAGCGCCTGACTCCTTCTTCCTCTCCAGCAATGTCTAATAATAATATTAATAGTAATAATAATAACACCCATACCAATACCAGTAGTAATACTTACCATCATCACCACCGCAAGGGCGAAAGCAGCAGCAGCAGCAGACCCCTCTACAATGACTCCTTTGACCAGCCTATCGAGCCATTCGAGTGCGACGTATCCGCCATCCTCCCCAACGATGATATGTCCAATACCTCGCTCCTCTCCGGGACCGAGGACATGCAGGACTACTCCATCGACTCTGTATCCTTCCAGGAACCATCCATGCGTCAGCAGCAACTACAGCAACACCTGCAGCTGGAACAGCAACAGCAGCAACAGGAGCAACAAGAGCAGCAGCAACAGCCAATTCATCATGCACGACAACAACAGCAACAACAGCGATTCGATTCTTATGACCTGGAACACCAGGACGACCTGGGGTCAAGGTATCTGGAGGTCGAGAACGCATGGTACCCAGCAATGGAGGCTGATGCAGAGTATCTGAACGAGGAAGAACGACAGCTCATATACGAACACGAACTCGCTCAGCTACAACAGCAACAAGAAGAATTCCGGCAACAGCTACAGCAGGAGAAAGAACAAGAGCAGCGGATACAGCAGCAGTACCAGAACCCCCGCGGTACAAACAACAGTTCCTATTCGTCTCAGCATTACCACGACGACGAACCTATAGGCGGCCACGCCCGTCTGTCTACCATTGCAGAGCTATCAGAACTACCTTCCCTCAACATCACCCATAACCGCCACCAGTCTCATCGCAACACCCCACCTCAATCAGGCCAGCAGCTCATCTCGCGCGATCTCGTACTCGAAGATCTCTTTGTCGAGGGTGAGGACGACAATAGGGACGAGGAAATTCGGCGGGAGCATCTCATAGCGAATCTCAAACCAACAGACATCCTCGGGCCCTTACACGAGACACACGACTTCAAGATCTCGTCCATCACCGGCACAGGATCACAATGGGAGCGACAGGAGCCTCATCAGTATGACGATGAACATGAAGGGAGTTTGATCAGGGAGGAGGGCGAATCCGATCTGTCGTCAACAGCCCTGGCATTGAAGCGCGAGTACGAGGCATTGTTTGGACCCAGGGGAGCCATCGATAGCGAGCGTTCTGGCAGCGATGTCACTGGCCTGATGGGATACCAGGACTCTGGAGACCTCTACCAGGAAGACGAGGAGGATGAAGACGGAGGAGATGACTTTTTCGACGACGAGGACGAAGAGGCCGACGAGGAGGAGGAGCAGTTCTATGCGATGCTGGACCTGAATGGCGGCAACGGCATGATCTTGGGGGTAAGGACCATAACAACTTCAGGGTGCCCCCGTGTAGTTTGTTTTGTTCATGTGGGAGCCTGCTCTCTTGCATTTGCTCATTGTTTTTGTTTGTTCTTTCTCTGGAGGATTATGTAAAACTGGAGTGCTCATGGACCCTGTGGTTTCTTTCCTTCCATTGAAATAGAACAACATCCCAAGGAAACCACGCGTGCTTGCTCCTCCGCCTGGCTCCAGGTTGCCTGTGCCAGGCTCGGCCATCAAACAAAAGGTACCCCTGGCTCTGCAATCCAACATTGTCACCCGATTGCCAACACCAAAGTCGAGTCCTAGTATTCCAGCGCCCGCTTCACCTCCTCCGCCGGCCCAGCCTGAACGACAGCAACTTATAGCACCGTCGACGCCGAAAGCACACGCACCGGCGACAGGTCTTCGCATGCCACAAGTCGCTGCCAAGCGAGGGAGCCCAATACCTAGTGCAGCACAGGCTTCGATATCCAAACCGACAAAGCCATCTGGCAGCATCCTAGATGGGCTTTATAACGAGCCAGAGTATGATTCACAGCCAGAGGAGAGTCCAGGGGCTATCTTTGCGGCCAAGATTGCCAAAGAGCTCATGAGGGAGAAACAGTTGAGTCAACTTGGTGCACAGGCACCTAGAGCTTCGATGTTGAAGCCCCCCACTAAGGTGCCAACGAGGACTATGCCCGACAATGACATTGACGTGTTGACTCAGATGCTTAAGGTCGAAAATGCGCCCACAACGTCTGTGGATGGCGCTGCTACACCGGTTTCTGGAATTTCTCGGATTAGTTCGATAGCCCCCTCAGCAGCACGATCGTCCACTATGCCGACAAGGCCGAATGTTCAACCGACATCTGCACGATCCATAGCCCCAGTGGCTGCAGCTAACACCAACGTAGCCCGTTCTTCGACTCTTCCAGCTTCGAGACTGGCACACAAGTCTTTGCTGCCCACTGGTGTGCCATCGGCAACAAGTTCTACAGCCAGCTCTCCTTCGATACCGACTGATGGAAGGGACTCTGCGGGATACAGGACCAGCACGCCAACTCGGAGTTTGAGCACAGCTGCGTCGAAAGTCCGACCGACGAGCGTTTACACTACTGCTGTTGAACGCTCGCCGGTTGTTTCTAGGACGGCGAGCCCTATCGGCACTGCACGTCCTAATGGCCTTCGCAGTTCCGTGTATGAGCAGGTCGGCCGGGATATATCCTCTGAGGAGCTGCTTCGACACTCAGTACACTCGGTCAACAGGGGCTCTGTCCGTGGCAAGACGCCTGTCAGGGAGGGGACATCGAGTCCAAAGGAAAGAGCAGGGGAGCTTGTGCGCCGCTCATCCCACGACAGGAAAAAGCAACTTCAGCGCGAGCTGGAGGAGATCGAGGCAGAAGAAGCAGAGCAGGAGAGGAGAGCTGCAGAGGATGCACTCGCCGAGCAGGAGCGACGTTCAATTACGCCACGCAAACTGACCGTCCGCACATCTGAGCCCCGTGAATCCCGTGAGTCCAAGAAGTCTAATGAGCAACAAGGACACCGTCGATCGAGCGAGAGAGAACGGGAGCGGGAGCGGGAACGTGAATGGGAACGCGAACGTGAACGAGAGCGAGAGCGTGAGCGGGACTCTAGTGCGCCAACATCACCTCTTTCACCTCGCTCACCGCGATCTTCAGGCGTCAGCTCGAAGCGCTCTTCGTTGTACGGGGCTCATGGAGACCGCCTTGTGCCAACACTGGAAGAGTCGTGCAAGCAGCTCGCAAAGATTCGACAGGATATTGTGGAGCTTCGAGAGGAGATTCATCAGGACCAACCTGGATCAACATTTACGTCTCCACTGGGGGCCTCGGCACGGATGTCGACTTCTAAGCGGCCAGTAGGTCGGGAACGTGGCGAGACATCGAGACGCAATTCATTAGAAGGGAAATACAGAGGTGATTCCAGACCGCAGCATGGAAAGGGCGACTCTTTTGATAGCAATGATGGCAGCGGTCCAGACAACAGGCTGTCGCCACCACCTTCCCGAAGACGATTCTTTGGCGATATTCTGGGCAAGCTGAACCGGAACGTGATGCATTCGTCGACCACAGATGCTGGATTGAGCTCGAGTCAGCACAAGACATCATCATCCGCCAACAGGAAGGGACAGGCACCGAACGCGGCGTCGCATCCGCCTAAGCCTAGTCGCTCGCTTGAACCCGAACCCAGCCATCACCGGACGCTGTCGTACGCATCTGGCCGCGCATCTCTGCATCGCCAACAGTCTCAACCTCTTTCGCCAATGTCACAAAAGTACAGCGGGTACGAAGATCGCCATCACAGTGGAAGCAGCGGACAGAGTGAGGAGTTCTCGGACGAGCTTGCGTATGATCAAAAGTATCCATACCCTACTCAGGTTCATGGGAACTACCATCATCACGGTCGACAGCAGCATCAACAGCAGCAGCAGCAACAACAACATCCGCGGTACTACCAGCAGGAGCAGCCTCAGCAACAACAGCAACAGCAACAGCAGCAACAGCTTGGTTCGAATCAGTACGCCCATCATTTCCGACAGGCGCACGATGGGAGTTTGATTCTGTCTGAACGTCCACCATCGAGGGATGGCAGCGACAGTAGCTGTCCAGCACAGATTCGACCGAAGGAGTTGAGGTTCTCGGCCAGTGTCGCGGGCGAGGTGCAGTCGTTTGTGACGCTGTTCAATCGATCGCGGCGCAAGATGCATTTCGAGATCCTGCGGCCAGCGGGGATCACGGTGACACCGAGCTTTGGAGTGATTCAACCGGGACGGGATCAGCGACTGACGATCCATCTGGTGGAAACGCGTGGACCGGGCAGGGTTGTTGTGGAGTTGGATGGGGAGTGGTTAGTCCCGTTCGGGGTTTCGTTTGAGTAGTGAGTGCGGGTTCTTTTCAGCTCTGATTTTTCTCTCTCTCTCTCTCTCTCTTTTTTTTTTTTTTTTTTTTTTTTCTTTCTCTCTTTTGTATAATCATGGTTATGTAACAACAGCGCACATTTCTGAACGCGCACAAATTGTAATAAAAGATATCTGTCTGATTCTGTTTCTTCTGCTTCATCATTTTCCAGTTGAAAAAAAAAAAACAAATAATCGAGTGGCCAATCCAACACGTTATTCCCGCGACGACCATGAGTACCATTCAAGCGCGAATTGAAGTAAATAAGTGAATTGGTGAAGATGGATGATAATGGCGTTGAGATCAGTCAGCAGCATTCAAAGTTTACTTCCTCGTTATTCTTCGTTCACACGCCTCAAGATATGCCTCGGGCTCGACCAACACTCAGACAACGACTCATCAGCGCCTGCCTTCAGGAGTTCTTCTTGGCATGCGGGTGCAGCACTCGTTCGCATGGAGCACTCCCTTCCGGTCAACATCCTTCAGGTCGAGGTATATGCCTTGCTGGTTACGCACCTATATCAACACCGGTACCTAATACCTAGGGGCCGCAGACCAACTTCGGCAGATTTGAGAAGGCTACTCGATGAGTACAGTGATAACGACTTCAAGGCCGTCATACGCTTAACACCTGTCGAATTCCAAGACATGGCAGAGCTGATCGCTGGACATTACGGCTTGGTGGAAAGGGATTACGACGACGAGGATGGGTGATCGAACATCAAGCTGCGGCTCAACATCACACTGTTTCGCCTTGGCACCAAAGGTACATCGATAAAGAAGGCCGCGTGGATTTTTCGGTGTCAGTGAGGGGTCCGTTCATGATTATACCTGGCGGTGCATCGAGGCTACTGACGCGCTGGCGGAGAACTTTGTGATTTGGTCGGACCATCAGAGGCGGGCGGAAATAAGCCGATGGTTCAGAAAGGAGAAGGGTTTTCCAAACTGCATTGGAGCCGTGGATGGCGTTCCTTTTCCATTCGCTATGGCTCCGAAGTACGAGACTAAGACCTGGAACACGCGTAAATACAGGTATGCAATGGGTGCAACTGCCGTCTGTGATCATATAGGTTGCTTTACCTACGCGTCCACCGGCTACATCGGATCAATGCATGACTCCACGGCGTACAAGAACACTTCGCTTTACAAAAAAAAGGACGAGTTCTTTCGAAGAAAAGAGTATCTGCTTGCAGATGCCGCCTATGCCCTGACCACCACAGTTATTCCCCGATACAAGAATGCTACCGGTGACCAAGAGGTCTTCAACGCGCTTCATGGTATTGCCCGCGTCAAGATCGAGCATGCTTTTGGCATGCTAAAGCGCAAATTCCAATCGCTACACAACCTACCAACATGCATCGACTCCAAGAGAGACATTCGCAAGGCATCCCAGTGGATCGTAGCTTGCATGGTGTTGCACAACTTTATTCGCAGGAATGCTCAGGAAGAGATCGTAGATGAAACGGTCGTTAGGGATATAGCAGCGCGACTTCGAGAAGATGATCAGCAAATACCAAAAGAAGCAGAGGAACAGAATGAGAGGCAGCAAGGGGTGGAGAGAAGAGAGAAAATAAAGAGATTGGTGCTTAGACACCATTGACCATTGAAGCGCATTGCCACCGATTATAACTTCATAGTCTCCACCACTACCCGACTCCCATCCTTCTCGCGCCTGGCAAGATAGTCAGTTCTCTCCTTTGTGAATGCCGCCACCTCCGCTTGAATTCTGCCACCTCCTGTTTGAATTCCTCTCTTAATCGTTTTAGTTCGTTCCTCTCTGTCTCCTTCTCCATTTTGATGCTTCTCTTTTCCTCTTCGAGGTCTTCTCGGCTCTTTGCCAACATCTCCTCCTGCTTGCGTATCAACTCTGCCCAGCCTAGAGTGACATTACTTGCATTGTCGCCCGCGTTTGTGTTGGTATTTCCAGCGTTGATGAACGCTCCTCTTATCGCATCAAGGGTCGCCTGGAAGGAGTCTGGTAGGCCGTCGTCACCCTTTCGACGCTTTCCTGCTGTCCTGGCGTGCGCTGCACCTCTCTTCGCTGGCGTGGCCCTCACATCGCTATCATCCTGGACAGCAGTAGTTTGATTATCTTCATCCTCATCCATTTCTATTACTTCTGGAGAAGACTCTCTGTTGTAGTATTCCTCATCTCTACGGTTGCATGTCTCTCTTGGAGGAGGAGGATCCCTTGCCAACGTACCTCCCCATACTGCATCAAGTCGATCAAAGGGAGGGCATAAGACGAGCATTTCCTTGCGAAGCGCATCAACGTCTCCCGTCTCTCCTCCAGTGATCTCCGATAGTGCTTTGGCAGCGTCGTACTTCTTCCTTGCATTGATGATCCTGTACTTCACATGGTTGTTATCCCAAGTCACCCTGTGTTTATCGTAAACAGCCTTGCTGATCTCGCCATATAGGTCGATTGCTCTCTGACTAGCCACTGGATGTTTCTTGTTGAGTCTCTCGTGATTGTAAGGATCGGTTATCCAGTCCAAGAATGTCTCCATGCCCAATGTGTTCCAAAAGGTCTTGGCGCGCTTGGCTTTGATAGACGTATCAGCTTCAATTCGAGGATCTGGCGTGGGCGAAAGGCGAGCAGGTTGCGAGGCGGATGTTGTGGGGCGTGCAGCTTGTGCGGACGGCGTAGGAAGTAGAAGGGGCAGGGATAACTGCTGCATGGTGTTTGGCATGATTGACTGAGAACGAGTGAAAGGTGGCTGGTTGGCTCGCAAACTATTCATGTCGTGCACCTTAGACGACTGTCCGATGGAGTGAATGAAGCGGCAAGATTCCGAAGAATGTGCGTACCGATGAGGCTGGACAAAGTGGGACGAGCTGTAAAGAGTCTGCTGCCCGTTCGAAAAGGAGAACTGATGATGAGCAGACAGAAGTGGTTCGGCGGGCGCTGAGTAGTAGGGAAACGGATCATTGGTGCTGTGATTGTTGTTTGGAAAACATGCGGGTGAGGTAAGAGGCAGGGGAGAAGTGGAAGAAAGGAGAGATTCACTTTCGTTTTTCACTTTGATTTGGAGAAAACATCAAAAAGATAATATCGTCAACGATTGGATAACTTTTGCCGAAGGTGAATTTACTTGTGGCCTGAATACGTGTAAGCGACAAGTTTACTTTTTACTTTTCACTTTTCAGTCGTACAAGTTTACATAGGCAATTGCCCCGATGTACGAAGCGGTCACGTCTTCTTCGAATCGGGCGTTATGATTAAACAGTTCGGCGGTGTAACGGTGCTTGCTTCCTCGACATCCTACATTGCATCCACCATGAGCTATACACCACCCGCAGTATCCTCCTCCCACCCTTCACAACAACACCCGCTGCTTCCACATCAACCGAACTCTACCTCGAACCTTCCCCAGACCCCATACCCACAGCAGAATGTATCCCAGCCAAGCTCACTTCAACACCCTTCAGCTCGCCACTTTCTGCCTCAACAGCCGACGCTTCCTCAACCACCAACGCCTCCTTCGCAGTCGACGCCCCCTCCGCAGACAGCAATGGCGGCCTTGGAGCAAGCTGATTACGGCGAACCAACCCCCAAGCGAACTATTCGTTTTGGTCTCGTTTCACGAAGCAGCGATTTCGAGCACAACACAGTTCTGCTACTGCAAGCGATGCTCAAGTTCCCACCGTTTGTCAAGTTTGACAGCAGGGCTGAGGCATGGGCAATTGTTGCGGCGGAGCTGAGGCACACTGGAGGTCAAGATTTGAAGTATGCAACCAATCACGTCTGCGAGAAGAGATATAGAGAGGTCAAAGGCGAGTTTCAAAAGAAGGAGGCAGAGAGTCAAATCGATACTCTGGTTAAAGAACTTGTTGCGTTGGAGACGGCATTTGAGGAGAGACAAAGGGAACAGAATCAGACTGGGGTGGACGATCTTCTTTCGTCCAGCTTTGATCAGTTCGAAGGATACTTATCAAGAGAGGAGACCATGAATAACATGAGGACGGCATCTACCGCTTCCAGCTCCAGCCTGTCTTCATCCTCTATTATGGCTCGCAGTCCACAGAGAGTTACAGCACAATCTGTCCGACACAACTCACTTCCTTCTCACCGGCGACGAAGCCAACCACTCAATGATGAAGACGACAAGCTGAAGGAGGAGATGTTCAAGACGTTAAAGAATTTGAATGAACTTATTGACCTTGCAAAGAGTTCTTATGGATAATAGGTGTCTTTGATTTTGTATTGATTAATGAAGATATTCTTCAAGTGTGGGCGGAGCTATTTGAAATTTGCCAGTGGAAGAATTATGCTGAGAAATGCAGGACATGGTGTTTGAAAAAAGGGTTGAGCAGATGAACTTCTGCAAGAAGAGTTTTTTTTTTTTGAAATCACTGAAAGGGAAGAATTGAAGCACTTGCCCAAAGCTCCACTCCACAGCTATTCTCACTAATGATATTCGTTCGTTGTATCGTTCCTGATCGCGTGTAATGTTTCTTGTTTGCGAAAAGGTTGAGTGGACAAACAGTGCTCACAGTGTACGTTACGCTGGATCCCCCATAGACACCTCATTTGGTGACCATCAGCTCCTTTGGTATGAGTCCGGAGGTGGCGATCAAGACCAGACACAAGTGAGCAGGGTTGAATCATGGGCGGCTTTCCCTGTGAAGGGTCCTGCTAAAATGAACCACAATCCCATCATCGGGGTTGTTGTTGTTACTGCCTGATGCTTCATAGTACAAAATGTTTGTGCTACATGTCTTTATAGTCAAGCTTGCAGATTCCTCCTGACACTAGCCCTGATAGTGATCGTAATCAAACGCCCACACATGGATATGAACAAGAACAAGAACAAGAACAAGAACAAGAACAAGAGCAAGAACAAGAACACGAGCAAGAACCACAAATCAATCTACGCTCTTGCAAGAGGGGGGCACCCCCCCCCCCCCCCCCCCCCCCCCCCGAGAAAGCCGTGCAGTAACCCTAGCCGATTTCTTTTTTTCGTTCCAATTATTCATACTTTTGTTTATTTCGCGAGAGGACACTTCAGGACATAAAATTCGCGTTAGGGGAGGGAGGGAGGGAGGATTTAGTCTTCGCGAGGCTCGTCACCGGGCACGACCCTGTCGGCGTACCATTTGACAGAGTTTCTCTCGTAGGTCCTGTACTGCTCTGTCTGCCTCCAAGCAGCCAACGAGGGCTCCTTGTCGACGGTCTCCTTGACCTTCCAGACGGGTTCATACTTCTTGAAGTGATCTTCGATCACCAGCTTGGCCCAGGGCAAGGTCCCGAAGTAATGGATGATATTCGCCAGATGGATATCGGCGAGCGTGAGCTAGAGACGGCAATAAAAAGGAGTCATATTAGGCAAATGTGTGAGGAGAAGGAGGAGAGGAGGAGGAGTATTTCAAAAAGGTCATAATACGATGTGACAAAAAGATAAGCAAGGGTCATGAGAAAAAAGACGCGTATGTTTTTTTTTTTTTTTGTAGTTGTTGCTAACAAGATCCATTACCTTGTTACCGATGTAATGCCCGTTGTTTCCATTCTCCCTCAGGTGGAAGGCATGGTCTTCCAGGAACTTTCTCAAGGTAATCGTGAGGAATAAGTCCCTAGTCTTTCGGAGTTTATCTTGGGGCACGTATGCCAGTTCCGAGAAGCAGCGCTCGCGAAGGTATTGGATGTTGGAGTAAAAAGATTGGATCGTGAGGTGCTCCCATTTGTTGTCACCCATTAGTCCGAATCGCTCGGCTAGATACATGTCGATGACCATGTTCTCGGAGATGTCGACCTCCTGTGTAATAAAAAAAAAAAAAAGGTATATTTCAATTTAAAACGAAGTTACCGAGGATAACTCCCCCTCCCACAATGAAGTCAAATTCTTCGCGTGCTCGAAATGCTCGTGTTGCTATTACGTTCATACCTGCTGTTGAGGTCCGACGATCTTCAACATGGGCAAGTACGAGAAAGATGTGGGGACCTTGCCCGCGTCCCAATCCTCAGATGTAGGCGACTCGAGATCATACTTGATCTGATGATGCGCCTTAGCATAGGCCAGGAGGTCGCGGCTGGTGGACCCACAGGACGCAATGTCCCAGTACTGGAACTTGAAGGTCAGGTCTTTATTATCGGTCTCTTCCAAGAAGCGGGACCTCTCAACGGAGTTGGCAAGATTCTTGGTGGACTGGTAGGAGACCTTGATGCGACTCTGGGATTCTGCGGTCATGGTTGGTTATTCTTTTGATCGGTGGTTTTTGGGGGAGCCAGAGAGAGAGAGAGAGAGAGAGAGAGAGAGAGTTGATTGGGGGAGAGAGGATTGGTAAGGATGGCGGTTGCTTTTATAGCTTGAAGAGGTTTAGTGAACAAACAGCGAACAGAACAGAATGAATTGTCTTTTTTTGGTGGCGCGTCTTGTCAAAAAAAAAAACTCAATTGGTGTTCCACTAAAACAGAAACGATTAGCTTCTTCTGCTAAGAAGAAAAGACTGAGGTCATTAGATGTCAGTACCGTTCCCGCTAAGCGATCAACGCGCCGCTCGCTTTTTTTTTTTTTGTCACGCCTTCGAGATTTGGGCGTATTTGTTTGTGTTATATCCCAGTCTAACTTGGCGCCGTTTGTTCCTATGCATGTATGCATTTGTCAATTGACGTATGTCCTTTCATTTGGCGCATGGCACTTACTTCCTCTTATGTCATTGGTTAGTGATGAAGGAGCCAAGGATTCGTTTTGCATAAAGACGTGTCAAGGAACGTACATGAAAAAAACGCGTCCAAGAACGTTTATTGAAACGTGTACTTGTAGCAAAACTAGACTCAAATGAACGCGTTGTGTTGGTAACAGCGGATAAGGAGCAAGGTGATGAGATTGGTCGTGTTTGTAGCGCGAGGTCGAAGCGCACTTTTTATTTCGCATTAGATAAATTGGATAATGGGATGTGTGCTGCACAGTGGATGCGTATTTTTTTGATTGAAAGAGAGGAACAAGGTGCCTGTACCCCCCAGTCCCTGCCCAGTCAAATTATGGCTACCGTGCGACGTTTCTTTTCTGCATGAGGTTTGACCATGTTCTCTTCCCGGGAGAGCATTATTTCTGAAAATCGGCTCTGTCTCAGTGTGTGTGTGTGTGTGGGGTCTGACGCATGCTCTGGAAGGAGACCAGATGAGGTAACATGTGAGCGGTAGTGGCGGCAGCATTGGAGGGGGGGGGTATGGATGACTCTTCGGATATGCCAAATGTCGTCGGGCAAAAAGAGTGCTGTTTCCTAGTAAAAGGTGGACATGGTCGTGTGAGGAGGACACGCCTTTGCCCCCTCAAAGGATGGTTGGGAAGGAGCGTTGAAAACAGAAAAAGAACAGCTGAGGGAGGGAGAGCACATCCAGGTCAGGGACAGGAACAGGAACCTTACCGGAACAGGAACACCACAGGGACAGGGCAGTGGAGTGGGCTGCTTTCCCTAGGATGCATTAGACACATCGCGTTTTTTTTTTTCTTTTTCTTTTCTCGCCTACCTGACTTCTGCTGCATCACCTTCAGATTCGTATTTGCACACACACACACACCGCCTTTTCTTTCCTCCCCTTTCTGAATCATCCGCATCCTCCCTCTTGTTTCGTTGATCATTCCCTCTTCCCAGCTACTCTGCACTTCTCTCATGAATGTCAGGCCATGGAGAAGACCCCCCAGGGCAAGATAGTCCGACAGAGACAGCGACATCAACAGCAATCTCCAGTAACATGAACTCGACCATCACAACCACCCCAACCACCAGTACGAAGACTCGCAGCCTTCCACCTCAGAGTCTTCCTCCTGGCGCCATTGCATCTGCACAGGCCCAGTTCCCTGCCTTGATGGCGACTCAGCTTCAGCTCCAAGTAAACACAAAGGCCTGCCCAACTTCCTCGCCCCCAATGCTCAACCTCGTCCCTGCAACGCCTGGCCCGCCTGCTTCTGGGACCTCGAAGCCATCAGTATCAGATCCTGTGTCGTCCAATCCTTCCACACTCTCAAAACACAAGGGTCTGCCCGTGCTCCCGTACCTTGTCACGCCCAAGGAGGAGAAGAGTCATGGGACCATCCTGGGCTTATGGGAATACGATGATGGTCATCCTTCAGGGAAACCTTCCAGCAAGGTTACAAAGTCCAGCAAAGGACCACCCAGTACCTCAGGATCATCCAAGGTTGCCACATCTATGGGTGCTGAGGCTGGCCGTAGGGCTCTCCTGGCCCTGCAAAGCGTGGCTGCCGAAGAGGGCGCACCAATCTCGAGTGGAGGTAAGGAGGATCGTGGACCATCGTCTTTTTTTTTTGCACTTTACTATGAAAGAACCATTCCTGACGCGATCTTTGTTTATGTGTCGGTTCGTTCTTTCCTATGAATGCCTAGGTCCTAGAAAGAAGGCCTCGACCCAACAACTGGCGTCCAAATTCACTATCCTTGCTCCACCATTGTCGTCGACGCTCTCTATCGCCTCAGCACCTGTTTCCGCACATAAGGATCGCGACGTCGAATCAATAGGATCTGGGATGTCACAGACCACACCCTTTGAATCAATATCGTTGCCAGCGACACCCACAGCGATGGAAAACCGATCTCACTGTCTCCCTGACAATGGCTTCTTCCTAGCAGTCATGTCTATCTATTGGTCTAACCTCGTTGGACCCCGGATAGAGCAGGTACATGCATCGCTCCTTAATGCTGGTCCCTGATGTAATCTGATTATCATTACTTACCCTTCTCTCTTTATATATTTTGGCCTGCTCCCCCTCCCCTTGAACCCTCACCCCCATCCAACTCTATTATCACTGTTGTGTTTATATGAACATCGTAACGTCGCACAAACATAGACGTGGACCCCGCGGGTGGGCTGTCCCGACGAGTCAACACTGAACCTCTTGGCTAAGCAAATCTTGAACGGAGAGGTAATGCGCACCACTGATGCAATTGAGCCCAAGATGGTGGTCCTACAGGAAGAAGGTACACTTTGCCTGGTACCTAGATACCCGACTCGTCTGTTCATGCCACCTGGATGCAGAGTACTTACGCCCATTCCACACGACTTCCCCACTGTGTGGTTATTTTTTTTATTCATAGGCCTTATTGCCATGTCGTATCTATATTGCGCCAACCCTTCCATGGCGGACAGTTGCTCCTATGGCAGCACAACTTTAGGAACCACGACTGGGACCCTTGCCATGTCTACTAAGTTTGTTCTGAGCTTTGTCGTACCCCTGGTTTACCTGCAAAACTTCTCAAGCTTTATTGGGATCATGTCAGATCACGCGCCCGCGCTTATCGAGGTTCTCCGCGGCATGCGGTCAGGACTTGTAAGAGTTTTCGAATGTTCGCGTGGAATTTGTTAATTCGGGTATTTTTAAAATGACTGCGTCTGACAAGAATTTCATTGGTTCGTCTTTCATAGCGTCTGAACGTTGCTCTGGACATGTTTGCAGAGGAACATTTGGTACCCTTTGTGGAAGATATTATGACAATGGAGGCAGTAGCGATGGCTATCGAAGGCGCCAAGGTACAGCACCGGTGCCATGCTATTACACTAAATTTCCTTCTACCGCTCGACGGCAATCAGGTCCTAACCCACGCACTTCCCCGCCAATTCATTTAGGCCAGTCATATAGCTCTAGGAAGGGAAGGTGATCAGGTCTTTGGACGTGAATTTATCAATCGGGCCATCACTTCGCACCTGCAAACAAACTCGTCCACGGTGGTCGTCGGCAACAACATTACTATCATGAACATGGTACGCGCGGTTAATGAAATTCACATTTCTTCCCAAACTTCCTGCGCTGGTACGTGAAAAGTCTGTCCATGACTAATGCGAGCCCTTTGTGCTACATCGATTTAGATGATCAATACGCTGGCATTGTTCCTATCAGCAGAAGACAGAGCCAAATCATGCCATGCACGGAAGCAGCACCGCTACCTTCCAGATTTGTTTCTACAGGGGATCTACACCCCGAGCATAGGAAAGCAGTCGCATACAGGAACGGGTGTTGATGGAGAGAATGGACAATCGTCTCGGAAATCAGACAAGAACAACCGCCTATATCATATTCTCACGTCGCCTTTTCCAACGACGATTGTCGATACTGTGCGGTGCAAAGTGGAGCAGACAGAGAGGCTCCCAAAGTACTCGATCCTGAGGTCCGACTACCGGAAAGAACAAGTGAGATGTGTGGTTGATGGGACAATCAGCAGAGTGACAGCCTGGAACGCGTCAAACCAGGCAGGATACCTATACCAGGGGTCAATACCCCCACAAAGCTTTCAAAAAAATCCTGGGTCGGACGCAGGCGGATTCTGGGGCGCAAAGCGAGAAAACAGCTGGACAAGTGTGGAATGGAAGGGCCAGAAAGTTGTTCGGCCAGTCCAAATCGCTGCCCCAATGATTGAAAATCTTGTACGGTGCGTCGTAGCGCTGCCTATCGAGATGCGGGAGGGCTATGTCCGTCAATGGAGACGAGGTCTAGTCAAACGGGCCTTGATGCTAGTCAAGTTTGTCAAGAATGAAGGGTAAGGTTGCCTGTGCCTTGCCGACTGATCAAAATCACTCGTAAATAGCCCAATATTTGGATGTTGACCATAAGCTATTTTCTCCAAATTATAGTGTCGACCTCATGGAACAGTCTGAGCAGCAGAAGAAATTAAGAAACAGATTGACAGACCAGGATTCACCCAGAGGCGAGGATGGATCGAGACCGACACCCCAATCAGCGCAGGCAATCTTTCAGCAACTGGGAATAGATCCAAATGATCTGAGCATTGTTCTCGGCATTGCAGAACGGATACTCCCGTCCATCACGGAATTTATCAGGGTCCATCTCGGCATCGAGTGAGCTATGACAATCCACATCATTCAACCTTCGTTTCGATACATATAATCTACCTTAATAATCGGCACCAATCTCATTAATTCAGGCGTACCTGATGCGCTCCACTCGCATTTGCTGTAATAGACACTTATCCATCATAGACCTGCATTTGAGTCATGTATGCAGGGTCATCCTCCTAAATCAGATGAGCAGCTCAGCGTGGTTATTCGTGTTCTTTTTCCTTTTTTTCTTTCTTTCTTTTTTTTTATTTTTTTATTTTTTACCTGGATGTTAAACGAGCTTGGCTTGAAATGTCCAATGATGATTCAAACAATTACTCCGCAATGGTCCTCACGCTCGAACACATTTGACTATGCCTTGAGGCCTTGTATGAATGTTATTTCTGAACGTGTTTTGTCTCGAGAAATAGTCAGTTCTGCGCGTGTCCTTTCGCATTTGATGCCAAAAATCCGACCTTTTACAAAGTCGCACACTGGCCTTCAACCGCAATAGCTTAATGGTTTCACTTTTATTTGAATGCCTTTATTCCACGTGGGCTGAGGATTCAGGGCGCTCATTCGCTGGTCCAGGGCTTCGCCCAGATACAGATCCTCACCCGCTAAAAGTCAGCTCAATCCAAATGCTTGGGGTATACTTGTACATGTGTGCACTTGAGGGGAGGGAGAGGAGGAGGAGGGATCGCGCAGCGATGTAGCCATGCAACTTGACTGATAGATGCTAGCAGCAGCGGAAGCAGCAACAGGATTCATGGAAAGAGTGCATCCTTGTGAACCATTATTCATTTTGAGGAAAGACAGACTGCGCGCCGCATTTGCATAGCCCAGTTTGCCCACGCTTCACAAAAAAACAGGGGAGCCCATACAACATAAGCGGACTTCCTCTTTTTTTTATCTCTTCGTCCCCTGCCTGCTCTGCCTCCTCTCCTCTCGACTCCTCTCCATCTCTTCATTCCTCATTCGATCCCTACTTCTTTTTTTTTTTTTTTTTTTTTTTTTTTTGGCGTCGTGGGGCTGAAAAGCGATGGGTTATGTAACACCTTACTGTCTGGCCTCGGACGAGCACACCATATACGGAATCCTGACAGGAACTAACTACGCCTTGCCCGTAGCAGAGCAAAAACCCTTGGTTATTCTCATTAAAACCAATAAAGACCCTGCTACGCTCACCGACATTGGTTGGTCTGTCGTTTCCACTGCACAGATTGGAGCAGTCTACGACATCTCGAAATTCTACAGTCCGACGTGCTATGTCGATAAAAATGTAAATAGGTCTCTCAAGTTGATTGACCATTGAAAAAAAAAAAAAAAAAAAAAAAAGCCCTCTAGTCCTCTAGTCCTCTAATCCTGTATTTTATCGCCATCTATGTGGAATTGACTGGAGATAGGGCGTGTTCACGCATATAGATGTCAATATTATCAAGTCGCCTGAGGCGGCGCCGACCTTGGGTGGTGTCCAGTTCAGTCCTTCGTTTTCAGTCAACGTCAACGGTACCAGTACAGGGCTTGGTGGATGGAAGAATATCGATATGGGTATTCCCTACATTTGGGACAAAAAATCGCTCGTGGCACTTTTGTTCACAGTCAAGGACTCTATGGGTGCCAATGTCGTGATCCACCTATGGGTTGACTATAACACCGGCAATGTGTTTTTTGGTGTCCTGGACAACGCAACGATGCAGCTCGAAGCAGGCCCTTCCTGGGCATTCGTAAGTCTGCGGCGCGTGCCATGTTTTGGGCTTGATTGAGATCAAGTCAGTAATTTGAGACTACAGGTTATTTGGGATTGACACCCAGGTAATCGGATCCTTATTTTACTCTTAATAGGGTTACGCCCAGTACTACATCCGCTTTGCCGATTACTACAATGGCATTCTGATGTTGTTGGCAGTAAACTCGCTCCCATCGAAGACCATCAGCCTTATCACTATCCCGTTCAACAGCACAAATATCGCCCCCGCACTCCCTACAAATCTGACGGGGTACGGGCCTTTTAACAACACAGGCCTTAGTCCTCTGTTGGCTGGGTTCTTTGCCGATAACTACTATATCGTACAACGCTATGTAAGACGCGCGATGTTCTGTCGGAAGCACTGTATTCGTCATTCGAAAGATTTCTGTCCTAAGCACCATTTATCGGATTTCTCATACAGGACTTTGAGGTAGATACTACGGATTCGATCACCATCATCAACGTTGCTAATATCACGGATGCGAAATTCCAGCCTCCGGTCAACATGAGCACGTATATCAACACCTTCTTTGACGAAACGAGGGCGTACTTCTGGCAACCCGTCGGAGGACTCAATGGCTCGCCTGCGTTTGCGTACTTTGAGAGGATAGACGTCAAAAACAACACCCTCGTCTCCTCTGTGGCCCTCAACGGACCAAATGTCGGACAGTGGATGGATGTCAAGTATACGATCAACGTCACAGACACGCTTGGAGTGAACCCGAATCCCTCGACCCCAAGCCCTTCCTCCGGGAACTCGACTTCTTTCGTTCCAACGGACTCGTCGGACTCATCCGACACGCCTTCGAAGGGACTTGTTATCGGATGCGTCGTCGGGGGACTGGCGGCGATTGCTGCTGCAGTGTTTGTGTTCATGTTCTTCATGCGTCGCTTGAAGAAGGATACGAAGTACGAGACGGTCCAGACATCTGGATCGGGTGGTGGCGGCGGCAAGACGTCGTTTGAAGAGCAGAGTGGATACACGGAGCCGCAAATGCAATATCAGCAACAGCAGGTCTATACCCCTTACAACGCTGGGTTGCTGGCGCCTGCATCAGTTATTGTGGGCCAAGAGCAGCAGCAACAGTGGTATGCTCTTTCAGGAACTGCAGCTCCATCAATGACAACCTATACAGGGATTTACCCCGGGCCCACGCAACAACAACAACAACAACAACAACAACAACAGCAACAGCAACAGCAACAATACCAACAACAACAACAACAACAACAACAACAACAACAACAACAACAACAACAACAACAACAACAGCAGCAGCAGCAGCAACCGTATGCAGGATACCTTCCCACTGTGGTTGCAACGGCGCCATCAGGCGGCTATGAAATCCAGCTGCAGCATGAAATCCGGTTCTCGTCACATCCACGACCGAACATCATCTCTTCATTCTCGGACGAGGTGGGCATGGCTGGCTCAGCTTCGCCGTCGACACAGAGCTTTGGGTCACCCAATGGTACGACCCAGGCGTTGGGGTCTCGTACAAGATCGTCTTCGCTCTCGGTTACGGAAGTACCGCCAGTCCCGAGGAGCACTCGGCCTTCGCAGTGAAAAAAGTTGACGAGGACGAGTGCGTTTTTGGTTTAATCGCCTACGTGTGCCTCGCTTGGCCTTTATCCCTCTCTTTATCCCTCGTAACATAATTGATGAATGAGAGGTTGTGGTTTTTTTTTTTCTTATTTTATTTTTTATTCGTAATGTGTTTCTTAGATAATTTTTATAATAAATCTTCTGTGAACCGAATGTAATACTCTCAGGAATCGGTTTCAACGAAGCATGAATGCTGGTCGGATGCGCAGGCGAGGTGGCCTATTTGAGTTGGTCAGGGGCAAAGCTTTTTTTTTTTTTTTTTTTTTTTTTTTTTTGGAATGAAATCCCTGTAATATGCTTCCAGCATGTGGGAATAGAAGAGTGTCGAAAAATGCATCAATTGATGAAGAAATGTTTCCCGCTTCTTCGAGCTACTATTCTCCTGATCTTTGACCATTCCGCATGAGCATTCATAATTTGGTCCGCATCGTTCGCTTCGTTTCGTTTTTCTTCTTTTTTTTTTTTATTTTTTTATTAGAGTCCGCGACACAAAACAAAGGACCAGCGATGGTACAGTTGAAAATGGTTTTTAGGCCGCGTTTTCATAAGAGAATGCGGCCTAAAACTATCCGAGTCTCGAAAATGCTCGCTGCCTTAGGGTCCACATATTTGAGGAATGCGAAGAGGCGGATTATGCCGTGGAAGCTCACCATGCCAGGGACGCAGTGCATATCGAACAGAACTGGCGGCTAATCCCCAGAGCGCTAAGCCGGGCAGCATTGTTCGCGTAGCTTCATGCGGTTGCTTCAAAGCAAAAATGGTGGCAATACACATGATACACGACATTTGTGTTGAACCTCTCGTCTTCGCTCTCTGACACATCCCTTCTTTCTTTCTTTCTTCCTCACCATCACCTCTACTGCTCCTTTCTCTGTCGCTATTCTGGCTTTACTCCTCTGTTCACCACTTCGCTGGTCTCTTGCCATCACCTCTTCTCCCGTGTCACTTCCTTGCTGTTCTCTTATCCCTTTCGCTTCTTCTCTTCTTTCTAACCCTTCTGGACCGCATTCTCACACTCAAAATCACCACAAGCTCCAAGCCTTCCTCGTGCAACATCCGGATCCGTCAACGGTCGACCACTTTGACTTCTTCGACAGCGTCCCCGAATTGTCAGAAGCAGATGCGTGCAATATTTGGTTGAGCTGCTTAACAGCTTTGGCCAAGGATTCAGATGCACCAACAGGGGAATCGCTGACGTTGCTGAAGGAGAAGTACACCACCGATAGGGAAAATGGAACCATGAAGCAGTATCGGGGTACACACAGACTCAAGCAAGAGGTAGGAAAGTCAGAGAAAGAGGCCAAGGCCCAGACTGCTATCATGGTGAACCGCATCACAGCAAGGGTCATGCAGTCGGTGGAGAAGGAGGCCAATGACCACCTCGATGAGATCGATCACTCCATCTTCCAAGTATGTTATATTACTCTGACTTATCAACGCCAAAATTGATCATGCGATAGTGTCGATAGTAGACTAACTGGTGTACACTTCCATTCGACAGCAAGTTACAAGATATCATCGAATCGCTCCCTCGATGACAGCGATGAAGGCAATCGAAACATGATTCGACAGCGGCTTCCTGGCTCTTCTACATCAGTTCTTCTCCACCAGGCGCACATCGCGCAGGCCATAGCACAGCATTCTGGGCCAATAACAAAGGACATCGTCAAACCCGAGATGTCAGCCTTGAGCCATTCCGCAGCACTCAATCAACGTACCGAGTAACCCTGCATCGTCACCGCCTTTCAGACCTTCCGTCAAGAACAACTCTCAAGCGACTTGCAGATCTCCTGTCGTGGACCTATGCTTATTCAGAGTCAGGATGACCTTTTCTAAGCAAGGCAGATACGGACAAATAGTGGCAAGTATTCAGGAAGGAGATGTCAGGATAAGCGTAGGATTATATTCAAGCCACTACAACAAGTGAGCATGCAGAGGAGAATCCACGGCATGAAGTCGAGTGAGCTGACGAGGGTGAGGAAACAGAGGGCGGGGATGAGGAAACAGAGGGCGGGGATGAGGAAACAGAGGACGAGGCGGATAGCGAGGACTCCCAGGAAATTGGCGAGGGAAACGTGAAGAAGATTGCAATGCTCGATAACATTGATGTAGGGACGGGATTCCTCACCTACCAGAAGGCAGTTCGTGCGCATGCCCGCAACAACTTTCAGCAGTGCGAAGGAATCACTACATCTAATCAGATTAAACTTTGAAAACTCTAATCATAAACCTTGGGCTCTCAACAATATCCGATTCGTCGCCACTACAATTCCGTTCCTTCGGTCACAACGTCCTCCAGGACCTCAAGTATTGGCAGCATGTCGATGTCAAGGAGTCTTTGCAAGAGACTGCCCAAAGAAAATAGCGAGGGCAAAAAGTCATACTCCGAGTCTGCCGGCATAGCCGCCTACATCCAGCCTATTTGTGAGGTTTCCCTGCAGGACCCCAGCAACGGGATTTACTTCAATTAGTAAGTATGTGTATGAATGTGTTTGAAGTCGTGAAGGAAGCTGGACATGCAGTGGACGTGAATGTCGATAGTGATCGGTACTAATTCTGTCCTGAATAGCGTTGACTCCCCCACCATTGTACAGAACAAGAAGGACGACAAGCCGGACCTGGCAATGGAGCTGAGAGATGTCCAGCATAAGGCGATCTGTACAATGGCTATCGGCGAGGTCACTTCGCAAGGGCTGAAGACCAGGAAGTCCAAGGACACCCACGACCTCGAGCGTGTCGCCACCTTTCTGAAGGAAGCGCTAGAGTATGCGGACAAGAAGTTCGGAGTTGAGGACGCGGCATTGGTGGGCTTACAGGTGGTTGCCAACAAGATGGACGTATATGTCATGGCGAGGGTTGGAGACATCTATGTCTTGGCACACCAGGGGGCTGTAACGATCCCGAATAGTCTCCGCTCGCTCAGCAACATTGGCAATGACTTCCTATATGGAAGGCACTGGAGAAGTCCCTCAAGCAGGGCATCGAGCTTATTCTCAAGGTCGCCAGAGAAGGTTGTATGCACAACTGAATTGTGCTTGTATTTGTATCCGTATTTGTATTCATATATTGTACCTTTCAAATAAAATTGTGATTTCACGCTATTCGAGCTCTCAGCTCTTCCTTTCTGCTGGGCATGACCTTGGGGCCGATGTATCAAGAGATGGTAGTTACTTGCCGACCCAATTGGTGATACTAGATGTGGGAGATGCCTAAGAGAACTGACACGCCTTTAGTATCCATGCCCATGATGCAGAAGAGGACTATGGCACGCCATCGGAGATCCTCAGAATAGACCATCCTGGATTGTTGTTCGAGGACCTCGATTATGGACCCCCCTGGAATAGAGGAATGAGGATAATGGTATTCCTTATGTTTTTGGGGTTATTTTTTTTGCAAAAAGCTAAGGAATAGTGCTACCATTGGTTTAGCGGCAATGTTATCTTAGTTAGATTATTGTGCCTTTCAAATAAAATTGTAAAATTTCTGAGCTAATCTAAGGATATCAACAAACGAGAGCCTCGAATAGCGACATGACTCATCTCTAGTAGAGATCCTCAACTAAGATAACACCCCCGTTAAGCCCATGGTTTCACTATTCCTTACCTTTTTGCAAAAAAAAAATACCAAAAACATAAGGAATACCCCTATCCTCACTCCTCTATTCCAGGTGGGGTCCATAATCGAGGTCCTCGAACAATCTAGGATGGTCTATTCTAAAGATATTCGATGGCGTGCCATAGTCCTTTTCTGCATCATGGGCATGGATATCAAAGATGTTTCAACTCTCTTGGGCATCTCCACATCTAGTATCACCAATTGGGTCGGTAAGTAACTACCATATATCGATACACCGACTTCAAGATCATGCCCAGCCAGCCTAATCTTTATCCTTCAGTATCGTTCAATAAAACAGGGCATGTGCGTGCTTTACGTGAGCGAAGTGCCAAGTCTAGGTGGCCAGACGAGGTTATTGACTTTATTCGCAAGTACACTGTTGAACACCCGTGCTTCTTTCTAGAGGAATTGCAGGAAGTTATTCAGGCAGCTTTCCCTGAGTTGACTAACACTTCCGTGCCCACTATTTGCCGTGCCCTACGACACGACCTCAACCTGACAAGGAAGAAGTTGCAGAAAAGGGCTCGTGAAGCCATTCCTCGCGAGATCGATGACTTCAAGTACCGCCTGGCGCCTTTTTACTTCTATCCAGAGCAATTGGTTTTTTATCGACGAGACGAGCAAGGATGGAAGGACAGCACTTCGCAAGTACGCATGGTCCGCTCCAAACACTCCAGCCACTGTCACCCTTCCATTTTCTCGTGGAAAACGTGTATCTGCTCTAGCTGCTTTCAGTTCCAAGGGATTTATTGCGTGGTCTTTTACTACGGGTGCTTTCACTCGTTTTTCTTTCCACAAAGCATTCGTGGAAAACATTCTTCCGCATATCAATTGCTTCCCTATGCCGAATTCCCTTGTTATCATAGACAATGCTCGAATTCATATGTACAAAGAGTTCGCCGACGCTATAGAAAGTCGTGGGGCCATGCTGCTTTTCCTTCCTCCTTATTCACCTCAACTGAACCCCATTGAAGTTGGTTTCTCTTTGATCAAGCGATGGGTGGAAAAGCACGCCAATCTAGCTTTCAATCTCACTCCTGAGTTGGTCTTGGAGCTTGCCTTCAAGTATTGCACAAGCAAGGATTCGATAGCCATCAACCTGTTCTCACACTGTGGTTACGAGGGTAATAAACTTCTCGGCTTTTAATCTTCTGCATGGTCTATATCATCCATGTCATCCTCCGGGAGAGCTATCTGATCTTGTGCGAAGTTGGCGAGACCGTTCAAGTCGAAGTTTGGTAAATTCAGGGCTGCTCTCAAGCTACGCAACTCGATTTCATAGCAGACAACCGTTCCATTCACCTTCAATTTGATAGTCCTGAACTCTTCCTGCTGTTCATCTTCCGCTGCCTGTCTTTTGAGGTTATGGCTATGAACTTGTTCGTCAAGGTGCTGTGTTTGACGGAAAGTGTTTGTCTCTGGTAGTGTGAGGACTTCTCTTTCTGCAGGTAAGCTTGGCTGACGAGCAAGATGACGAGCGTAATGAGCAACGGTGATAGGGCCAAGTTCTGGAAGTGTCCGTCGTTCCACTGCTGAAGCAATGATGGTGTGTGCTGCCTCGATACGTGATCTAGATGCTCGTTGGATGTTATTGCGATTGCCGGTGGTTGCACGTTTCGCTGGTACTGACAAATAGACATAGACGTTGATAAAGATATCAGCTGGATTCTCCAAGCGCCTTGCTTCTGAACGCCATGCCTTTGCAATAAACTCATTGAAGTTGTCCTCGTTCAGTTCCTGGTAATTTTGTTGGGTAGTCGTGTGTGTTGGCTGTATGTAGGGGTGTCCTCCAGATGGCCACTCTAAGCCATTGACTCCTGCAAGTGCAGTTTTAATGCGGGCGGTCAATACGCCATATGAGTCCTCCGTCTTCCTGTGGCGAAAGGTGGGTAGGGGAAGGTCCTTGGATACACGGCAGCGGACTCGTGGCTGACCTTTGCGAAAGTGCACCTTGATACTAATAACATCTGGCAACGGTATACTAGTATGGGCGCGGGCTGGCTTAGAATTCTCCTCTTCAGCTTCCTGTGGATGAGGGGAAGGTGAAAGGATGGCCGAGTGGGAAGAAGGTGAGGAGGGTGAGGCAGACATGAAGTGGTGAAGGGATAAAAGTCCTGAGACTGAACGAAAACCAAAACAAAGAATAAAGGAGCTGAGAACTCGAATAGCGTGAAATCAAATCTTGTTTAGAGAGCACCTCGAATACCTACAATTTTATTTGAAAGGCACAATAGCTCAATTTTATTTGAAAGGCACAATACATATCTATTTTTTCTGTACACCAGAAAAATGAGTTTATGGCGTCTTGCTGCCTTCACTTGACTGCGTTTACATCCCGATAAAGCATGGGATCCGGAAATGGGCTGGTAGGATCAGTTGACGCTTTAAACTCGTACCAGCAATACTTCAGCAAGTAATAAAGAGTGCACATTGTAAAGTTTTTTCGCTATACTTGTTCAATGAGGCCAAGGCTGTACCGCGAACTGTGCTGTGTGCGTGAACTCGAGACTATAAACAATCGGTTTGAGCGCGCGTGAAGAGACCCCCTGACCCGTAACCTGGCCTCGGTCTTGCATTTGCACATCTTCTTCGGGCCCATAATTTAGTCCGGAGCATCGCCTGCAGTGAGAATGCTTTCACTCGTCCTTCTCAGCGTCACCTTCGGTCTCCCCATACGCATCTTTTCTGCATGATCTCCTGCTGCCACTGCTGAAGCTGCCTACATGATGTGCAGCAGGTATGATTCGCCCTTGTACCGAAGATCATGAAATGGCTGACTGTAGTTGATGCGTCATGTTGGAGTCCTATTTCAACTTCAGTTTGAACCGGTGTCAACAACCATCTACTCCTCCATGGCCAGATGAATGGCCAGTTCGATCCAGTAGCGCTTTATGATGCCTCAAGATCTCTGTTTGTATAGGTTTTATTGAGCACATGGAAATGGACTACCAAGGATGTCGAAACGCACACCTGTGATCCGACTTGGAGTTCCGCGCTCAATGTCATTGCCGCAGTGGCAATTTTCGCAGATGTAGCATATCATTGATAGTAAATGTTCGATCTCAAAGAGTATCGAACATGGTTAACGACCTTACGAACCGATCGACCCCACTCCTAAACCCTTCTGCGCCCATGGTCTCCGGGTTTACATTGCCGCCCGTCAGAGTCGCGCTCGCCAATGGATTCTTCACGACGAGCTCGACGTATAATTGGGTATAAATCTGGTGCAGGGCCTGTTGCAAGGATTCGACACCCGGATCCGAGTTCAGGACAAATTTGAGGCCAGTCATGGTTTCAAAGTAGTGTAGCTTGTAATGTGAAGTCTTGTAAGCGATGAATCCGTCTTGGCTACTAAAAAAGCAAAAAGATTTTTGTTCCGAGAGTGTCGAGATTAATAGATGTCCGCGGTTCTAAAAAGAAAAAAGAAATGTCTGTAGGGTCCCCGTCAATTTGGATCTCGCCCCTTCCAGCATTGTGTGATCATCCCCATAGTACTCTCCTCTGTGTTCGTGCCTCAGGTCCAGTCAAAATAAATATGTGCGTGCGTACCTCTTTCCGAGTTTCTTGACCAGGTTCCTGAGTGAGTAGACGACACCATAGACGAGTTTTCCTTCTTCCTCAAGAGACATATTCATGCCCTGTCGTGGATCCGTCATAGTCGTCGTCGTCGCCGTCGATCCACCGCCGCCACCACCGATGCCTCCACTATGATGGGAAGCGAGCGGATCACCGTGCTGGTCAAAGGCATTCTTGCCGGTGTGGCCACGGTGCCAATCGTGGTAGTAGATGCACTGACAGTGCCTGTCAAAGATGTACATATTGTAGATCATCGTGTCGTTTCCTTTGCCTATTCCTGTCTATATGCTTTGGCGCGTCCCTTGATACGAGAATTGGAGGTGTTCTGGTTCGTTTCTTGTCCTTGTTTAGTGAAGTAGCTGATGAGCGTCGCGTCGATGCATGCGTGTTGATGAGTCTATACAAAAGCGAGATGGTACTGCCTCTAACTTGACGCTGGTGAGCCTTGCTGATCATGTGATATAGGGACACTCAACAAGGATCCTTCCCTTTGGCAATGAAAATGCTGTGGAGCAGCGCTGAGCACTTTCGTCCTGAATAGCAGTTCAGGATAACGGCAACGCCGGTGACAGCAAGCTGAGGCGGCGAAACCAACGACAGCGGCAGCAGCACAGGCTATTAGGCAATCCATTAGTAAGAAAGGGATTTTAGATAATCCTTTGGAATGATCAAACGGGACGATCCTCGGTAAAATGTCAGCTTCCCAAAGTATACATAAGCGTCTTTGTTATGTCAGGTTCCGCCCTTGGCATGAAACAAAAGACCAAAATCACCCCACATTTGTCTACATGTCCAGAAATCCTGCCGTTGCAGTGCAGCAGCAACAGCAGCGGTTCCTTCTTTTATTTTATTTTTGCTTATCAAACTGGCCGTTTCCTTGAGTTCAGCTTACTCTAGAGTTTGTCAGTGTCGGCGGGAAAGGAATATTCAACGGAGACGATCATCAGTTAATAGTGGTGGGGCATTGTCCTGCTTTCGCACTCCTGGCTAAGCAATAGGGTCTATGGCTTCTAGAGTATGACCAGAAAAGACGCGAACCAATCTTGGGTAAGGCTAGAAAAATAGGAGTACTCAAGTACAATTGATCCGAGAATGCACAGCCGAAGGCAGGAACGATGGCATACTTTGCGCCTATTATTGTAGTACACTGGCAATAGACTATTGTTTTGTCTTTGAGAGCACTTTTTTGAGAAATGATCATTTCGGGGCAGCTATGAGGGGAGGTTGTGAGCCGAAATGGTGACCCCGACCACAGCCAAGCAGAGCGAGGTATTAGCTCTGGGTAGATCAGGCGGGCAAGGCGATAGTCTACTTAGACTTGCACAATTCGACATGAGGTCTCAAGTCGACTGCATTTGCGGAAGGATAGAACAGAAACCATTGACCATGGCCCCAGGACCCTTTTTCTCGACTGATTAAATTGTCCCTGGATGGGGCAATATAATGAGCGTGTATGCAGGGCCTGATTATGTTCATTAGTCGGATAGTGCTCTTTTGATCTTTTTAGACAACATGGTCCAGGGGCATGTCTAGTGGTCTCGCTGGTGGTTGCCTGCCTGCTCGCGCCCACATCGGTTTACATCCGCCAGGGTATCGTATCCAATACGCGATGAAAGATGGAGTGAACATGTGCATATGCGGTTGTATGCTATGGGATATTGGACAATTTTAAGATAAACGGGCGCTTCATCATCTTCATAATCGTCAATGAAATTAGCGTCTTTGGGGGAGAATCAAAAATAATTTGAAAGGCCGTTTAGTGGGCACACTCACACACGCACACACACTGTTAGTTGCCGACGCCTCGCCAACAGCAACATGTAGCCTCCGCCACATACAACCCTCTCCATTGTCATAGCCATCATGGCCATCGTCATCCTCCTCCAGGTCAGCCTGTTGTCTGCTGTCTTTTGTCAGCTCGGAACCTTTGCCTGCAGCCGCGCTTTTCTCTCTTTCTTTTTCTTTCTTTCCTTCGGTTCCTGCGGTCGCACCTCGTCCCCTTTCTTTGCCCCTCTAGCGCTCCTTCACTCCCACATAACACGTATTCCCCCCCTCTCTCCCTTCCTTCCTACCTTCTTTCGCCTTTCTTCCCCGCGCCCTGTCCTGCTCTTACACAGCTTCCTCCTCTCACACTCACACTCTCGCCGCATTTTACGTCCCTTCTTCCGCAACGTCCAACAGCCCTTCTATCCCTCTTTGCTCCAGTCTCGTTGGATCCATTGTTTCTCTCGCAAGCCCCTTTATCCTTGTCTCCGCCAAATAGTCCGCTTTGCACACATACACATAGCACCCGCTCCTTTTCGTCGTTCCGCCGCTCCCAACCAGTCTCTGCAGACCGGAAATCAAGGCACAGAAAAGCAAGCGCGCAGAACTCGCTTAGGATCTTCTTTCTTTGACTGTTCGGTGCATCGCCTCTGTTGGGCAAGTTCAGTCCTGACTGTCACGGTAAGGGTCTTTGTCGTACACTTGCCTTTGTATGTCGAGCGAAAAAAAAAAAAAAAAAAAAAAAAAAAAAAAAAAAGCACAGTGATGTATTATGGAAACGTGGGTTCCTGTACCTGAATGATCGACATACGCTAGTAGTTCGCTTTTTCTAACCAAGGCTTTTTCTCTATTATCCTGTTCCATATAAACCTTGTCCTTCGCTGGATTACCTGTGTCCGTTTTTGAAAATCCCGCCTTGGATGGTTCGCTGCTCCATGAACCGCCCTCAACCTGACGAAACGGTTCCTTGACTACTGACAACCTCAAACCCAACCCGGCAACCTCTATCTTTATCTTGACGCTTATGTATCTCGCGAATAACGATCGAACCGTCGGTCTCATTCCTCTCCTTAACATCGTCGTCCACCGCACTTTCTATCTTCCATTTGTTCTGTCGTTTCGCCTCTTTCTCCGCACCCGTCTGGTTCCTGGCTGTTTATTTTTACTTGTGAAACATGCCTAAATGTGCTGTTTTCATTGAACGCGCTTAATGACTTCATCCCACATCCCTCATTAACTTTAATGCGGTCCGTGAATCTGTTCGTCCACCCCAATTTCCTCCTCAACGACAACTCCAATTCGTGTCACCGCACACAAAAGAACATTCAGCGCGTAAACACACAGACACCCCTAGACACGTTTATACGCTGTACAGCAAACACCATGCGCCTCTTCGCATCCCGCAGACGAGATGTGTCCCAGGCCACATCCACCACATTCTCCTGCGCATCATCATCAGCATCTTCAAAAGTATCTTCGTCTTCACTGCCATCATCAACACGCTCCCCCTCCTCTTCCCTGACCTGGTCCCTCTGCACCCTCATCATCCTCAATTCATTCCTCACCTTCCTCTCACCCTCCACCGGCGGCGGTCTTGCCCACGCAGCACTCGACCCGGGCTTCTGTGGAGACTGCCAAACCTTCTCGAACGCCATCGGAGTCTGCGGAGGATCCTTCGGGGCTGCAGACATCGAAATCAACGGCGAATACGTTCTCCAGCAGCAGTATTCTAAATGTATCTGCACAGAGGTTATGCAGAAGGTTCTCTGGACCTGCGCCAAGTGTGAGCTCTTGGCAGGTCATCAGTCCAAGGCTCCACCACCGCAAAAGTATCAGACCCAATGCATTGCTTGGGGTATGACAGTTCAGGAGTGGAAGACACCGTACACGGGGGTTGTCGCCCCCGGCACTCAGACGGACGTGACAGGAGCTGGTGGATCGAGTACTCCTGTACCACCAGCAACGACCACGACTGCGCCAACTGCGGGAAAGCCCAGTACCGGAGGTCCTTCGACCACAGTCGGAAGTGGAGGTCAGAACCCCCCCTCGACGACTGATCCTAATGCACCCAGCTCGTCCTCAGATAACTCTGTCTCAGGCCCCGATTCGACGACAGAGACGAATTCAGGTCCCAATGGCACTGCAATCGGCATCTCTGTCGGAATCATCGGTGTCGCCGTCGTAGCCGGTGTGGTGGCCGTCGTGATGATGAAGCGCCGTCGCCGTCGCCGCACGCCTTTGGATCTGGACTCCTTGCCTGCAGAGGCTAGCTTTGTCGCCCTGGAGGATAAGTGGGAAAAGCCCCACCACCACTCTGGCTCGCCTCCTTTGCCACCAGCACCTATTGCTAGTGCTGCGCCTGTAGTCGGACGCGGCGGTCGTGGTGGGTACCAAATGGAGGGTAGTGTTGTTGGAGGATATGACCCACAGTACGATGGAGGGTATGGTCAATATGGACACGGGGGACATGGTGGATATGACGGATATGGCGGCAGTGTACATGGACAGTACATGAACCAGTATGATGACCAGTATGTGGGATACCATCCAAGCCATCAGCAGGAGGCCTACCAGATGCATGACTACGGCTACGAACATAATAATCAAGGCCCCAATGCGCAGTATCATCCCGGTGGACTTGCGAAAGGCGACAAAGGCGCGTACCTGTGAACATGGTAGATGTTCTTGAGGCAACATACATGCAACCATTCCGACACTCATCACTCAGCATAGATGCAATTTAGTTCGTAATAACCTCCTCCCCTACATTAAAAAGTTTTATCATTTCTGTGTCATGTCAAAGCTCATCAACTCTCGCTAATGCATCCGCAGTTCTTTGTTGCCGTAGTCCTTGAGTCTCTTTATCGAGCATATCACGTCGTAGCTTCTCTTGGGCTTCACGAGTCCGCATTTCTCCTGTGCTTCAGGATCCTGTTTCTCACTTTCATCCGTATCATGCCATTCCTGTCCTACGCGCTGCCCCTTGTCCACATCGACCTTGCTCCTCGCGCCCCCTTTTTTTTCTTAACGTTACTGCTGTTCTTGCCGCTCCAATTCCTGCTCATGTGCATTTAATCGTTCCTCGAGTTCCTTGTACTTCTCCTCTAAGGCACGTTTATCTGCCAGGAGCCTTTCCGCCTTCTGAATATCCTGCGCTCGCGACTTGGCTGCGGTCATTGTCTTCTCGATGTTACTTAAGCGTGTTGTGTCGATTTGGGAAGGTGCTGATACAGGCGTACCTACCTGAGGCTGCTGGTTGACATCGCCTTGCTGCTGGCTACGTTGATAGCCCTGCTTCTCGCTGTCTGAAACGGGATCACGACGGTGTCCGTGGCCAGGCGGGTGATGGAAATGTTCATGCTGGTAATGCTCAACTTCATCCTCGTTGAACGGTCTCTCATGATCATGCTCATGATCCTCGTAGTGGTCTTTACCATAGTCCTCGCCATGTACAGGATCGTCCTTTAAGGATTTAGTAGGATGATCCTGTTTCGCCTCATCATAATCCTCCTCTGAGGAGCTATGTTTCCGGTAGTAAAGCGGACTACGCTCGTTCTTCCTCTCCTGATCGGTGTGGCGGCCATGTTCCGATCGACCCTCGACCACAATCTTGGCGGCCTGCGGCCTCGCCAAGGGCAAATTCTGTCGTTGACAGACAAATTCCCACCCACCAAGAGATCGCACCGTTTCACATTTGGCGCGGGAGCTAAAATCGACGTCATACGTTAGGGGTGAGAGGCTGTGCCAGGAGAGGACGATGATGAAGACGAGGAACAAGCCTGCGAGGTATCGGAATTTCTTTGACCAGCTCTGCCAGGTCCTATCAAGGCGGGAGACGAGCAATAGGATGGAGAAATACAGCGCTGGGAGATAGTGATGCAGGTACAGCTGGTGATCCATGAAGAAGAACGGAAAATAGTGAATTGCCCATCCGGCGTAAAATGTTCCGGACGCGACCGCGTAAAAGGGTGTCAAACCTAAGTGTTATAAATACAATATGTTTAATTGTTCTCTCTCCCATACACGTGGATGATAGAGAGGCGCCCAATAACAACAACAACAGAAAAAACCCTATACACCAGCTTACCAAAGCGATTTCGCTCGTTCCTGGCCTCACTCGTGCCCCTGGCCCAGAGGTATCTAGTTATGCTCATGGTACACCGCATCATGTAAACGAGCGCTGTTGCGGATGAGGCCCACCACAGCAGGGGATTACCCATGAGATACACGTAGTTGTTGGTTTCTTTGCTGCTGTAGTAGTTCAGCCCACGGCTCAAAAAGGGCCGGCTCCATGGACTCGACTCCTCGCTCTTCCTTTTGGTTGTACTGCCGGCTGGATAATCGTTCGCGTGGATTCCGGAGCTGAGATCGTGATGAGTCCACCACATAATTCTGTTGACTTCGATAAACTTTTGGAAGGAGGACAATGGTCGGTACGAGAGCGAGGGCGTCGACTTGGGCACTAGAGTAAAGAGGAGGTGTCAGTGAAGTGCGTTTGCTGGGAGGAAATTTTCTCAATACCATAAGTCATCTCAAGCTACAGGCGGATAAGACCTACAGTGTGTATTCTCGTTCTGGTCAACGATAAAGATCGTGTTGGCCTTTTCGCGGTTGTCCTGTATGCAGCCCACTTCCTGGTACGACGTATATGGCGCCCTGAAGACCTTGTGCGACACCATATAGCAGCTCAGCTTTTCGTTGAAGAGGCGGAATCCCTTGGTCGAGTGCCATCGCTTGCTTGGATTTCTATTGCCCTCCTTTGTATCATCCATGCCTTCTGCTGACGCGCCATCCTGCCCAAAAGAAGAGCTCAATTGAAGTCCATAGTTATCAGCCAAGCCAGAGACAGTCCCTTGTGGCACAAGCTCGACTCTCCAAACGGTTTCCAGAGTGGCTTCCTTTGACCACTGGATACCTCGCATTTCCCGGATGTACGGTTTGTTGGATCCAACTGAGACGAGGTCTTTGACAGAGAGCGCGACTTTTGAATGACAGTTCTTCAATTGGATGGCATCACCATCGTAGATATACCCATCGAAAGGCAGCGAGGGGTCCTTTTCGTGAGCAAGGTACTTTAGTATCTGATCTTTCTTGACAGCAGGGTTTCCGGCGTGGACCTGCCAGCAGGTCAGGTCATCGTCCCACTCGACGAGCTGGATTGCTTGGTCTACAGTTAAATTTGTCGGCACGTTAGACTATTTTCGCTTCCCCACTGGGAACCTGTAGAGGGCCTCAGAGGCAGTCAAGCGAATACGTCCCTTCACTTACCAATCGTACCCGCTCTGGCGTACTCGCCGGGCATCGAGTGCACCCAGCCCCCGTTTGTATTAGCATGCCGCATATGGACCTTGGACTGCCAGGCAATATCTGCATTCAAGAAGTATGTTAGTGCCATGCACTTGCACTTTTTTTTTTTTTTTTTTTTTTTTTTTATTCGGATCTCTCTCCTTGGCAAAAAAAAAAAAAAAAAAAAAAAAGAGCGCTTACCGGCCATAACCGGCTTGACATCATGACCCTTCAAGGTCATCCGGAACTGTGGACTGACCCAGGAGTCCCCAGTACCTGAGTTCGACAGGAAGGCAAAATCGATGGCGTACAACCCCATGTAGAGCACAAAGGGAAAGACTAGCAGCGCAAGGAACAAGGCGACAAACTGCCTTGAAAAAATGCGCTAGAGATTCACCATCGAGAGAAAAAATAATTAGATGAACGCGCGCGTGCTATTGTTAATTCGATCAATGTCCTTTGTGCGTCTTCAGACAGGGAACATACCGTGCTGATATAAAGATGTATCCTGGATTCCTACAAGTGTTTGAGTACGCAGAGTCCAACAGTGGCAATGGTGAACAAACCGATCCATTTTACACTACCCACAGGCGGAAAAAAGATACGTTAAGAAGATAACCGACATTTGCCCTGCCGCTGTCAGCGCATCGCTGTAAAGTAAATGGGTACCTGCTGGAGAGAAAGAGTCCTAACCCGGTCTGTAGAAGCCAAGTCCACCAACCGCGAGCGAAGGGTCTGTTTCGGTGGTTATAAAAGTTGATCCATGCAAGCATGGTATATCCCATGAACAACATCATTGGCGAGTCAAGCAAGATAAACCGACTCTGCGTTATCAGTGCGTTCTCTGAGAGCGCAAGCATACGGCGACAAAAGAATTAAAACAGACACTTTGGAAAATTACAAGTCTCTCGATGGCAATAAAAATTACAAGTCTCTCGATGGCAATAAAAATTACCAAAGATGACAAAGATGGCGCACATCATCGAGGCCTGTGTGGAGTGTCCCGATCGCTTCATGATCAGATATGAAATAGGCACGAGTAACACGCCGCAGGACGCTGCAAACATCCGCATGCTGATGTAAGGGACATTCTTCGGGTACAGCCTAGCAAAATATGTAGATCGTTTTCATCGTCAGTCGCTATCCACTTCAGTACACGATCACGGAATAAGAGGAAAGCCAACCTTACTTCCCGGTGGCAAAGTCAAATTTGCCGTCAAAACCGAGCGAGTATGCCACGGGCGAAAAGAGCATCTTGCCGAGCGGGGAATGCACGCCCATGAAGAAGGATCCGTTTAGGTAATCCCGCGTGAACCCTCCAAAGCGCCGCGCACAGACCAGATGAGGGTTAGTTATTGTTTTTTGCACAATACTTGTATCCCTATTCCTGTTCTTCAAAGACATACACAACAGCTGATGGGACAGCCAGTTTCCAGATCTTGACAAGGACTGCGAGTATGGTCAAGGATCCGAGAATGATTCCCTGGCCTCTGGTGCTCTCCCATCCGCGCCTTGACAGCTGCTGCTTCTTCCACCGCTCATTCTCCGTCATATCCTCGTCGTCCGCCTCATCGTTCCCATATGGACCTCCACTCGGTAGAAGCAGGTCCCAGTCGTTCAGAATGTCGCTCACTCGACCCATGCGATTCTGCACTAGGAACTCTGCACCCATGCTGCTAGATCGCCTGCCTGTCCTCTTTTGCCGCAGCCTATGTGGACTCCTACTGTCCAGGTCCATACCTAGGTCATCATCTCCGTTTGGACTTGTCACGTCAGTCACTGCTGGACGGTAGGAAGCAACCTTTCGGCGAGAAAAGAATCCGCCACCTCCGCTGATACTGCTGACGAGACCACTCGCCTCCGATATACTTCCCCGACGAGAGGAATTGGCGCTGGAGCGTGAGACCGGATCGGGTTCATAGTGTCCAGCGAGGTCCGTGTCGATGCTGAGGGAGGTCTCGGAGGCATTGCTACGAGATCTGCTATGGCTACGATGGTCGTACTTGTTCTTGCTGCTGCTGTTGTTGCTTGCTGTAGTTTCCGTCTTGCTGCTGGTATGCAGCACTCTGGGAGATGAAGCCGTTGCTGTTGTTGTTGTTGTTGCAGTCGAGCAAGTATGGCATTGATCTCGAGATTCCTGTCAAAGAATCGTACCCGCTGCTATGGCCTCCGTCATCGTCATAACCACTATTCCCAGAGACTCCTCGGTTATACATAGGCAAAGGATGGTGCTGGTATTGTTGCTGGGACGCAGAAGCTGGGCCATAAGTATCATAGCCGTTTGATCTATACGCACCAGTGTTGCAGTTGCTGCTGGTGTTAAAGTAGTCGCCGCTAGATCCTACGGGCGTACTAGGCTGTGAAGAATACGGGCTCTGATATAGACTATGCTGCTGTTGTTGGGTATTCAGACGCGAAGGTTGATGATCCTGGTTGTTGTGATTTGAATGAACGGACGAGAAACTACCAGATCTCGATCGCATGGTTGTAGTGGACGGGATACTGCCCGCTGTTGAGAGCGGAAGCTCTGACGATCCTGCTGAGTTGTAGCCTCCAAAGACCATTGCTCCGTGTCGTTCAGCCAAAGATACTGTGGTGTCTTTGCAGGTTATACCGATGGAAGCGAATGAATGGCGCGGAAGGAAGAGAGAGGAAGGTGCCTGCGAATAGAAAGAGGAAAATATATGGATGGTAGCAGGAATGAGCATCAACTGCAAACAACCAAAAGAAAGGAGTTCTACGCCCAGCATTGCGCAATGCTGGGCCACAGTAGAATTGAGGAGGCAAGATACAGCGAAATAGGGACGGGCCCTGAATGTAATAAGGGAGGGCTTGTGTCTAGCGTTGACAAGTCTATTGGACCAAGACGCGTCGTTAATTTGACATGTTATGGAGACCCCGGCGTGATGGACTTTCTTAACTATAACGACTCCAATCCATGTTCCGACTTACGGGATATTGCGGGGCTGTACTCCAGAGTATTACATGTCCCTGCAGACTGGTCCGTCGGGCGGCATTTTATCCAGCTCCAACTACCGGAGATGTTACCCCAGTCGATTGCTCACCGCATATTAAAAATTATTCATTCCGTCGCTTCGTGTTGCCGTTCCCCCTCTCGTCTGCAAGGCCGACACATTTCTCTTGGAAATGGTGCCACGCCCTTTTCATATTCCAAATCCCATCGGCACTTGTGCTACCGAGAGAATGCACATCCATTCGCTCTGCAAATGAAGCAGACATGGGATGAAACTCTGTAATTGCAAATATTGCAGGCCCCTTTTCCCTTTCCTTGGGCTGTGCTCTCCTACCTACCTGGTCGCCACATGTTTATCGGCTTGGCGCGTCCCTTTGATTTTCTTTTTTCACCTGTGTAATAGAAGGTGTATCTGCATTCGCTTATCGGCTTAGAGGGAAGAGGATAAGAAACATTGGGTGGAGCAGTTGAAACTTGATTGCGCTATCGGTTATCAAACACAACATCAAGTATTCATCCGACGCGCCCACAATCATCCTGGCGTCACGCCAGGAACATGGCCTTAGCACCAATTTGATAAAAGCGATGGTGTGATGGACCCCGACAGTGGTCTGTGCGATAGCTTCCGAACAACATTGGCCTATTGGTGTATCATGGTTTAAGGGCGGAAAAAAAATGCTGCAGGCCGCGGATTATGCAGCCTATGCCAAAATCGCTATCACACATAATACCGCAATGAATGGATTGCTGTGCATAGATTGTTGGTCCCTCGTTCAAAGAGCATAAAGGAGGTCTTAGGATTTCAGGAAACTTTGATAAACAAATCCCACAGGAGTCGGAGATGAAGTGGCCGTTACCAGCCTGTGAGAACAAAGGATTGTTAGGTACTCGGCTTAAGAGAAGATACATTGCTGGTGTGCAATAGAAAAGAGACACGTTCAAGTCATTATTATCAGCGTCCGCGGCTTTTTATCGAATGTGTACCTTCTGGAGAAACCTTGGCTAGAGGCCACTTACCAATGTAGCGAGACAGCTGTGCGGTCGACAATTGCAATCCTGGAGGACTAAAGGATTTGTTTTTTATTTTTGGTCTGGGCTCCCGGTCATTGACGGATCTCTCCACAAGTACCTCGCAAACTCTATCCTGCACGATGATCCAGGCACACGACAGTAGGCTAAGACCGCAGCTACCGATGATGATCCAGAGCGAGATTCAGATAGAAAACACGACTTGATAAATTTGAAGGGAGAATGTGAGCTTGATCAATACGCATCGCTAAAGGCACTTTCAGCGGATATGCTGGTAAGTAGAGGGCTGGCAAGTAGAGGGTTCCTTTGAGGCGGCAAGGCTGACTTGGGTACTAAAGATGATCACTGCGTATTTGGGGATTAAGAGTGGACGACCGGATCATTCATGGCGGCAAGGTTCATTCCAGAGACACTATGTAAAATGAAACATTAGAAAGGAGGAGGGTTCTCCATCTAAATGCAAATATAACTAGAAAAAAAAAAGGCGTTCCCTTCCTACCAGCCAATTGTAGTTGTTTCTTGACTCATCACTCTTTCTCTCTCTCCACACCTTCGCTTCTCATCGTTATTTTTTTTTCTTCTACAAACAACGACAACACCATCACCAATTCCACAAGCTGCCCTTGCGCCAATGACCGTTCGGGAAGGGTATGTTACCCCATTCCAGGCATCCTTTCGCACACTTGCCCTTTTTACCCCTGCACCATGTCTCCGTAACCATACTGTCTGGTCGCTGTTTTTTTTTTTTTTTTTTTTTTTTTTTTTGGCTTTTTCTTCGAGGACCAGGAATAAAAGAGCACCTACACTGCTAATTGGAAAGACTCAGGGAGTGCCCTCAACTAATATACGGAGAAGCATTTAATACCTGGTGGTTCGACAGGCATTAATAGCACTGTTCAACGAACACTTCGACCCCGTACACCACCCAAAACTGAGTGGACATGTGTTTAATTGTCCTCGAGGGAGCAGGAATTCTACACAGCTCCTTATTATTCGTGGTCGAATCCTGTCTTTACACCTCTATAAATATTTTAATGCTTGGACCTAACATTGCTTCTACGTCCTCTGGTTGTCCATATAGCCTTCAGATTGAGATCTCGGGTATCCCTGCCGAGAACGGCAAGTGTAGGGTCGAAACACAACTCAAGATCACACTTCAGCTTAAGGATGCAAAAGGGGAGAGCGTCAAGGACTGGAAGCAACTCCGGCTACCTCGTCCGTTGATTGCGAAAGAAAAGCACCGAATGGAAAAGTTTAATGGTACGGATGATGATGATAATGATGCTAATATTTGTTGTTCTGCGTCATCAAGCAATATAGTACCATAGCTAACATTGTCCATTGCTTTGCCCTCCCAGGGCGGAGCAAGCACGTTCAGGATTCAGAGATATTGACGCTCGATGCGAGATTGGTGTGCGACCATGATATGACAAAGATACTGGAGTGCTGCGACAACTGCATTGGACGGGAACGGAAACGCGCTCATCGTAGAAAGGAAAGTCAGAAATTACCAGGGGCCTTATCATCAATACCGGTCTTTGGATCGATCAGCGCTAAGAAGGCGGGTGCATCGCTTACCAATGAAGCCGTGCCACCAACGCCAACAGATCCGATTGAATATCAAGCCTGGGAGCGCAGTCGAATTATGGTGTTCAGCAGCACGGAATACGTCGACATCTCCTCTGGACAATGCCTACTGCCCACACGTATCACCTGCTATTGCCGGCATCATAACGAGAAAGTCGGATTCCGGTAAGTTTTTGGACCATTTTGGTCACTTCGATGGTTGCGCATAAGGAATATGAGGAGTGGAAGCAGGAAATCGACAAAGGCGACACACACTGCACAGGAAACATATGAGCAATCAACCTTAATTCAGGGCTACTTTCACTGCAGATCCCCCCGTTCCGCATTTGTCATGTTCACACAAAGACAGCGCTTCCGACCCTGGGTGCTACCTGCAGAAGAAGAATATCGACACTATTTTGAGCATCTGTTTAAAGTGCCACAAGCACGATTAATGCTCGGCATGCTTGGCAACCGATCACAGGCAACTGTGGAATTTTTTTTTAATTCTTCAGCTGAAAGCGATAAAACTGAGCGATTTTCGCAGGGCTTGACAACAGTAACCACATGCTGACTCCATGTGTCCCAATTTTATGCCAATTAGTATTCAATTTACGGCCAAGGATCCCACTGGTGCTGTCGTAGCAGCTGTTTTGACCAACCCTGTCATGATGATGGACGACCATAAATCAGGCAAGAGAGCCATACCGACACAACCAAAAACCGCTGGAACCGCAGGTTCATCTTCCACAAGAAAATCATCAGCAAGAAGGACATCCACAGTCGCAGACGGTTCAGCGGAAGACCTGGACATCACAGAAGACAAGGCTATGCAACAACAGGAATTTGACGAGGACGAGGACGACATGGATCAGGATGAAGGAGCTGCAGAGGATGAGGACGAAATCGACTTGGAGGCTGGACATCATGTACCGCACCACAACTTTTCAAAGGACAGTTACAAGTCTGAGGACGCTGAGATCCTCTCTGGCGACATCTTGGCGCCGTTGAGCTCCGGTGCGGACAGGGTAGGCACGAAGCGAAGGGTCGACGAGAACATGATGGAGGACATTCAGTCGCAATCAAATATGGATCCATTGCGTGGTCCTTTTCGCCGAAAAACCAGCCATGATGTTGCAGCAGGCGTCGCAGGAACACCCTCGTCTTTCGCATCGCTAGCACTCAAGTTCCCGTCCTTTACTGCGCCCTCTGCACAATCGCCATTTGTGTCAAATTCGCTTTTTTCAAATGGGACGCAAGGCAACGCATTCGCACCCTCTTTCGGGCAAGCACCGGGCAATGGAGAGAGTTTCCTGGACCAAAAGAGCATCGACATGTTCCTACAGAGTGGTTTGTCAACATCGCCCGCCCATCTCAGGAGCGATCTTCTGCATCGCCGCCCATCCAAGGATTTGGCCGACCACGATTCAATAATGGAGTTCACAACCTTGGATGAGCCAATGTCATCCCCCCCAGATGGATTCTTATCAACAGGAACATCTGCAGCAAAACCAGGACAGAGTCATGATCAACCACCAACACCAGTTACGAGTCAAGCCGTTACAACGCGGGCCTCCTTTACAATCCCCGTATCTGTACCGGACTTTCCTTCGACTCCAACCACAACATCGGCCAATGGGTCCAACCCATTCAGCTCTGCCGGGATGTTCAGCTCTGCTTTCAGCTCAACATTTTCTTCGCCACTGAACACCTCCGCGCCCACAAGCTCGATGATGAACGCCCCTGGAATGTCCTCCAGCTTCTTGGATGCATCGCAGATGCAGGAGTTTCAGAATTTCAAGCGACAGAGCCTTCTCCAGCAAAAGCAGCAACAACTTTTGATGCAGCTTCAACAAGGCGTCCAGCAGCAGGCCCAGATGGAAACCAAGCCTGTACCGTGGACTGCGAGCGACAGCAACAACAGCAGCAAGGATCCGTTCTGGAACATGAAGATGGCGATGTCGCAAACAACCGATCCATCTTCAAGCGCATTCATTAAGGACACGACTGCGAACCCAGCATCGGACGCCAATGATTCAGAAATCTCAAAAACAGTACCGTCTACAGCTGCATCAGATGCACCTCTTGCTCCAAAGAAGAGAGGACGCCCACGCAAGACTGCAGCCGCAGCAACCTCAGAAGCCAGCTCGCCCATTCTTTCGTCGAAGGCACCAACAGCTCTACCACCCTCACCATCACCGCCGCCACTCGCTACACCGTCGGCCTCTGCTGCAGCTGCAGCGCAGTTCATGTTGTTGCAGCAACATCAACACCAACAGCAGCAACTGCACCATCACCAACAGCAATTGCAGCAGCAACAAAAGCAGGCTATCCTGGCCCGCCAGAAGCCCAGGATTCAGAAGGTCATTCCGTCCCGAGGTCCAGTCGAAGGAGGCGTCGAGATCACTCTGTTGGGTAGCGGATTCTTCCCGGGAATGGTTCCGACATTCGATGGAGTCCCAGCCCTGAGTGTACAGTACTATGGTCCGGAAACGATGATCTGTCGCCTTCCACCACGCAACTTTCCGGGATCTGTCATCGTCAAGGCGCAGAACCCTTTGACCGCGCTGGCTTCGTCTGCATCCGGATCAGGGTTGGGCGCTGGAAAAGACGACGCTACCAGCAACGGTTTGGTCAGGACGATGACGCAGCTTTTTGGAGGACCGTCGGGTGCGCCAGGCAGTAGCCTTCTCCTGGGAGACGACGATGTGGGCGTGTATTTTGAGTACGAGGAGAGCAAGGGCGACCGCGACCTGATAGCTCTGGCATTACAGGTTCTGGGTATGAAGATGAATGGACGCGTAGAACCTCCGCACCAGGTTGCCATGCGTATCATGGACACAGCCGCGGCGTCAAACGTCATCATGGGTCAAAACGGACCTTCGTCGCAAGCACAGCTTCAATTGCCACAGCAACCACAACAGTCATTATTGGGATTCGGGAATTTCCAGTCGAATATGCTGCAGCAAAATGCTCTTTCACACCAGGCACAGCTCCTGCAGCAAACTCAGCAACCCCAGTCCCTGCAACTACAACAGCAGCAGCAGCAGCAGCAGACGCCATTTGGTGTACTACAGGCTCAGAGCGGTTCAATGGCCAATGGCTCAGTGCTGGGCACAGGCATGCTGGGCTTTGGAAACTTTTTGAACTCGATGGGCGGATCAAACGGCAGCGGCCTCTAATCGATCCTCACTCCTTTATTATACTATCATCCCCCAATCCCTTCCTTCGTCCACATTTATTGAGATATACCCTTTTCCCTTCGTCTACGCGTTCTGCTGTCCGTTATTTCTTGCGATTTTTTTTTTTATTTTTTGTAGTTGTTGCTGTTGTTGTTTTCTTGCTGTTATCTCTCTTGTAAATTATAATTGTTGTCTGCATTAAAGTCCTATGTCGGTAAATTGTGGAGGGTCAAGGTCAACACTATGTTTGATGCGGTGGCAGCTGGATGTCGCAGCGGATTCCTCGTCGACTAGTGGCTTACCTGCTGTAAAGGTGAACCGGCGAAGACACGACATTATTCTCAGGTCCATCTTTAGCTTCAACTCACACCGCACACACACACACACGCATTCTATCTCTCCATCCCTTCACCTCTGTGCCGAAGCCATCGCAAGGAACATCGACTAAATAAAAGGACATACAGTCAGGACATGGCATCGACTTTAAAAGCATCGGTGGAATCCGTCCAAAGGTTCTTTGGCAAGCGGACCCCTGAGGAGATGGTATGCATCGTCGATGCATATAACCTAGCTACATTCAGTCTTTTTCTTTTTTTTTTTCTTTTTTTTTTTCTCTCTCTCTCGCCCTCCCCCTCTCACTATGTGAGATGGTAAGTTGTCCTCCCTATCGATTGTATTATCCCATCCTCACCAAGACCTCTCTCTCTTCCTCTATTGGGGTTTGGACTCCGCCCTCCTCCGTATATCCCCTCCAGGTCAGAAAATGGCGCCAAGAGATCAGTGCCCAGCAACGTGCACTGGACCGGCAGAAGCGTGGTATCGAGACCGAGGAGGCCAAGGCGAAGCGGATGATCAAGCAGATGGCCAAGAAGAATGATATCAAGACTTGTAAGATCCTCGCCAAGGAATTGGTGCGGTCCAGACGACAGAAGGATCGGATTGTGACGAGCAAGGCTCAATTGAACTCAATATCGATGCAGCTGCAATATCAACTCTGTAAGTCACTCCACTCGACAATTGTCATTGCGCTTTGGAGCACGGGGAGGGGGGGGGGGGGGGGGGAGGAGTAGGAGGGTATCTTGAGTATTGTCCTTATTATGGCATGGTATTTATATTTGATCTCTGGCAATTGACATTATTTGTGGAATGTATTTTTTTTTAATAGCCACGTTAAAGATCGCCGGTACCTTGCAGAAGAGCACAGAGGTGATGGGCATGGTTAACAACTTGGTCAAGTTACCAGAAATCTCTGCACAAATGCAGGAAATGTCTAAGGAGATGATGAAGGTAAGCGTTACTCTACCTGTTTTTTTTTTTTTTTTTTATAAAAAAATCTGTTGTTGGACATGCTTTCAATTGCAAACGATACTAACGATCTTATCAACTGATGCCGCTCTTTCTTTCTCCTTCCAGGCAGGAATTATCGATGAGATGGTTCAGGACACAATGGAGTCCATGGACGACGATGAAATCGAAGAGGAGGCAGAGGAGGAGGTCAACAATGTCTTGTTCCAGATCACGGACGGTCTTTTGGGCGAAGCACCACTGGCGGCAGGCAAATTGCCCACGGAGGCAGAGGCGGAGGAAGAAGAACCAGCACTGGACGATATGCAGAGACGTCTGGAGGCACTCAAGAGTTAAGCAGAATCGAAAGCACTGCAATGTATGATCGGCGTCTGATTCAGGAGTGGGTGTGCTGCCATGAAGTTGTTTTTAAATATACGAGGATGCGGATCAAACTAATTCTGGGTTATATAGACATTATGATGTAAAAAAAAAAAAAAAAAGTGTCATTCGCAAAGGCTCATGTGTCCTCTTGTGCCCTTGTTTACACTGTTTTTATGCGGCCCTGTCAAAGAAAGCGACGATCGTTGTGGAGCTGCTTTTCTTTATCTTTATTCAGATCAAGGACACTTTTGTCCGCGCCAATCCTCCCTGATAATTCTTGATCGGAAGCGGTGCTCTTTGTAGTCGTCGGAAGGCCTCTCGGATATGTCGAGGCTGCAGCGGACTCTGTTCGCTTGGTGGTAGTGAGAACAATCCTGGGATGTCTTCGTCTAGATCCATGTCCTCTCCTGCTGATCCAGCACCGGCACTGTTATTATCCCCTCCTCCATTACCGCTGGCACCGCCATCGTCTCCTTTGCCTTGGTTCTTGGACCTTGCGACTGCTTCACGATGTAGCCTTTGTTTCTCGTCCTCTTCCTTCTTGACCTTGAGTGCGGTCTCTGTGAGGGTCGTGACCATTTCGAACGTCAGGAATCCAAGGATATCGATAATGTCGTCGTTGGGTCGCATATCAATGTACGAGGACATGTTGGCCCATTCTCGGAAACGCTTCGCTTTCCTGTATGTAAATGATGCCTGTCGACATTCGCTATAGTGCTCATATTCTTCCCTCGTCATTGCAAACGTGATCCTGTCAGCATCCTGGAAAAATGAGAAGAAGGGGCCTGTAAGCATTCCAGATTGATGCGCAAGATAACCCAATCAACAGCTTAAAGCCAATAAAAAAAAAAAAAAAAGGGCAACTGCATATTACCCGCAAACGTTGCATTGAATCCAGATAGGCATCCTCGTCATCATCATCGTCATCGTCATCCTCTCCAATCCCGACCATCGCCTCTGAGAACCCGTTCAACAGCTCCCAGCTCAATTTGACCCGCATTCGCCTTGCCTTCGATCCCGGTGCTACTGCAGCGCCCGCATTCTTCCCGCCCGGTCCACCGGCAGCACCATCTCCGGGACCACCCTTCCCGTCTGCTGCCGCGTCCTCGATCCCGACCACATCATCGGCTCCTGGGCCGCCGGCTCCATCAGACGAGTCCTTGACGTTCTTGCGCACATCCTTCCAGGAGAGATAGGTACGAAGGCGGTTGACCTTGGGACGATCATGGCGGATGAGGAAAATCAGATCCTCGGCAGACATGAACCGGGAGCAACGTTTGCGGGCCTGCTGCGCTGCTAGACAGATCTATACAGGATTCAAAAGTCAATAAGAGTACATAGTGTCGGTTTGCTTTTGTCCGTGTTGAGCAATGATAGGTAGTGACTGAGCATGATGACAAGTTCGACGTACGATTTCGATAACTTGTGAGCGGACAATGTCCTCGACGAGCATGGTGGTCTCCTGGATCGCATCCGAGACCTCACCAAAGACGAACATCATCTGCTGGATCTCGCTCTGATAGCGGTACCGCGACTTCTCCCTTTCTTTTTCCTTTTCCTTGTCCTATGTTTGGGGTTGATGGTGTGCATCGTTGCGAGAAGCGGGGAAAAAAAAGAAGAGGATCGTCAACATAGCACGCTCCAAAGCGAAAACCCTTTTGGCATTTGCCAAGACGACAGACATAGAGTCGAGCGTCCGAAATCGTTCCGTCCCATCCATACAGCCATTGGTCCTGAACGTGATCCTTGAGGTCGTTCGAGCGATGAGTGGAGTGATGGGCGAGCTTCTTGGCGGTGAAACAATGATATTTGATGGCTCCTCATATTTGATAAATATTGATTTTGGCCGACATCATGTATCAATGAAACAAGGCTGTGTTGTGTTGGTATATCCCAGATAGTCCGCCAATAGGAATATAAACTTGATAGAAGTAAAGTGTGTTGTATACATGTCTTGGGCAAACCCTGCTTGTTATCTAATCTGTTTCACGCCCCTTCTCCATGGAGTCCCTTCAATACCGAGGCTCGCTGTTATTTTTACAACTGCTGCTCTAAAAAGGGGAAATCTGCGACTGATTCACATCATACCTCAGGGTTATGAACTGGATATAGCTACCGAGTTCGCGATCAAGGTCTGCTGTGGATTTGGCAATGGAGTCAGCGGGGATGGAAGGCATTAGTCATTCCTAGGCGCGCCAATGCAACAGAATCATAGCATCACGGACAATAATAGACACGCGTAATACAGATTGCTGCTTCATCGCCTTCGACGCGTTGAGTGCCCTATGAAAGTCCGGCCCCTTTTCTAGAATGTTTAATCCTCCACGGTGTTATTGTGGTGTACATATAACATGGTTCCACGTACATCTGACTGAAATACATCTGTCCCCTCAGACCCATCATCATTATCGTCATCATTGTCGTCATCATCAGCACCACTAAAATCGCCAGTGCAAGTTCCAGTATGTTGCACCAAAGGAGGGGCTCTGCCAAGCATAGCAGCGGATCGGGTCGCAGTCCGCTAGGTGTAATTCGTCATATTGCAACAGAGGCAACTTTAGGTTTCATGGACGTGATGTGATGTCATTTCGACGTGAATTAAAGGAGAGGGGGCCACCGCCAATCCCCTCCCCCATACTTCCCCAACTCTAATCCGCACACGCCAATCCCGCTGCAGCACTGTCGAGTGCGGGCTGCTCCCACTGCACCGCGATGATCTCACCATGATCCGCATTGGGGCCTCTTTCCTTGCTAGCCCAGGGGCAAGACCACGACCCATATGACAGCTCGTCAGCACAAGGCAAGCAAAGAAAAAAACGTATAAAAGGACCACTGTCCTCCGCCGAAAAAAGAACTCATCAACAACTACCACTACAACAACTTCTCCCACCTCAACCAACCCAACCCCCCACAAACAAAAACCAACATGTCCAACGTTACTGACAAGATCTCCAACACCGCCAACTCCTACATGGGAGGTGCCAAGCAGTCGATCGGCGAGACCATCGGTAACAGCGACCTCGCTGCCGCCGGTGCCCAGCAGAAGGCCCAGGCTGATGCCGCCGCCGCCGCCGCCACCGCCAAGGCCCACACCGAGGGTATGGGTCACCAGGTCAAGGGCAACGTCCAGCAGAACGTCGGATCCGCTCTCGGCAACACTGAGATGCAGGCCAAGGGCCACGCCAACGAGACCCGCGGCGATATGGAGCGCAAGGTCTAAACCAAACCTCTTTGCAACAACAACAACCAATGTAAATAATATTGTAATAAACATATTCTAAACCAAACATAACATGGCCTTTGCAGTGATACGACATGTGGATATATCTATTCAGGTCGCGTTGCTAGTCTACTATGGAGATGAAGAAGAGTTTATTGGAAGCCATTGCAGAAATCCGCGCTTCTAGCCTTCGATTACAGATCACAAAGAAATAAGCTGCACTTCTTTGCTCATGAGATAGTGAGTCCATGACAATAAGTCCCCGACAAATATAATTTCAGTATCACCCTTTTTTAGTCAGATTTTGTTCTAGCCTCTTAATTTAATTTTTAATTAAGTACAAAGAGTGTCAGGCCGCGGCTCACTGTGGGGGTAAACCTCTGAAATGTGGTAGTTTATAAACCAATGGAAATGTGATTCCGATTGAATCAGCTTAAGTTATTCAAAAATATATTTGCCCGGGATGGACTCTATCTGCGTGACACAAAGCGTAAACTATGCCACTGTATAGTGATCAGACCACCATATCCATAACTGACAGACTATGTGAATCGTTTGTAAAGATGTTTGCAGTTTTATTTAAAGTTATGTCATCAAGTCAATCATCATCCTTAATTGACTCAAGCCGTACGAGGTCTCTGCTGCTTTCATCATCGTTGATCGCCCTCAATACCGAGTCACCCATCATAACATCTACATCATCGTCTGAGTATGCACGGAGCATTATCTTCAATGGCGGGCCTTGATAACAGCGTCCATGCATTGCACTGCTCATCACACAGTTCCAACTATGTCCCATGGCTCGCTCCAGATCCTTGAACCAACAGTGCACTGCAATGTACAGAGACGCCGGCAGAAGGATAGCTACGACTAACCAAATCGAGATGGAGGTGGTGCTGAAGATTCGGCCAATAGTATACGATCCAACAAGTTCTACATCAGGACTGCCAGCCAAAAACAATAAATGGGCCAGCATCATACTGTCGATGCTGACTGGTGTGTCTCCGGCCGTGAAGTTGAGAGGTGGCCTTGAGATTGAGGATCCAGGGATAGGGTCTGCATCGACGTTACTCATGATATTCTTTCCCAGAAGAACGGTCCGCTCACGCCATTTTCTAGGATCGGAGTTGATGCGATAGTACGACTTAACCACCTTGACTGATGTAAGATATGAAATGGAACATACCTTTTCAATCAGTATGGCTCCACCAATGTACACGTTGCTGTTTCTGCTTGTGAATACCCCTCCGCCGTCTGACGTTTCGAAATTGCAAAGCCTGGGATCACTGTCGGGAAACATGATTTGGCCAACGCTGCAGTGTATCCGGAAGGCCCCTCTCTCATGGATCGGTACCCCACCATCCCAGTTTCCAGTATCGCAGTGCCATTGTTGTCTATTAGGGCAGCCCATGCAACAATGCCACTGGGAGATGTTATACCAGTTGGGTACAGAGGTATGATGTTGATATTCGTGTTGTAGCATGTGTTGTTGAAGCCGCCGTTCTCACCCAGATCGGTATTGAATGGAGTTGTCACCATGTCCATCATGAATTTGAAGCCCGACAGATTTCGATGATATTCAAAATCTGGGGCCCTGGTGAAAGTGCCATTCGCAACGAACAATTCAGTGGTGTTGACGAAAGTGTTGTTCAAATCCATTGTTGACCGAAAAACGTCACTCTCGAATGCATAGGAAAGATTCATTGCATTGGCGGGGGATGCTGTTATCGAATCCAAATTCATGGCTTTCCACTCAACATTGGTCACAATTTCGGTTGAGTCAATCTGCGAGTTGATCCTGAGTGTGTTGTCAGTAGGATCGAATGTCAAATTGTTGGCTGTGTACTCTCAGAGACTGAATGTCCTGGGAGGTAATCCTGGTTCCAGCTGTACGCCTTTGTACTTCATCATTATTGCTGGCAGGAGTGTCACAGGGATGCTGAGGACAATATACGTAATCAGACAGACCCTGCCTCTGACGTCGTTCCTATAATACCATGTTTTGGAGTTGAGGATCAAATCGGGGGCGCTCTGCTGGGCCAGGAATATGATGTCTTGGGATAGCCTCCCGTTTACGATCAGACAAAGCAGGAAGGACAGGGCCCATGTGACTGAGAGGCGCGTCAGCGTGTAGAGAAGCGCCAGCTGGCCTTCTTTCAAGAACATGAATGGCCAAAATTGAGGATGTCTTGATGTGTGTGCGCGAATAGACGGAGGATGACGAGGTCAGAGATGAAACAGTTGGCGAGCCACACTGTCCAACAGTGACAGGAATTTCTGTTGGCAGCACCGCTTTAGTACGTCCACGCACAGTCGAACTCCTATTTTGCAGCTTAAATTGGAGGAGCAGTCATGTATTCAGCAATTCCATCGTATCGAGAACTGCCCGAAGGTTAGCTTTCAATATAACATCGCGGTTGGGATCCTGTAGATCAGCTTCAGTATCAATAAATCCGTTTATAGTCTCTTGAAAAGATTCTCGAGAATAATCCTCATTTAGAAGGGGCTTGAAGGCGGTGAAGAGAAATCCTCGAGGGGAACCATCTTATCCACAGTGCGGCTGCGGAGAACAGTTTTGACTTTGAGAGGAATTGACCCTTGTCGTAAAGAGTGTACTTCTTTCAACATTTGTGTGATTTGGAAATGGAGGTTCCAGAGTCAGCACCTTTGGTGCTTACAGGACTAAGAGCTGGGGCTGTGTGAACAGAGCGCATTGTTTTGGGCATGGCAGAAGTAGAGGACAGGATGGACTCAGGAAGTGAGAGTGTGTGTGAACAAATGTTTACTCAGTTCAATTGGACTGAGTACATGGCTGCTCCTCCAATTTAAGCTGCAAAATAGGAGTTCCATATTTCCAAGCCACGAAGAAATAGTGGCATAGCAATACTTTGTAACACAGATCGACCGATTGCATTATCGCAACCCATCCTGTTTTTTATTGTATTTTGTCTCGCTTCTCTACACCGTTCCCACAAGATAATCTTTACTAATACGCGATCACGTCATGAGCACCGAGTCGACCTTTTTTTGGATCTTTAGCCTCTATCAGGTTGCATACATACTCAAGTGGAAAGGGAGACGCGGAGAAAACTCTAACAAGAAGGACGAACTTACATGTAGAGCAATAGGAGGAGGGATTGTCGATTGAGCAAAGTGAGAAAAAGATGTGGGCCCACACGACGGACCATCTGCATATTTATTCGCGATCTCTAGAAGTACACCCTGAAAGTTGTTAGGTTGTTATTGGTAACTGTTTAAAACACATTGAGCGGTACCAGAAAGTTTCTTTGTTTGCTGGAACATCGGCAGACTCGATCCAGCCCCTCTGGATGACATGGACTGGAAATTTCCATCCAGAGGGGCTGGGTCGAGACTAGAACATCGAGACATGCCAAAGTCTGCATGGTGTTCTAAAAAACGCCTGCAATAAGAGGAAGGTTGTCCAATGAAAACGTTCATTTAGAATTGAACGAGGCTATTTTCCCTTATTGGATGAAAACGTTTTCTCCAGGGAGTTACGATTTTTAAGGTGACCAAAGCACCACTTAACTATAAAACGTTGTGGTCAACCCAGGTTTGCATGTGCATGAACTCATCTTCCCTTACCAGCTTGCGGACTGCATCGGATTATATTGACAACGAGTAAATATGTGAAACACCGGTGCGCCCTATAACAGCTGCCGCCACTCAAGAAAAGTAACTCAAAACGTATCCAAATCTCTTGATGCAAGATTCAACAATGTCCTTTGCATGAGCACAACCTGTACAGATCAAGCGTGTGTTAACCAATGAATTTAAGCATGTAAGCAAAGAGGGAAATATGTCTGAACACTTCTTAAGGCCAAGACTCCTGAAATAGAGGTTAATCTCAGCGCAGCGGTGGGACCTCCAACAAGATAAAATCGAGCTCTGCAACTGGCATACGTGTACTTGAAGTAAATCTATATCACTTCAGTCCCCACTGAATATTTCTCACCGTACCTTCAGCAAGGCATTATTTTTTTTTCCTCTCATAGCTTCCGCACCGTAGCTCTTCCTCGATCACACTTGAAGATAAAGAAGGGTGGCATGATGAATGCTTAAAGAGAGTCCAACCCAGTGCAAATGAGTCGAGACCCGGTCCCGAGTCCTGGCTAAATTTGCGGTCGAAGTGTTCTTCAGGTGGCGGTGTCCTTTTATACACGGACAGAAAGGGCACGTGTATGGAGAAGCTGCGGTGAAAACAAAAGATTTTAGCTTTGTGCATTGGCCAGTGCTCCAGCTGTGATTTCGATGTGGGCTGTGCTGCGAATGATAATTTGGATGTAGCAAGGGTTGAAAGACCCAACGTAAAGACCATTTCACTCGACTTCTTCATGTCTGCATCTCTTGTTCGTTTTTCTCTCTTAGTCTAGACTGTCGTACCTTATCATCTATCAAGACGTGTTTAAGAGCAATGCTTCCGCTTTCTTCCCAACCCTTCAAACCACTATTCACAACCTTCGCTCTAACTCTCGTCACTATCTGTACACTATCCTTCCTCCTACTCCTCTCCCTGCCCCATCAGTCATTTATCATCATATTCTTCCTATGTTTCTTTTTTCCCGAGGCGTATTCATCACTGAATAATGGCCTGAAGAATGTCTTCAACCCTAATTTGAAAAAACGTTTGAAAATCTCTCCATTCCTTCTTACCCCTATGCCCAAACAGCGATATACCATTCGACAGCGACTTATCAAAGAGTGCGAGAAGGGCTTTTTCGAGGCCGCAAAGCGATATGCCGAGCACCAGTCGACGGGGCCATTTGGTATCCATGAACTGGAGATGTATTATAATGCGCTCCAGTACCTGTACCAGAATCGATATCTCGCACCCCGAAGTCGTCTGCCTTTCTCGACCGATTTGAGGGACAGGGTTCTCGAAGAATACAGTGCGCACCACTTCAAGTCCATAATGCACATTACACCAGCTCAGTTTGCGTCGTTGGTGGAGTTGATCAGCAGGAGCAGTCAATTTCGACCCAAAAACGACAATTTCCCTCAGGCGCCCGTCGAAATCCAGCTGAAAGTCGCTTTATTTCGTCTTGGAACAAAAGGAACTGCAGTCGAGAAGGTTGCTTGGGTTTTTGGAGTGAGCTGAGGATCCGTCCATGCCTACACTTGCCGATGCATCTTGGCAATCGAGGACTTGATGCCTCAGTTTGTTGTGGGGCCGGACCGAGCGAGAAAAGCAGAGATCAAAGCATGGTTCAAGGAGAACAAGGGCTTTCCTGGCGCAATTGGGCTGTCGACGGGGCGCCGATCCCGTTTGATCAAGGCCCTTCATATGACACCAAGTCCTGGATTACTAGGAAATGTGATTATGCCATGAGCGCCACGGCCGTTGCTGACCACCAGGGACGCTTTACATACTTCTCGACCGGGTACGTTGGATCTATGCATGACGCGTTGGCCTACAAGAACACCCGCCTTTACACCAGACAGGATTTTTTCTTTCAAGGAGAGGAGTACCTACTTTCTGATGCAGCCTACGCCTTGACCCGCACGGTGATTCCGAGATACAAAGGAGCGACTGGGGATCAGCTGGAGTTTAACATTCTCCATGGCGCTGCAAGAGTGAAGGTTGAACATGCATTTGGCACGCTTAAGCTCAAGTTTCCTTCCTTACGAAGTCTACCAGTCAAGATTGACAAAGCGGAGGATATTCACAAGGCATCCAGCTGAATTAAAGCATGTGTGGTTCTACATAACTTTGTGCGCATCGACAACCAAGAAGGCGACGACGATGAGGATGTCCTTGCGCAGAGACAGCCGCGAGGTCGAATTGAGGATCTTAACCAGCAGGAGGTGATGATGGAGCCAAATGGACATGGGAGGCAGCAGGACGCAATAAGGAGAGATGTTCTGAAGAGACGAGTACTTGAATACCATAGGAGAAACCATAGGAGAAATCATAGGAGATAGACAACACGTTTACTAAAATTGACTATTTGGCAGCGTTCCGCGAATTAAGCTGTGCTCTCACCAGTTCGAGCTCTGTCTTCATCACCGCATGTTCAAAATGCAGTCGCCCGAACTCATCCTTCTCTTGTTTGAAGTTTTCCTTCTCTTGCTTAAACTCGGCTTTCTTGCTTTCAAACTGCTGCGTACGTCGCATAAATGACGCGTCCTGTTCTCGAGCCCGCTCTTTCAACATCGCACCATACTTCCGAGCCCGTTCTTTCAACGTCATGTCATTGTCCTTTTCGATGTCCAATAGCTTCTCAGCCAACGTGTCCATCTTCTCTGCAATCGCTTGCTCCTTCGCTTCCAGTGCTAGCTCCCTACGTCTATTATCCTTCCTGTTCTCCTCTAATTACTTCGCATGGGTGTCCGCTGCTTTAATGCCCACGTCTTTTAAACCTGCGAAGGCCTTGGTCACATCAGCAGACGATTTGAAGGTGTTGAGCTTTCGACGCTTCCCCGCTGGCCCTATGCTCCTACCTCTTGTAGACCGAGATTCACTATCATCCATTATAACTATCATCGCCATCAAGGTTGTTGCGCAGGATTAGATGGGTTGTTTTCGATTGATAAGGTACTGTAAATCGATCATTCATATACCTGAATTGAAGTCGCCTGCGATCTCCGCAATGTCTGCCTCGGACTCACTGGATTCTGAGGAAACTTCTCTGTCAGATATCTCCAAGATTGGAAGCCTGAGTGGGTGTCGATGAGGAGGATCATCCGGAAAGGTGACTGACTGGTTAGGAGGAGGAGGGTTTCTGGCGAGACTCCCACCGTAAACGGCATGAACTTTATCGAAATGAGGGCAAATAGATAGCATTTGCTCGCGAAGTGTCTCCTGTTCTGTGTCTCCTGCCCCGGTTTGCTGTGATATCGCACGGGCTTGGTCGTACTTTTTCTTTGCATATGCAATCTTTGACTTGACTTGATGGTGATCCTATTCAGTGTTATTCCTTGCGTTAACATAGTTGGCGATCTCTACGTGAATATCGCTCGCTTTTTGGCCTGACACTAGGCACTTCTTGTTGAGTCTCTCGTGATTGTGCGGATCGGTTATCCAATTGACAAATGTTTCCATTCCTGGAGAGACCCAAAAGTTTTTCCTGAGATCGATTTTTGGAGTAGGGGTTTGTATCGTGGAGGTTGATTCGAGTCCATGTTGGAGAGGCGACGATGAAGCTAGTACTGCAGGCGGTATGGTTGATGTTGCTGACGGTGCAGCGTCTCCAAGAGGAAGTATTGACCGCAGTTGACCGTCACGTTGGCGCTTCGACATGGTAGATGACCGGGGAGGAATGGGGTAAATGTAATGCTGTGGGTGGGAAGTAGCTAAAGTCGTGCTGTTGGGGGAAGTTCGTTTGAGATGGAAAAGCGCGAAGAATTTGTAGTTGGCGCAACGATGACTCTTGAAATTGAGGGGATGAGACGGATCCTTGATAAACGCGTGAACGGACTTCAACTGTAGGTGAGAGAACAGACGCGTTTGAGGGGGCTGGTGAAGCTAAAAGGTTTCTGTATTCTACTGAAGTTGTGTATGCTGAAGGAGAGCATAGTGGAGGAGGAGGAGGACCTCCTTGGAATGGATTGTTGGACATGGGGGAAAGTGAAGAAAGGAGAGGGAGAGGGACTCAGGAATACTAATTTTATTGGCCAACAAATTTTTAGACTCAAACCTTGAATACGAATTTGTGGCTCCTCCACCAAAGGCAAAAATCGAGAGTGGAAGGTTTTTGGTAGAGTATGGCGGTTAGTTGTCGAATTGGGTTTTATAACAGACATACTATTGATATTGGCCAAACAGAGTTGTCAATTTGCCAGCAAACAACCTCACTCCTGTTGTTCTCACTCCAGTCCTCTTTCTCTTCATAACTTTTTTCGCACCAAGATTCTGTGGTGTAGTAAACGAGAATCATTCGGTTGGTCTCGTAAAATTGATATTAGATCATGGGGAAGAGCACCGCCCCAGGATAATAGAATAAACGGTCTGGTACCTGAAGCAGAGTCTTTCTTTCCACTTAAATCATTTGTATCACACATTGCATTCATCCAGATTGTCCGGATAACACCGCACCAACGACAGGTACTGACTACCGCCGTCAGTAACCCATGCAACGAGATACAATCAATAGGGAATGCCGATCCTGACCATTCACCACTTTTGCACCGTCAATCGCTCTTATTTAGACATTGTACTTGCCCTGCAGCGCTTCCCCGATCACCGATCGTCTCATTGTGCATCCGTCATCGGCCCACCCTCGTGAAACGGCATTATAAAGGTACAATGGAGCAAACCCTTGGCATACAACGGCTCCAAAGGGGTGGACTTCATTGTCACGACCCCTCACCTCATCGGACATCACAACATGCGAACTCCTTGCAACTACCCCAGTCATTCCCAAAAGAATATAGTCCTAGCTCGTACTATTTAGCTAAACAGATCCCTATATTTATTTCATTCCATTTTCGTATAGTCTATTTTACCTTTGTGTTCATACATTCCGATCTAAAGGAGGACCCTGCACCACGAACCAGTAAGTGACCAAAGCGCGCCCTTGCCGAAGTCCTATTCGCGTGGTAACTCCTGTTGTAAATAGAACTACTGGTGGAAGTTATAAAACCCGTTAGTAGACCCCCTACACCGCACCACTACCTTGAGATTCAACAGCGATTCGGACTCGTACATCATGACTTGGTCGCCTTCCTGTGGCTTGAAGGTGTTGTGGATGACATGCACATCATCACGCAGACTCTTTACAAGCTGCACCTCGTCGTTGGTGAGGTCAGCATCAAGACAGACAACTCGGGTCACGCCTTTGATGAACTCTCGCAGTATCTGACCGTTAAGGTCATGCATATCGCCCATTGTTGTGACACTCGTCATCTGCTCACACAGTGAGCTGAACTCATCGAGGATCAAAAAGATGACGTTCTCTCCATAGAAACCCAATTCAAGTCTGTGCAGCGACTCTGCTTGGACCACGACCCTATCACATTCAATAGTCTCTTTGCGGATATCTTGGTAGTTCGAGAACCCAAGGCGCACCCCAAGCATGTCAGCCAATGTCCTTCTACACGTTACTGCAACGAATTTGAATCTTCTGTTCGCATTGACGAGCTGCTCCACAAATACGGTCTTGCCTGTTCCCGTAGCAGATCGAATAACTAGACTGGGGGGTTGTTTCCTGACTGCAATGTTTAACCCTTATATCTACTTACAGACAGAAAGTCAACAAGACAAGAGAGGGATCTTTATTTCCTGGCAGACGGCCCTTATAAAGCACTACCCATCTGCACCACGTTAAGGCACTTGTCTCTGCTCGTACGCACTACATAGGTCAATATAGTGCACTGACTATATCGAACTTGCCGTTGCGACGTTTCAAGGGTTCTGACAGTGGCGACAGGAACTCATGCTTGACAAACTGGGCATTGTAGGTCATATCTGCATCCAGGAGAGTGGAGGCTATTTGTGAGTAGAGTAAGGTCTCGATCTCCAGGGTCAGACTAAAGCTAAGCCTGCCAACCCGCACTCCTGCTGTGCCATAGGAGCGGTGACAGTGCAGGTAGATCGCGCCATTCGCCCCAGCTTCAAATACGCATTGTCTCTATCATGGCTCCGCTCGCATATGTCACATTGGCCTGCTTGGACTCGTTGCAGCTTGAAGATCGTACCATGCCCATCATACTGCATCTCATACTGCCCTGCATGCTTGTACTGCATGTATTCGTTTTGCAAGGCTTTAACAATATGTTGTGGTATCTGAGAGGATGGTGGTGCATGTAACCGGCTGGTCTCCTGGGTTGGTAGGGTGGTTTGACGAGCTGGCGATGACGGTTTATCGACTGCAGTCATGTCTGCAACTAAGATACAGTCGGGATGAACGTTGGTGATGAAGAACTCTCTGTCCTCGGCTGCCATGGACGCATCATGCCAAAGGGCTCTTTGCAAGGGGCGACTGGGATCCTCACGCTTATGGCTCCCTATAATCCGCATGGGTCTGTTCCTGTTATAGACACCCATGTCGATATGCTCGAGCAATTGGCTATTCTCGATCTTCTGGCCTTGATCGCGTCTATCACGTTGGAACTGGACCATAAATGCCTTCATGTGCTTGTTGTTATCCTTGAACGCATATGCTGGAATGATAATATGCAGCGACAGTTTTTCCTGCTTGATGCGCTCAGCACACGGCATTGCTCACTAGTCACTGCGTAATTGGGCGCGAAATGGTTGCGTGCGATAAGAAACTCGGCAAACACCTGTTGTTCAAGCGAAGCAATGCCACTCGCACTAGAATCAAGAGCATTGTCGATGTCAAGGGCCAGGTCGATGTCATAGTATTCAGAGCACGGACGGCCTTCACGAATTTGCTCCGTAAAGCATTTGTCTTCGTCCGGGACGTTAGTGTATGCGCGCAAGGATGCAGACAAGTCTTCATAGCTCGAGTACTCATAAAACGGGTTCTTGCCATTCCTTGATGTGCTGCTCGCGAACGCCACGAAGAACGTGTTCGAGTTTTCATCCGCCCATGCATAAGATCTGTTTTGAGGACCCTCCTGAAGACTCTTGTCGTATGCGAAATAATTGGATCCGAATCTGCTGTGCATTTCAGTGGGTTTGAATGTAATGAAATGCATTTAATCAATTTGATGCGTGTCATGTGATTGTCCTGAGCGAATGCTGACTACATCTGAGTCATGTCATCGAGGCAAATTCATCAAAACGCGTTTTGCTCCATTCTCACAACACTCTTGTTCATTGCCTTCCAGACAACCCACACCCATCAACGGCTTCCCGCGCCTCACATCCCATTCCATCCCAGATAACGCCCCTCTCATCCATGGCGGCAAACGCACTCACCCTCTTCTGTGTCGTCGACGGCGAGTCCACAGCCAACGCGTTCTCGGTCAAGGCAACATCCATATCAACCATTGACGAACTCAAGAGCTCATCAAGGCCAAAATCCAAGCGCCTTTAACCACATTGACGCCAAGGATTGGTTCTCTGGCGAGCCACAATTCCCGTTGACGAGAATGCCGGGGACGAGAACATCATCACGCTCGATGATCTGGACGACAAGACGAAGCTAGGCAACCCAAGGACATGCCTTTCCAAGCTGTTCCCTGAGAGCCCTGACGACAACACATACATCATTGTGCAGCCACCCCCGCCAGGTATGTCTCCAGCTCTCTGCAGAGTGATGATTGATATCCTGGCGCGTGTTATTTACGTTATGTTATTCTTTTTTTTTTCTTCCGATAGCTCCTAAAAGAGACCGTGAAGAGGATGCGGGTGAGTATTATTGATCCTTTCTAACCACCTCTTGTCTTTCATTCAGTCATGAACATAGCTGGTGTTGCTAATATTCTTGTGTACTTACCTTTGCCTGTACGCCATTCCCCTGTTAGCGCCCCCTCCCAAAAAGACCCATCTTGGTACGAACTCGTTGATGGATGCGATTGAGGAAGCTGGTCTTACGCAAAAGGCTGTGGCGGATAATAAGTCCGACCTTTCTCTGCTTGACTATAAAGAAAGAGTCTCTGTGCTTGGTTTCCTTGGTAGCCCGGTTGACAAGACCAACAGATACGATTCGCTATCTACGATTGCATTTGCCCTCCGAAATCGGTCTTTTCAAGAAATAGAGTTACTGTCCACACCTCCCGGTTCCGGCACTCTATTTCCAGTGGTCGATACAGAAGACCTATATGTTCGGCAAGCCTACAAGGACCTTTACCAAGAAGTTTCCATGAAATTTCAGGACAGTCCTAGGAATAGGGCTCAGAAGCACGTTGTTGTCACTGGAACATCAGGCATTGGAAAATCAGCCTTCCTCGTATACTTCACCATCCGACTTCTTGCTACAAGCAGTAACGACAACCCGCCTATTGTGGTTTTCCAGGAGAAAGGGGGATCCAAGTGCTATGTATATGGAGGGCTATCTACTCTACGCTATGGAGACATCGAGGATTTTCGGCCCTTCCTCAATCTACCCGAAACGTGGTATTTAGTCGACAGCTCTCCAAACCCGCTGCTGGAGAGAGCAAGGACTATTATATCAGCATCGCCAAAGACACTACATTCCGAGATGAACCAATATCAGGAAGTCGACAAACGAGTACCGTGGCGTTACTACATGGCCCCATGGATGCTGAGGAGTTAGAGCAATGCCGGGACGGTGTTGAGGGCTTCAAAGTGGTTCCCAAGAACCTTATGGAGGAACTCTACGGTATGGTAGGCGGCGTGCCGAGATATGTCCTTGAAAAACCAATGAATGTACTGAACCTCGGTCCCGGTGATACTGCTGGTGCCAAGAAGAGTGCGTGTGCACGCGTTTTGCAAGCCATCGATCTCGTCAGAGCTCCGCTGAGGATGATGCAATGCTTTGAGCAAGGGAGAGAGTCGCTAGAATATAGCAGCCGTCTACTTCACCGCTGGCCTACGGAGATCACAAGGACTTTCGTTTGGAATGGGCGTCAACATATATCGTAGACGAAATCGGCAAATCACTGCAAGATGTTACTTGGCAAAAAATCTTGGAGAAACTCACTAGCGTCAACGTCGGAACCGCTAAGGGACCCATGTTCGAGCTATATGTACGACACATCTTTCGAAAGGGAGGCTACGAATTCCAAATCAAGGGTCTTCAAGATGGGTCGGATACCACTTTCAGAGTCCCGGCCGATCCAAGCGTAGAGTTGTTCGATGAGATTTCCGCAGTGCCTCCAGAGACATTGTGCATACCAAAGACTTATAACTACGCTTGCATCGATCTACTATTGTCGCCGGGACACTTGTTTCAAGTTACGGTATCCAAGAGACACGACATAAAAGGGCCGCCGTTTTCGAAGCTCCTCGAAAATCTCATGAACAAAGGATGGATCCACTCCTCTGGAGACGCTCATCTAGTTTTTATTGTACCAAGCGAGATTTATGACAACTTCCCAGAGCAGAAGTACTTATCTACGACAGGGACAGTCTATAAGAGAGTCCCAAAGCTGATACGGCCGGTGAAGCAATTCGTGTTGAAGATTGATTTGAAATCAGCATCGACCGGCAAATCACCAGGGATCTGTGGCCCAGCTTATTGAGTGGAGACGCAGCGTCTTCTCCCCATCACTGCAATAGGACATGCATGTCAACATTAAAATTTTGGAAAAAATTACTGCGAACCGTGACATCTGCAAGAAGCCGTCTTTCAGACCAAGACAGTAGTATGTAGCTCCACGATAGTCTAGTGTACACTGTGATCCCACATTGCTTTTTTCTTCGTCTGTTGAGGAAGATGCATTCTGAGATCCCAGGACGCGAGCTCCGGCACAAAAAGCAGAAATTCACCATGCCTGAACAGTCAGCGGGCAAGATGCAGCGAGCCTAACTCGAACAGGGCTTCCCCGAGATCGTACCGTTAACGGAGGATACTGAAGTATGGGCCTCGCGACAAGCTGGTCCTCTGTCTAGATGGCCCTCCTTCACAGGAGAAATTATTCACTCAAGTGCGCCGAGACGCTGTGCGACAGAAAAACCTCACGCGAGCTAGTACACAGTTTCTTTAACTTGAAAACCGCGTGAACAGTAACCTACGAGTCCGGAAGCACCATTCCCTTGGCGTCCGCAAGCATCTGGAACCAGCTTTCTATTGGTCTTTGGCTGATCGGCAAGCTTTTGCACAGTACAAGCGCGAGAAAGAGTGGACCGTCCACACGAGGCTGATCCCGGAATTGCACGAGACTATAGGTCAGGCGACATTGTCTTATCAAGTGATAGTGATATGCTGGTTTATCAGAACATCGAGACTATCTGGCAACTCATTTCCAGGGGGAAACTCCTTGTGTACCACCTTCCAAGCGTACTCACGACTATAGGTCTCAGTCGAGTTCAGCTCACGACATTTGGGGTGGTTTCTAAAATCCAATTCTGGCGCCTTACTTTAGGCGTAGCGAAAATGGTAGAGTATTACTTGGCCCATCCTCAAGTCTTTCGAAAGAACGCCGCCCAAGAATCGTTCGGCGCCTCACAGAGAGTGTTTGTGTAACTACTGATATTATTGATACTTTTTTAATTTATTTTTTATTAACGCTCACATAGGCCAGGTCACTTGGATACATCGCGGTTGGAGTAAACGAATATTACACGTCCAAGAAGTGTCCAACCTGCGAGCAGTTGTCGGGCAGGTCGAGATCCGCAGGCTACACTGCTTAAATTGCGGCACTTCCATGCACCGCGATATTATAGCAGGACACAACATCTGCAATGCGATACATGGCCATTTACTCCATCATCAACGATCGCTCTATATTCAACCAGTAGATACGGATGGATGAGATATTTTTGGGATTGAGATTAAGTGAGAAAGAGATGTAGCTCCACACACCACACCAATTAGGTATTTATTTGTATTAAATATAATAGTGAGCTGGAGGTACACTTGTTAAACTAAATATACAGTGAACTCTGGTGAAATATGCGACAATGGGCACTACCCTTGAATGCAAGATGCAAGGCCGCACACAGAAGCCGGGGGCAGTAGCAGAAGCAGCAGTAGCGCAGCGGGGCAAGGGCAAGGGCAAGGACAAGGACAAGCTGGGGGATCAGTGAGCATCGGTGACTCCTTCGGTGACGTCATTTAGGTGAGAAGCGAGCCACTCTCCTAAGAAAAAATTTTCATTCAAAAATGGACTCCTTCCTCTCCCTTCCCTCCTTCTCTCTTCCCCAATCCCCTCTCACCCTTCCTTTGTCCCTTTCCCTCACTCCTCTCTATCCTTTCATCCATCGTTCTGCAGCTCTGCATCCAATCTGTGATCTGTAAGTCTCAATTGTTTGTTTATTTTCACAATTAAGAATCTTTCAATGGGCTTTGGGAGGCCCCACCCGCGCACGATGAAACACAAGCTGGCACCAGTCTAAGGCGTTAACCGGTGATGACAAGCTCAACAGAACTGTCATACGCAGATAGTTCCTGACGCGATCCATTTATTCTTCCGGGGCCAATTGATCCTCAATTGCTCTATTTTTCCTTACTACTTTGATCTAATCCAATCTGATCGATTCACATAAGGGAATTGCTTTTGAACACTGTAATAACCAAACGATTTGCTTCTCGCTTATTGTGATCTACTCAGATAGGTAACCAAAGTAAACGAGAGTGGAAATAGGACGATTGCTATAATTGCTTTATGAATATCAAAAATATAAAAATAAAAGATGGAATTCAGTCAATGCGATTTGTTTGAGGTGCAAAAAAGCCATGTTGAGCCTTTTCAGGATCCAGACTGGGACCATAGTATGGCAGAAGAGTTGTGTAGGCGCCATTGACTTGGGCTAGTGGACCTGTGTCAACTGTATCATAAACTCATTTTAGGTCGTGTGTAAACAGTGGCACGGAAGCCAGACGCGATAGAGCCGGCCTGTTCCTGGTGTTTCTGGGATGGATGAATATGGTCCGCAGAACTCTTTGTCACCATAGCACAAAAAAATGTGCGTGCTAAAATTAGGCTCGTCTATCTTGATTGTCTGCGGCTCAGCTGTGTAAGCTAGACCACCACGAGGAACAGCATTCGCTTGATGGCTGTCTTGTCCATGAACCCCTCTCTCCCCATTAACATCGTTGCAATCGCTTTTTCCTTCCTTTCAAAGCTTTGTTTTTGACGTCCATTCTCTCCAGCCTAGTGCAAACCAACGGATGTAGACACGGACAATTGCACACTCCACACATATTCACACTTATAACACCTCCGACTTCCTCTCTCGCCTCCCGCCTTTCTTTAACTCATGGGAGCAGTCAGTTCGTCGCTCAACCAGAGCGCAGACTGGATTCGGACTCAAAGCTCAGTTCTCGCAGGGCACGGACGGGAAGGCGCACGAGGGCGACGACAGAGCAGCCGGCGGCGGAGAAGACAACGGCAGCGTGCACAGGGAGGAACCATAGCAAACAATCGTGTAGGAGACCTCGAAGCGCGTGGTGAAGACTATTACTCTACTGACGAGGACGGTGATGAATATGACTCGCTAGATGACGAGGATGAGGACGACGATGATACGCTTGATCGCGGCGAGGATGAAGACGAAGATGATGGTCTTTTGGATGGAGGGGTTGAAGACTCGGCGCCTGGCAAGAGCGTCTATGACAACCACCCTTTGTATTTCGGACCAGCCTTTCATCCTGTGACGGAGCAGAGTCCTGCTCAATTGCAGCTTCAGAGACAGATTGAACAGCAGCTTGAACAGCAACAACGACAGGAGCATTGGCAGCAGCAATATCGTCAGCAACAGCAACAGCAACGGCAACAGCAACAGCAGCAACAGCAACAGCAGCAATCCTCCTCGTTATCAGCCGCTGATGGTCAACAGCTGTCGCTGAATGATTTAATCCTCCCTTCCGCAATATCTGGATTGGGAGGGATCAGTGCGGGCGGAGGCGTGCCGAGCAATAGAGTCGTAGGGCCAGGATCGCCCACTGCACCGTTGACGGATAGTATGCAGGACCAACTGTATAGGAATAGTAATCTCTACAATCTCATTTCGGGGCTGAATGTCAATGCGCTTCTAACAGAGGTCCAACGTGCAGGAACACTGGACTTGTCGGTGCTAGAGCAGGAGCTGGACGATGTTGAGGGGGGCTGGATGGATATTGATGATGAGGATGAGCAGGACGGTGGAAATAGGGATGATGATGACACTGATATCGACTATGGTCACGAAGGCATCGTTCGTGAAATGGTAAACTATTTGGCACCACATGAAAGGATGCCGCATTCAATGTTAACAACTGCAGGGAGTCTTGTTTTGACATTATGCTATATTGTGATTATCTAGCAACCGACGAAGCGCTCACCGACAGCACTGGCATGCAACGTCAACTTAAAAAAGAGCACATTACGTCTCGTCAAGAATTTTTCCGTCTCGAACGACCCGTCCATCCCAGCACCTTCACACCTACGACCAAATTATCAACTCGATTTTACTTTCGACAGCCTGACCCCTTGTGATGTTAAACTGTTTTGGATCGTCAAGGAGGTTGAGGAAGACGGCGAGCTGGGCTTCCGCTTGAGACGGCTGCATCATTTACCGCAACCGACGGCATACCATTTCCCAGCGGGCATGAACCAACGGTTTATCTCGCCTATTCTGCCACTCTATACAATGTCACTTCCGGAGTTGACGATGCAAGGACTACCTTCAACCTCGATGCGGATGTACCAGAAGAGGCAGCAGAGGCAGAGCCAGTGGCAGCAATCCAATCTGGAGAAGGATGGTGTCGAGGAACAAGACTGGGATGCGGAAAACGATAACGATACTATAACTGATGGGGAACGCGGGAGGAAGAGTAAGAATGGGAAGAAGTGCAGCAAGACTGACAAACATAACACAGAGGCATATGGTGGCTCTTACCCCAAGAAGTATGGTAGGAGCCACCCAAGGTTGGATGACGACGACTTCAAGCCCATCATGGAAGACCAGTATTTCCCTCTGGTCATCTTGATTGAGGCCACACAAGAATACAAAGCGACAGGTGTGTGTTTTCTTTGATGGGTATATACCATGCCAACTAAAACTGTATGGCTGCTAATTTGTATTACTTCCTCCATATAGCACCATCACGAAGTCTGCCTACGCCTGCTGCGGATTCGCCAGGTCTCTATCTAGTCGACAACCAGGCTATATCAACGTTCGCCTGCTTTAACATCAGTTCTGAAGGAGGATTTGAAATCAAGGTTATGAAGCAAAAAGTCTGGATCAATTCGACCAATTACCTCATTCAAGAAATATACGGCTTCACGGACTCTGTTGTGCCTACACCACCCAAGGCCCCCGAAACCGCTGCTGCAAAGAACACAGCTTCTCCGGATGCCCCACGACCACAGCAACAGAAAGATAAATCAGGAAAGAAACCATTGTCCCGTTCGATGTCACGGTTGAGTCGCGCAGAGTCGATCGCGAGTAGGGCCGATGAGCTGACCAGAGATCCGCTACAGAGGACAAAAAGCAAGCGTTTGTCGCAAGCGACGTCGTCGGCGGCAGATATGGATGCGGAGGAAAATATGGACAAGGGGGAGGATATGGCAGTAAGCCGAAGGACGTCTGGGGCAAATGTGATTGTGGATCTGGATATTGCGGAACCAGAGCCGGCTGTTAAGCGGCGTTCTTCTGTCGTGTCAGGCTTGTCACGAAGGAAAGGATCTGAGGATTCAACGATCTCGCGGACAATATCGACCGTCAATGGCACGGAGCCTAAAGCAGAGGATGACGAAGAGGTCGATAATGGCAGTCAGGAGAATCCCTTGAGGAAGGAGGATGAGCAGACACAAGGGGAAGAGCCGAACTTGGTACTTTTAGATGCTCCGGAATGCGTCATTTGCCTGTCAGATGTCAAGGATACGATTGTTCTGCCGTGTCGACACTTTTGTATATGCAGTGAATGTGGAGATGTGTTGCGCAGAAGATCGCCTCAGCGGTGTCCTATTTGCAGACAAGGTAAGCGGGCAGTGTCTGGAGTAGCGAGTGCTCGATTATTGCTAAAAAGTGATGAGAAGAGACCCTGACCGGAATGCTTTTTGTTGTTATTAGTATTCCAAGCGCTACTTCATATTGCATCTACACCGACGCGAAAACCAGAATTTGCTGTGGCTGGCTCGCCTGTATCAACTGCACCGGCAGATTCGCATGTCATTGGGACCAACACGCAGTATCCCGTTCAGGCTTAAAGCCACTCGAATCGATTACTACCTTCATCATCTGCGTGTCCCTTGCTATATAGTTTCGAATAAAAAATATTACTTCTACCCATTTTAATGAATCTTGGAATCTTTAAATTGGAAGGACTGAGCAGGATAGCTTTGTTTTTCATTTATTCGACAAAGATATGCAACAGCGGAGTGAATACTGAGCGAGGAGTACAAAGGCGCTATGTTACAAAGAAGAAGTTGATGGATACCAAATCCGTTCATTCAGGATAAGCGAATAGCATAGGTTATGCACAAGATCTCGTACGATGACACGCGACTGCTAGGTTGAAGACGGATACACGTAGGAGATGTCCTATGGTCGCGTAGTACAGCGCCAAAATAAAATAAAATCGAAGGGATGCTTACCCTCCTCAGTTTTCCCCGCACAAATAAACTCTTCTCCGGAAACAGTTGTCTCTTGATGCAAGAAAAACATCGTGTATGTTTAAAAGAAATACCCTTCATCATGGCGCATAGTCAGCCCAATGACGCCTTCGCTTGCGCAGCATCCCGCTCATTTGGCAAAAAGTAAGTAGCTCTATGCTCTGGCCCTATTGTCGTTTATGACTCTCTCCACCCTCGACTTTCATCTCTTCATCCCTGTCTCAAGAAAGCGTCCTGCTCACTTGACATCTTTTCTCACCGCAGCAACTTTTCGTTCTTCCGTCTTTTACCTCTATAAGAGTTTTCTGGGGTTTAAAAACCAACTTCGGTTCCATCCGTCCGGCCAGTGAGGAGACTCACTGTGTCTCGCCTAGATATTGAAGACTACCGACGGATACTACTGTATCTTAAATATCTCCAGGTGGCCAAGATGCCAGTGTAGTATATGACAAGCACGCAACGCAAACGCAATGCTGGGTCGGGTCTGTCTTTAACAATGTTAAGCTCCTTCCCCGGACTTGCTTAAAAGCCCCGGACGTGACATGTGCAGCCAGCTGCAATGATACTTATCCTTTGTGTGCTCCATGCCGCACCTTGAATCGCATCGAAGCTCTTCGCCGCAGCATGCGGAGACTTTCAACAGCGCAGCGCGGAAGTGCTCTAACTTATTTTAGCTCAAATTGAACGCCAGTTTCTTCCTCATGGTCTGCAATGACACCCTGCTCCTTTCACTACTCTCCCGTGCGGCGGGCGACGCTTAGAAACCCTTTTTTCGTCTTGTGCGTATAAATAATGGCTCCCTCGCTTCGCTCTACTGTCTATTCATCCTCATAACGCGTAAGATAGTTCAAGTTCAAACAGAACAAAAGACCAGCAGCTACAACCACCGCTACCAGTGCCATTACCATTACCATTACTACCTTTCCATTACCAAGAAACAATAAAAATGGCCATCCTTTCGTTCAAGTTCATCAAGCCCAACAAGACCGCCCCATGCTTGGACCTCGTCCACGCGCCAAGCAAAACTGCTCTTTTGAGCGACTCCACCACTACTACAAGTGCCCTGCATCACAACATCGACAGGCTCTCCGCGTCCAAGAAAGCAGAAAAGCCCTCTGCTGTCTCAGACTTCAAGGTCTCTGGCATGGCATATGTCATTAGCCGAGCTTGAGGACCAGATTAGGTCTAGAGCATAAGCCCACGTCCTCGAACCTCTTTTCTTCTCCTCCCCTACGGATGTGGCAGAGACAGGTTAAACCAGCGTCACCAACCGCACCCATGTGGTCGTTTCTCGTCCCATTTAAGGACCAGGCCGTCGTAGGCAGGACATTGCCATGCATCCTTAGATACGCATGACGACGCAAACGCGTCCACCTTAAAGTCTTACAATCAAATAAATCGAGAAGCACAAGTATGCATAATTGCAGCCACACGCACATTCTATTGATGCCTCCATAAGGCCAACTGCAACTCGGTCTTTTCTGTGTTAATACTCTGAAGGCGACGAAGAGTTGATTTTGGCCCATTTCCTCCTGACCATCTCCTGTGGCGAATACTTCGAGTCCTCGTCCTCGTCATCTTCATCCTCCTCTCCATTAGCATCGGCCTCGCTCCGAACTGCCGCTGCTATCAGTGATTCTCGCTCCAGTTCGGCATCACTCTTCTTTCCTTTGCCCTTATCCACCCGTCCCTCAACATGCTCTGGCATAGAAACGACCTCGCCGGATTGACCATTGCTGAGTGATGCCTGCATTGGAGTCGCACCATTCGCAATAACCTGTGTATCATTTGCGGTCGCTGCTGCTCTGGTGGCATTGGTCAATGGAACAGGCGAAGGCGTAGAAGATTCAACTGCAGGGTTTAGCTTCTGTTCTGATCCGACCTTGGTGGGCAACCCGCTCGTGCTCTTTGACGATGGTTGCTTCATTTTCCCCATCGCCTGATTCAACTCATCACGGTAGCGCGCCTGCTGTGCTTGCAAGTTGGCTAGTGCAACGCCATTTGACAGCCGATCAAGAAGTGGGGCGATGGAAGTCGTCGCTGTCGGTGCTACTGCTGCTCCTGTCATCGCTTGGGGCATAACAGGACTTGGTGGATCTGCAGTATCGCTCCTGATTGGCGTTCCCTCAGATGGTAAGGTACCTAAGACGCGATTCAACACACTGACAGACTGGGCAATCTGAACCTCGACAGCCTGCAGCACACGAAGACGTTCCTGAAGCCCGCGTCGCGTATTTTCTTCCAGACACTTTAATTGTTCGTCTGAAAGCACATCCAATGGCGTCAATAGGATATGGTCTAACGCTGTCGCTCCGCTAGCGCCTGCTGATGAAGTTGAGGATGCACCAGTCGGCGAGCTGTATGTTCCAGATCCAGATGTTTGCTGTGAATTAGAGCTCGATGTAGTAGGCTGTCCATCCTGGTGACCTGCACCGGGTATCCCTGTCGCTGCTCCTGCTGCTGCTACGCCAGGTCCGCCTACAGGGAACAAAGGGATAAACCCGGGGATAGGGTGCACTACATGAGGGATCAAATAGTGAGGAATGTAGTTGGTTTGTCCAGCAATCGGCATCCCGCCAGGAGTTCTAGCTCCTGTGTTTGCACCAGTTCCAGCTGTTGCAGTTGTCGGCGTCGCTCCTGCCCCCACCCCCGTTCCCGTTCCAGCTCCTGCTCCCGCCTGTGCACCTGCTCCCGCCTGTGCACCTGCTTGCGGAATAGCCCCAGGGAGATGACCTCCTGCCATCACATGCGGATGCCATCCAGCTAGTGGGTAATGACCCTGGGGTGCAAACATGTGATACCCCACTGGGTTAGCCCCTGGTGCTTGTTGAGCGTTGTTGTTTCCAAAATTGCCAAACCCAGGGATAGCGCCACCCTGTTGTCCTGCACCTGGGGCTCCTGCTGCTCCTGCGCCTTGTGCTGCATCTCCTGCGCCAGCTGGGACAGGTGTAGGAGCAGGCGTTGGAGGGTCGAGCACAAGACGACGGCTACAATTATAAAAATAAAATAAAAACGAGTCATGTCAATGCGAGGTCCTCGTCCATGATAGCCAACAATGCTGTCAACGCAAAAAATCCTTGCTTCTTTACCATGTGGGACAGCTCTGCTGACGCTCCAACCAGCTCTTGAGACAATGAAAATGAAAAATGTGCCCACATGGAAGTTTTTTGGGCACATTGGTGGTTGTTCCTGATGTGCGCGTGGGACCCGGTCGCGCCTGGGCTGCTGGAGCGCCGTTGGCGTTTCCTTGTCCTCCCGCTTCCGCCGTTGACGCTGGTGCCATATGCGGTTGGCTGCCAACCATTTCCTCGCGGCAAATGATACAGATAGGGTCACTAAGCGCAGCCAGCTCTGCAGGTGATGCATCCGGGTAGCGCTCATTCATGTTCCTAGTAGCCTTCCGGTACTGAACCAAGTCCTTGCACTTTTGCAGGAACGAGCGCATTGTCATGTAAACGTCCCGGATGATGTGCAATGGAAGTCCGTAGCACACCAAGATGACCGAGAAAAAGAGAAGGTAGGTCACCAGCTTGACAAAGTCAGCGACCAGATCCAGATAGAAAAGAAGCATCGATTTGTTCTCCCAGGGCTCCTCGCTCCGCATGTCAATCGTGTGCAGTACGTATTTTCCGAACGACGCCAGAAGACTTGTCGCAAGTAAGGTGTACTGGTTACAAAATAGGACATGATATTAGGACGTTAAAAAACAGGCGTAATGTAACAATGCTCTCAAGCGCAACAATGCCTTGCTTCCTTGGCTTGCGTCGACTCACCTCAAAGCCAAACATGATCATCATGTTCGGTCCCTTCAAGGTGACCATGTTGACGGCGTGGAGGACAAGCAGGATATCGAGACCTACAAGCATCGTAATCATTGTCACCATCCTGACGTGGAACGATAATGGGATCTCTGGTGATTGCTCCATCTATAGCAAATCGTTCAAAAAATGAATAGTTGAGATGAATATCGACACAGCTTTAAATCTAACTCAACAACCATCGACTTTTCCGGAGAACAGCTTACAGAGTCGACTCGATCCATGCATAACCAATGGAATACTTTCAAGAAAAGAAGTACGGTAAACATAACCACAAATAGGGTATCAAACTCGTCCTTGAAGATTGTCATCGCCAAGCAGGTTTCCGTCACAGCATACCATGCTCGCTCATACAGATGCTATCGATCGAAAATCAGTCATGATATCAACGTCATTTTCCCATTATCCATGACCCGCAGATTGCGTCTGACTGGTTGCTGAGTTTGCGAACAATCATTCCGACTTACCTCGACTTCGAGCGTTCTGAGATTGCCAAAGAAGATGATTTGGACCAACTGGCCCGCAATAATGGTTAAGAACAGACCGAGGTTCAATATGATCTACCAAAGAACAACAAACCGAAGCACAATAACAGCATGGTCAGTCAGCCTATGCTTCTTAGACCTCCTTCTGTAGGAATAGCTACCAAAGTCATCGTGAATGGACCGCGTCCCAAGGTGTTTCCCTGCTCGGCTTCCAGTTACAAGTTCTCTGCCGCCCTGAGGAGCTGAATAAATAGAAGCGGTGTGCTATGCTTACCATCATGCAAGCGTTGGACCTGTAGAGGTAGATGCATGCTGCATAGAAATTGCTCCGCTGTGCGAATGCGCTGGCAATGACTCCGCCTGCAAGGATGGTGCTGATGGCACCATAGACTGCCAAGCGCGCCATGAGTGCGTTGTTCCAGCTGAGTGGGGTGTATGAGTGGTTGGTTGGTTGGTTGGTACTTCTGGTGTCCGGGGCAAATATCTCTGTTGTGGTTGTGCCAAAGCGTGGGGAAGGTCGACCTGGTACAATGGTCGCCGTAGTTGTGGAAGATGGGTCGGCTCCTAGTTGTGGATAAAGAGGGTGATGGAAGGAGCCAGGCAAGTGAAGAAGGGGCCCTGGACAAGGAAGCGGATGAATGAATGGCAAACGTCAATAATACCGCACTCTACAGCCTGCAAATGATGTGACGGTGAACACGACCTTGCAGGCGAATGAAAAAGTGCCACACCCCCTTGCAGTGCTTCCATTCTTCCCATGCTCATTCAACAGAACCATATCCATATCCACTTCAACAGTGACAAGCAGCTGGAAGCGCATTAGGGCACAGCCGATCTAGGCGGTTTGCTCATTAGAAATTACGTTTTATTTGTAAAGGGATTTGGTGGGGCACCAGGAACCAGGTTGCAGGGAACCAGAACCCACTCTTGGCCTTCTCAATTGTGTTTTTCACGAGGAACCACCATGTCATGCGGTCGCCAGGTACCGGCCCGACTGAACCTGCAGCCTAACGGATCCAAATGCAACACTCTCCTGCTCTTGCTCTTGCTCGCCTTCGCACTCCTTCTCAAGCCGAACCATTAAATCCGACAACAGTCTGCCTTGCACCCTGAACTTAACCGCAGTTGGACTAGGGTTACTAGGTCCACCCGAGGGGTTCAATTCGAACCGTGCCAGCAGCTTGCGTGGCTCCGGAGTCGTACTGCTCATCTCCACGTTATCCACGTCCCAAAACATCTTGTTCGAATCGCTGTTCCAGATACCCGTCGGTCTCGACTGCACATTAACCACTTCGCCCGACACTGGCACCAAAAACGAGAGCTCGCTCAACTGCGCATTTTGAGGTGTCGCGTGGCTGCCATCTTCAGTCGCCGATGATGATAATCCCAGCTGCTGCGACAGCTTACAATTCACATTCGCCTTATAATTGATCAGTAACGACGTTTGATGCGGCTCACACTTCCACGCAGGATGGACCAACAACGGGATCATCGCATGCCTGGTCTCTTCCTGCGTAGTCCTGACCTGGTATTTTAGCACAACCACTCCCTGTCCTAGACCGAGTCCGCTCTGCTGCATAGCCCGCGATAGTGCCTCCAGATCAACCCAGTACGCTCCCTCGGCAGCTTCCTTCGCAGACAAGTATACTTGATTCGGTATACACTTCTCCAGTGCCTGCAAATGGTCCAGTCGCAACAATGCTTTCTTGGGTAGATCAGGATCAAATTCAGCTCCTTCCTGCGCCAAGATCACCTCACCCGTCACCAACATCTTGGAAATCTCGCCGGCCTGTGTCGCGACATGAACCTTTTCAATCACAGAGACAACCCAAGTCCGTTTCTGATCTAGGCCTCCGGGTGCCAGAAGACCGCCATTGGGTGAAGTGACCGTAATGGGCGAAGTAGGCGCAGAAGTCCCAGCTGTGTGCAGAGACTCAGTCTCAGCAGCAAGGTGCTGATGGCCCGTCGAAATCGATCCAGGTGCCACGGTGGATCCTGAGCTAGCGCCATTCGTGAGGGTTAATGGTGGCGTAGGAGGGATAGTGCTGCCAAAGTGAGACTGGACTGGACTTGATGCAGAAGGTACCCCCAAGGTGTTAGCACGAGAGGGTGCGGGAGAGAAAGCTGTGGAAGTCTGAATGTGCGAAGCAGAGGTGTTAAAGAGTCCTCGCGACCCTGGAGAGCTCACGGAGGAGGGTGTGGTAGAGTCGGCTGAGAATGTCGTGGACAAGGGCGATGACTGATACGAGTTGAATCCAGACAACGAGTCCTCAGACTGATACATACTCCTAACCCTGAAAGAGAAAAAATAAAGAGACGATTAGTACCAAGGTAAACAAAGTAATCGAAGATATTGTCAAACGGATCCTTTTTGCCAACACATACTCTCGTCGTCCAGGGTGTCGGCGACTGACAGTCTTTGTCTGTTTCAGAGTGGAGGTAACCCTCTCCAGGGCAGCGCGGGCTTCATCGTTGCTCTCAGAGACCAGATCCTGCTTAATTTCCATCTGCATTTTTGGTGCTTGTGAGAAACTGCCAGCGTTGCAAACAAAAAGGTACTCGTTAGATGGTCATGTCTCTGAAAAATTTCCTCCTGAGGACTTGACTCATATAAGTTCCCATACCTGCTGGTCTCCGATCGCTCGTCATCATAAGTACTGCTCATACCACCATCTGACCATGGCCCCTGGTCTGGAGGTGGAATACTGAACCCTTCGGAATCGACATGATTTGTCGGAACATCAACTGCACTCCCAAGCACGGTCGATCCTGATCGCATATGCTCCTGCTGAGTATCTACTGCCCTAGCCTGATCAATACTTGTAGCCTTTGACTGTGCAACCGAGCGATCTGTTGAGTAGGACACGTTGCTACAAGATAGGATACGTTAGACCAGTCAATCATCTACCCACTCGAACACAGTCAGCGCTGCAGTGTCGTAATTGTGTCACTGTCTCTCACCTCATTTGGCTGCCTCCAGTCAAGCCTCTGGTATGCGTGCCATTTGATCTGCGAGGCTCCACGCTTCCTATAGCTGATGTTAAAATTGGAAGACAGTGAGTATGATGTTCCCAAATGCCGTCTTCCTCTGCTGCAAAGTCATCGCCGATCGCCTTACTATCTCCGTTGCCTAAGTGTGAAGTGGCAGAAACGACGGATGTACCATCATGAGGCTCGAGTGCTGTGAATAATACAAAATAAAATGAGTATCAGTTAGGATAGTATCCCAGTTCTCCGCCGATGCTTCTGTGATTCCTGAGTCCGTTCTTACTGTGCATGTTGATGGATATTTCGGATGCAAAGAGCTCGATATCCATGATTGGATCAAATTCTGACGTTGATGTGGATGTACGGCTAGACATCTTTGTTATAGAAAAGAGCCATCGGATTAGCCATCTGTGGTACTTCAAAGCACGGCGAAACTGCTTCCAGGCTAATATTCCAGAGAGCACAGTACCTCCACGATCTGAAGCATGACCTCTGTTTGGATAGCCTCGAATGCAGACACGACCTGCTTCAAATTATCGAGTCGACTCTGATCCACTGCTTGGTATTTCTATTGAGTGTCGAGGACCGTATCCAAGCGAATGTAGGCGTCAGCTCGAAGTTTCCATGCCGAGGGCACTTTGTCGTAAATTAATTGCTGTACCTGCAAAATAACAGGGCCTTCTAATCGCCATGCAGTCCTCGTACTTTCGAGCTGCTTAGTGTAATCTATCAGCTTTTGCTCTAGTGCGTACAAAAGAATAGCACGAGTTGCCATGTTAGATAAAACATCTGAGCATTATCGTGTGCTACTGTCGATACCAATTAATAATGGGAAGAACCGTTGCTGTACATAGAAGCGACATTGAGTGCTCTCAAAAACAATTACACAACCGCTGGATTTTTCCTTTGAAGGGAGGAGCTCTGTGTCAAAAAGTATTTTTGATTTTTGACCATTTGAAAAGGAGGTAGGACCCACGTCATGTACGAATGCATGAATGTATGTCCTCTCTTTCGCCCTGCTGCTCTCCTTTGTCGTCGCATGGTTGTTCATTCACCGGCTTAATAAAAAGAAGGGATAGCGAGCGGGAGGAAACGATAAACACGTAGGTACTCAGTGATTTACCTGCAGCCTCTGCTTTCTTTCCCGAGACCCTCTCAACGGCCTTGGTATACTTTGCAACTTTGACCTGCTTCTCATCAAATTCCTTTGCAATCCGATTGCAATTGGTCTCAGCCTATCGATGTACATCAAAGAGGTTCGCATTCAATATTAGAGTTAATGATAAAAAATTAAAGCTCAAAAAAATAAATAATGACATTCTCGTAATGAACACCTACCAGGGACAAGTTTTGCCACTCTGAATTAGTTTTTGCAAAGTCCCTTAGCGGGCGCTCAACTTCGTTCGTAATTCTCAGCGACAGTTGACCGTGCAGCGTTGCCAACTCCACAGTCTCTGCATTCAGTTTCTCCCATGGTGCTGTAAACGTGCTGTGGATTAAAAAAAAAGCCAATCCAAAGAAGAAAGAGTAAAAAGATATGAGCGTCAAAATATATGTCTGTGTCTCCTACTGCCTGACTGATCCAAGGGGACGAAGAGACATGCACACGACCATTCGCACAACAAAGACATCTATAGCATACCCGAGCGCTTGTGTATCAGTGACAAAGTGCTTCTGGAACGCCTTGCTTATGTTCTTGGCATACATGTCCTCGATGTGCGCACTAGTTTTTACAATGGGTTATCAACAGGCATATCAATATTAATCCTCGTTAGGTTGCTTATCCACAACAACAACAACAACAACAACAACAACAACAACAACAACAACAACAACAAGAACAACAAGAACAACAAGAACAAGAACAAGAACAAGAACAAAACAAGTATAGATAATGCAGCTATTTCCCTCCTTGGACATGCTAGCCTGCACAATAGGAACTGGAATATAGAACACCTTAAACTTGATAACCAGCCTGCTTTGAAGCCTCTCCTCTTCCTCTTACTCCAATGGCGTCAGCGTTGAGAACGAGAATAAGAAAATTGGTGTGGTTGCTCTTCCTTTGAAGCATTGCGCGATGAAAAATAGAACACATGGGTCTTGTGTACCCTGATGTCTAGAGCAACACGAAGTGGTCAACACGGTTGAGCAGAAGATCTTACCGTTCTTTGAAGTAATTGGCAAACTGTTCATGGAGTGCCTTGCCTCTTCGAAGGCGTGCCTGGACTGCGTCAAGACCATCTTGCGGCCTTTCAGTCTAGGAATATGACGCAGGGCAATTGACAAAGTGAGAAGGCGTCAGTCCATTAGCCATTGAGCTGTGGTCAAACAAAGTGAGGTCGGTCGAAGAGGGAGGACTCCGGTATGAGGTGTGAGTTCGCTTTTCTTTATGCATGTGTCGCTCGAAAAGGAGTTCATACACGCACACACGCACAGTGGTACGAAGCAACAAGTTTCCAATGGGCTGAGAAAAAAGACAGCGAGTCAGCGAGTCAGAACGGTCGTGCTGACAGAGTAAGCCTTCTCAGGAGTATCTATCCTTGCCGTTGATGTTGGTCCAGGGCTCGCTTCAATGACGCCCCTGTTAGTAGGCTGGTAGTACCCTGCAATCCGCGTCAAGTTCAGTCCCCACTTGCTTTCATGCTTTTCTATTATTCTATTATTGTTATTACCAAAAAGGTTTCTGCGTACCCCATTAACGTGGAGAGTAGGGAATTGTCGAGGTACTTTCAAAATGAATATTTAAATGACAAAATGCTGGGATTTATGTTGCGTTGTTCAGGAAAATGTGAAGAGGGATGAAAGAAATGGCAAATGTCTTGTGGCAAAAGGCGAATGCAAGAGTGGGATTAATGAAGAGGAGTGAGGAATGAGGAGTACGGAGTGAGGAATGGAGTGAGGAGTGGAGAAGGAAGGATGATGTAAGAGCACCGTTCAAAGACAACGACGGCGGGTGAGCGGAGAATCCGCAGAGGCCATCACGTGGTTGATGCGACCCTTGATCCCGCCAAAAGGTTCTCTTTCTGGTCTTTGGCTGGACATTCTTCGGATAAAGATGAGACCACTTGAATACTACACAGCAAGCAAGGACATTCCTTTTCTAGGAATAATCTATTTGACAACCCCTATACTAACTCCATGTAAGGCCAACATTTTTTAAATGTCGATTATGTCAGTAGTCCTTATGGTACCTGGCCCCGGCTCTTTAAGCTAGATCGTCATCTGTCTCTTAAAGGACTCCACAATGTAACTGATTTCCCATTTCGTCATCGCTGAGTCCGTCATCGATAAAACCCTGTTTTCCGTCGTGAAGAAGGCTTCTCCCAAGGTCCCAAGGTCGCAAAAGGTTGCATGGGGTGCCAGGTGGAAGAAGGAATGGTTCTCAACCTCTCGCCGCGTTGTTTCGACTTGAAATTCGCAAAAGATACGAGTCTTGTTTTACATGGGATTTGTGCAGGGGTTGCCAAATAAGAGTGACAACCCGGGTTGTCTCCCAAAGGGAACAAAACGAAGACCCGTATACCAAAATGCATGGCCACAAAAGTCATCGGCAAAATATATTCCCAGTCCGGGGATCGAACCCGGGCCTTGTCGGTGAGAGCGACAAATCCTGACCACTGGACCAACTAGGAGTTTAACTCGATGAAATATTGAAGTTTTTAGACATCTATATATTTAATTGATACATTCTCTAACTGCACATTTCTTTAAATTGCACGTTCTTTAATTGCACCATTTAAATTACTATTCTTTTAGTGCATGCCCTGCACCACAATCGACTGTTTGCAGTTCGACACCTAGCAGACGTACAAGCAGAAGAGCACATCTCAACACTTTTTCTGCGTTTGAACGACAACAGCATAGTGGGACGGGCGAGTCGTGTTCGTTTATTTCAGCTCCAACTACGATAGTGCACCACCGTTTGTCCCACAAAGGCTCCAGAACGAGTGCAGGGCTTTAAGCACTGCTTGATCAGCCAGATATGCAAAATTATGGCGGACCGACAGATCACCTTCGACGTTACGATGGCATCGGAGATGGACCTTTCCCAGCATGCGATTACTATTGAGGATTGGATCGGTGATAGACTGACCGAAGAGATCAGAATAGGGCTTGGAGCTGTTGGAGTATTTTTTATTGATTAGATTCTGAACACTACTCACACAGAATTAGCAAGTTGGCAAACGTTTAGACAGCGGTTCAACGTGCGAACGGTAGCCTCTCCGCCTTGGTTCCAGGCAGGAATTGCAGGCGATCGTGCACGGGGGCGATTATGTCCAAGAAGCTACTGCACAATGGATTGATGAGCTACTGGAGGAATTACCATCCGATCTGGAAGAGCCACAGGCGCCAAATGACTTGGACGAAGATGAGCAGCCCGCCGCTGTGCATCCAGCACCAGTTGACAATTTAGACAGGGCGGTATCACCTCTACCTGTAGGGGATACTGCGACTGCCGACGATGACAGCGTGCCCGACGAAGCTGCGAGTGAGGAGGAAAGGTCCGAAGGCGGAGGAGATAACAATGCAGAACAACCGATGGATCAACCACCACTGGAGGAAGACAATGGAGAGCAGAACAACGGTTTGCTGTCGTCTCAGGAAATTCTCAACTTGGATCCGGAAACTGCGCTCTTCACACCGCGAGTCCAAGAGACGCTCAGCCAGCGTAGCGTAAGGAAGCAGGAATACATTCGACGTGCTATGGTAAACATGACAGGCAGTCGACTGCGTAATCAAGACGACTTGGACCGTGCTTTCGACAGAGAAGAGCACAGACTCGATCAACAATGGATTAAACAGAAGCGGGCACAACTGAAAGTAGTACAGAGGCACCTTCGGCAACAAATGCAGCAGGCAGAACAGCAAACACGGGAACAACAGCGACAATTGGAAGAGGAGCGGCGGCGGGCAGAACAGCAAGAGAGTGACCGACAGCGGCAGCTGGAAGAGGAGCGGCAGCAGGAGAAGCAACAGCAGGAGGAGCAACGACGCCTGCGGGACATCGAGAGACGGGCTCGATACAGAGAAGAACGATGAAGACGACGCCATTTATATCGTAGATATATGAATGTGGATGCAGAGGCGTGTATAGACCACTTGCATGAGGATGCGCACAAGGCGGTGGACAATATGACGACACCTGTTCGCCAACCATTGCCGGCAGTATCAGATGAAATTGAGCGAGATTTACTGGGATTGGCGCTCCAGGTACCAACAATCCAGCAAATTCGGAAAGCTAGGAGACGTTTGCAAACACATCGAAGGCTTCACTTCTGCTCGGATGGGTCAGTGATTCACAACGGCACAGAGCAGGTCCCTGCAGCATTCGGAGTTGTCGTTTCTGTGGATGGTGGTCCCTACACAACGGCGTTCAGTGGACGGGTCGGTGGATACGCGTCGTCAACAATTGCAGAGATGTTTGGGCTCTTGGCAACAATTCTTATCAGCCCAAGGGAAGAGAACGTCGACATCTACATCGACAATCTCACAGTTGTCAACAATTTCAAGGAGTTGGTGCAGCAGCGGGATTCAGCAACAGCAAGGCAGCGTTTGAGATCTGCAGATGCACAGTGGTAGGCGATGGTGCATTATGCCTTCTTGCAACAAGGACAAGGTATATCTGTGCATTGGGTACGAGGACATGCTGGACACCGTGGCAACGAGGCTGCAGACACTGTTGCCAAGGCAGCACATGGGATCGATACAGGACTATGGAGGCTAGACGCAACGCAGCACCATGATTTGAAATGCCACGCACAGTTTGCAACACACAGTGCAGACCTGGACTTGAGGAGGATACTGAAGCTGCAGTCCGCGGTACGGCACCATTATCAGTGGACATTGCAGCATCGAACGAGGACCTACATCAAGGATTGGCGGTCGGTAGCATGGGCGCCCACGCTGCGGATCTTACACGATAACAACCCACCAAAGCGCTTATATACCAGCCTGGAAGACTGTCGTTTACGTTCGCACAGGATCAAGAAGTTGCATGGAGATTTGCCGACATTGCAGGCGATGAAGAAACGACATCCAGATACCTACCAAACGGACATATGTCGTAGGTGTGAGAGGGAACCAGAGACGAACGATCATCTTTGGCGTTGTTCAGCTACCTTGTGCGACCAGCGACAAGAGTGGAGGGACGCGGTGGAGGAAGTGGAGTTGAATGGATATCGTGCATGGAGACAGGCAGTGCGAAAATGGGAACAGGAGAGAGAGGAGGCCGAACGGAAGGACAAGCCCTTCACTGCGATTTGTCCCAACTTCTCGGCAACAGGAACGAAGGCTATCTGGGAGTCGATGCAGTGGATTCAGGGGATGGCGGAAAGACGAGGGACATATCGGGTTGCGGAAGGAGAGGAGCCGGAGAGTGAGGCAGATTGGGAGGTCAAGGACTTATACCGAGGTTTGGTGCCAATGAGACTCATTGAGACCTGGAAGCAGCTATTTACCACCACCAAGTGGATTGCGACGATCATGGTGACAAAGTTCGTGAGCAGGATCGAAGAATTTGGCAGGACCAAGATATGGAACAAACGATGCGAGGACACTGTCGCCTGGGAAAAGTCAGTTGGAATCACCTTCATGAGCAAACGCGCCGGAGGACGCAACGGTGATCGGGGACACCAACGTAGCGTTAATGATTTCTCTGATTTGAAAGGGAGACGGTTACTTGCAACGGAGATCCAGGAAGGTAGACGGACCGCGGATTATAGGGTGCTGCAGCATTGCTTGGGGCGAGGGAAGTTGGACATAATGGAGGGGTTATTCGGTTTAAAAACAACTTTATTAACATTGGATCTGGATTAGGAGACGTGTATCGCGCAACAGGTCACGCAGGAGTTAGGTTAGGCTAGCTATGCGACATGGGTTATGAATTTGACGCTTCAAGCCAACATAGTTGGTAGGGGATGCGGCTCTGCCGTGCATGGAAGGCATCTATGGCTTCAAGGCCTTTGCGGACCATGCGTCGCGTGCTCATGGGGATTTATGTTAATAAAAAAAAAAAAAAAAAAAAAAAAAATCTTTTAGTGCATGCCTTTTTTGTCTTGTTTTCGTTCCCTTCACCATGGCCCGCCATCTTTTAATACATTGCTTACACCGCGTCAGTCCTTGCTGTATTTCTTTATCTTCATTACGATTTCCTCCTTTGTCCTTTTTTTTTTTTTTTTTTTTACGGTAGCCGTAAATATGTTGTTGCTTAGCAACATGTATCATATTCGTGATTATGAGAGCTCCCAAGAGGGAGGGAATGAATGGTCAATACGGCTCTGCGCTTTGTTGGACGAAAGAATGAGAGACAGACAGAAGCAAGCCGAGGAAGACAGAGAAAGACAAAGAAAGAGAATAGAGGGAGCTACCAGTCTCAATCGTAGGTATCCAAAATGACGAGGCCCCTTGTCTTCATTTATTTTTTTTATGTCTGCTTCATTTTTCAGTTCCCAATATAGTACATGTTCAGACTATGGACCTCCTTCGCGATTCCGGGCCAGCCCATAGGATCAAATCTCCCTCGCAGCCTTTGCTCCCATTGCAATAATTCGTACATGAAAAGCAGGTTCGGCTGAATGATTACGCTGAGGCGACGTGCCCGCACCAGCAAATACGCATCCACGAGCGAAAGGTTGTAGTGCGCCATCAGATAGGCAATGACAATTGTTGCTGAACGAGAAACACCCACACGGCAGTGGATCAGAACTCGGGCATTGGTTCTCCTTGCCTCATCTACTCATATTCATACAATCAAAAAGATATTAGCAGCTGACAGAATAATGTCAAAGAGCAGAAAGCAATTAGTGAGTACGAACAATGCAGCAAAGGCGCTTACCAACAAAGTCGACACAGTTCTCGAGATGTCTCCATAGCGAATCAACGCCGTTGTCAAACATGTCGTCCACCAGCTTAACCATGAATCGTGAAGCTGTCTGCTTTGCGCACGATCCTGTGCTCTCCTGCCCGCCATCGCTTTCTCCTCCTTCCAATCCTTCAGTCGCGAAGTGGCTTACTCCTTGCATGGAAGACACGTCCCTCAGATCCCCATCCAGTCCATACGCTTCTTCACCAACGCTGAGCACATATTGGATCCCCAGACTCTTCAGCAATCCAGGGTTGGATGCATGCGCCAAGTTGCCGAGATATAAAAATGGCAAGATCCTGGAGGGGAACGAGCCTTCAAATTCGGGATGATAGAACCACCCAAAGCGCTCCTCGTGTCCCGGCTTCGCAAACGGTCGCTGAATAGCCAGTTCCTGATCGCGATCGGGCATGGGTTCAATGCCTTCCATCACAATAGAAGAGCTCTGCTGCTGCTGCTGCTGCTCCTGCTGTTGCGGGGATGATGTATTTGACATGTTCAGCAAAGACGAGAAAAAGGAGGACGATGATGACGATACAGATGAAGATAGTGATGACAATCCAGAGGATGGAGACGTGGATCCTGGTTCTGTTCGCCGTGCAATGGACTCTGATGATGGTACGGCTGAGGCCAAGGCTGAAGCTGCGTTTGACGCCATACCTTTCCATCTTGCTGCCGCCTCCTGATCTGTCTTTTCCAAGAGAATACGCTGCCAGATCTGGTTCTCGACCTCGAGCATCATGATGGCATCGTTGGGGTATACAAAGAAACTGCGTCCAAGATCCGTCTGCAGCTTGACATAGGCCTCGGCCAGCGAGATTCGATAGTAGATCATAACAACAGACAGCGCCAAAAGTGCCGATTCCGTATAGCCGTCAACGCAATGAATCAAAACCTGATGGTGCTGCTGGGGTCTCACGCTACCGATTGCGGCGTTGGCGCTGGAACAGGTGGTTGAAGGCGAGGATTCGGGGTTGGTGACCGAGTGGATGAAGAACGCCATGTTGATCAGATTTGAAGTCTGGACCTTCAGCATCGAGTTGGTCATCAGTTGGCCCCTAACAAGTCCCGCAGCGGTGGCCCTTCGCATCGCATGATTCGACGGCACATCCACACTGTCCTGTCGTGCGAAGCTGGAGAGAGAGGAAGCCGAGGGCGGGAATGCGTCTGGGCTGATTCCTGCAGCCAATGTGCCCAAGCACTCCAGATGGAATATCTCCTTAGAAGACAAGGGTGCGAGGGAACAGGCCACGTTGTGCTTGATCCTGTCCAGGGTCATGGTTGTGGGTGCGTTGGCATTGGAGCGACACTCGACACAGATGGAGGGCTGGAGATTGGCGTGGTTGGTAAAGGACGGAGGGGTCAGAGGCGGGTATTCGCTCTCCTCTGGTGGTGGAGTAGATGGTATGGCCGATGAGTCCTTGGAGAGTGTGCGGGGGATCGAGGGGAAGAAGTATGAGGAGAAGGATGTCCCTGGAGAGACAGGCGTCGCCAGTGAGGACGAGTCCGAGTTGGCGGACGGGACATCGGTGTTATTTCCAAGCTATGCGAGACAATAACGAGACAATAACGAGACATAGATGAAATAGACTAAGGGGTTAGGAACGGTGCAGTACGCGTTCTTTTTAGGCTGTCGCCACCAAAAAAGAGTGTCTCTGTGAAGCCTTTTTTAGAACGCGTGTTTCCTGTCGCGTGCCCTGGCTGCTGATTGGTCGATTCGGATCTTTTTTAGTCCCTTTAGGCAGCGCTGGTTTTCGGTCGCACCGGATGGCACATGGCACAACCAATGCATGCACAAACATGCATAACAAGCATGAAAAAAAATAAGGAGCGGGTAGTCTGTAAAGAATCGCGGCACGCAGAAACGCTTGTTACACTCGATCAAACGGAATGATAGGGTGTGGGCAAGGATATGTCAATGCCATTTCCTACTCCGTTCTCTGCAGCTCCGCCGCCAAACTTACCCAGATACCAGGTGCAATCTCGGAGGCTCGTGTCAGCAATGCCATCTGCTCCCGCTCCTGCTCCCAAAAGTCGACCTTGTGCCTGCTTGCCTTGCCTCCACTTGTGACACCGACCAGCTCTGGGTATTTGGTCTCGAAGGCCGCAAACGTATCTGCTCATTTAGTGGATATAAAACGAGGATATGGTCAGCATACAACATTGGTAAACCTCCTCTCTACAGCGTCGATCAGTTTATACTGGTGGTAAATAATGGTGCCTTCCCTTAGGAGAGCTAGCATCCTTTTCTCTTGGATTCATGCATCATGCCTTGCGTTGGTTGATGTCTGTCTGTGTAATCCTTCCCATCCATTTTTAGGGCTCTTGTATTTAGTCCTCCCACTTTGTTTACGCCATCTATCCCCGCTCTTTTTCGCCAACGATCCTATCCTTTTTCTCTCCCAAAGGTCAGTTTCGGTGCGTCGTTACATGATGCGTGTTAAAACTCTTATTCGTGCTAGGCATTGTTGCTGTGCTGGAGGTCGCTGTAATTGCGTATTTCCCCATCACCCTCTGCCGCTTCTTCTCCAGGAAGCAGGAAGGGAAAAAAAAAAAATTACACCACATGCTCAGGTAGCACATGCAAGTATACCTTACCTGTCAAAATAAGCGTTTGGCGTCTGGACTCTTCGGTCATTTCAGGGTACTGTTCCTTCATGCTTTTCCAGACTTCATCCTGTGCAGTCGAAATTTGCTTCGCAAGTTGCAGGAGAGCCGGGTCCTGTTCGCCCTCTTTAGCGTAGATGATCAAGTCAGACAAAAGTGCGTATCGAGGCACCTGAATCTTGAAGTTTCGGATGTTGATTCCCTCGCTGAGCGATTGCAGAAACGAACTCGAATAGATAGTCGAGGCTGCTTGCGCGTCACCCCCTTTGAAAATGGACGTTGTCGCGTTCGTTGTGTTGGTGAAGGAGGGCAATGTGGTTGAGGAGAGCGACGAGGACGAGAACGAGGAGTTGGTTGAGTCGTCTGTAATGTCGGCCCAATCAGAATCGCGTCCCACTTCCTCCTGACTAGAATCAAGGCTCGGCTGTTGATCTTGCTTTTGCTGTTGCTGTTGCTGTTGAGCTGCGGGTACCGTCGAGTATTGGTGGTGGACTTGTGGATGGTTGTTGATATCCTGCGGAACAGAATTGTGATAAAAATTGCTGTTACTGCCATTACCATTGTTGCTGCTGCTGCCACTACCAACTGAGCCTTGGAAGCCAGACGGTCGCGGGGCAAGCTGAAGGATCTCGGATGGGCTCACGGACCCTACGAGGCGACCCAGGTCATGCTCACTCGCATGAACAAACATCAATCCGCGGTGCTCTGGGATGGGAAGTTTGGTCGCTGTTGGACGAGTGGCGACCCCGTTTTCATCAAACAGCGCTCCGGTATAATGATGGTGTTCGATACCGAAAAAGTAGTTTTGGGCGCCGCTTGTGCCATCGACGCCATGTAGCCATGGAAACATGGATTTTGAAGGTAGGGGCGTCGAGATGAATTCCTGGTGGAGCTGGAAGAGCTGGTCTGCACTGATAGCTCGGACAGGCGGGAGCGAGTTTGTGAGGGGGAAGGATGAGCATGAGGCTGGAACTGGTTCGACTGGCGAGGGAATGGTCCCGGTGTGACATTCCTCAGGAGGGAGGGCCGCTGCGACCATTCTCTTTATTCTTTATAAGGTTTTTTTCAAGTGCGAGATGTGGGGTAAGAAGAGCCAGGTTGCCGGGGCGGAGTGGACGATGAATGAGAAATAAAAGGGAAAAGGGAAGAAGGATTGCAATGGGTGAGAGAAGGATGATGACAGGGTGCAGTAGAGAAAGGGCAAAGAAGGAAAGGAAGGGAAGACCACGGTGGTACATAGTACAATTGGCGCTGCTGGTGGGGTTGGGATGGGAGGTAGCGGCCACATAAGGTTCGTCCTTAACTTCTGTGCGCTGTTCGAGTGGACCAAAACAAGCAACCACGACCACGCGCTTCAAGGCAGAGCAAGCGAGGGGGTTGGTTCGTTGCTTAGTCCCACCGCCCTCTGCATGCTACTCTATAGCCTACACTGGACACGCACCGACATTCATGCACACGATCATGCTATGCCCGTACCCACAATCATGCTATGCCCACATTCACATTCACACTCATATACCTGCTGTATCACACCAGGTCATTCAAAACGGTTCATCTGGAGTGAGAAAAACGTCGAGGTAGACGTATCGGCTGAGGGTGAGAAAAAAACCCTGTCAAGGGAGACAGATGCCGCATAGACTATTTATGCAAACCGAAACCTGGGTTACGATACGGGAAAAAAAAATGGCTGCAGTAAGTTGTAAGATAGACTACAAAGGCAGAGGATGGGAGTATGGTGGGCAAATGGGAGGGCTATGCTTTGCTTATAGGATGTCGACGCTCTCATGTTTGGACACAAAGTCTGCAGCGCTAGCGAATGAGTCCAATAAGGTGATCCAGACCAGTCCCTCCAGAGGCTGGTTGGTGAGTGGATCCCATGCCGTAGCTCGTCACTCCGTATTGCCTGAGATAGAACATATAAGCTCCTTCTGCAAGCCCCAATCTTGTAATCCCACCAAATGCTCTTGCCGAGGGGTTGCCTAGGACGCGATTTGATTGGGTGACCTCGTCTGCTTACCTGATGCCGCTAGCCCACTCTGCAGGAGAAAAGAGGGTAAAGATATCCATGGGAGGCCCTATGTGCGGGCAAAATACTGTCAATTCCATAGCCCTATGATATTGTCAGTACCATCCACGGCGGACCTGTTCTTTCTTGCAAACTAAAGAATTGTGGAAATGACGTGGAGCGAGGGACCGTACTAAATGGGCAGAGGTGTTGGCGCACCGTGAGGGCTACATCTGTATTATGTATATTTATCTCAAAGACCCATGTTTCCAAGCGCGCACAGCAGCGCCAATGGGCTACACAGCACCAATGAAGACAGGTCTCAGACCTGGGCGTATTTTCGCTCTAGAAACAGAGCACAGGAATCTTAGGTTTGAAACAGAATCTATATTACACCGCCGATGGCCTATCGTTTCTTCAGCCTCATCTGACAAGCGATGTCGGGTGTGTCCTTGACGCGTCTTCAAGCTTAAACTGTTCAGCCGCCTACGCGAGAACCCAGGGACTCATTCCCGATTTCAATGCAACTTCTTACTCCGGCTCTTGTTCGTGGCCCCCGAGGTCCAATTGCTTGACACAACTAACCCCACCTATCGTGGGAACCACAGCATATGGGATTCAAAGGCACAGAGGCTTCCACACCACGAACAACCCCACAACTCCTTTTATTCCAGAAGATGACCCTTCCGCTGGTTATCCGGATCCCGTCATAAATTTCACAGGCAAGGTACTGCACTAAAAGGAAGGTAAACGGCTGAATCTTTGTTGGCACTCACGAATATTGCCACTTACTATTCGGGCAGTAATATAATATCGAAACGAATCATGCTCTTCAAGTCTTGAGAGCTCAAAACTATCCCAACAAGCCCCATCCGTTGGCATAAATGGGTCTTGACCTTTTTACAGAGAACGTGGTCTGGATGAGTTGGAGGAGGCTTAATTACCAATCTTCCTTGTTAACTGAACACAAACACTGTTCAACTCAGCACGGAAGAGCCGTAGCATGCATGCAGCCATAGTCTATGACCACTCGCATACCTGTAAGATGTATGTGCCGCTGACTTTATTTCCATGGAAGAAAAAAAAGGCCGCATGCTCCCCTAGCTTTGCGCTGCAGTTCCTTTTGTCCCACTCAGCATTCAGAGACCTCGGCCTGCCGTGTCGAACGAATTGATAGAGCGCTCGCGATTTCTACCCCGATCAAGGTCCTCCTCTGCGCCCCGTCCGATAATGCTGCACCGGGGACAATGGCGTGCATCCAATTTTGCGTGAAATCGGAATGGAATAACCTTAACTTTATTTTCCTATACAGAACAGCCAGTCCGCACGCGCGCAATTGCTTCTCCTGTATCTCCTCTGTGCATGTTACGAGTGAGCAGTATACGTTACAATACACCCCCTCACTCAGCACCGGCATAGCTTGATACTCGCCTCAAGGTACTGACTGTGTTCCCAGATCGTATAACCGCCTGTCTGACGTGCGAACACGTTATTTTCGGACGCATCCTTCCTCGTCCCACGCCACTGAGTCTTGCTTTCCATTGGCTGGCGCCCTTTCAGTAGGTGTGGCCAGGGCTAGAAATGAGGCGTGTTCGATGCTGCTGTCACTGCCCGACAGCCTATAAAAACCCCTTCCTCGCACCCTTGTTCTTTTCTGCCCATCAGCATCAGCTTCCACCTCATCTTCCAAATACTCCTCCACCCTCAAAACCACCTCCTTTCTCGTAAGTATCCACATCTATTTCACCTCCCACATCCAGTCTGAGCTACTCATTTCATCGAACTAACGCGCTCTCATTTCCCCTAAACTTCATCCGTGCATCGTCCTTCCCAAATCGACCTACGGCTGAACCCACCTCCGTAATAACGATTCTTCTCCCAGACGCGTCTCGACAGGTATCCAGCAACATGCACAAGTCTCTGGTTCTCCTCGGTGCTTTCCTTTTCAGCGCTGTCGCTGTCCAGGCCGGTCCTCTCCCCGGTGGCTCCTGGTGCAACAAGCCCAAGAACGAGCCCTTCTGGGGCGCTTCCACCACCAGCTGCTGCAACGGTTGGATGGACAGCAACCGCCGTTGCCACGACATCCCCAACTGCCAGGCTTTCTACACCTGCTGCATCGACAAGTGGCACAGCGCCAACAAGCCCACCGACTCGTGCTAGGGGCTGATGTCCTCTTTGTGACCCCATGTAGCACCTTCCTAACTCTCCCAAGGGAACTGCGCTCCTGGAATTATCTGTACCAATGAAAGAAATAAAGAGTGCTGACAGTATTCCCTATCGTTTTACTGTTGTACCTATCGCTTTGCTGTTGTAATACGACCACTGAAACGGCTGTAAAGAGAGCAAAAAAAACTAAAACCATGACTTGCGCCGACTAAGTTCATTCACGCGCGACATTGCTAATGCGTAGGCTTGGTAAACTAAAGCCAAATTCAATCGGACAGGATATTAGGGATCCTGTCTGAGCGGCTGACAAAACGCCAGAAAGTGTTCGCCCCTTACCTTCTCTCGTCCCGGTACCTTCCTTTTAGTGTGGTGGCAAAAGAAAGAGGCCAGTAATGGATACAAACATTCGAAGCGACTCTTGTATTCTGCATCAAGATATCTACATGAATCTTTCAATACCTAGTGACCTATGAAACATAGCCGTGAAGTATCATCGTGTTCACTGTCTCTTCCAAATGTCAATGATCTCAGTAAATCAGTTTAGCGGTTCTTCTCACCAATTTCAAGGTGGACAGTCAAGGAGGCACTCTTCTGAGTAGGACTGAAGGAGCAGTCGACAGTCAAGTGAGCTGGAGCTCCCGCCATGTGAGTGTCTGGAGCATGTTTTTTTTTTTTTTCCTTGTACTTTGTCCCTACGCACTTTTTCGCCTTCACTTTCTCCGCCTGTGTCTTTCAACTGGGATCCAGTCTGGGGTTCTCTTCATAGAAGAGTGGCGTGATTTATCAGTAAAGGCAAAATTCATATGAGACGCCTCAAAGGCGTGTGTAGTACAGGCATCAGGTAAGATCTATTTCCACACAGCAAGTTCGCTCGTGGATTATTAGTTCAGGCGGCCTGCGTCAAGCGGCAAAGATCTCGCGCTTTACATATCTCGTATGTATTACTGGGATTTTTTTTTTTTTTCATGAAGCACAGCGTTCGTTCTCTCTTTGATGCTCTACGTTATATTGGCCTCGCCCGTTCGTATTTGGATGGACTATCAGAGGCACCAGGGAACGCAAATCGCGACCCTTTTTGAAAGAAGCATTGAAAAATATTCTCGATAATGTCATTCAAGATGAAAAATCCAGCCAGAAACAAGATCCAAGACCTCATGGATGTCCCCGCCAAAGCCAAAGCCAAAAAAAAAAAAAAAAAAAAACCCCTGGGAAATGGATATAGTCGCGCGGGATATGCCGTATAAAAAATTGCATGGTCCTTGTGTACACGTCTGACTGTCTTTAATATTTATTGCCTGCAAAAGGACGCGCAGATACGAAAACGATTAACGACAAGGTCTGAAGTATTTATTACACTTAAGAGTGCGAGAAGCATATGAAAAGTCTATTCCTGTTTGAGTCGGCCTCTGAAGGTTGCGCTGCATTGAGTTGTTCCTGACGATATACAACTGTGACCTGTATGATCCTGGCAAATGGTTTGGTATCTTGGCTCGCTCTTTGTAGCAGAAAGTCCACTTGTTTTTGCTTTTCTCGAGATACGCTACATCGAGAACTGTGATGTACAGAAAATGAATAGACCGCTCGTATCAGCAAAAACATTCAACGCGCTATATGCGGGAATCGTTTGATTGTGCTGTTGAATAACGTTAGAGTAGAGGAGAGGGGGGAAAAAAAGGAAGTCCTTTTAGCGGTAGAATTACACGCGCCGAGAAGGGGCTCACCTTTGAGCCACTGCCGGAAATGCCTGACAGCGCCCACATAGCCGGTTACTCCTGTGGAAGACACAGGACACGTTCAATGCACTACGACAGCCATTCTGTATCGCGAAGACCTGGGTAATGCCTCTAGGGTCTAGCGGAAAGAGTTGGGCGTGTCAAGCAGCAAGTGAACAGTGTCTACTGGTCTGCATCGCGAAGAGTGTAGCATGCGCGCTACCACAACCATTGGCCGCAACATCAAAGAACAAAGCGGTGCAGTGTGGGGATGGATGAAAAATATAATAAAACCAAACGCTATTTCGAGCCAATCAGGGAGTTAGTGCGGAAAATTTCAGGTTACCTGATTTGCAGAGGTTTTTTTCCAGGAAGAAGGGTAGATCGCAGAAGCTCTTTCCACAACCCAATTACAAAAGCTCTTTTCACAGAGGACGAGTGGCGGGATATTTTTGTGTTCGACGATTTTACTCTTCCGAAGCTCCCTGCCGAGACCTCCACACATATGTAGCGCTTGAAGGCATGTATGCTGTAGAGTCGTCATGCTGCTTCCATCCATATCCCAGAAGAGGACCAGTTCGCATGTGAACTGGTGCAATCGACGTGTGTGAACTAGTTGTGTTTGTTGTATTTATTGCAGCTTGTTCAATATGTATAACTGAAGCTACATATCATCTTCCCTCTCTCTACTATCCGCACTCTTTCAGGGACAGATTAAACATTATAGTGCGTGACATCTAGTCGCGACTGTACATAGAGAACGTTGAAGCTCCAGAGTCTTTGAACTAGAGGTCATATTGACAAACGGCGAACATTGGTTTGTAGAGGGAAGGCTAATACGCATTTTAATGATGCAGACTTCGATTCGGCGATTGTACTTGAAAATGAATAGGCGTTTCTAGTCAAAAGTTTTATGTTGCGACTAGATGCTCGGCACTGTATGACGCCGTCCTCGCTCCTCCTAGATGGCCTGTCAGAGGCATTTTTGGACGTACAAGTCTTGGCCCTTGTGGAAGGAGGGCCTAGAGTCGAGTCGGCGGAGAAATAGGGACCGTGGTCATGCAGATGTCCATGTTAAGGCTAAGCGACACGAATGGAAGTTGGACATGGTGGCGCGGGATATGCTAGAGAGGAAGGATTGGTTTGTGGTCGAAAGTATGAAGGTTTGGGATGAGAAGGCTACCAAATACTTGAGACAGAGTGTGATGTCTTTCGGGAGCTTCACATGATTGCGATGCACAGGAACCATGAGGCTAGGAACGCAGCTTTCAGCTCGCAAGCCAGGTTCTTCAGCCTTTATGCAGGCGGTAAGTCCCGAACGCAACGTTTGTGCATCTTTAATGCGTTTTGGCAAATATTAACGTGTATCGCTCTTTAGATCGCGGTTTCAGGACGTTTGAGCTGTGCCCAGCAGGTCCGGAGTCGTACGTCACCCTTTTCAAGGCGTACCCTTCCTACAAGCTCCCCGAGACAATGAAGGGCTTGGTCCCTCAATTCCAGAGCCTCACGCATTTGCTGCAGGTCAGAGTAAGTACCCGATGGCGCTGTAGGCTATGGTGATCATCAACCTTTGCATTATGGCAATTAGATACTAACGTGCCCTACTCAAATATTAGATGTGTATGCTCGCCACCATCCGGCTTTACCAGAGCCTGAGGAGCCAAGAGCAGGAGAAGCTAGCAGGAGAGGATGATGTTTTCGTGGATGATGACGATGACTGGATATACGAAAATCATACAATCCATTGCGACGATCCCACCCTAGCATCCTCTCCTATCACGTCCCCATATCCGGAGTACGGCGAGATCTGAAATAAGCGTATGCCGTGGGGCCAATGTTTAATGCATTTCCTTCATATACATGAGCAATAAATGTTGCTTGTTATTGCCTGCTGGATAAGGACAAAAGTTTATTTCCAGATAAAGATGATTTAGAGAGGGAGCTGCTGTACAAAATGGTCTTTTAGCCAAAGTGCGTAGAAAGTGCTGATGGCACGAAGATGCATCTTCCTGCAAGGAAGGTATGGGGCGAGTTGTCGGGGGGTTTGGGTCCTAGTAGCTCTCTGAAAGAGTCGAGGTAAGGGTTGCGGACCATGACTTATATGGGCACCCAGTTGCCGGTGCTCTCGTCCTTTTCGTATTTGTGCTTGACAGCAGCCCAGGCCACCTTATGGGCGGTCTGCTCCTGCGAAGCGTCATCTCTGCGGTCTTCCGGGTGGCGGTACTCGTCCCAGGAATGGTTGAAGGCCGCCAAGTAGATCTCTTGAGCGTGCTTGGGAAGGTGGCTCTGCACAGCCTTTGGCAATTCGCCGATGTCTTTGTAAGGCATGGTTTTTTATTTTCGATCGAGCGCCTTGGTTAGGAGCGATATAGCAATGAGAAAGTCGAAGGGTCTGAAGTTGTGGAGGAAAGAGAGAGTGAGAGAGAGTGTGTGAGAGTGTGCGAGAGAGGGAAAAGGAGAGATGGCATCAGATCAACGCAATAGATTTCAGACCGCTAGCCTGGTTTGGATCAGGTGAAGCACCTAGGATGTAGGACGCTGAAGTTGGTGGCGCCATGAGTGACACCTTTGAACAAGGCTGATGAAACTCAAGGAGCGAATGCACGGCATATTGGATGTGCTTGAGACAGCTGTATGGAGCAACCTTTGTGGCGTACTAGACTTGGTCCCGTGTCGGATATGTGTATTTGTGGAGGGACTGGTCTGCTGGGAGCATGCCCTGGACTGAATGACTCAGGAGAGAGGAGTAGTAGTCTAGAGTCTAGTGTGTGTGTGTGTGTGTGTGTGTACGTGGATGTGGATGTGGATGTGGATGTGGATGGAGGCACACAAACGACAGAAGCAGGCTCACAAGGAGAAAAAAAAAAAAAAAAAAAAAAAAAGAGAGGGCGAGAGTGGGAGACCAGGACAAAAAAGGAAGGAGGGCCATTTTTTCACACGGGCAAGGTTGTATGTCTCTGGCATAAAGACAGCAGACAGGGCAGAATAGGGTTTCGCAAGGAGGGAAAGGCACGTTGGACCGCTGGATGCGACGGGCTGGATGGGTGGGAGTGGATGGGTGAGCAAGGCGGCGAGTGGGGGGGAGGGGCAGAGGGGTGTGGGTGACAGGACGCATATAAAATATCCATTTCCGCCTTCCTCTTCCTTTTTTCCTTTCTTCTTTCCTCTCCTCCTTCACTCCCACTCCCTCCTCCCTCCCACGCCCCCGCATTCTCTCCTCTCTTCCCCCCCTCTCCACGCCACCGTTTCTGTATACTGCTTTCTAATCGTACCACATTACTACATATAATGTCTTCCATGTTGCTCGCCCGTCTCTCCCAGAACAGGACCACGCTCCTGCGCTCTGCCGCCTCCAGAACCGCCATCCGATCCATGGCCGTCCTCAACTACTCTTCGTCCTCCAAAATCAACCCCAAATACAAGGCTATCTTTGATCAGCTCGATCTCCAGTTCGACAACAAGGGTGTCTTCAACGGCACCTGGGGTGGATCCGGTCCCATCGTTGAGTCCGTCAGCCCAGCAGATGGATCCGTCATCGGACGTGTTCAAACCGTAAGTCTCATCTTTCTCTCTTTCTCTCTTACACATATTCTCGTTCCCAGAAAACACCAAAGAAAGTAAAGAGTGGGCGGATAATGACTGTATTTCCTAACCTCCCTGTCTTCATGCAAATGTAGGGTTCGCCCCAAGATCTCAACGAAACATTGAAGAAGATGGAGGAGATCAAGGTCATGTGGCGCGAGACTCCTGCCCCCAAGCGTGGAGAGATCGTTCGTCAGATGCGTGATGCCCTCAACGAGAAGTTGGAACCCCTCGGTGCGCTGGTTTCGTTGGAGATGGGCAAGATCTTGCCTGAGGGTAAGGGCGAGGTCCAGGAGTACATCGACATCTGCGACTTTGCTCTCGGTCTCGGTCGCACCTTGAACGGTCAGGTCGTCCCCAGTGAACGTCCCGGACACTTCATGATTGAGCAGTGGAATCCCATCGGAACTGTCGGTGTCATCTCTGCCTTCAACTTCCCCGTGGCCGTCTATGGTAAGGAGATCAATCTCCATCCCCCATGTCAGCGGTCGATTGGAGTGACTCCTTTTTTTCTCTACTGCTCAAATCGTAACCTAACACTCGATCTATTTTTTTCACGTAGGATGGAACTCGGCCATTGCTCTTGTTTGCGGTAACCCCGTCGTCTGGAAGGGCGCACCCACCACCAACCTGTCCTCCATCGCTGTTACCAAGATCCTGGAGAAGGTTCTCGTCAAGAACGGTCTCCCCGGTGCCCTCTGCTCCCTAGTTGCCGGAGGTGCCGATGTCGGCCAGGCCATGGTCGAGGATGACCGCGTTAAGCTGCTGTCCTTCACCGGCTCCACTGCCGTCGGTCGCAAGGTCGGCGAGACTGTCGCCAAGCGCTTCGGAAAATCCCTCCTCGAGTTGGGTGGCAACAACGCCATTGTAGTCATGGACGATGCTGATCTCGACTTGGCCCTGCGCTCCGTCTTATTTGCCGCCGTTGGCACTGCAGGCCAGCGCTGTACTACCACCCGCCGCTTGCTCTTGCACGAGAAGATCCATGACGAGTTCATCGAGAAGTTGGTCAAGGCATACCAATCCATTCGTATCGGCGATCCCCTCGAGGCCGGTACTTTGTGCGGACCACTCCATACCAAGGCTGCCGTTGACCTTTACAGGAAGGGTATCGAGGCTGTCAAGTCCCAGGGCGGCAAGATCCTCACTGGTGGCAAGGTCCTCGAAGACCGTCCCGGCAACTTTGTCGTGCCCACTATCACTAGCATCTCTCCCGATTCTGATGTTGTCAAGAACGAGATCTTTGTGCCCATCCTCCACACCATGAAGGTCAAGGACTTGGACCATGCTATCCAGATCAACAACTCTGTCAAGCAAGGTCTTTCGTCCTCGCTCTTCACCCGCAACCCCGCCCATCTCTTCAAGTGGGTCGGACCCTCTGGATCGGACTGTGGTATTGCCAACATAAACCTGCCCTCAAGCGGTGCCGAGATTGGTTGCGCCTTTGGAGGCGAGAAGGAGACCGGTGGTGGACGCGAGTCTGGATCGGATGCTTGGAAGCAGTACATGCGTCGCAGCACCTGTGTCATCAACTACTCTGGCGAGCTTCCTCTTGCCCAGGGCATCAAGTTTGAGTAAAGGACGCGGAGCAGCATCGGTAACAACAGCAACAACGACAACAACAAAATAGAGATTCATTAAAAAAATCATACTTGTACATACCATACACACAGCATACATTCGCTTGCAAGATTTGTTTTATATTTATATATTCTTGGTTTTTTTTATTTTTTGCCATGTTCCTTACGAAGATGTTTCCTGCTCGCTAGGATGCTCGATTGAGGCCATGTGCTTTAGCACATCCTTCTTTGTGATCAAACCCAGTAACTGCCCATGCTGCGTACATAGCACATAACGAACTCCCTACAAGAGCAAATTGAAGGATCGATGTGTTAGCAGAGATAACCAAACCAACATCACGTAACGAAAGCACGCAAAAAGCACAGCAAGTGCATTACCAATCTTCGGAAGATAACAATGACCTGATCCATCGGGAACCGGTGCGACACTGTGATGGGCGTCTGATCCATCCACAGTCGAAACTCTATAAACGCCGGCGTGTTCTCCAGAATCGGTACCACATTACCCGCAGGTGTGTTTCCGGGCAAGTTTCTTCTCCTGGCCTCATCGATCGCGTATCTCAACTCGGTCCTCGAGATGTATCCGACCAGCATCATGTCCCGAAGAGAGTTAACAACCGGGTAACCCTTGTAATGCGTCTCATGCAGCAGATTATCGAGTGAGTCCAGTGTGTTGCCGGTTGCCGTAACGACCACGATATCCTCGACCGGTGTCATAACCTGAGACGCTGTTGTATTCAGTCTGTACTGCTCCTTGTCGTCCAGGAACGGGTATCCACAGAGGAGAATAATACCGTCAAAGATACCCTCCTTGCCAAACGCATCGCCCACCCATTTGCTTGTCATGACTATGGTTTCCATATATAACGAGAGGATTTAAGCCATACATAGAAAGCAGGATTAATGCGCGCGTTTTTTTAGCAGAGCATTGCAAAAATCCCAAGAGAGGTACACTCGAGAGCTACAAGCTTACCAACAATCATGATGGGAAGGACGTAGGTTAGAGCACCGGTCAGCTCAAACATGATAATCACCAAGGAGACCGTCATTCGCGTTACGCCTCCCATAAACGCTGCTGCCCCAACCATGGCATACGATCCGGGCGTGACGCAGGGGACATCCGGAAGACAAGAAGCAAACAGCCAGAACCCAGGATGACTCAGCTGCCATGACTGGACAATAATACCAAGCGCACGACCAAAGAGCGCGCCAATAACCATAGAGGGCATAAAAATGCCTGCAGGGATAGCTAATCCAAACGTTAGGATTGTCAACACACCCTTGACACCACTCGCAGAAAGGAGTGAAAGCACTCGCAAGGTGGCCCCTCCTTCACTATAAACGACATTATCGAAAACGAATTCATCGGTCAGTGGTGCGTTTGATGAGAGCTTTTGAAAGCACGTAGGCAGCCCTTGTCGTCCACATACTCGCAAAGGCCATGATAGTTTGCTCCGCCATCGCATTCACGGAACAGATTGGCCAGCAACTCGGGAGATTGCACTCTAAAGCAAGAATGGGCATACCGGATTAATGTAAGTAAAGTATGTCCCTGCAGAGGCATTGAACGCCTTACAATTATTACCAATAAAGAATAGATGATTACCGAGTGAAAATGTTCAAATATCCAACAGCTGCTGTGAGCAAGCAGACCGCAAAGACTTCATAGATAGGAAAGATTCTCAGCCAGGACGTCTTGCGGAATGCGGCCAGGCGCAAATTCATCCTGATAAAGAATGCACCCCAAAGACCCTATTAGTTTGAAGCAAAAAAACAACAACAACCTTATATTGTAAGTCGAAACATTGCAAATATGTCCAGCAAGAAGAGCAAAAACCAGATCACTTGCCCCGAGAATGCCCAGGAGCATGTAGAAAAACATCTCAAATCCATGCCAGTCTCGATTATACGAGACTTGGAACACCACCAGCTTCTCAGTCCTGAACGGGTCTATCAGCTTCAACGCCACTGCAGCAGCCATGGCACAGAAGAACGAGTGCCACATCGTATCCGACGAGAAATAGTACGACATCTCCTCCAGTGAGAACACAACTCCTCCAATGGGCGCACCAAACGCGACCGAGATACCCGCTGAAGCCGCCGCTGACAGAATCTCTCTCATCCTGGCCTCATTCTTCTTGAACTTTGGAAAAATTCTCGGTAGAATGTTGCCGATACAACACGCAATATGAAGCAGTGGTCCTTCCTTGCCGAGTGAGAGTCCTGCAGCTGTGGAAAGGACCAGCGTAACTGTCTTAATAACCAGTGTTTCAAGTCCCAGGTAATGTCGAATAACAAATCCGCCCAGAATGGTCTTGACCTCAGGAATACCCGATCCTTCTGCATAGGGAGCGAATGTCTTGACGAGGTAGGCCGCTGTTGTTGCGAACATGAGCGCAAATATGATGTAGAAGATGTAGCCAACAACAAACGTAGCACTGTTCCAAGGAACCCAATCTGTGCAGGTATCCGTTTCTAAACGCAATGAATGTAGCCTTGGATTAGCCAACCCATACGGACAATGTAAAAAAATAGAAAAATAAATCAGTTTGCAGTATTTCAGCGGTTGGGACGTACCATCGAGTCCCCAACAACAAAAGTTCCTGTTAAGATAGAGCGCTGTGTCGCAGTAGCCCTCTTTGATGTCGCCAAGCCATTGGGAGGCAATATCTGATCCGCCTGCAACGATACCGGCTGCAACTCCTACTGCCAAGACAACAATCCATCCCTGGACCCAGTCGTACATGACCGCAATCTGACCAGCCAGTCCTGGTTGGTGATGAAGCCTCCTGATTCGCTGCCTCTCCTGTGCAAAATCGTGGATCCAATCTATCGAATACGAGCAATAAAAAGTTGAATGAGTAACGAAAGATTTTTTTTTATTAGAAAAAAAGAAAACAGCAGTATTCCTCAGCTCCTTACCGATAGTTGTAAAGTCATCGTAGGCAACTCTCATTCCCGTTCCCTCGACCACCCAATCCACTGCATCGTCATGATAGGGATTCACTCCTCCAGGGTAAATAGGACTTGGATCGTTCGATCTCGCGGCCGGGTCATGATGATCTGGGGTATCATCTCCGTCCTCGTCACCCTGCCCTCTATGTCCGCCCATGCTTGCATTGCCATTTCCTCCAGAATGTGATCCACCCTGCTGTTGCCCGAACGAGGATGCCCTCGGGAAAAACAGCTTCCCTGGATACCGCGAAGAAGGCATTCTGGATCCAGACACAAAGGGTCCCATTCCTAACCGTGGAGAGGCCGTGCTGCCGCTCCTTCCAGGACCACCCAAACCCGAAGACGCATTTATGTTGCCTGTAACACCTAGTCGATTGAGGAATGAGCCAGTCCTGGTCCTTCTATTGTTGTCCGGTTGATTCCTGTTTTTGAAAAAGTTAAAGTCATGGCGGCTCCTATAATACCAGATGTCCCGAAGAACACAGATAAAGGTCAATCATCTATTCCTCGCCATGCACAATCAAGAACAATAACAGATACAGAGCGCTTACTCAAGTCCACGGATTTGTTCCTGCGGATGCAAAGGCGTCTCTGAATTCGCATCCTCTTCTTCTTCGTCTTCGTCCTCTTGTTTGTCGCCATTATCCAGGCCATCACCGTTTCCATGGTCACCATACTTTGATCTCGTCAGTTCCTGAAACGTCGCAGTATGGTTCTTATCTTTCTTCATCTTCCTAAGCTTCCCCTCCCTGTTCCCTGAACCCAATAGATTCTCCTTCCTTTCTCCATATCCGTCATCTTCGTCATCATCCTCAGGTCCAAAGAGTGGTTTCCGACGAAAACCCGATCCACCCAGTGCCAGTCCCAATGAAACGGATCCCTTTTGGATTGCAGGGCTCATCCCTGGTTGAAGACGCGGCGACTGTGATCCGGACGATGTTGGTGCCGAGGTGGCCGAGGCTGTGGCGCTGAATAGTGGAGATAGTTGCGGTTGCTGCTGTTGCACCTGAAGACCGAGCTGGTCACCGATATGATTGGGCTCTAGTGGTTTTGATGGTGACGACATTACATTAGAGGAAGGCGAGCCTGCTGTCTGGGGAGCGCTGGGAGAAGAGGAAGAGTGCTGCGGCGAATCGATCGCGTTAAAGAACGCATCGACCTCATCCTGTCTCAGGTTACTCATTGCTGTTGTTTTGTATGGTGTGATGCTGTGCTTTTGCAAGGATCTCTAACAGATGTCCTTGCCAAGCTAGTCTGTCGTTATGTTGAAGCCAAGGAGTGCAAAGTCCGCTACAGCTCTTCCGTTGATTCCTGGCGGTCGAATGAGTGCCGTTGTAGTCGAAGTTGCTCTTAGACGGCGACAATGGTGAGCAGTCGAGTCCAGCACGGTTGATTGTCGCTCTGTTGGTTCGTTGCGTTGAAAGACAGTGACGGGACGACTAACGCGACTTCACACAGCCACTACATGCCACAACTTGACCGTCCTTTTTCCTTTCTGAGACCCGTACGCCCAAATACAAAATCAATTGACATCCCTTTCGGTATTGACCTTCCAACTCATTTAAACAGTAAAACAAAACGTTTATTACTTGAATAAGACACAGCGAAAACAGTGAAAAAAAGACGATGCTCTCAATCTCCCTACGACATCCTCGTCTAATAATAAGGCTGCTGCGGCTGTTGTCCTGGCGGTGGCATGAACCGACGGGGCGTTGGGGGCGCACGCGACGACCTTGATCCATATGTGTCGTGTGTGCCTGGTGGCCCGTTGTGCCTTGCATCGCCATGCGCACCTCCGTATCCATGGTGAGGCCCTGTCATATGTCCAGGAGGGCCCATATGTCCACTCCCTGCTGCGCCTGTCCAAGGAGCACCACCCCAAGGCGTTGAGCCCCATGGTCCTGCCGCTGAGGAAGAAGAAGGGTGGAGAGGCTGCTGCATTGGAGGCATCGCGGTATGGTGAGCGACCACGGGTTGGTGTGAAGGATGAGGCTGGTAATGGTGATGATATGCGCTTGGATGCGAGGGTGTGTGATGTGGATTTCCGTATCCGCTACTGCTGCCATTATAACTGTTGTAATGTGGGCGGTTGCTTGGTGTAGATGATGTTGCAGGAGCCGCAGAGGCAGCAGCGGGCTTGGGTCGACTCCGCTGCATCATCATTTCCTTGAAGCTGTTGCAGAGCGAGACAACATCCGGGCATTCTTTTTTGCTAGGGCCCTTCAAAACGTAGTGCTCAGGGAAGACCTTGATACTCCACTCCTCGATGGGACGGCTAGCACCAATCTTGAAAACGAGCGAGAAGTAGCCTGGGTACTTCCGGTCCAATGTGAATCCGTAGACGGCTGCTCCTGGTTTTGCCTTTGTTTGCGTGTCTAATGATTGCCCTAATGAGTATGGGGTGGTATAAATGGTTAATATGGCGACAATACAAATGAAGAACTGCCACGGAAAGTTTGAATTGCGGCGATTGCAGCACTTACTGAGTTCAGCAGCGTTTTCCTTGTACTTGGGATTAGCCATAAGCGACTCCGTCTTGCTCAGGATCGCCTCAATGTGAGATACCAAAAGTTCGTCCAGATCGCTGTACTTTGAATTGTCAATCTTGAGGGTCTTGCCTAGGCTGACATCGTCCTTTTTGTCCATTTCCAGAATATCTATGACAGAAGTAATAGATGATAGCTCTGATTAGTATCTGTTGCTATCGCAAACATCCTGCTTTGTAACATGTCTAAGAGGCAGGTCTGCATACCGAAATGCTTGTAGAGATCATCTGCCAGCTTGACTGTCACTGACAAATGGTCGACCCCACGGTTCGAAGGCCTAATGACAAGCTCGCCTCGGCTCTTGTCCGACAAGTACTGGACTGCCTCCTCTGCATTTACGTTCTTGAACAAAGGATGTGTAATCTTGCGCGGCAAAAAATTGCTCTTCTTGACACTTGTCTTGATCTGGTTCATGGCCTTTTCCTCCTCAAACTGATCAAACATCCTGTCCTTGGGCAACATACGGAGCTTAGTATCGCCATGTCGGAGCTCGCTCTCCTTACAAGACAAATCCGCAAAGAACTTTTCCTTGTCCAAACGCAGAATTTTGACTTGCAGAGTCTGGCCCTCAGATAGGGCATCAGATATGGAGCCAATCTTGGAATCGGATATGTTCATGATGGCCAGGATGCCATCGATACCGCAATCCAGGCGACACATGGCGTTTCTGTCTCGGATCCTACTCACCAGTGCGGGGACAATGAAGCCCTCCTTGAGCGTCTGATCTGTTTCTCCTGTCAACATCGTGAAGATTTGGTCAGGTGTAGCACGTTCGAATGGCCGACGGGGGTCGCGGAATGGATGCTGCAGCTCAACCTTAATGGTCTCCAGAGTCATGCGTTTGGGCTTGTGCTGGATCACCTCGAGCTGATGTGCATAGTCCTCCAACAAAAGCTCGTTCAGTTTTTCAGCGCCATCGTCCCTCATCAATTCCTCGACATGTTGGGATGCGTTCTCGTATTCCTCCAGACCCTCTTCGTCGATCTCCAGAGCGTCGGCTGCCATCTTGCGGGCTAGGTTGTAGTCCTCAGAGTGAATACGCGTCTCGTCCAAAACATCTCCGCCATAGTTGGTGTGCACACGGAGAAAAGAACAACAGTTCATGAAGATGTTCCATGTCAGGAGTTTGCGGAAAACAAGATCTCCGCGCTTGTCTAGGCTGCCATTGTGCTGATCGGCCTCAATACTCTTGATCAGACTCTGTGCTTTGCGAGGGCCGAGACCACAGATGTATTGGAGCATGTAGGCCTTGTAGGGCGAGTCGACGACGGCGTTGAAGTCGATACCAACAGCGTTGATAATGTTGATCAATGCACGATCCAATAGTTCTCGAAGGCGATCCCCGCCCACAAGGTGTTGCAGGGGATGTTGGCGGATGTTGATCAGGTCTTTTCCAAGAGCTGCGTACTCGTTCATTGGGTTCTGTACAAGCCGGGCCAAGCTAATGCAGTAGCGCGTAAGGGGATTCGCCTCGGGGAACTCTTCCATACCCCTCTTGGAGTTTTGATAGAGTCGCGCCACCTCATCGTTGGTCATGATCACTGAAACATCATCCCCTCTCAAGTCGCGGAGGTCATTAACAACCTTCTCGACTTGCTCTAGCAACCGCCTCGTCATAACCGTAAAGCCACCGACAACAACGACGTCCGGACGACGGTTGTCCAAAAAGTCCACTAGTTCCTTCTGTGCCTTTGTCTCGCGCAGACTATCTAGCTTCAGATGATCGGCAAACTTGCCCTTGTCGTCTAGGAAGGCCACCTGAATAGCATCCTTGTTCGTTCCTGCTCCGTGTGAAATCGCGACAACTCTGGGAGCATAGTCGCGGTCGTATGTGACGCCTCGGGGAGCGTATGGCGCAACATTTAGTTTCTAATGGTAGAGAAGTAAACAGAATGTACTCATTAGAAAAATGTATAGACATAGGAAACCAGTGATTGCACAGAAGGAAAGATCGCTTACCTCTTCCAAACTCATTTGGCATTTCTTGGCGACCCACTCCTCTGCTTGTGATCTCAGCTTTTCACTCAGGCCACGCTCCATGAGACCAAAGACGTGGTCCTTAAGCGCACTCGTCAGGATCTTGCGACGCAGATCATTCCATTTCTGAGAAATCTCTGAATAGTTATCGCTCAGGAAGTAGTCAAAGACACTCTGAAGGTATGTAGTTTCGTCCGGCAGCTTGATCTCAACCTTGACCAGACCCTCAGACTGGGCTTGAAGAATCTGTAGATATTGGCCGTCATGAAAGTCGCGAACGTACTTTTGTGCCAATCGCTTGAACGGATAATACGGGTGCAGCTCATCAATGACGGTGGCACCCTTTTCGGTTGGGGTAACGGAAACACAGGCAGCACTCTCATACTTTAAGCGAATCGCTTTCCGGACTTGAGGATCGACGGCTACCTCATGTGAGATCATGTTCATGGCCATAGTGACAACTCGGTCCGTCGAAGGGAATCCCCGCTCAATGTACTTCTCAGCAGCTTCCTGTGGCAGGATGCCAATATCATCAGGGAAGAAGCGCTTGTTGCCTTCGATAAGGTTGGTTCCGAATTCCCGAGCCGACAATCCGAAGTCCTTAATGAAGTCAGCGAGCTGTACCCGCTTCGTGGTATCGTATGCGCCTCCGGAACCAGGTCTCTTGAATGCCTTGGTCTTGTCGATCTGCTTTGAGAATCGCAAGTTGATGTAGTCTGACACATCCGTCAATTCCTCCAGTCTTGTAGCCTTCAACAGTGAGTCGCTCAAATAGTCGTCCTGAATCTCCATACGGTCCATGAGCGCCTTGATGGCCTCTCGACGCTCCAGGAATGAACGGAACTTGAGATCCAGGTCATAAATATACCAGAGATCTTCACGCGACAAAAGTTCCGTCAACTGCTGACCATCGACCATGGTGAAGTAGTCTCGACGGTGGGTTTCGATGAAGGGTACCTCCATGAGCTCCTGTGACATGAACTTCAGGACGTTATTGACGTTCTCTGTCTGGAAAGCGGGTTGATCAACAACCCTCCTGTTCTCGTTCAGTTGCGTCGTAATCCAATAAGCCTCCTCTTCAATGTCATCGTCACTCAGCTTTCTGTCAGCCTGAATACCGGGACGGAGCTGTATGCGTTCAGGTACGTCCTTGACGCGAATAATTTCGTCCTGGTCCGTCATCATCCTTTCAGCCAAGACGCCTGGTTCGAAAACGTCCTTGAGGCGAGGCTCGGGCTTCTTTTCATAGTACATATCGTCTCCATTCTCCTTGCCGAGAGCATATGCGTAGTTTTCTCCATCCCCAAAAACTTCGTACCATTCACCCCAAACACTGTTCGCATAACAGTAAAGCAATGGGCAATGTTAGTAAATCTCGTTTTGTTTTGATCGCATAGGACAAAGGCCGATCTCAGACCAGCGTCTCCTTACTCTTCACTCAGGCCATCGATAGGCGCCCTCCTTGGTCTGGGCTTGGCGGGAGCCTTTTCACGACGATCGCGTCTTCCGTCATCGAGGTCCTCGTCTTCTTCGTCGTCGTCGATGAATCGATCCATTTCGTCGTCATAACCGCCACGGTCATCCATACCCTCATCGTCCTCGTCATCAAAAATCTTTTGAAGTGCATCGTGTCGAGTGCCAGGCGTTTCCTCATCCTCATCGTCATCTTCCTGTCTGCGCTTCTTCAGCCGTTTGAATTTCTATTTGGGAGATAGAGCATTAAAATGTTAAAAAATGCCTTCATAATATAAAAAGGGTTCCTGAACGCATCGTTGATCTTGATGTTCATACTTCTGGACGTCTGATCTTGACTCCTGTGTTCTCTTCCATTAGGTCCAGATCTTCTTCGTCAAGGTCCTCCTCTAGATACAAGAAATTGAGTAAAACACAGGGATCAGCTTAGTAATCAATTTGTTGCTAGTTTTCAGGAAGCAGTGCTGATCAGCGTCGTCCAGGTTCATGTCTTGTCCATGCACTGCTCTTACCGACGGCCTCCTTTCTTCTCTTCTTTTTCTTTGATCGGCGGACGATCTCTTCATCCTCTTCATCCTCTTCATCGTCGTCTACAATGAATCCTTCTCTAATCTGGAAAATAATAGGTATGAAAGTAGGCATTAGAAGGTAAAGGACATGATCTGGGCCTCAGTGCAAGGAGGATAGCAGAAGAACACCATGCAAAATTCCGAGTCTTACTCTCTTCATCTCCTCCTCGTCGTCCTCTTCCTCCTCAGAGTCATCCTCATCGCGATCGCTGTCGTCATAACCGACATCCTCGCCCTCCTCGTCAGAGTAGTTCCTTCTGTCTTCGTCGTCAGACATCGTGTGTTTGAAGGATGAATGTGCGGAAAGTTGTTTCCAATAAGCTTGAACCTGACGTTATCTTCAGTCTGATGAGTGAGATTGTTCCCGGTCCTGGTCCCTGCTACGTTCCTTTGTTACGTGCAAGAATTATAACAAAAGGGGTTTGATGCGGTTGTCTGTGGATCCTTGCTTCCTTGCTGTTCTTTCCAAGAGATTCGATCTCCAAGACGTCACAGATGTGGAGGTTGAGAGCTTCTTGGAGAGATTGCAGGTGGTGTTAGAAATAGCGAGCGCCGAAGAGAGAAGGGAAGGAAGGGCAAGAGGAGAAGCGAAAGAGATGGATGCATCTATTTCGCGAGAAACGACAGAAGTGACGTATCTGAATTGGCGGATCATCGTACACAAATAAGGTTGATCCTGCTCACCTTCGCCCAAAATAGGGGACCAAACGGACAACGCAACGGTCAACGCATTTCGTATATACATTTCCCATCAACCATCACATCCCGTCTACTGATGACAATAGATACACCTGGCTCATCTGCAGAGTCGCCTAGACCGCTTAGGGTCGCTTTCATTCATCCGGACCTCGGCATCGGTACTGACAGCAAACAATATATCCTCAAGTGGGACCTCGCCCTTTTATGTCAAGTCGTTCTGTTGACTGACTAGCCTTCGGGTATCCATTGATATTCTCGGCCGCAATGTCTGTAGGCGGCGCAGAAAGGCTTGTTGTCGATGCAGCAGTCGGCCTTCAGAACCTTGGCCACAAGGTCGTCATGTATACCTCTCACCACGATACCGCGCACTGTTTTGAAGAGACACGCGATGGTAAGTCTTCAAAGGCCACAGCAGCTGCGAAATGACCGTTTAAAACTATCGAAAAACGATTGACTGAACTCGATGGAGACTCATGTGTAACCCACATTTAGGTACATTGACTGTACGCATTGGCGGTAACACGATCGTTCCTCGGACGATCCTCGGTCGTTGTTATATCATTTGTGCCATCCTCAGAAACCTTCATCTGGCTGTAACCATGTGGTTGCTCAACAGCGCTGCGCCAGAGAATGAAAAGCTCGATGTCATCATAGTCGATCAGCTCTCGGTGTCGATTCCGTTATTAAGATGGACGGGCGCGAAGATCTTTTTCTACTGTCATTTCCCCGACAAGTTGTTAACCAAGCGCGAGTCCTTGCTTAAAAAGGTTTATCGAATGCCTGTGGATCTCATCGAGGAGCTTACCACAGGTATGATGCCAGACCCATCTGGAATGCTTTCATTATAGAGTACCATAACGGCGGTTCAGAGCAATGAAACTGATTTCGATCGTCGGTCAAAAAATCTTGCATTGTGATAGGCATGGCAGATGCGATTGTGGTCAACAGCAAGTTCACAGCCGACATCTTCAAAAAGTCCTTCAAGATGCTTCACCAAGTGCCTGATGTTCTCTATCCAAGTATTCAATTCGACAAGTTCGACAGGACAGTGGATCAGGATTTACCAGAAGTCAAAGTTTTGACAGCAATTAACAAGATTACATTTCTGTCGATCAATCGCTATGAGCGCAAGAAGGACATCAGGCTTGCCATTCATGCATTTGCACGACTTCTTCAAGACAACAGCAAGAATGACATCAGCACAGTTCAGTCCCTTCGGTTGGTCATTGCAGGAGGATACGACACCCGAGTGACTGAGAATGTGGAGTACCATAAGGAGCTAGTTCAGTTGGCAGAGCAGAAGTATGGTCTCCGGACTTGGACGCTCTCATCTGGACAGTCGGACAAGGCAGTTCCAGAAAGCACACAAGTCTTGTTTCTGCAGTCAATCTCGGATGTTCAAAAGCTGTATCTTTTGCAGACGGCTCGTGCTTTGTTATACACGCCGACAAACGAACATTTTGGGATCGTGCCTGTGGAGGCCATGTATATGAGGTGCCCCGTCATTGCCGTCAACTCGGGAGGACCTACAGAGTCGATCTTGCATGGCAAGACTGGATTCCTGTGTGAACCGAAAGAAGAGGTCTGGGCCAGCACACTTCAGACTGTGCTCGAAAAATCGGATCAGGAGCTGAGAGAAATGGGGGAGGCAGGACATGATCGCGTGGTTGGCCTGTTCTCTTTGGCGGCGTTCGTTTCAAAACTGAACGGGATTCTGCTTCAACTGCAACAGGGATCGGCGGCGTTGGAATCCTATGGCATGTTTGGAGCTCTGCGGCCGTTATTTGTCTTTACTACAGTGACCATCGCCTTATCCATCATACTTTATCATTACGCACAGTAAATACACCCGAATCGGTAGCGCACGCTCTTAAAAGGGCTAGCTTGAAGGAGTGATTGGGTCCATAGATGAGGTGCCTTCATTTTGTTTGTGATTTGCAGATTTAAGTTTATTTATTGACTACACGCTGCAGTACTAAAATGCCATAAACATACAGCTATGGCAACTTGGTTCGGCGGCGGTGGCGATGCTAGAAGCTCTCAATTATCGACAAATAGTTGAAGCTAGGATGTTTGAGAAGAGTTACAGGACCTGTAGTGGCTCACTTGAGAGTCTATGCTTGGTCCCAGGGTACGGGGCGTTGTGTTGACATCATCGTTTCATCTGGCCCGTGTGCGCGGTAAATTACTTGCCTTACTTGCTACCCGCTATATTTGAGGTTGTTGGATAGGCGAGATGACGAATAGTGCTTCGAGCTGCGGTTGATAATGCTGCTCTTCCTGTCCTCATGGCCTGGAATCTTCTTGTGTTCTAAGGTGAGCTGGATACGCTTGAATACAACGATGCGCCCCTTTTCTGTGTGGAGACGGGCCGAGGTGGATGATGTAGGGGATTCCACTGACGTAGACGTTTTTTATGAATGAACTCACGCGCTTTGCCTGAAGGGACAAAGAGTGCCTGTTTAGCTTTCTTTTTTCTTTGTCTGGTTCGATGTTGTTCAGTCAAGATGGATGTGCCACGCTTTGTCTCGTGAAACATCCTAATATGTGTGAAAAAAATTGGCGGCAAAAGGTAAATAGTACTTGACTCCTGCACCGCCCAAGACATTTAGGGTTATCCGTACCCCCTCATTCACTGGGAGCAATTGCGCTTTATTTGATGGACAGCATGGCAGCACTTGCAAAAGGTATCACCTCTAGCTAGATCTCAACACAGTGGCCATGTGGCGGTACTCATCGGCCGATAAAATGTGCTGTTAAACACGCCATTTTTTTCTTTCTTTTTCCCCGCGCGACAACTATCCCAACGACAAACTTCGATTTTCGGCTGTGGCATGTGTGACAAGGACACGTTTCTAGGTTGCATCTCTTCCCTCAAACGGGGTATCGTTTTTCAGATTGGAGCTGTACTCTATTTATACATGTCCAGGAACGGTGTTGAAGCGACACTAGTAGCGAGGTATGGTCACGCAAACGAGGAAGGGAGGAATGACGATGCGGAGTAAATCGACAGAAGGTCGGAGCGATATAGGTACATATGGCCGCTAAAAGATGACACTGCCACAGGAACAGACACAGGTCAGGAATCTATTTTTATTCGCCAATGGGCGAGGACCAAAAGTCCTTTTTGGAATCGAAGTGGACTTGGAGCACAGCCCATGTCATTTTAGTGCTGGCACATTTATGAAGGTCTGCGAGGGAGAAGGCGAGAGGATAGCAAGGAGAAGGAAAGGAGAATGGAGAACTGGTGGATGGCGCCAGGTGGGAGACGCTAAAGGAAGAGAGGGTGGCAGGGGTTGCAGCTGATAATGACGAGGAGGAGTTTGCTCCGGTCGATTTCTCCCCTATTTGTGTTTGCGTTTTGTGTTTGGAAAGAAAACAACAACAACAGAGTTGGGCTGGGCACTCGTTCGACCGCGAAGACAGCCTCCTCACCCCTTTCCATCTTCAAAGGTGTCGCGGTATAAAATAAAGGACACCCCTGGCAGACCACCCCTTCCCTTCCCCCCCACTTCCTCTTCCTCTGCTCCTCCCATAATCCCCACTCCCTCCCTATCTCTTCTTTTTTCGCTCTTCGTTTGCTTTGTTGGTATCGGTCTTCTGTATCTCCTCCCAGTCTTCCAGGTACGATCATCGGTGGATCACACTTCGAGATGTCGCAGTATTCATCAGCTGCAGCACCTCATTGTCATCACCTCCCATTGTCATCATCTGGTCCATTCCAGCATACACTTTGAATCCCTTGACCTATGGTTCCCCAAAGTTATTTGTTTGCCCACAATAATTAACATCAATTGCCCTTGCCTCTTTGTCTACTTGACCTTAGACCGCTTCAAACACAGGGATAACTGAACAAGAGTATCGACATGTCTCGCTATCCCCCTGGACAGTCGTCGGATTATCCGATGCAGAACGTCAATGTGCAATATAATCCCAACGCAAATCCGTTCGACGACGAACCTCAGCGCAACTACGGCCAGGATGCACCCTTGCTGCTCTCGTCCGGCTACAGCAACAATAATAACAACAGTGGCTATGCACCCAGCCCAGCCATGGCTCCTGGATTCATTGCACCCTCGCCCTATACCCCCTATCAGCAGCCATTGGGTGTTCCCTCCCCTCATATGAACCAACAAAACCCTTTCACCAGCACACCCGACCTTGGCCAGCAGGTCCCACCACATATCCAGTTCGATATGTCCGGTGGTGCACCAGCTGGTCCGGGCGCTCTCCCTCCAGGTACCCCAGACACGCGCCATTACGGTCCCGCGCCTGTAGCACAGCGTCGTCGATACCAGACAACCAGGAAGGTCAAGCTGACCTCGGGTAACCTGGTCCTGGACTGTCCTGTGCCAAGCAAATTCTTGAAGACACTCAAGCACCAGGAGGGCGAGGAGTTCACGCACATGCGCTACACTGCAGCTACCTGCGATCCCAACGACTTTTCAGCCGAAAATTATACCCTGCGACCCCTGTTGTTAGACGACCAGCCCCGAGAGACAGAGCTGTTCATTGTCATGACCATGTATAACGTAAGTGTTTATTTTATTTGTTTTTTTTTTTACCGTGCTCCTTATTCCCGCTGTTTCATGGGCAGGGACGACGAAACAACATTATTCCCCAAGCTTCAAACCATAAAAAGAAATCAAAGCCAGCACCCAACGGGAAGAATGAGAAGAAAAAAATTCTACTAGTTTGCTAGCCCGAATAGCAGAACGCCTGTCTCTCCTGTCCTCGGCCAACACTGACATGGTACTCTTTTTGTTTCTTAAACGCATTGGAAATGCCTGTTAATAGGAAGACGAGGTCCTGTTCACGAGAACCATGCACGGTGTCATGAAGAATATTCGCCACCTGACCACCCGCGACAGGTCCCGCACCTGGGGCCCTGATTCGTGGAAGAAGGTCGTTGTCTGCATTGTGTCCGACGGTCGTACAAAGATCAACCAAAAGACCCTCAACGTCCTCGCCGCCATGGGTGTCTATCAGGATGGGATCGCCAAGAACATTGTCAATGACAAGCCCGTTACCGCCCATATCTACGAGGTAAGCAGGAAAAAAAAAGAAAAAGAAAAAGAAAAAAGGACCCACATACCGAGTTTATGTATTATGCGCAGAAATTGACAATCCCCTCCCCCTTTCTTTCCCGCAGTACACGACCCAGGTCACCATCGACCCTGAGATGGGCCGCTCTGGCCACGACAAGGGCTATGTCCCAGTCCAGATTCTGTTCTGTCTGAAGGAAAAGAACGCCAAGAAACTCAACTCTCATCGGTAAGTGGCCCGTGATCTATTATTGGCCTTGTGTGATTGGGCTGTGGTCGCTAGTCCAATGGCTTTCGTTATCCCATCTGTCCTATGAGATGGCATCCTCTCACACCTCCCCTTTCTGTCCCGCGTACTCCACAGCTGGTTCTTCAACGCCTTTGGCCAAGTCTTGAAGCCCAATGTCTGTGTGTTGCTCGATGTCGGTACCCGTCCTGGCTCGACCTCGATCTACCATCTCTGGAAGGCCTTTGATCTGAATTCGAACGTTGGAGGCGCTTGCGGTGAGATTTGTGCTATGTTGGGTCGCGGCGGTAGCCAGCTACTTTCGCCTTTGGTCGCCTCGCAGAACTTTGAATACAAGATGTCCAACATTCTGGACAAGCCTCTCGAGTCCGTCTTTGGTTATATTTCCGTCTTGCCCGGAGCCTTCTCTGCCTACCGTTACCGTGCTCTCCAGAACGATCCCACAGGTCAAGGTCCTCTCGAAAAGTACTTCTTGGGCGAAAAGTTCCACGGCTCGGACGCCAATATCTTCACGGCCAACATGTACCTGGCTGAGGATCGTATTTTGTGCTTCGAGCTGGTCGCTAAGAGAAACAGTGCCTGGGTGTTGCAGTACGTCAAGTCTGCCTACGGTGAGACGGATGTGCCCTCTACTGTGGCAGAGTTCATCTCGCAGCGTCGTCGTTGGTTGAACGGATCCTTCTTCGCTTCGGTGTACGCCTTGGTTCATCAGTTCGATATCTGGCGATCAGATCATTCGACTTCCCGCAAACTGTTCTTCCATCTCGAGTTCTTCTACAGTGCTGTTTCCTTGTTCTTCTCTTGGTTCGCTTTGGTAAGCAAGAGCAAAAGCACACATTGCGATCCTGATCCATGGCTGCTACTTTCAATTTCACTCTTGCTAACATCCGTTTATGATCATCTTTCTAATTTCCAGGGCAATTTCTACTTGACGTTCTATATTCTCGGCAACGCTATGGTCTTTATGCCCGGCCCTGATGGCACAGTGGAGCAGGCGAGTCCCTTTGGTGAAAATTCTGCCGGCTTGTGGATCTTCACCGTTTTCCGTTACATCTACATTTTGCTGATCATTGCTCAGTTCATCATGAGTATGGGAAACCGACCTCAAGGATCCAACTGGGCTTATAAGTCATCGATGGGCTTCTTTGCAATTTTGATGGCCTATATGTTGTTCGGTGCTGGATATATGACTGTCGCAGGAATCAACGGTGTTCGGGACGAAATCGCCAAGGGCGACTCGGGCGAATCTGCAACGTCGCTTTACTTCCAAAACGCCATGTTCCGCAACACTGTCATCTCGCTGGCTTCAACTTATGGACTGTACTTCTTCGCCAGTTTCTTGTTCTTGGAGCCCTGGCATATGTTCCACTCGTTCATCCAGTACATGTTCATGGTGCCTTCGTACGTCAATATCTTGAACGTCTATGCGTTCTGTAACATCCACGATATCTCATGGGGTACCAAGGGAGACACTTCGGTTGCCACGGATCTGGGTGTTGCCAAGAAGACTGCTGAGGGTAATGTCGAGGTTTCGGTGCCGACGGACAGCCACGATATCAACAATGCATACGACGAAGCCGTCAGTGCCCTGTCGATCAAGACGGTCGAGGTGAAGCAGCATCGTGATGCCAAGACCAAGCAGGAGGATTACTACCGTGAGATCCGTACTCGTGTGTTGTTGACCTGGATCATGAGTAACGCTCTGTTGGTAGCATTGGTGACCTCGACGGCATTTGGAGACTTCAAGACCAGCAGTACAGTGTATCTGGGTATCGTCCTCTGGTCGGTCGCTGGTCTGGCATTGTTCCGATTCTTCGGAAGCGTTACCTACATGATTCTGCGACTCTTTAACGGTCGCATTGTCTAAGAGAAGCTACCGAATGCATTTATATACATATACAACCTTGTAGAATAGCTGGAGCAGACGGAGGGGGGCATCTTTTTCTTTTCTTTTCTTTTTCTAGTTTACATGTCATTTTTATTCATCGTACTTCATTCCGTCATAAAGACATTGGTCTTCAACAAACATTCGAAGAGCCGTTGAACGATCTACGCGTAAGAAAAAAAACACTGCCAAAAGTCTTTAGTCCGTCCATACCTTTCTGTACTATCATAGCACAGCCAGACCCGCGCATCACCAGCACGAGATATAGTCTTCATGCTGGTCCTGCAGCGCACGGACGCGGAATTACGATCGTCCCCTCCAAATTTGCCTTTCACAACAGCACTCCAAAAAAAAAAAAAAAAAAAAAAAAACTTTTGTAAGATGAATATAGTGATTCTCACCGGTGAAAAAATAATGTTACAGGGCATAAAAAAACGAGGTTCTCTTCTCACTCTCCTGCTCGCCCAAACTATGGATGTCATTCACATAATTTAAATGCGCATTCAAGCCCAGCAGTAACATACAAACCACAGTTCGCATCAGCTTCCTTACTCCTAAGGTCTACGCGTGTAGTAAGAATCTCCACCCAAAAAAAAAGAAAAAAAAAAAAACATTATTGGTATTTTAACCTCCCACGCCGTTCTCCGGACAAAATCTGTGGATCTGCCAAGAGTATCGGATGCTCTGCATCCTGGAATCATCCCAACAATATCTTTAAGATTGTCCGTGCGAGAGCGGTCAAGGTCACGCAGGATACTTTTATAACAACGTGTCTAAAGGATCTAAAGGACTGTAAAGACTAAGTGGCGCCCTTCCAGAGACGATGATGATGCGCTGGGAAGGGCGTGAGCATCCTAACGCCCTCAAGGGGTCGTTTGCCCAACTGCGCAAAGGGATGCCTCTCGTTCTGAATGTCGAGCGGACTCCGAGTCTTTATGCGTCTTTTCCCTACAGACTTTTAGCAGCTAATTTCCTTCAATAAACCGCTCGCATGTCTCTGAACAAACAAAAAAAGGATGCACTGGTCTTTCTATTAATTTTATTTTACATACAAACTATGTATCCACGCTTCAGATCTTCAGATAGTTTTCTCCGACGCTTTTATGCGTACAGCTTGCGACGATTCCGCTTGATGACCGCATTCAACTGGTTCTCCAGCATCTGCGTCTCCATCTTCGCATTGATCACCTGTAGCTCCAGGTCCTCAACACTTCGCGCAGTCGCAGAGGTTGAATTCACGCGGTTGTCCGTCGCATTGGGGCCTGCATTGATGTTCCGGTCATCATTACCGGCTTGATCTTGATAGGTATCTTGTCGTGAGACTCCTTGGTTTTCACCGTTCACCTGAGGCGACAGACCGGTGCCATTGCTAACACTAGCATTGTTTCCGTTAGCTGGCAGCCAGTTGGGGGACATCATGAGCGGACTTGCTTGGCCCGGCCCAAAGACCAGGGTATTCATCATACTAGTCACATCCAGGGGCTTGTTGTTCGACGCGTACGACGGCATAGAGTAAGATCCGTTCTCTGGAGTGCGGCCCAGGAGCGCCGACATCAGGTAGGGACTATTGCTGTTGCTGCCGGATGCTGATCCCCCGTTGGGCATGCCTAATCCTGGCGGCGGACCAGAAACTGTTGACAGACCGTAGCCGCTCATGCCCAGGTGGTTCATATCATACTGCGCAGTGGATCCGTAGAGACCGCTCATCTTAATCGAATTGCCTTGCTGAAAGCCGCCTTCAGAAGAGTCCTTCATGGACGCTGCTGAGAATCGCTCCGATCGAGTGCTTGGCGAGTTGAGTCCCATCAACAAGTCTGACTTGACTTTGGCAGACCGGGTAGCTGCCGAACTCAGACCGTTCATCATATGAGATTCACCAGCTCCAAAAGATGTCGGTTGCTGTTGGCTCTGATGCTGTTGACCCAGGAGCTGTACACGGGGTTCCACGAGTGGCGATCCAGGGGTTGAAGAAGGACGAGATCTCGAGCCTCCGTTCAGCGGGGCATTCATGCCAGAGTTCAAAACACCCTTGACAGACTTGATTTCCTTTCGCTTTGAGCCTAGAGGGATGTTCTGCAGCGATGATGGTGAATCAGGGGCACCATGTCTCTGCGACTGTTGTTTTTGTTGTTGTTGTTGCTGTTGCTGCAGCATTTCGTGCCTTTCATTATCATTGCGATGGTCTAGTTCGAAAAAAAAAGATATAAAAAGGTGAGAAATGCGTTGCCATCAAGAGAAAAACTGCAGTTTGTTGTAGTGGTGTTCCGATTGGACACATCTGCCCATGTCCTTCATCGAGAGCCGTAGGGAATGGGAGAGTGCTGAGTCGCATAGCGTGTCCAGCTCCAGCTTCATCTTATCCTCAGTTGCGTAATTAGGAGTTATTAGGTTATATTAATCCAGTACCCAGAGTGTGCAGGTCGTCCAAAGCAACTGTCCAAATAGTCCACCACTGCAGTTTCTTCAATTCGACCGAACAGTCATGACTGCATCCTGCATCGCTAGTTCATAAAACGCACCTAGCATAGTGTTGTCTTGAGACGGCGTCATACGGTAGCCACTCAAAGCGTTGCTTGGCGGAGGATTCTGAAGTGTCTCAACCAGCGACGCCTTGGATGCCTGTGCCGACGACATACGGGCTGACATGATAGCGGGGTCATGGAATGTCATTGAATTAAGTCCTAGAAGACCGTAGCATACAATAGTTAGACGATTACCCTGCAACAATGTTAAATGCTAAACAACAACGTGTCCGATCCTCGTTGCGTACCTTGATTACCAGAAGAGAGATAGGCAGTCTGATTCTGACTCTGATCATGTGGCGAAGGAGCGGCGGCTTTCAAGAATGATCCTAAAAAGTCCTGTGTATTGCCTTGACCAGTTGCAGATCCGGGGCTCTTCAGATAGTCCATGCCGACTTCGCCACTCCAGCTACTCATCCTTGACGATTGCTGCTGCTGCTGCTGCTGCTGCCTTTGCTGCCCTGTCCAGTCGCCAAGGTCAGAGCGAGAAACAGAGCCCAAACCAGGAGGAGGGGACTTTACTGTCGAAGGTGTAAGAGAGTTACGAGTGATACCAGGCGGTCCACTTCGTTGAGTGTGTTGTTGCATCTGAAGCTGTTGATGATATTCAGCCATACGAGAGCTGGGCGTTGTCAGCATTGGGTCCATACTGAGCTGGCCCATGTCTCTTTGAAGCATCGACACATCCTGCTTATTACCGCCATCCCAGCCTGCGCTCGGCATGGCTGCTTGACGATGGAATAGAGGAGAAGGTGTGAATTGCTGCTGTTGTTGAAGCTGCTGTTGTTGAAGCTGCTGTTGTTGAAGCTGCTGCTGCTGCTGTTGTTGCTGGGCACTCAACAAGGCATTGGTGGCACCAAAGCTGACATTGACGTTGGGGAACAGAGCCCTAAAGCCATCCTGCATTGCCTGCGGGGTGGAATATCCCTCATGGGTAAGGGGATCACTGTACTGGTTGTCCATAGCAAAGCCAAATCGAGACGTCTGTCGAGGCTTCCCGGGAATAGGCGGTCCAACGGGACGACTGCGATCAATGATTGGGTCATAATCGCTGTCATCCAGGAAAGACCGTGTTGCTGGGGCTACGGATCGTCGCATGAGGGGTTCATCATCCATCGAGAATGGGTTGAACGAGCCGGTATAATGGGTCGGCGTCGCCGGAAGGTTGGAGAAGGCCGAAAAACTGTCTAGACCAAACGCACCTGGTGTCTCGGATCCGAGAGATATCAGACCGCTTCCACCACCAAAGGATGTGGGCTGTGTAGTCAAAGAGGGGTCCGGATTGAACGAAAATGAGCCGAGGTTCAGGGTCGGTGCGCTGACAAACATACTCTCCATTTGCTTCCGCTTCTGCTCTTCAAGCTCCCTCTCTAATTGCTCCTTCTCCTCCTTGGCCCTCTGCTCCTTCTCTTTGCGTTCCTGCTCCTCTATAAGTTCCTTTTCTTTCTTCTTCAGCGCTTCCTTCTCCTTCTGTTCCGTCCGCTGCTGCTCCTTTTCCTTTTGGGATTGCAGTTTCTGCTCCATCTCTTGCTGCTGCTTTTGTTTCTGGAGCTCCTGCTGTTCTCGCTCTTGTTCCTGTTGCTGTTGCTTCCTCAGCTTTTGGTTCAAGAGCTCCGCTTGGTATTCCGTTTCCTCCTGCTGTTTCTGCTGCTTCCTCAAAAGCTTGCGCTGTTGCTCCTGAAGCTGACGCTGTTCCTGCAGCATCTGTTGTTTCGCCGCAGCTTCGATCGCTAAAGCCTCCGCCGGCGTAGGTGAATCTAAGATTGAAAGACAGCGGATTAGCATAAGAAGATTACAATTATCTACAATTTCAGCCCGTCGGTGCGCTGCATGTACACTTACAGTCCAAAGCAGGTGAATCTGTGGAGAGAGAATGATCTTTTTGTTTGCCATTGTTGACAACGATCCCAGTGATGATAGACGATGTGGATCCCTTTGCGTGCAGTGGTGGTGGTTCCGTTGTTGTCCTCCTGGGCAATGGCTTGGAGTTCATCAAGGTGGGCGTAGAGGGATTGCTGCCTAGCTTTGCCCAAGAAGCTGTTGCTGGTAAAGCAGAGCCTTCTTCCTCTTTGTCTTTGTCATCGTGATGCGACCTCTCGCCCGGTGCTGGCCAGTCAGCGAGCGAGGAAGAGGGAGCATGGTAGGATGGTACTGTGACAGGTTTGGGCCTTGGTGTCAACGACGTGCTGGATGACTGGGAGGTTAGTGTCGGACGACCGAGAGCGGCGGGTTTGTGTATAGAGGGATCGTATGGGACTATATGATCTTGCAAATGGTGTTTCCTGCGGGGATAAATAGGACAATATCAATATAAATCCTTTGTTTTTGTTGCTACATGAAACAATGATGATAGTGGCTGCATCGAATACATACCCGACTGCGAGGTCCTCCTTAGTGTAGCTATCAGCATCTTCACCCGGCTCATGCAGGTACATACAATTTGGATTTTGGCATGTCATACCACGCAGGTAATATGTACAGTACTTTGTTGTGCCGTATGATGCCCTATGATAAGAGGATTCGAAAATGAATAAGCCCAGTTCAGCCCAGACCAATAGCGTGAACAGTGCAGGAAACTGTTTGCGCTACAGGGTGACGCAGTATAGAGTTTCACTGACAAAGCTGCGGCTTACCTAAGAATCTTGCCATCCCATATGCTCCCATCGATCGCAGCAATGGCCTTTGCTGCATCCTCCTTGCGTGCATACGTGATATACACTCCGACACTCGGTATACCAGGCGAAGATCCTCCGACGGGCATTGGCGCATTCCTGCGGTTGATAACCACCTTTGAAATCTTTCCGTACTGACCAAAGTATTCGTGTTGCCTCAAAGTGTGCTATTCATTCAGCGCAGTGCCAATAGATCGAGAGTGTACGTTAGCATTGATTCCGATTTGCCACCATTGAAAGTGGGTCACTATACACGGGATCTTTCAGTTGACATACCTCGTCGTTGGCTAGTTTCGTAGGTAGGCCGATGACATAAACCAAGCTCTTCTGCACCACCCTCATGTTAGAGAGGTGCTTCCTGTTCATAGCCTCGATTTCCTTCTTCTCACGCTCTTTGGCCTTTTTCTCATTCTTGATCATGGCCAATCTAGGAGCAACAAGGGCACATGAGATTAGTCAGCAGGCACAGGGGTAGATGTAAAAACCGAATGGGACGACTTTAACGGTACACTTACTCATCAGCGGAAATCGGAGTAAACTCTACTGTCTCCTCCGAGTAGATTCTTCGGCAAGCAGGGCATCGACCATTGAGATCCTCTTTGATGTGGTGCCAGCAAAAGCGACAAATCTGTGGGATGCGATGATGAACTGATCAGCAAACGAGTACCCGGTGATGCTGAAAAAAAAGAAGTGACGATACGTACCTGGTAGCCGCAAGGACAGGGGCGGAAGTTTCTGTCCGAGATGTCAAGTTCCTCCATGCAGAGAGGGCAGTCGAAATCTTCCTCGTCAGACATCATGATGAAAGTGGGTGAGGTGAGTGAAAAAGTAAAGGAGTGAGATGCTTTGTGCGAGGAAAAAAAACAAGAAAAAGGGCGGCGAACACGAGCAGGTGAAGTGAAGAGAGACGATGCGGGGTTTGGGCCTAAAGATATATCAAGGAGGCGGACAGATAAGCAAGCAAAAGTGTACAGAGCAAGTTCAGAGGACAGATGAAGAGAAAGAGAGGGGTGTGTAGGTGTGTATTGCAGAGTGAAGGTTTTAGGGAAAAGAAGCGTGTTGCTGAAGAAAATGTGAAAATGCGAATGTGAGCGAGCAATGGCAAAGATGGTAAATGGCACGATTGATGGATGCCTTTGTAAGGAATGTAGAAAAGAACACTGTTGAGGGTGAGGATGATGAGGATGATGAGGATGATGAATGCTTGTTATGTATATGCGTGTATGTGTCCTGCACAATCGATGCGAGTGAAGAAAGATCAAATCAAAAAAGTTGAGGGAGTCCACAGGAAAAAAAACAACAACAGCTCACTCCTATTGGTCTCTGACCCTTAATAACTCTATTGCAAATGCTTGTCACGATAAACAAAACAATCTTCAGAAAAAAAAAAAGTGCTCCACCTCACACCTCACACCTCACACCTCCATTCCCCAGCTGGACCTTCCTTCATCCTCTCTTCTCTCTTCCTCCGCATCCCGAAGCATTACAATGGTAAACAACAAACATGGAAACCCGATAACGCCATCGCCCCTCATTGTCTTTGAACCCAACAAGGATTCCGGCTCAATATAGATCCTGATCACTCCACAGCTGCACACAAACTCATGGTGTCTATGGTCTCTATCCCTGATCCACTCTTGTAGGTCAACTACTTTTTGTACGAGAGCTCCTCCGGATACGCTCTTTTTGAGCGTCTCGAGTCCGAAGAAATCGGCTCCAAGCTCGCTGACGTTTGCGCTGCTGCCACCGACCTTACCAAGTTTGGCAAGATGGTCAAACTCAAGTCCTTTGCTCCTTTCAAGAGCGCTGCCCACGCCTTGGAGAACATGAACGACGTCTCTGAAGGTAATGCTCGCCTGCATCTGATTAATTGAATGCTCCATGCTGCTATTTTTTACATCAAGGTATCAGTACAGTCGCTAACGAATCGTCATTTCTTTCCTCGTTCTCTGTATTCACCTTCTGATCTGCTTGCTACAAACAACCATACGATCCGATTATTCGACACTCAATGATATTATCAATGGGACCTATTGCGATGATATTACCTTGCCGCCATCAGGTATCATGAACGACCATCTCAAGGCCTTTTTGGAGATGAACCTCCCCAAACCTGGCAAAAAGTCTAAGGTCGTTTTGGGCGTCACTGAAAAGTCTCTGGCCGGATCGATCAAAGAGAGTCTCGGTTACGAGTGCGATGCTAGCGAGATTGTCCTGGATCTTGTCCGTGGTGTCCGTCTTTTTGCTGACAAGTTGTTGAAGCAGCTTAAGGATGGTGATCTCGAGCGCGCACAGCTCGGTTTGGGTCACAGCTACTCCCGTGGAAAGGTCAAGTTCAACGTTCACCGTTCTGACAACATGATCATCCAGGCCATTGCCCTCTTGGATCAGATGGACAAGGACGTCAACACTTTTGCCATGCGTATTAGGTTAGTGGATCGGAATGGACTTCCGCACATTGTATCTGCCTTTTAACGTATGGATATATAATTCTAACTGTTCGAATGATACACTTTGTTGACAATGAAAACAGGGAATGGTACTCGTGGCACTTTCCCGAGCTGGTCAAGATTGTCAATGACAACTACAAGTACGCCAGACTTGCACAGCTCATTAAGAACAAGAGCGATCTTTCGGAGAGCAAGTTGGAGGCTATTGAGGAGATCACTGGTGATGCCGCCCAGGCTCAGCAGATTCTGGACGCCGCCCGTGCCTCTATGGGTACCGATATCTCGGAGATCGACATGATCAACATCGAGAACTTTGCCAAGCGCGTCATCGATCTCGCCGACTACAGAAAGAAGTTGCATGAGTACCTGATCTCCAAGATGAACAACGTTGCACCCAACTTGTCGGCCCTGATCGGCGAGATGGTTGGTGCCCGTCTGATCTCGCATGCCGGTTCTTTGACCAACCTCTCCAAATATCCCGCCTCGACTGTTCAGATTCTCGGCGCAGAAAAGGCCCTCTTCCGTGCACTGAAGACCAAGGGTAACACCCCCAAGTACGGATTGATCTACCACTCTTCCTTCATTGGCCGTGCTGGAACCAAGAACAAGGGTCGCATCTCTCGCTTCGTTGCCAACAAATGCTCGATTGCTTCCCGCATCGACTGCTTCAGTGAACAGCCCACGACCAAGTTTGGTGAGGCCATGAAGGAACAGGTCGAGGAGCGTCTCGAGTTTTACGAGTCAGGTGCCACTCCCTCCAAGAACGCGGACACGATGAAGAAGGTCATCGATAGCCTCAAGGATGGTGCTGACGTTGAAATGGAGGAGGCCCCTGTCAAGGCAGGCAAGAAGAGAAGTGCCGTGGAGGACAAGACTCCATCCAAGAAGGCCAAGAAGGAGAAGGAGGAGAAGAAGGAGAAGAAGGACAAGGAGGAGAAGAAGGAGAAGAAGGAGAAGAAGGAGAAGAAGGACAAGAAGGAGAAGAAGTAAAGGTCCCAGGGCCATGTTGCGTTTATCTCCTGTCTTTCATTCTTTTGACCTGTTCCCATTTCACCCGCATTCGCATCTGTAGAGTAGCTCGTCTCGTGTAGACATAATTCACCACTACCACACCGTTTTCTTTCATCTGTTTTGTACACAATGCCATTTCTATCTCTATTTCAATTTTCAATAAAAGCATTCAATTTGCTTGTACTCACGGCTCCTAAACGCGATCTTGACTGATCTATTGTGCGGTCGAAGGAGTACCTAAGCACGCGTAGTTTCCTATATTCAGCGGAACAGACAATCCACGTAGCCCCCAATTTTTTTTTTTTCCTAATTCTGTCAGGCCAACATTATTGGTAATGGTTGTTGATATGAAAAGACAACAGGCATTGCTCAAACCCTCGGAAATACCATCTGTTCAGTTTCCTGGATACCCACCCAAAGATACTATTCGCGCGCTGGGGAAGTGAGATTGCCATCTTTTGTTATTCGAATCCCTTGTCGTCATCTCTGCTAGTTGCTGTCATGCCTTTGCGCCCCGTTGCATCCCCCTTCAGGTCGGGCCCGACTAGTCGCAATTTTTATTCTCTCTGCTACAGAGGACAAGCATAAGCATGGGCTTTCAGAAAAGACTTCAGTTTCCGGCAAGACTTTACTTACACATGTCCATTGTTCCTTCTTTTTTCTTTTTTTTTTCTTTGTCCGCTCAGTTGTTTGCTGAGAATTGTGAATGAGAGCTGGTAGTGGAGTCAGGTACAGACGGTAGAGGGGCTAGTGTCCTAGGCCCTCGGTTCCTGTCATGATGTCAACTATCGACTTTAGCGCTGACTGAGTTGAAATGAATGCCGTGTGTTGGCTGTTTCAATTGCTGAGAGCAAACAAACAATACTTCTGTGCTTTTTGGGTCTATCTTTATCAAGGCACAGTTGATTATAATAGACTATAGTGGAGATGGGGACGGGTAACAGAGAGGAAGAAGGAGTGAGATAGACCAGTGATCAGCCGAGGCGATGTCCATGGAAGGACGCGTGCGATAGGCGGTCAGTCTGGTCTTTTGTTCGGTGGCAGTGGCAGTGACAGCGACAGTGGCAGTGAGAGCAAGATGGAGAGACGGGCTGTGGTAGCCATTGTTTTCTGTGGTGGTGCTCTTACAGCGATAGTGACGAGAGAAGGGAAGGCCATACCAATAAAGATACATCATGTCCGAGGGTTGCCCATTTCCTTATCCGCGTCTCTGTCCACTCCTTCGTCCATCTCGGATGGGGCGGTTGACGGTTGGGCGTCGATGCTTGGGGAGGCTCTCCGGTCCTATTGTTGGGCGTGTGTATAGTCTGGTGCAGTAGCGTATGATCTCTGTACCGCAGTCTGAAGCAGTGTTAGTAGGTTTGTACATGGACGACGTGGTCCCCAAGAGTCCCCCGCCTCGGCTTCATCCTGGGCCCTCGACTCTATATTTCTTTTACTTTACTTTATTCTATGGCCTTATTCAATTGAATAGGAATACCATCTGCTGTTCAAAGTCGGTCTCTATTAGACTACTGAGTGTTTTTGTTTGTTCCTCCTTCACACTCCCTCACACCACACTCCTCCGCTCCCTCGTCTTTCCTCTTCTATTTCTCCTGTTCCCTTTACCGTTATCGTATCCGCCTTGCTCTCTTTTTTCTTCCATCTCTCACGCTCTTCCCTCTTCCTCTTCCTCTTCCTCTTCTCTTTCTTCTCCATTCACGCCATCGCCGCCGCACGAATATATTTTTCAATATATATTTTTCAATATATATTTTTTGCTCGGGTAAGTTAGTGGCAAAAGGCGACATGACAACAACAGCAGCACCACAGCAGCACCACAGCAGCATCGCAACAAAAAAACAGACAATGGGGACACCAGACATGCAAGGAACATCAGCCTTTTTCTTTCTTCTTCTTTTCTTTTCTTTTTTTTTTTTTTGGCATTCCTGCTTATGCATAAGAATCATGTTGAGCTGCGATTCCAAAAAACTGGATGTCTGGGACGGACTGCATTTGCTTTATTTATTTTCTGAGCCGTTGGCCATGTATTGTTTGGTGGTGCATTCACAGTGAGAGGGGAGGGAGGAAGCATCGGCTGCTTTTTTGTGCAATGGTCTGTCCTGTCGAGAGCCCTTCCCTGTGCTTTTGTGAGTTACATCGGTATACCGCCATTTACTTGACAGCTGTCATTTGCGATCCCACTCATTTCACACTCTTTCATGGGACGGACCAAGAAAGACACCCCAATCTGAAAAGGATTTATGCCAGACGGTCTTCTCGCTTGCACATTGATATCGACATGGAGAACCAGCAATGGCGACCAATACTCATTCCCAAGAAGATACCAGGACAGTGGGCGTGGATATCGTGTGGACATGCAATTGGCTCGACTTGGCTTGGAGGCTCTTTTCCGTCTTTTTCACAAGGCTGCGTTTGGAACAAACTCAACCTGGCAGTACCCGTCCCAGCTCAGGGTCATTGATCTTGCTGTTTTATTTTCGGACGGGAAGCTTGCTACTGTAGACCATCTGAGTGGGGGGTCACTGTGGGTCGCTGAGGGACCGTCTCTTATTATTGTGTTTGTTCTTCCGCGCTAAGGAGGATCCAAGGACAGGAGCAGCACGGAACAAAGGCAAAAAAGATATGCACAGTGCCTCTATTGTACTGGCTGCAGTATGGTGTCGATGGCGACTAGTCCATATCTGTCCTCGGGAATCTCTGTCCCCTAAAAAAACATGAATCCGCCCTGTCTCCGTTCTGTTTTCTCCTGCTTCCGCGCAGTCTAAATCATTGAAGGCGATCAGGGCAGTATAGACGATGCTAATAAAGTAACAGTTCCCTGTTCTCTTTTGTCTGGCTCCCACTACCTTTTTTTTTCTAGAACACTACTGAATCTGATTCGGGTTTCGACAATCGATAGCCGCTAGCTTTAATCTGTTTTCTTTCAGCGTGCTCAGCGGAACAAAGAGGTAAACTAAACAGCAGGCGCTGGCATGGTAAAGGAGGAGGTCCCCTTATCGTGTCTATGTTGGACTGAAGAAGGCCACAGATCGGATAGACCTACTCGTGTCGGCGAGGACTCTTTCCCGGATAAAGGCTGTGCGAATAGCGCAAGTGGTTTCGATTTATCCCTATGGACTTTCATATTCGAGACAAGTGCGAGAACTGACACATCGCTTCTCGGATTTTCTGCTTTACAAACATAGATGTCATCGTCTCAGGCTAGACATAGCATTGGCTCAGCCAGTGGTTACGACCTTCAGAACACAGCGGCGGCCTTTGTTCGCGAGTATACTTCAGCCGTTCAGCTGCAACAACAACAACAGCGGCATCAGCATCAAATGCAACAGACGCAGACGCAATCTCAGCAATATGCAAAGTCCATGCAGGCATATCAGGCGCAACTTCAACATCAGCTACCCCCATTGATGCAACCGCCACCGTCACCGAACACCTTGTCCTACTACTATCACCAAGATCGTGGATGGCTTCGACTGGAACGATCAGGAAGCGTAGATGCATATCATCATGCGGAACTCCAGCGCGCTCGACTGGCTAGAGGCAGTTTCTCAGACCACCAATATCTGGATAGCATCCTGCAGTATCCATCTGGCGCAACTTCTTACGACGATACGCATTCGTTGATGCAACAGCCGCTTCAGGGTGCCCATTCAACATATTATAACAAAGATCTCTCACAAAGAGCGGACCGAATTATATACTCGGCCCAGCATCAGCATCAGCCCTTCCGAGTCCCGACAGGACAGACCTCAGTACACGAATACACACCTCATTCCGGCCATGTCCCTTCTCAACTAGAGTCACAACGATCGCATTTGCAATACCAACAGCACCAACAACCGCAACAACAACACCTGCACCCGCACCAACATCAGCAGCAATTTCGCCAAGCATCCGGGGCTTATTCTCATCATGTACAACAGTCTCAGCATCAACATTATTCGGGCATCTCTCCAGCATATCAACAACAGGCGCATCAACCCCAGGTTTTATCCCATGCCCATCAACCTGTACAGTACCAGGGATCTCGCGCTCAGCTGCAGCAGCAGCACCTCCAACAGCAGCAACAACAACAACAGCTCCAGCAGCTCTACTCTAGTCTCGGCCAGCAGCAACAGCCCGTTCAATTTCAATTACAATCCTCCCTTGAGCAGCAGCAGCAGCAGCATGCGCCCAAGCGTCTGGACGGCTATGATCAAGGTTCGATCAGTGGATATGCTCAAGTTGCGTCTCCAACGTCTCGTCTGCAGTATCCACCTCAGAGTCTCAACCAACAGCTCCAGCTGCAACAGCAACAGCAACAAGCGCAGGCGCAGGTTCAGCAGCAACAGCAGCAGTTGATCCAACTGCAGCAAATGATCTATGACCAACACAGGCAAGGACAGGAACAGCAGCAGCAGCAGCAACATCAACTAATGCTAGCAGCAGCAGCAGCAGTAGCGCAGCAGCAACTTCAGCAACAGCAACAACAAACTCAGCCCGTAACCAGCATTGGATCCGGTCCTCTTACGATCACTAAGGTGCAATTATCTCAAGCAAACCATTCGCAAATGGTAGCTCAAGTGCAACTTGCAGATGGCAAAAGTCAGCAACTCGTCATTGATGCTAGAGAAGAGGAGTGGAGAGGTAAGCAGCGGTATTCCTGGTTTTCTTGCTCGGCTTCCATTACTGCTCGCGACGATATCTAGATACTAAAGTTTCTTTCCTATTCTCGATCATAGATCATTTGCTATCGTACGCGCATATGCTATATGCTTCTGAAGCTGCCAATCCCACTCCAGCATCGCCTCTCATTGCGATCCTGGAGACCATTCACAACCTCCACAAGGCCCATCTCCCGACATTGCTGTTGCTCGCCTGTGTCTACTACACGCAGCGCAACTATAAGATGTCGCTGCACTATAACCACCTTATCCTCACTAAAGATCCAAACTATGTCGAGGCAATGAGTAACATCGGAACGACCCTGCGAAGCATGGGACGTCAGCCAGAAGCGGAATCATGGTGGTGGAAAGCAGTGCGGCTGAGACCCGGATACTGGGACGCAGTGGAGAACTTGATCGGAGTTCTGTGCTCTGGCTACGGCACCTCAGAGACTCAAACACAGACGTTGACCGAATCTTCTGAGACTGAACCATCTACTTCTGGTGTCGATCCGTCCAAGCCAAAGACCGAACGGCCCGTTGCAGTGACCCAACAGCCGCCACGGTACAAAGAGGCGCTCAAGATTTGCGAATTCGTGGAGGCCAACGTGTTACCAGATCCGTCGGACCCAACAGGGGAACAGCCAGCACCACTTCCCATTCAACATACGCCGAGACTTCAAAATCTGCTTTACGCCAAGGGCAACTTGAAATATGCTTTGGGCGACGTTGCCGGAGCACGTCGTGAGTACGAACGAAGTCTCGAGATCGTCTTTGGACCCGGTATCGGAGCGATGCAAGTTGTGAACGAGATTATATGCTTGACAAGGATGGCTGCAGGCTACGGCCGACCAACTGCTCGCGAACTCGAGGGAGCCATGTTACTTCTCCGGCCAGAGGAGGCTCTTCAAGTCACCCAAGTTGTTTTCCGAGAGACTGGCGGTGTCTTGCCGGGGCTGGCTATCTTGGCAGCCTCATGTACAGAAGCGAGCGCTACGAGTGCCCAAAGCGGAGTCAGCTCCACGCTGTGGCAGCAAGCGAACCAGACAACGAGCACCATCCTTTTGACGCTAGCAAAGCTCTATCAGGATGTCATGGATCAGCCAGCCAAGGCCAAGGAGCTGGCTGGTACTGACAACTACGTTCCAACCATGTCGATGCTCTTGCCACTATACTACCTGAGCTTGGCTTTGAACCCATCACCATCAACCTGTAACAATCTCGGGATCCTACTGAGCTCGATCCCACCAACTGCAAAGATTTTTTCATATCCTGCCGCACAGCCTATGCAGCTTCAGGTGCAGGCGAACGGTCTTGTCATCCCTACCCCTGCTGCACCCGCATACCCGATCACTGGACAGGCGTTAGCGCTGCAATTCTACAACTACGGTCTCCAACTCGACCCTCGCCATCCTCACCTCTACACGAACCTGGGATCGTTGCTGAAGGATATGGGGCAGCTGAATGAGGCGGTGGCGATGTATGAAAAGGCAGTCGAGTGCAACCCAAGATTTGACGTGGCACTAGCTAATCTCGGTAACGCGGTCAAGGATTTGGGCAAAGTACAGGAAAGTATCCAGTGGTACCTTCGTGCGGTTGAAATCAACCCCAACTTCTCCGAGGCTGTCTGTGGGTTGGTTAATGCCCTAGGAGGCGTTTGCGACTGGCGTGGACGTGGCGGTGTTGGCCCTGCCAGTGTCAATGCGGATGGCCGTCTGGTCGTTATCAAGATGTGTCTGACAGACAAGCAGTCATCTTCGGGCTGGATGGGTAGGGTCTCTGAGATTGTCGAGAAACAGCTGACAGAAGGAGCTGTCTGGGGCACCGGATTGGTCAGAATCTTCCGTCAGCATCTCTGGCAAGTGATCCTGCGCGCGTTCTTGAACTCTGACCTACACCATCCTGACGTTAGCTTGTGGCAAGCACGATTGGATGGCTGGGCGAACCGCACTGACATTAAGGACCGGAGGAATGAAGGAGGCTGGATCATCCGCTTGCTTGAGAGAGCGTCGAGACGGCTGCAGCGCCAGTGGTATCTGGAAAAGTATGAAGCCAGTCCAACAAGACCTAGACGACCAAGTAGCGAAACCAAGGAGCAGTATCAACGACCAATGCTTCCCCAAGGGATGGCGGCACCACCAGTACCCACTGTTCTGCCGTTCCACACCTTCACATACCCTCTGACAGCGCGTCAGATCCGGCTAATTTCTCACAGAAACGCCCTCCGCATCTCGCATGGAACACTGGCATCGCATTGGCTACCAAACACGGTCTACCCTCCTCCTGCGCCCCCGACGCCGCGGCTAAAGATTGGCTATGTCAGTAGCGACTTTAACAACCATCCGTTATCGCATTTGATGCAAAGCGTCTTTGGAATGCATGACAAGAGTCGATTCGAGGTCTTTTGTTACGCCACCACACCGGCAGATCAGACACCTTACCGCGTCAAAATTCAGAGCGAGGTAGAGCACTTTACTGAAGTCTCGACGTGGGGAACTCAGGCTATTGTTGAGAGGATCGTTACCGACGGCATCCATGTGTTGGTCAACCTGAATGGATATACCAAAGGGGCCAGGAACGAAGTGTTTGCAGCGCGGCCATGCCCTGTTCAGGTGTCGTTCATGGGATTCGCAGGAACACTGGGTGCTGGGTGGTGCGACTGGATTGTAGCAGATCCCATTGTATGCCCACCCGAGATGGTTACGGGGGTTGCATGGAAGAGAAAGCAGCGCTCTTTCATCATCGAGAACTCTAACAGCACCAACTGGGAGGCGGCAACCAATAGCCCGACTACAGCAGGGGGAGTAAAGCGATGCTTAAGTGCTGACACTGATGTTAAGATGGAGCAGGATATAGGAAAAGTGCAGGTCCCTGTTACTGCGGCGCTTTCCCGGCAAGAGTTTTCTGACTTTGAGGGCGATGTCGATCCCGAAGATGCCAGCGACGATTGGGTGTACACCGAGAAGTTCATCTACATGCCTCACAGCTACTTTGTCAATGACCATCGGCAAGGGTTCAGAGAAGAGGAGAAGGAGCAGGAGAAGCGACTGCTCATGGTGACTGAGCCCCATCTGGCTATGAACACAGAGTGGAGTTGGATTCTGGAGCAAGATCGGCGTTGGCAGATGCGCAAGGAACTCTTCCCAGGCTTGGCCGAGAATACTGTCATCTTTGCCAACTTTAATCAGCTCTACAAGGTAAGCAGACCTCGTGGATACATCTTGCCTAAAGCTGTACTTGTTTAGTCATGTTGTCTTCCAAACTAACATTCTTACTGTTCTTTCTATTGCTATAGATCGATCCTCAAATCTTCAAGGTTTGGCTTCAGATTCTGGCGAGAGTCCCCAATGCCATTCTCTGGTTACTTCGCTTCCCGGCCGCAGGAGAACCTCATTTGCTTCGTACGGCTAACGAATGGGCAGGACCCTCGGTTGCCTCTCGAGTTGTGTTTACAGATGTGGCTCCGAAGCAAGTTCACATCCATCGCGGGCGAATCGCGGATTTATTCTTGGACACGCCCGAATGTAACGCTCACACAACAGCTGCTGATATTTTGTGGAGCGGCACTCCCATCCTTACATTCCCCAAATATGGCCACAAGATGTGCTCTCGAGTCGGTGCCAGCATCGCCTATGCAACAGGACACGGCAATGAGATGGTCGTTAACACTGAGGAGGAGTATGAAGAGCGTGCGGTTGCATTCGCTCAGGGCTGTCGATGGGAGTATGTTGAAGACAGCATTCTGAAGCACAGGTTGGGTCTGGCCAACCCCATGCTGGGTGCTGGATCAAGCAGTGTCGCGGGCAATAACATATTGAACGGGCACTCGCAGGCTATGCAGGCTGTCTCTGGCAGTGTTATGGCCCAACCTATGTATAGTGCAGCGACTCCACAACAGTCGATGGCGCATGCTCACCAGCAGGCTTACCTCAACGGACAGGTGCCACCACAGCAGACTCAACTGCAACCCCAGATACAACCTATGGTTCCGTCTCAGCAATCGATAGTACACTGGATCGGACATGGGCCACTCATGGAATTGCGCAGAAAATTATGGGAGAACAGAGATCGGTCGCTTCTTTTCGACACGTTGCGTTGGACGCGAAATCTGGAGAAGGGCCTGAGCGAGGCATGGAGGCGATGGGAGAGTGGACAGGATTTTGATGAGCTGTTGGAGAGCTCTGCAATGGGTGGCGATCTTAACGGGCGTCGACCCAGTACTCACCGACGTCACCATGAACACTACGGAAACATAGTTGTTCAGCACGACAGTATGATGGAGACAAAGTTGGCAAACGGACGTGCTCAGCTTCAGAGTAACGATAGTAGCAATGGTGAGGCTATTGGGAGCGACGGCATTCTTGTCAGCAAGATCGGGGCCAGTGAAGGCGTAGCTGCGACGATAGGGCTTATGGGTTCAGGATCATCAGGACAAGGGTTCCAAGCCGCCACCGATATGATCGATAGCTCCGGACACAGTATTGGCTCGTCTGTCTCAGCCTACACTCTTCCGTCGGTCCATCCTCTTTCTAATGCACCACTGGCTGTGACTTCAAGTATGCTTTCGCCGGTGGACTCGGTGGCTTTATCAACGATGACTCCAAAGAAGCATGCGATCCACATTGCTGACTACAAGTCCAGTTCGAATGGCAGCGCAGGGACGTTTGGAGGATACGGCATCCCGGAGGGACAGATCGACCCAGGCCAGCATGGCGGGCCGAGACGGGCTAGTGGTAGTGGTGGTGGGATCGTTTTGAGGTCTAAGCTCGAGCGATTGGACCAACAGATCCGGTACCCCGATCTTGGTTGCATATATGTTCGCGATTAACTGGAATTGCAGCTGGCAAGGAATATAGTGTACAGCAAAGGAGATGGAAACGACATATGCAATTCCTGAGGGTACTGGAATCCACATCCCACCGCAAAAGAAAAGAAAAGAAAAAAAAAAGAAAAGAAACGAACGAAAAACAGCACGACAATAGAGCATTAGGTGTAGACGTGTGCTTGTGGTTACAATGCGTGTTTCTTTGTTGTTGTTTTTATTATTTTATTTTTTTTCATGGTTGATTGTGAACTGAAGTTATTGGGGAAAACGATGAAGACGACGAAGCTACCGCAAATGGCGACGATGATTTGACATAGCATCTTCTGGACAGCCCTCCCTGTAGCCTGGACAACCTTGGCCCTGCATTTCATCCGAAGGACGTTGTCATCGAGGCCAGACTGCGTTCGTTTAAATAAGGTACTGAGCTTCAACTGCGACTGTAACTGCTACAAGGCGAAGACATAGTAAGCGATTCTAGGCAGAAACGATGGCACCGTGGTGAGGAAGGGAGCCGAACAATGATGCCAGGGGTCTCCAATGTTACGATATCCAGAACAATGTAAGTGTGTAGCGGCGGTGTTTGTGATGCTGGAGGAGCGGAGCGACGAGTGAAATAAACAAAACAAAAACAACATTTAGGGGTAGCAATGGCGGTAATAATGATGCCATTGCATCCAAATTTGGTCGCGCGGCTGTGCGATGGTGCAGAATGTTTGCGGACATGGACTATCAATGGCCTTAAAAAATAAACCCAAGCGAAGAGCTCCACCTTCCCCCTCCCCTCTCTCCCTCCCCAAAAATGGACCCGCTAGCAATGGTGCTACTGATAGACAACAAACAGATCGCACCCACACGAACACGGCGCATTGGGACGGCGCGAAAACATAAATATTAAAAAGTACGGTACATTAAATAACTAAGTAAAAAACTCTTATTTAATGGCCAAGAAGAGGACGACTAGAAAAAAAACATCCTGATCATTATTTGATTCCTACATCTCACGCTCTGGATCGAGCCCGTGTTAACTTCCCGATCGTGTCTGAAGTTCCAATGCCGTATCTATGACATTCAGTGGCGTATTGTCAATCCTCACTCGTTCTCTGCTGCTACCAATTAACCCTTGCTGTTGAACAGCGTCCTCTTCTCTTTTCTTTTCTTTGGCTGGCGCAAAGGTTCACTCCTCCTCATGAACATATCCCTCTGAACACAGACCCATGAGTCCCAATCAAAGGACTAGAGTTGTAGCACTGTAGAAGGCCCCTTTGATCCAGCCTGGCCATTGCTGGCCTCGATTTTACAGTGTCCGCATGAGACTGATAAATTTACCGCAGCCATTAATGAAGTTTTCGACACTATAACACTGCACTGCTGCTGCTCAGGGGACATTGTTCCTAACCTTCTTTTTCTTTCAAATGCACCTTCCCACTCATTCTGCAGAAGGTCTTTCAAGCACTTGCATCTCACGTTTCGCCACAACAGCTCCATACTCTGCTGCCCTGCTTTTCTTTTCACCGAAACCCCGTCTACTACTATGGCAACCACATCCTTGGCCACTGTAAGTGAGAACTTCTCTCTTCTCTCCCTTTCCTCATCCTCTCTTGTCCCATCTGCCCACTTGTCCTCCTCCACACTCGTCGATTACGACGAAGTCATTGATCTGGCGTTCTATGCCAACCGTCTTACTATTCAAAGCAACATAACCCTGGAAGATGAAGAAGGTGCCATGTTCTGGACCGAGGACGAAGACGACGACTTGGTTGACTTTGAGGAGGAGGATGAATTTATGGAGTTCAGGGACGACGAGGATGAGCTGGATGAGGATCTGGAACAGTTTGCGATGGAATTGGATGAGGAGATCAAGAGGTCCTACGAGGAGGAACTCGAGGAGGCCTACAAGCAGGACGGCCTGAAGGGCATCTGAGCCGACGACGACGGCGACGATGATGATGACAATGATCTTCCTGATTATGAGGATAGCGACGACGACGACCTTTGAGCAACTATTTATCGTCCCCGGCCGATGTGCCTTGTACATATTATAACACGAATAAAATCAATATTTGCATCTTTACAAGGTCAGGATGGGAACAATAGCAAGAAGGTGTCTCTTTTCCGACGCGCCAATTTTTTAGCCATCCGAAACGCCCTCGTTTACCTCGCCTCTGGCCTACCTGTGCCACCATTTCCAAGATCCCTAGTAAGATTGCTACTGATATTCGGCCCTTGACTTTTATGCTACACGGCCGAGTCCTTCCAAGGTTATGGGAGTACTTAAAAGGTATTATAGGTGACACGATGTTCATGCGCCGCTATGCGGTAAGGAATTGAGAGAGCGAATCTCAGGGTACCGACGACGACGACATCAAGTTGAGAGGAAATAGACGAGGAACTCGAGGAAGGCTTGAGAGAAGTACTCGACAGAACCGGACAAGGAAATCCGAGAGGGGCTCTGACGGCCAGCTCATGGAGGATGACCTGAACGACGGTCAGGAGGAGGTAATGGTTTATCAGTAACGGCGACGACGGAGACAAGGATTTTTATGATGCTGAAAGAATCAAGTCGATATCTATAAGTAAATCAGTGTTGAGTATTCAATTAATATATAAAATACAAGGCGACGGTGCTTGCATTCCATCTTAACGTTCGTTTCTTTTGGACGCGCTGAAGAGAGGTGGTCTGTGCTCTCCAGTTGTTGGACAGGCATAACCGCCCCGAGAAAAAAAAAAAAAAAAAGCGAGTTGCCGTCATTGTGACTTCGAACACCTTCTCCATGTATTGCACAATATCAAGTTTAAAGAGGCTATCGCTCTGTGTCAATCAGTCCTCGCATCTTGTTCTTTACATTTTTTTTTTGGCTTTAATGTTTCCTGGGCAAAATTTCTATGGGTCCATGACCATTCCGTTTTAGCGCCTAATTAACTCTTTTCTCTATGATGTCCATCCCTTCCTCACCGGTACCTGATTATGTCCTACGACGCTTGGGCGTTGTCGTGGAAGGGGAGCCGGCGGGCAATGAGGTTAATGGTGCAGTGGTCGGCCACATCTGTGGGAAGGCCTCCAATGCAGCCTTGAACCCCTTGAGATTCGAGCACTGAGACTTCATGTTCGCAGCCTTGCGCGTGTCTAGCTCGTTGGCAAAGTACATCGCTCGTGCGTACCGGAAGCACAGCTCATCTCTGAAAGCTGTATACAACTCTCCGTTCAGTTTGCGCTATCGTTTTGAATCAAAGAAATAAAATGACAGGGAACTTAGTGAAAAAATGCGCAAAGTGGGAAAAAGGACAGGGCGAAGTAGAGGAAGGGCAGTATAAAGACTTACACCACCAGAACGCTTGGATTCAAGATAGGCATGCGATTGATGGATCAAAAAGTCTTTTGGCAAAACATAATAGTCGATACCAGAGATGTAGATCTCATACAAGCAGGCCTGAAAGTTCATAAAAAAAAAGTAGACAGCATGGCATTAGCTTCCTTGGAAGAGAAAAAAATAATATCGTCAACATACGATCAATCATAAAAATGAAACTTACCGCCTTGTTTGCACCATAGCCAACGAACCGCTCATCACAATAGGGAGTTCCCTCCTTCTTCAGGATCACATATGGCTCGTACTTGTAGTTGAATTCTGTGACCCGGTAAATTTCATCGGTCTTGAACCACTTTGGATAATCCGTCGCTCCATGTCCAGGAACGAACTTTGCAGAATGGAACGCCATCAAGTTCTTGTCGGCCACCAACTTTTCGACCGCTTGTTTTTCGACCGGGAACGTGGCCGAGTCGACACCGTCTTCCTCGTGCGTGAACTCGAAAGCTGGCAAGATCAAAGCAGAACCCTCGCGCAGCAGTTGCCTCGCATAGGGATTCTCCTGCAAGTGCTTTCTCAGATTCGTGCAGATATGGAAGTCGACGTCCAGCAACATAAAGTAATCTGTCCGTGCGAACAATCGAGCGACATTACGCCACATGTTGAGCTGGAAATCAAATCGGTCGACCACCACATGGACATCCACATATTGCTTCAGTAGTGGTTCGGATCCGTAGAGGTCGTGAAGTGCCTGGAAATGCTGGTCCTTGAACTCATCATCGCGGATCCAGATGCTGACAGAAATTGGGCCGCGGTAGTTGCGCACCAGCTTTGTGAATACTTCGAATCTACATTGCAATGAAGAAGTAAGGTAGTGGATGTAAGAAATGGAGTCGGATAGCGGCTGCCCCTGTTGTCTGCTGTGTGGCATGTTCATGACGACATTCTGTACATAACGACAGGTACGGAAGCACGGTTCCTTTTCTCTCTTTTTTTTTTAGTCTCCCTGCAGCAGGTTCCCGTGAAATTGGAAGCCTTAGTGGAAATTAAAAAAGAAAATTGAGCTGCTCTAAAACTTCCCGCTGCCTTGCGACTTTAACCTTGATTGTTCATGTCGACAGTGGTCGCCGCCCCAATGATGTATGTGCCCATCCTCTACCCTTTGATCCATTCTCTTAAACGAGAAGCCATAGACTCGATTAATTCTGCTGTGTGTCGCCACCTTTTGTGCGCAATGGTTTTTTTTTTTTTTTTTTTTTCATGTCTGCGCTCCGAATGTGTATCCCGCCCGTGAAGTGTTCGCTGCAAAGAACAGAGCCTATTATTACCTGTTCTCAGTGATCAGAGTGGTGATGGTGACCTCCTCCTTGTCAAAGACGCCCTCTGCCCGAAAATAGTACGGGATCACCTTCGAAGGCTGCATGGCTGTGCTGTACACTTTGGACAGATAGAAATCCTCGTCGACCAGATGCTGATTGCTGGTATTCTGTTGTAAACCTGTGACATCAATGCGGAACAGGGCAGATTAGCAAATAGACTAAATGAAAAAAATAAAACCACTTGCTCGGTGTTTTAGTTAAATTGGTACAGAAGGAAATTGATTACCTTGACGATTGACGGGCTGGATAGCCATTTTTTGCTTGCTGTAGTGAATACTTTCGGTCTCAAAGGTTGGGTACTGGGCATCGATCCAGGACAGTGAGCCGGCACTGACACCTGCAGCTCCAGCACCCCGTTGAATCAGGCCAGCTGCATTCTTGCGGAGGTCCTCCGAGCTCAGGTCCGGGAACAACAACGACCCCGTCGTATAGAAGAAGGCGAAGGCTAGGAATCCCAGCACCAGGTACCGGAACAGGCAGGTGCACAGGTTACCTGAGACTGCTACTGCCATATGTGAAGAGGGGGCAACGAACTAAGGGAGGGTGTAATATGTGTGTATCAGAAGCAATTAGGAGAGAGGGGTGTGTGAGACGGAAGAGAGGTGTTCGATGTGGAGAATAGAATCGAAAGAGTAGTAAGAGGTATAGATAGACAGGGATATAAATAAGTTGTTATGTGTTTATGATGAATGAGGATGCAGTAGATGGACAGTGCCGGAGGATAGACATTAGCGGCGATCAAGGATGAAGAAAGAATGATGAAGTTACAAGGTGATGATAAGTAGGACAGGGGAGCTGTACTGCCTAAAAATAGAACCAAATGTACAGTACAAGCTCTGTACGTTGGTAAAGATTTTTTTTTTATCGAAGATTTGAGCGGACGCTCAAAAGGCATGGTGGTGGGTGGTCAAAAGATGCTCTGTTAAAAGGAAGGCCACCATGTACGGTGCATGGTGCATGGTGCATGATGCATAGTGCATGGCAGTTCATGATACAAGGCTCCAAAGGAGTCGTTATAGCATTTTGTATGCCAATAGATTCCCTGTTGCAATCCCATCATCTTTATTTTCAATTAAACCTCGTTTTCTTGTCGCTCTCACTTCGGTTTCTTAAAGCACATGAACTGTACTGCAGTAGCCTGCCTCGCGTCCGCCAACACCTTCCTCAGTGCCGCCATCTCATTCTGCAGATTCTCGCCCTCAACGGATTGGTAGGCCCGGTCAATCGTCACATAGATAATCTGCAGGATCTCGTCTGATGACGGAGTCTGATATTGTGCCAGCGTATGGTTCATAAACTCCATCTCCACAGTTGCGTGCAGCATGCCACCCATACCGAACCGCTCCACCTGCTGGAAGCATCGCAGACAGTCTTGAGCCATGTTGAGCAACAGCGCAGACAGCGCCCGTGAGACTAGTGGCGGTGCAATCTCGCTGATCTGTGCGTGAACGATCACCAGTGAAAGCAGCGCCTCATTTATATACGAATGGACCCCTAGGAGATACACAAGACCAATAAGTCGGGTTAGTGTGCCAAAGGCTTACATTTTTTTTTTTAAAAAAAAAAAGCTGTGCTCGAACATCGAAATACCAACTCACCAATGGGCTTGGGGACAGTATGCCAGTCAATCCCGCCGTACAAGATGCCATCTGTGATAACTCGACTTGCCACTACAGATTTGCGCTTGATATAATCATCGAATAGAATGCTATCCAATTGGTCCACGACCTCGATCAATGTCTACCACAGCAACACAAAGAGAGGATAGATGGTTGATGTTAGAGAGTTCCGTGCAACGAGTTCCGCACGTCTCTACCACCATAGCAACGACAAAAAAAATTGCGTTATCACATTTACCTTTCCATCCTCAGCCAGGTTGATACCGCATATTTTCTCAAAATCAGACCGAAGTTTTGGGATCGTCACAGATCTGAGCTCACTCAAGTTGCTGATCGTAATGAGGATCCTGGAGTCCAGCTCAGTAATATCAATCACTTTAGATTTTTTGATACCATGAAGACTGTCCAATGACCCAACGCCGACGCCGGTCTCCTGCTGACCGTCGTTCGGATGTTCTGCCTCTGCAAAGGCCAAGTGCACAAGTCCATCGAGAAATGAGTACAAAGCGTCCAAAAATGTTTGCCGGATCTTCTCAATGTACTGCACTGGAACCACCGCTGAGACATCATCGTTTGGGACGGAATCTTCGGTAGTTGCAGTCCAGATACTGGCGTACTTGTATGCCGATCGGAGACAGTACTCGTGGAACTGGTAAAAGAGACTCACAAAAAGCGTAATCTGAGAGTTCTCCGTCTGTAGAGTCCAGTCCTCGTGCTTGTAGAACACCTTGGCATCTAGCAGGTGATCGGTATACATATATTAGTATATATACCAGAATTCAAATGCATATGCTGTGCTGTTAAAGTTCCTCCAACTCTCACCTTCACCCCAGAGCTCGCAGACGACCTCCACAAACTTCCATCGAACGCGCTGCATCATATCTGCCAGAACCATAAAAGCACCGCCGCGAAGACTCAGGCCATTCACATCATTCACACAGTTGCTAACCTCCGTCACAATCTTTCCCAAAAAGAACGCTGTCACCACCGAGTTCTCTCTCCGCGAGATCTCTGGCTGGTCCTGGTTATGCTGCTCCTGGTTCGATTCATTTTGAAGACGCGATGGCTCCGGCATCAGGTTGTTGATCAACATAAAAGACATCTGTGAAGAGTAGAGCTCAAGGATATCCTTGACCATTCCATGGCATTGCGCAACTCTTTGCGGATCCACGACATTGACACCCGTACGTCGCTTTTGGGGTTGGACCTTCTGGATTTTACCCTCCATGTACGTCGTCGCTAACTTCCAGAAATCAGGCAGCAGTCGCAGCAAAAGTTCCGAAAGAGTCTTAACGCCGGTTGAAATCGCTAGCCATACCTTGACTTCTGGCTCTTTGGCTAATTTAAAGGCGTTGACAGCAAGATTTATCCAAAAGCATACAAATATGAGACGCAGAATACAAATATACAGCCAGAATCAATTTTGTCCACATAGAGGAAAATCCTTACCAAACATAGTTTCGAATTCGCTAGAGTTCACCGCACCCAGGATTTGCTTATACAGCGTATTGCGGCCACTTGCAGTCATATCCTGGCTGTGCAGATATTCTTCTTTTTTGCGCATCTCTATAACATTGTCGATAAAAAAAATAAAAAAAAATAAAAAAAAGCGAAGAAAAAGAGGATTTAGTCATTTGGTATATGAACGAAGGATTTGCAGCAACGACAGTTTCGTGCAGCTACTGACCTTCAACAAGGATAATCTGCTCGTCGTACGATTCCGCCATAATCTTTTTAATCCATCGGTATTGACTTGACAGACAGTGCCACACAGGATCTGTTGTGGTATCCAGTTCGAATAATAGCCTAGAAGTTCCAAAAGGTTAATCTCGTTAACAGCACGCCCATCACAGGGCACCAAATGCTCCGAAAAGGGACATGTACATGAAATACTCGCCTGATATTCCGTTCATGTTCCTCCATTCCTCTCCAGGGTTCTTCCAGTTGTGACTCCAAGTCGGCTCTCAGTCGTGCGACAATTCTCTCAACTTCTGACCAGACTCTATCAAACACCTTGCGCTTGGTCTCGATCAAGTTGGACGACGAATGTGAATGTGTTGAAGCATTATCGCTACTCAGGGCTGAGGCATTGCTGGGGAAGGCCTGTGCCAACAGCACCTTGCCCTTATTGTAGTCGCGAGCGACCTGTTGGTATTTGCCCTGTTTGATACTCTCCTGTAAAGTGTTGGGGAGGTTGAAAAACAGCCGGTAGGGCTCCAACAGTCCCACTGTCGATCGCAGCTTTTCAATCTTTTCGCGACGCTCTAAAACAGGATTGATGACATCATGCGCCTTTCCGTATGATTCTACACAAGATAGGTACAGGGCCATAAGCTCAGAGCGTTAGCTAACACCAGATCCTCAGCCGTGATGTACAGGCCAGCATAAGTAATACAGATATTATCCCCTTACCTCGAAGGATGTTATTCAGTCGGTGCGTGCCCCAATCCTGGGCCTCATTCAGCGTCTTTTCCTTCATATCATCATAGACAGCTTTAAAATAGCAAGTACGAATATTAAAGTGAGCATAGGGTTCCTTCGAAGAGCAATTGCGTTTTGCAACGAGGGGGCAGCGCGCCGAGCGTAACCTACAATCGATGACATTTTTGGCACTCACGAAGCGGTCAAAATTATTTTGGACCAAGACCTTCAGACCCGATGATCGCTGGTCAATTGATGCTTTTAGGCGATCTACTCCTACACAAAGATCATCGTACGAGGTATCGGCATGCACCGCATGTAGGTACCGCTGTGGACTGAAGCTCTTTTGCGTCGAAGAGATCAAATTGGCTAAAAGCATAAGGACGGTTGGATCAGTTCATGGTGTTAATGTAGACTAAACAGAAAGAGGTACGTCCTTATGATACCGTGCATTGGCTATGAAACCTACTGTCTCCCCGGACGTTCTTCGACTTCAGAATGTTACCCTTGACCAGTCCCAAAAGATCAACTTGTTCAGAAAGAGTAAATGTCTCATCATCCATAGACTGGCTTCGTTTCTCGCGTGGAGTAAGTCGTCCACCATGGTCCGTGTTGATATCATCGTCGTGAACCCAGGAAGGCAAGTCTTCCTCGTCGACCCAGATGTCCGGGTTGAGTTTGTCCAGATGATAGTGGCGGAGAACTATGAGCGGTTGTTATCAAAATGAGGGCGTCCGGTCACATTAGTTCGGCTGCTTTCACAATGAAGAACTGTCGTTATTTGGTCCTAACAATTGTTTGAGGTGCCTGGACATAAACGTTACGTTCAATCTCCTGAATGTCCTTGATGGTCGATCCCATCCTGTCTGAACGGGCGCTTTATATCCTCTTATTAGTATAGGTATAGGTATATAGGTAGTGTTGTCGAGAGGAGGAGAGTCCCACTGAGACCGTGCGCCGATGGGTCTGATGGAAGGAGCGGGGTTGATGGTTTGCCAAGGAGCAGCTTGTCCTGCATCAGACCTCATCGTTTTTGGCGGCACAAGTAACGTGATTTAAATAAGGTTTTTATCCTTTTTCGCGTTTAGTCTCTAAGTTTCTAGGGATGGGGTAGATTCGAAGATGCAGGGGGGAGAGGGCTATTTAGTCGACAGTAAGGAATATGATATGCAGGAAGATGATGCATAACGCGATTGGAGTAAAAAAAAATACGTTCAAATGGTTTCTCTCTTGTCTCTATTCTCATACTGTGAGAAGACATCTCACTCATCCGCGTAATCCTCGCCGTTCTCGTCATCCAGCTCTTCCTCGTCCTCTTCCTCGTCCTCTTCCTCTCCCTTCATCCTCACGTTGAAGTCAGTCAAATCGTCCACGCTCTCATAACTCAGCTCAACATTCGGCGTAAACTGATTCCTGTCAATCATGTTGCTTGAATTTCTGGCGAGGGATGATTGGTATGTGCCTTGAGCATATTGTGGACCGGCACTGCCACAACTACTATCGCCACCGCCAGCACCGCCAGCACTAGCGCCTCCACTGTTCGGGGTCGGGTTTCGCATCCTCTTTCTAGACAGATCCAGCAAATGAACGGTCTTTTCGTGGGTGCGAAGATTGTGGAGCTGCGTGTACGCCTTCTGACATCCTGGTTGTGAGCATTTAAACGGCTTGAATTTGTACTCCTTGTGCGACGCCCGAATATGCAATGCTAGACTTTTTCGTTGCGGGAATGCCTTTGTGCATCCAGAGATGATACACAAAAACGGTTTGGGTTTCTGTACAGGCGTATGACCAGTACGCTCATGAGATTTCAAGTTGTGGAGCTGTGTATATGCCTTGTTGCATCCTGGGAATGAGCACTCAAAGACTCTGGCAGCAATGGCTTTGCGAGGGTGTCCTCCTGGTCGAGGTTTCGACATTGAATCTTCTGCATCTGACCTTGTCCCTCCTGTTCCTATGACAGTTGTACCGATGTTGGACGTACTGGGACTCGCTGCAGTGATAGATGATGTCGAGTCGGAAAGAGAAATGTTGGCAGCCCCCAAGGAAAAAGATAGCGACGAGACGATGCCACTAGATGCAACCGATGAAGAAGAGTTGACAGAGCTAGTCCGTGTCCGATGGTGTTTTGGCGCCGCGTTCTGACTACCGGCAGATTGTGTCCTCTGAAAAGGCGGTCTGTTTGCACTGGCGGATGAGCGTGATTTTGAAAGAGGTGCTGAGGGAGCAGGCATGTAGGATGCAACAGCTCCGTAATTGGGATGTGACATAATGGCTGGAGGGCCGAGACCCATGGGGACAGGGTCCAGCGAGGTTGACATGGCCTTGTTTCCGGCTGCAGGGTTCAGTAACATGGGCTGGAATTGCTGTCCTTGTGAATCCGAATGCATTAGGTGAGAGGACGGTAAAAGTGGCAACCCGTCCATAGAAGCCATTCCCGCTTGGTGCGCTGCCAGTGAAGAAGGCTGTCCATGTGGATTACTATGGTCATCGGGATAGTCCACCAGGTTCCGTGTAAGAGGGTTATGTCTCGCAGGCGGGACACGCTATTTGAATCAATAAAAACGAAGAGAAGCGCACGTTAATTGGCGGCACGACCAGAGTATTACGCATGTCCCTACAGTCATCCCTGAGACGTACAGATCTTTCATGCCCTGGGACACTATGGCCGCTCATGTAGCCAGCCCCTGCGGGGTAGGGGTCATGCAGCGGATGGCCCACATTGTCCGCCGCTCCAAAGGACCGCGTTTGCTTGTGCTGCTGTCGATCAGGTTGATCTAGACGATTGTTGAGAAGTACATTATAAAAAAAAAGAAAAAAAATGAGCAAGTCGATACCGCCATGACCCAGACTGCCGGAAATGAAGGAGAACAAAGTTGCGACCCCGAGAAGGTTTGCACAGGCACCAGAGTGTAAACCATAACTTTCTTTTTCATTCATTCATTCAGTTCCTCCTTTTCAAAGTCTGCAGACTTTTTCCGAAAAAGAAAGATAAGAACAAGAACAAGGAGCGATGGATTACTGAAAACGCACGCGGCAGGATACACGCCAGAGAGACCCCCCTGCCATCGGCATGAATACATGCGCATGAATGCATGGGGTCAATCACACTTCTCGTTCTCTTCAGTACTCTAACTTCCTTTTTCTCCCATTGCTCATCTCGGCAGAGAGAATAAGGTGTCAAACAGAAGGGGGAGAGAGGAGAGCAGAGGGGAGCAGGGGGCATAATGAGGGGAAAAATAAAATAAAAAGCAAACAAAAACGCGTGGTCCATACACGCTGTTCGCATTCAGCTCTGGCGTGGGTTTCATGCCAAAGAAACTGTAGGCGTATGTGCTGCTGCTGCTGCTGCATCTTGGGGCCGCTCAAGGTCCAATAGCAAGTCCCACGATTCCCTACCCAACCAATTCCCCTCCGTCTACGGGTTTTACACGGATCGCGTGCCAAGCGGCTGAGATAAGGAAAACGAATAGCTGCCACAAGATTGAGACACCGATCGCTCCCTAACCTTACCTACCCGCATTCTTCCCAGTCAATTAAACGTATGAACAACGTGCAGGCCAGGGCCCTCTGCGCACTCCCGTTAACAGAGCTGAGCAACGAAAAAGAAAAAAAGACAAGAGAAGCCAAGCCGAGAGCACTCCGTAGCCGTGGGACTATTTTCCGGGGATGGACCTCTGCCCTTGGGCTGGAAATCATCTCCATCTTCGACGTCTCCCTTTTTGTGCGCCAACAGAATTATGCACTGTACCACCAAGGCGTAATTAAAAATGAGTTCAAGCAACAAGGCTCATTAAGGATCCACTATTGGGACGCATAAACGCACATACGCCAGGCCACGTCTTAAATGAAGCACAAACACACCATCCATACACACGCGGCCCACATATAAATACACGCGCACACACATGTCTGCCCATATCCATACACAAACAAGTGAGCCAGGAAGCACAGGAGAGCAGCTTTTGAACGACTTTAAAAGCGACCATTATAAATTGCACTTACCCAGGAACTCCTGTGGAGAATGAAATGAATCCGACGGAATGTTGTCCACCCATATCGGAGTGTGATGCGATTGTTGTTGATGCTGATCCTGGCCCTGCGGACTAAAAGTCAAAAAATAAGGAAGCAATGCCAATTCCACATGTTATAACACATGAAAACAAGCGCCAGAAGAATTTCGCCATGAAGAACCCATATCCCTGGAGAGCACGTTGCTTACCTATACAAATGTGCAGGCGGCTGAGATGGAGACTGATAGTATGGTGACCGATCACCTCCTTTAAGCGAACCCAAATGAGAAAGGTCACGCGCAGACTGCGGATATGGCGGCTGGTGTGAATGAGAATGCGATGGAGGAGATACAAGATGACTCTGCGGCTGTTGATGTTGCCTGGGCTGCATATCCTGCTCACTCGGTGATGCTACAGCAGCAAAGTAGTGGGAGTTTGAGTGAGATTGGAAGAAGAAAACAGGGTAAATTTGTTGAAATTAGAAGCGTTAATAATAGACCTTTGTAGTTGTCAGGTCCAGAGTCATGCCTAGTACGCCTGCGCAAGCTCATCTTTATCATAGCCCAGACATCAAAAAAGAGTAATGGACTCTGACGCGTATCCTTACCATTGGCAGTTGTCCATGTAGGCATAGCCAGCGGCAAACCGGCGCTGAAATGATGGGCAGATGTCGGCGACGCAAGGTGTGATCCATTGGTGGGCGTGGTTGGAGTAGTGGGGACAGGGAATGGCACTGTGGGTGATGCATTCTTGTGAACGTGTGACAAAGCCGCATTGTTGCCGATGTAGGGATAGTCGTTGTTCTGATAGGGCAGCGCTGGGGCTGGAGATGACAACGAAGGCGTGGATGCAGTAGATCCGGAGGCCAGAGTGGAGGCAGCTGTCGAGGCAGGCGTTGTAGGATCAGAGTACTGGTCAGGATATTGCTTGCTTTGCTGTTGCTGCTGGTAATAATATGGCGAGGGCTGATGCTGATGCTGGTGCTGTTGCTGCTGGTGCGAGTGGTGGTGCTGTGGGTAGGAGTGATGTTGATGATGGTGTGGGGACTGAAGGCTATTTGCGTGACTATTCAGGTGCCGATTCATGAGCGGGTTGATCAATTCATGATCCTGCGACTGGGAAGTGGGCTGGTACATGTCTACTGGGTGAGGGATTGCCTTTGGCAGATCGGCAGGCGATCCATGGTAGCTGCTGTTTGCACTTTGCTGAGAAGAATGTAGATGATGCTGGGCATTAAATTGTTGTTGATGCTGCTGTACTGTCGGCGACAACAGCTCCTGCTGGAAGTCGTGGTGCGCGTGCGGAGCCGGGGCATGGTGGTAGGAGAGTGAGCTGCCGGGGTGTGGAGAGGGATGGGGATGGCCGTTGCTGTTACCGCCGCCACTGGCTTGACCAGTGTTGTTGCTGTTGCTGTTGCTGTTGGGCCCGTTGCCCTGGAAATGAAAGGGGTAGAGCGAATCCTGGTCCTGAGCGTGATCCATGGCGTTATGTGGACTAGGCTATTGTGGAGAGGTTGGTGAGCGTGAGGTTGCTGGAGGTGATTCCGTTACATGTACTGCCAGTGAGAGCCACGTTTGCATTTGCAGAGACACTGCTGCCGAAAGAAAGCGGAGGAAGAGACGAATGCGAAAGCGAAGGCGGAGAGGGAAGAGCGGTAGAGAGGATGATGACGGGTAGAGCGACACCTGGACCTGGATCTGCGTATTAAGGAAAAGGGATCAAGGGCATTTGGAGGAAAGATTTTTAATAAGATTAATTTTTCAATTGAATTGAACTGAGTAGGGTTGAATAAATCGAATTGAATAAAAAGTATCAGAATATATTTGTATACAGAGAGAGCACTTGAGTGAAGCGGATTGGGGTAGGGTGTGGGATGAGGAGGAGGAGAGGGGGAAGATCGATTGTCGGGAATCAGATCAAGCGGTTGAAGAGCAATGAGGACAGGAGCCAACAGCCACCCTTCACGAGCAGAAAAGACAAGCGTGGTTGAGGAGAGGGGAAGGAGGAAGAGAAAGAAAAAGAATGAAAGAGAGAGAAGAGGAGGAGGAGGAGGAAGAACAAGTTGAAGAAAAGGGTTCTTGTCGATAATGTTATTGTTGTCATGCTGTTATGTTACTATTTACGTCTTTACTGTAATGCAATACAATCGAGTTGCAAGCAAAAGCAGACATATTCGTATTCGTATTCATATTCATCTTCATGCCCATGTCCATGTTCATGTCCATGTTTATGTACCCGCCCAACGGCATTCAAACTACATCGACAATTTGACAATTGACATGGATTCTGCTGATACACAGGACGGTCTGTCTGCCTGTTCGGCTGTCCGCCCGCTGTCTGTCATATACACAGATAGACAGACAAACCAGACCAGACAAAGGGCCGGAAGTGGAGCCAGCAGATGAGCAAAGAAACCAGAAACAGAGCAAAAGGGAAGAAGGGAAGAAGGGAAATACGACAATCCATATACATTTTCCCCATACAACCAGCAACAGTACATTATCAGTATCACCAAAACATATTGCATGTAGCATACTAGCTTCGATTTACTGCAGTGCATGCACATACACATATACAATACGCTGGTTAATGAAGAGTGTCGCCTTAATGATGGGGCGCCTGACAACGACAATAGGATCGGTAGTAGGAGTAGTAATCAGGACAAGGCAGAGTAAAAAAGGACCGCACAGGCACAGGCACAAGTACAGACACAGGCGCAAGCACAGGTACAAGGACAGGCACAGATGCAGGTACGAGTACAGGTGGGGATGCCTGAGGGTTTACAAGGTTGATTGGTTAAATGGAGAGGAAAGTAAAAGTGACCGGCCGACAGTGGCGGAAGAACGAACGAAGGTGGAGCGGACGGAGGAAAGAGGGGAGGAAAGAACGAGTAGAGCAGTGGACACACCAGGACAAGAGGCCAAAAAGAGCAGAAGAAAAAGGGAGGAAAAAAAGGAAAAGGGACGAAGATGTGGAGGGTAAAAAGTGAGGGAAAAAAGCTTTTTTTTTTTGTGGTAAGATATCTACAGTAGAACACTCTGCCATTGCGTCTGTTCAGTGTATCCTATCTACTTCCCATTTTACGCTCCATCTTGCTCTTTTGAGTAGGCCCTACCAGATGCCAGTCCATGATGCATCCAATGCGGAGCAAAATGGTCGCTACAATGCTCGACAAGCTTGACAATCTGCTACTCGTACATGGTGTGCAGGACGATGATAATAAGCTTTCTCCAGGCCAACAAGGCTCACTCACTGTATGCTCGATGGCGGCGCTAAAGCTCGGACCCTGACACCAACAATGCTGCTGGCGATGCTCCCAGACAGTCGCTCGTCGCGGGCAGCACTCTACGAGCCGGCCACCTGGATGGGATAGCGCTTTCCTTTGTAACCCTCGCGGGTTGCTGCATCAACACGGTCTTCATTTCTCACTTGTTGTGAGAGCTGCAACAGCTGAAGAAATGCGTTGGGTATAGACATTCATATTCGATCCAATATCCTCAGCACGGTATAGGGTGAAAACACGAATAGCGAGCAACGAACAGCAAAAAAGAAAGCAACAGCGGCAGCAACTGAGCAGTACGACAAGAGTACAAATACATACATACCGGGTCTTTTAACGTAGCCTGGTCAGTGTTTGTGCGTGCGTATAATATGTGCGTGTTTTCTCCTGTGTTCAGCAACTGAATTGAAGCTCAAGGAGAAGAAAGGGGTCAGCGCCACACAGACGACAAGTTCTGAGTCCATGCCCACCATTCTCTCGCACTGCACTCCGTTCTTCCGAATGTTTCTGTACATGGGAGAATTGCTGTAATGACATTTCCTATATTCGTGAATATGATACAGAATACAGGCCTCAGTTCAACCACTGCTATAGTAAAGTAAGCAAAGAGCTCTACTGTTTGAGTCTATGAAGGATAATATGGAATTCATGGTACCCTCTCAAGGATACATCTCGCCGTCTATTCGTCTCATTCGCCCCTACAGATGTCATAGCTTTTTAAAGCTCAGTAGGGCACAGAGACAACGATCAACTCTCCGGTACGTCCTGGAGCCCTTGCCGCCCTCTCGGCTAGTCAAAAGAGATAAAGGCTGCACCGAGTAAGAACGCGGGGTTGGGGTATGATCCGCACTGCAATGCACTGGATGTATGAGCCTCCCTAATATTGATCCCGTCTGCCCTGCTCTGTCTATCTCTGTCCGATGTGCTCATTGTCGTGTTCGAGTACGCGGTCATGGACCCGCTTGGTGTAATACAGATCAGGCTGCCATGGACCTGGTGGATTGAGATTGAGGCAAGAATGCTTGCTTTGGGATAGGGCACAGTCCATTGGGGCACCAGTGATTGCTTACCGACCCCGCTCAATTTTTGTCGAGACTCTCCGTGGCGACGGTGGGAGAATCGGTCGTGGGTTGGACAGCGTCCATCATTTGGTAGAGGTTCTGGACTTGGTCGGCGGCAATCATTGGCGAGGTCTCTCAGCCAAAAAGAAAACTAGCTTTCTTTGCATTTATATCATCATGTAAATACCATCGGCTGTAACGTAAAATAAAGAAAAGGCGACTTATTGGCGGCAAGGATCGCGTTGGTGGTCGTTGGTGGTGCGGATGACAGTGTTAGATAGGAATGTACTTCCTATATATCCACATGCGCGGTTAAGGCAACGCCGAGTCTCTTATCTCCCCATCCCACACAATAGGTAAGCCAGAGAGTATGTTGCTGGCCGCTGATAGGTCTTTGGTGCTCAACAGGGCTGGACCTCGCATTTGTTTATTTGCTGTGGCCCTCACTTGCTGTATGCCGTGTCATCAGAACAGACGGCACTCGATCAGGAAATCAACCGCTTGCTGATCCGGATGAGAATCGTTTGTCTTGGGCTAGACGTTCTGATCCACTCAGTTCCCTGAACGGGTTACACCCAGCACACCTTCAATTGTACGAACTTTCAATCTATATTCCAAAGACCCGGGTTGATTTTTCTGAATAACCACACCGTTCCTCATCATACTACAGACCCTCCGATTGCGGCTTTGAGTTCGTACAGTCATGTCGACTGGCCAGACCTCAAATGGACCAGTCTAACCCCAAAACAATTCCCGATATCAGTCAACTGGCATGTGTGCTAGATGATTGACGAATACCGTTACGATGTCCTTTTGTTGCACATTGTCGTTGTGCCTGTTTACATACAGACATACAGACCTGCAGACATTTACAAAAAACAAACATCACACCATAGCACAGTTCGGCATGAACAAAAACGCCGACAGGTTGCTGCTCAGCGACAGCGGAATAAAATCAGAGTACAGTTCAACATCGTTCCCTGACAGATCGCGATCTATGCTGTGGCAAACAGCAGCGTCGCAAAAGATATTTGAGCTAAAACCGCACTCGCGTACAGTGTCGAACATGTAAATGACCACACTGGTAATCAGATTCAGGAGATTAAAAAAAAGCCGCGATCCTGGGAACACGAAGTGGCTTCCAGGACTGCAACGTGGAAAGCATCTTTGTTTCTGTTCCTGAGTCGTGGATGATGAAGAAGCCTCTAAGGTCCTTTTCTGGGTCAGTTTCTTTCTCTTTCCTCGGGTTTCTTGCTTCTGCACGCCAGGCGGTTTTGTCGTTGGTGTATTAGTCACCTTCGGTTTTGCATTGACTAAAAATCCTCCTATGTAAAACAAGCAAGAATAAGCACGGAACAAAAAGATAGGAACACAAGACCAAGGGATACAGGGAGAGGGACACGCATTATAGTTTTACCACAAAGATGTACGTTGACGACCGTTGCTGAACTTCATCGCAGAATAGAATTGAAGATATTAAAACGAGATTGTGGCCGAAGATATGACCAGAAAATGTTGCCCACTCGACGATACGTTTGGAGGATTCAATGGGGCGCATATATTATATCTAGACGTTCATTGCATGGCCTGACTTTGAGCTCCATGATGATGTATCATCAAAAGTGCTCATCTTTTCTGATTTTCTGCATCTCACCCATAAAGACTCCGTCATGCAGGACAACAATACCATATAAATTCGTCCGAGGATAAATCCAGCGCCATAACTGACCTTTACAATCCACAGTCCGTGGGTAATGTTCGTGGGTATCTGAGGGCGCAAATATACGCTATTCGTCGGCGCAGAATGAAACGCAGCAGTCCTGAGACTCTAGCCTCAAGTGTTTCTCTATTGGTCCTCAGATCGGCTCATTCCAACATTTTGCACGCTCTATTTGCTGGTGCTTCATTCAAGGAGGACAAGAGAGAATGATGTGGGGGGAGAGGGGAGAGGGGAAAGGGGGAGGAAGCAATGTCTTTTAGATGTGTATCCTACCAAACGAGCTCCCAGTGTTGCACACATCAACCCCCTCCCCCGAGAGCACAGGGCCGCTCAATAAGCTATGTTTGAATTGAGTCGTGGGATAGGGTATCGATTCGAGCAAGAATTAAACAAGGGTTTAGAGTCTTGCAAATTAGCAGAAGATATGGCAATAATAAAAATAGGCGGCTACCAGTAATTACCTGTAATGGTGTCTGCAACAGAGAATCGGACTACATGGACAAGTCAGTACAATAGACGGATATCGTACACCCGAAAAGCTGGATAGCCAATTGGACTATCATGACTTGGCCGCCTGGAAAGAGAGGGCGTGGAGAATTCTGTACATGTACACACGCATGTACACCTCATGATACTTTGAGATATGAATTTTTCAAAGCACGTCTGGCTATGACAACGACACAACAACAAACAACAAACAGCTACAACAACATCATCAAAAGCAAAAAATGTTAAATTCTAGCGACGGGCCAGGAGAACTCCACCACTGAAAAGTGAGGAAGGCACCGTGCTTGCCATTTGATTGCCTGATCCGCCCCTTGGCCATTTATTGACGTTTTCCTTGAAGTGTCTCAACTAGTCCCTGCGTCCTCTTTGTTTATAGTCTACCAGACATATATCCCAAACGTTCATGACTTATGGTCGTCTGCAAACTCATTTTCTACAGTCCCTTAGGCGTTGTCACAAAAGCATTATGAAAATTAGAATACAGTCTATTCTTGTTTGCGGGTGATCCTTGTACATATGTATAGTCCATTAGGTGATCGTCCAGGCCCAGATTGTTTTCTACCCCACTGAATAGAGCATTTTCTAGGTTAAGGTAAAATTTATGAACGCTGTGCCTCTTGTTGATGCGATTTTGTACCTCACTTGCCGGTGGTTGCGCCCGACCAAGCAGTGGACCTGTTATATTTATCTCATCTTAAAGATTAGCACAAGCGCCCAAAACTTGAAACTAGGCACTTAACGAAAAAATATTGATCTTACAGCCGGAAAAGAGTTGCGGAACATATTATTTCGCCCAAAATGATCTTTTCACCGTGCAATGGGCGAAAAGAAAGGTGTTATGCTCCATATCCCTTGTCGAGGTGGGTGGAGTGGGTAGAGTGCTCAGGACCGATAAGTTTTTGACCTAGCGTTGGCACGAGCACTGCATAAGCACATTCACCTTATTCATTTTACTCGATTCTTCATCTCATGTGCACTTTTACTTCTGAAGAACCACTGTAGCCTTGTACTGACACGAATCCTTTGTCATTTTGCTCGGCACTCATGACGCTAGTCTCTTGCTACGCGTTCAGCACGACGTGGAGGCTATTTTGCTTAGCAATAACACACATTGCACTATGGCTAAAACCACTAGTTTATGTCCTCCTATCTCACGATTGACGCTTCTATCAACGACAACTAAGAGAGCCTTTATTTTTTTTTTATTTTTTTTATTTTTATTTTTTATTTTTTTTGACAGTAGACGTTACTAATGCAGATGGTCTCTTTGTATCCCTAAGTATCAGCATACAGATATGATTCGAGAGGTACGCTACTCAGGCAAGGATTCTAGTCGGCTAGTATGTTAACATTCTTCTTTTTGTACCGTTTCTAGCAAGCATCCCGGCGGATGTACTTGCGCAAATTCTTTGCGAATTATTATGTTGGCCAACGTACCCGTTATTCTGGCTTCGGACAAAATTTACGCAGGCGCACGTAGCAGTTACATGGCTGACTGTTGATGGGCCTCACCGGCATCAACTCTTGAGTGTAATCTAGTACGGCTACACTTGAGATAAAAGTCGACGTTAGAATAAATCACACACTTAGCTCCATTCATTGACTTATGTCAGTACCCCTTGCATCAGAGGGCTCTTATGGTACTTTCCGTTTTGAATCTTGCTCGGCATTGGTCAGCTTATAATGGCCAGAGACGAAATAACTATAATAACATATCGTGCCCTCGCCCTTGGTCCATTGTCCATCGTGATGTTTCAAGTAATCATCTAGTCTGCAGATCTTTCTTTGTCTCTCAAGGTCTATTATTTCAGATCCGAGACCTGCATGTAAAGGAATTAAGAAAGAGACTGAGCCTAGCTCAAAGATCAACGAATGGATGGCATATGGGGAATAGCGGATGTTGAATGTAAGCTGGCAAATAGCTTTATGCATAGATGATGAATAATAGCCAAAAGGCGCTCAATTCCCTGTTGCTCGTTGTCTTTCCTCAGTATCACCTTTCGTCATGTTGACCCTCGTTTGTTCATAGCGGACGCACTTTGAGGAACATATACGAATATACGATTTCCTCCCTATCATCAGAGCTCCGTCCCATTCTTAACACTCAAATGAATGTATATTGGCCAACGCTGCCAAGCATCCCTTCCTTATCCTTTACGCTTCAATCTCGGATACTTTTTCACTCTGATATTGCTTTTTTTGTCACTTTTTCTCTTCAGCTCACCCCTTTCACAACGAGTGTTCAATTTAGCTATGCCAAGGTGCCACAAAGCCGCTTGACGCTTGCATTAATTAAGTTTAACGGAACGCAAACCAATCGGGCGACTGGAGGCCAGTGCCGCGGCATGTCATGTGAGAATGAGGGACGCATCCGGATTTTCATGAAGCGTGATAAACAAATCTATGCAATGCTCTCTGGTTACAAGATAACTTTCCCATTTAAATAGCATCAATTACAGCCGCTGCCGGTGCCGTGCTCATACCACCAAGGCTCTGCGTGGAGGCGGATGCAGTGAAACAAATTTATTAACTCAAAATAGGCCGTTTCGTCAACTTTAAGAGCGCCCTTTTGATTACAGGGTCCACCCTCATTTCGAGAAATTTTTCAGCGAGACAAAACTGGCTTAAATTACAAGCATGCCCAATCAACAGTCAAATGAGTGCCGCCCAGGCTCTCTTATTCGTCCCAAACATTTATTCATGCGAGAAATCACTTTTTTTTTTTTTTTAACAAGGATGGACGTATCGATATGTGTATGAGCGTTATCACAAACACGATTACCTGAAAAACAGATCAGTAACCGTTGGGCTCAGCAAAACGTTTTTGGCAAGCAGACAGCACTTTTTCTCTATTGCATTGCAGCGCTAACGCTCTACGACGCGAGCGATTAAAAACCTTGTTGCTTTGACGCGTCGTGAAATGTTTAAAAAAAAAAAAAAAGAACTGTAACATGTACAAAATTTACGGACGCTGCATTTAAGGCTAGCCTAGAGCGGCGTTACAGTTTCCGGGATCCAACAAATTTCTCCGTACGAAATGGAGCGCGTCCTGAAAGAGAGTTCGAGAGCGACCGCCAGAAAGAAAGGAAGTTTTCTAGAAAAATCAACAAGCATCAAGCCACATGAGGACGTATAAAAAAAATGAAGCACTTTGAGATCTTTTTCACCCACCACTCCATATTCCTCTCCATCCCACCTCCTCCTCCCTCTACAACATCGTTTGGCCCTGCAAACAATTGATCGAGTAAGTTCCTTATGATATGCCCGTACCCCTTCATTTTTGGGGCGCGTGTCCTGGACATGTTTGGATATTATTATTATTTTTTCGTCTCTGTGTAGTGTGCTTGTTCTCGTGTGAATGATGAAAATTATTCTTTGTCTTCATTCTATCTTATCGACCATGGTGATACCTCTCCACTCCTTCGCTGAGGAGTGTCATACTTGCCAGTATAAACCACTGACTCACACAGACAATGCCGCAACAAAGCGCAGATCGACCACATGTGTTGCATTTTTGGGGTCGGAGAACAATTTCCGGACCATACGCTAACCAGTCGTGTTTGCTCTGTCAATCGTAGGGCTTGAATTCTGGCCTGGAAACGGCCGTGATCAATGATCAATTGCTTTTTGTCAGGGTCATCCAGCGTAGGATGCTGTTTCACAAGATGGTAAGAAAACCAGAAACCTCTTCGAGGTTTGTTATTAAACGAAGGACGGATGGTGTGCTCTGTACATGATGAAGTATTTTTAATTCGCAGTTTCCACCGAAAGGACCATGTATAAGACGATCCACGGCCACTTCCATCTTCTCCCTTGCGGAGGGGTATCAGTGAAGCGATCAGAGAGCAGTATGCCATCGTCGAGTTGCTGTGGATCTTGTCTTTCCTGATGCTGGCTATAACTTCCTTGGATGTCTGATTCCAAAGCCCACTATCCGTCCTTTACTATTCGGCATTTTCAGATAGCGCAATCAAGAACATTAGTTTTCTAACCTATGTTCCTTTATTGTGCTCAAATAGATGTCATACGCCGTTGCACTATGGATTGATTGTGAACAATCAGCGTTCTCGTTAAATAGATGAACGATTGTCGTGGAATAATAATAATAAACTATGTTGTTGATCCTCAAATATTTGCATTTGCCATAGCCTGCTTGAACCCCCTAATCTTGTTACATTGCTCCTTTAGATTCTTGGTCTTGAAGCTGTCCCACTGGTTTGCTTGCAAAAAATTCCTTGAATATCGGAAACACGCCTCTTCTTGGAAATTTTGGTACAACCTGCGGTTGTATTTCCGCTCCTGTTTCCGGGTCTCTTCTTTGTAAGAGTGCGACTGGTGAATAATAAAATCCTGTGGGAGAACCCAGTAATCGATTCCTGAGATATAGATTTCGAACAAGCAGGCCTACGAAGCAAGGAAAAAGGGATGGCAGAGTATGAGAGCGGGCCAAGAAAGCGTAAAGAGATGATCAGACTTCTCAACCAGACGTGGACTTACAGCCTTATTGGCACCATATCCAATGAAACGCTCGTCGCACCACGGCGTCCCTTCCTTCCTCAAAATGACATATGGCTCGTACGAGTGCTGATATGCGGTGACCTTATATGCTGCATCCGTTTTGTACCATTGCTCATAGTCAGTCGAGTTGTGTCCCTTCGGGAAAAAATCGTGGAAAGTTGTAACCTTGCGCTCCTGAACGAGCCGAATCAGTGCCTTCTTGTCCTTTGGGAACGTTGCAGAATCGACTCCATCATCTTGCTTCACATATTCAAACGCTGGCAGGACTATTGCTGCTCCTGATCTCATCAACTTTCGAGCCCTAGGGTCCAGTGAAAGATGGCGCTGCAAATTTGTGCAGATGTGAAAGTCGACTGTGCATAGTTCAGTTAGCGCCCCATGGCCATTGTTCATTCCGATAAAAAACAAAAAAAAAAAAAGGATAATTTGCTTACCGTCAAGCATCATGAAGTAGTCAGACCGCGCAAAGAACCTGGCGACGTTGCGCCACATGTTGAACTGTCGATCAAACTTATCTACCACTACATGGACGTCTACAAACTCACGCATGTATGGGTTCGAATTGTACATGTCCTGCAGCTTTGAGAGATTCTCATCGCGGTTCTCATCATCGGTGATATGGATCGAAACTGAAATCGGGCCCTGGTAGTTCGTGACCAGTTTGCTGAAGATCGGGTATCGGTCAAAGGTGATCAGCGTTGTGATGGTGACGGAGTCGGGATCGAAGTCTCTGACGGCCTTAAAATAATACGGTAGAACCTTGGAGGGCTGCATCGTGTTCGCAAAAACCTTGTGCAGCATCACGTCCTCTTCGATCTCATGTTCAGAGTGGTCTTTTCCTGCTGTGAAATTGATTGATATGTCAAGGGGGAGAGAAAGAGGGATGTGGTATGAGATATTGGGCGGATACGAATGAGGAATAATTCTGATCTGTCCCTGGGCACCATTGTGTCCCTTCAGATATGGACCTACTGCCCCACTTCATGACCTGTTGCGAATAAATCATGTTCTCCACATCGAAGGTTGTCTGGCCTGGTTCCGTCAATGCCTTTGGCTTGACCGCAACTAGGGCTGGTGAGTCCTGATATTGGGCGAAGAGGTGATGTAGCGTGAAGAGTACGGACCCAGCGAGATAGACGATAGCTACATATCGCAGTACTGTTGATGTTGTTGATATGTCTAGCCGCATATGTCCCGTCCTTGTTTCCTGTATACTGGGTAGCAATGGAAATCGAAAGGACAGGTGAAAGATAACGGCGAGAGGGTGCGTGGAGAAGTAATTCTGGTCAGAGATTGTAAGGAGAAAGGGAGCTGAATGATTTTTAAGAACTAAAGGAAGGTAAGGTAAGAAAAGGAAAGGAGGTCTGGGCAACACAATATGGCATGCAGGATACACAACACGAAACGCGTGAGTTCGTAGCTCGTAGGTCATGTTGTCTGAGTGTGTGTAATCGAACACCCAAACTTCCGTCTGCCTTCAAATGACCGCCTATAGACCACCCAAAGGCCTCGGCCTCGTGTTTTCAAAGTTTGCGCACTAAAGCTCTAATTTTTCTTTCTTCTTTAGCCCACCTTGCATCAGCTTCCTGATCCATCACAAAACGATCCTCATCACACCGCAGGGATCTACTCTTTCTCGCGAGCACCTCTTCGTGTCCTCTCATTCCCTACTCTCGATCGTTCGACAGGCATCACTTCATTCAATGACCAAGGCAAAGCAGGATCCCGAGGAACGCTATGCTGCTGCCGCAGCCAAGTGCAGGGCCGAGCACAACTTCTCGCCAAAGCTCGCGGGTTGGGACTTTTACAAGTCCATTGGGTCCCCAAAATACATTGTTGCTCCCATGGTAACAGCACATTTCTAGACAAGGGATCTCTTTTGTGCTAAAAGTACTCTCTGTATATTGACCCATACATCCTTTCATGATAGGTTGATCAATCAGAGCTGGCATGGAGAATTCTCAGCCGCCGCTACAAAGCCGAGTTGTGTTACACACCAATGTTCAATGCAAAAATTTTCGCCAAAGAGGAAAAGTATCGAGATGAGCACTGGGCTGGATTGAAGGATGGCCTCGGAGGAGGTGGACTAAATGACCGACCATTGATTACCCAGGTAAATATTTCGCGCTGGATTTGGCACTTCCTAGACCATCGAGCTTGATTTATGTTGTGGTTTAACCAGGTCTTTTACTGTATTCTTAGTTTTGTGCTAACGATCCCGAATATCTGCTGCAGGCAGCATTGCTTGTGGCACCTTATTGCGACGCAGTTGATATCAATCTCGGATGCCCTCAACACATTGCCAGGAGAGGCCACTATGGCTCATTCCTGATGGAGGACTGGCCATTGGTTGCCTCGTTGATCTCGACTCTACATAAACATCTTCCAATCCCAATCACTGCCAAGATCCGTGTCTTTCCTGAAGCAGAAAAGACAGTGGCCTACGCTAAAATGGTCGTCGAAGCTGGTGCACAGATCCTAGTCGTTCATGGACGTCTTCGAGAGATGAAGGGGCATCTCACGGGTGTTGCGGACTGGGAGAAGATTCGCATGGTTCAAGACGCAGTGGGGCATTTGGTGCCAGTGATCGCCAATGGCAATATTCTTTATCACGAAGATGTGGCTCGGTGTCTGGAGGCAACGGGGTGTGCTGGCGTCATGTCTGCAGAAGGAAGTCTTTATAACCCAGCAATCTTTACCCCGGGTCATCCAGAGTCGTGGCGTCTGGCGGAAGAGTATCTCACCATCTGCGATGAGCTCGATACAAAAATCGCCTATACTCGTGGACACCTCTTCAAGATCTTTCGACCCAGTCTCAATGTTCACACGGACCTGAGGAGTGAGCTCGGATTGGCGAACTCGAGAGAGGCTATGTGGGATGTAACCCGGAAGCTGAAGCAGAGGCTGATCGAGGACGAGGCAAAGTCTGGGCAAAATGGCGAAAGTTTCGAAGGACGAGTCGACGAGAAGGGATTCCCGGTGTTGCCACACTGGGTTGCTCAGCCATACTTCAGGCAGCCCATGCCTCCTCAGGACCAAAAAGTGACCGCCAACGTTGGTGAGGGTGGTGAAGGAGAGTTCCTGAATGCTGCACTGTCTTCCTCCAAGCGATCTGCAGAAACATCGGGACACCGAGATGACGAGGAGCAAGATCGCTCTTCCATCAAATCGAAAAAATCCCTGAAGAACAAGAAGCCCAAGGTCCTCCCGAACCTTTGTCGCAGTGACCACTGCCAGAACACTTGCTCAGAGAAATGTATCTACCACAGATGCAAGAACTGTTGTCGATTGTACCAACGAGCAGAAGATCGATATGACTGTCCGTCTCATCCGATTAACTCTATGCGGAAAGAGAGGGAGAGGCAGGCGAAAGACACCTTGTTGCCACGCGTGGATTCACAAGAGGCCATTGGCGACGTGGCGTTGGAGGGCATGGTTGTCGGTTCTCGAGCAGTATCGGAGAGTGACGAGACGAAGTCAGATCGTTGCATGATTCTGTGAACGAACTAGTCTTTCTATCGCTTTCAAATAAAATTCGTTGCTATCGCACAGTCTTGGCTTATTTTTTTATTAACATGAGCACGAGACGCATGGTCCGCAAGGCCTTGAAGCTCCGCACAGTCTTAGCTGTAACGCACTGGGATCAATCTGTGATTGAGGTCAGTATCAGCAACTACATGTGTGGCAAAAGGTCTGCTCCTTTCTCCTTGATTCCCACCTTTACACCAAGCCTCTATGCCCGATAACTTTATATTCTCACAACTCTGCGATGAGCATTGAGGGCTTGCGGCCTTTTCTGAAAAGGAAAGGATATGAGACTACGATGCACTATAGACACTCCAACCTCTCTAATCCTTTCCACAACGGCCCGACGCGTTGAGTAAATATCCCTGGTACATTTTCCCTTGCTACCCAGAACGCCTACACATCCCACACTATAGAGGTTACACACACCATCCATGTCGCTAATTCATTCTGACCATTCCATGTTATTAATTTTCCCCAGGAAGAGAACGAGCCCGTTCCTAACTTCTCTGACGCGGATGGTTGGCACTCTATCCGAGTCCCCAGGTTGGTCGAGACTCTGCAGGGGATTCAGAGTAGCCGAACAAAGGCCCATTACAAACCAAGCCCAAAACGATATCGCTGTGCAGGTCATGCACGCCAGCCCAGTGTACTCTCTCAAAATCACCCATGCTGGACGTCATGCTGGGACGTTAGAGGCATACCACGTCGGCTTGAACCATGACCACATCCACCGCCTCGGCCGCTGGAGTATGGGCCAGATGGGGTCTTATTATGCTCCCAAGTTGCCTACGATCGGAGCGTTCTGCATGGCTCGTTTCAGGAAAGACGAACTTTATTGAGCGCGATCTAGTGACGCCGCCATTACAGCTCCAGCGCCTTATTTTCCCATGGATCGAGGATACCTTTGTGAATGACGAGGGTCTATCGTGGAAGACGCCGTCCTGGATCGAAGAGTGCGACAAAGAGATTTTGGGAGCAGACCCAGATGTTAGTACAGAGAGCGACACCCATTTTGTTCCTGCCGAGCAAACGATCTCGAACAAGAGCGTGTCAACCAAATCTGACAATAGCGCGCTGGTCGACCGTGTTGGGTTCCTTAAGGTACTTGTTCGCTTGCAGCGTGTTATCCTTCAGGATGCTGGTTTGTATTTGAAGCCGAACGCGAATGGTCAAACTACAAACAAACAAACAAACGAACAAAGAGAGGAGGACAATTGAGAGACGCACAGATTAGGAGGGAGGAGGCAACGAGGGAAGAAAGAAAAGGGCTGTCGTGGGGACACGCGCGTCAGGGCATACAGCAACAACACACTCAAACCAGACACAATGCCAAAAAGCGGAAAAGGCAAGGAAAGAGCATGGCGAGACGGTGGATTCCCTGCGCAGAAGCAATTCACTTGGCACAAACTAAGGTTTGACTGTAATTTCGTAAGGTCGCGCACCAAGGGTCCGGCATAACAAACAATGACAGGGTCTGAGCATCAAAGTGGCTGTGCTGCAGTGTTCCGCTTATGGCCCAGCGCCTAGACTTCAGGGACAACTGGGCATTAAAAAACGCCTTCCCGCCGTGGAGAAGGCGGGGAAGGAACGCGTCTTGGCTTCATAAGCGACAATGGCTCATTCTGCACAGATACATAAGTCTCGCCTGCCTCTGGAGCTCGTATATCTCTCTTCTTGTCTATACTCTACTCTCTTTGCTTCCGGACATTCTCCTCGCATCTTTTCCTCTTTCTCTTCTCTCCTCCCCTCATATGCCTAGCATCGTTCAACTCTAAACTTTTTTTTTTTTTTTTATCACACTCGTAGCTCGTCCTTTTTACATTCCATACTTCGGCATCAACTCTGGGACACAAAAGGTATCAATCACAGCACACAATGGCATTCCGATCCCGTACATCTCCCTACTTCTTGCTCCTCACCCTCCTCATCCTCCTCGCCCTCTTCACCCTCTTGGACACTCACTCGCACGTCGAAGCCCTCCCGACCCGAAAGCGCGCCGCTCCGCAGGACATCGCCTCTGCTCCTGCCCCGACATCGTCGTCGTCGTCGACAAATCTCCACAACGGAACCGCCACCGCCCCACGAAAGAGCCCACGAAATCAGTGTCAAGAAGAAAAAAGAACGCGGTGGTGAGGAGGAGCCCGTTCTTGATCCAGAACCTCGAAGGGGCGGGCATGATGCGACACATTCGGATTTGGTGCGAGCATTGGGAGTCGTGTCTCAATCTGTCGTGGTGGAGAGACGGAAGAGAAGGCACGAGGCCAAGGCGAGGAAGGCCTAGGAAGCAGAAACGATGTACGCGGAGGCGGAGTACGTATATAAAATGCGTAATGCGTACTGTAGATCTTGAGCGCAAAAGATTGTCTTGTATATGTGTATATATGTATATAAATGGATTGCATAGCCAGGTTTTCGTGCTGTTGCTAAAAGAAAGGATGCCCAACGACCCTCCTCTCCTCACTTTGTCCAAAAGGCAAAGTAATGTATATATATTTTTACATATGGGCTTTTTCATATCTTCAAACGTCTTCCATGTCCTGGACTGGATTATATTGTGACACACAACACTTGTGGGACATCCACTCGCGATTCCGGAATAAATATGAAGTAAATTAGTTCAGAGTGCATGTCCCATTCTTAATTAATGGAGAGTGAGAAAGCCAGAGAAGGGGTCTGTTCTTTCGGACAGATCTATAGAACAATGGGCTTAATCACAGTAGATCGTCATAGCAAGCCTACTATACTGCTTACAATACCCCGTTCAATAAAAGTCGACTGCACTGGATTTATCTCTTCCAGTATTTGAAATTAACATTAGCAAGCGCCTCATGAAGCCTTTCCGCTCCACAAGACGACCCTATATAGTATGATTCAGGACCCGAGGGTCTATTCGTATTCAACTAATTAACTAAAAGTCGGAAAAGGCGGTAATTGTCGCGTCTAGCACGGATTCTGATTTGGAGACGTTCAGCCATAATCCAACGGATGACAGCTCCGGGTCATTGCCTGCTCAGGCAGGCCCAAATATTAATTATCCGAATGAACGGTTCCTCTCGTACTAAGTTCAATTACCTAACCTGTCTCACGGCGGTCTAAATACAGCTTAGATTTCCTATTAGTGGGTGAACAATCCAACACTTACTGAATTCTACCTCAGTATGATAGGAAGAGCCGACATCGAAGGGTCAAGAAGCAACGTCGCTATGAACGCTTGGCTGCTCTGGCCTGTGTTCCTTCGGTGCTCAGAATTATTTCTTGCATAGACCTCTGCAAGTGTGCTATATTGTAACAGTAGTGGAGCTCCAGCTCTATTTAGCGCGTACAGGCAACTCGTGGAGATACAACTTCTTGCACCGGTCTTATCTGCTATAACCGCTGCTGCATTATATATTTTGTAACATGGCCCTCTAAGTGTGCGACATATGCACATATGCCTCTACAGACATGCGACTTACTACACAGACTGGTTGATGGATCCTCAATATCTGCTTAAAGCCCGACGTTCGGTTCAATATATCCTCTTTATCATAAATATATAGTAAACGTCGTCCCTCTGAGCAGCGGTTGTTGAGCTCTGATACTGATGTCGCCCCAGACTAGCCATGTTCAACCAGTTGGTGTTGCTCAGTAAATGCTGGAAGGACTGGTGCCATTCTTGGCAGGCGGGGATTTAATGAAGACCTTGCTTGATCAGGAAGAGGCCGATGCGTTCTCTGGTCTCTGGGAGGTCGAGTGGGCGGAGGGGCACCTTGGGATGGATCTGGGCAGAACAAGGCGTCAAAGAGGGCGTGGAAAGGAGGGTGAAGGTGGGGGAGAGACGTATGTAGAGGGAGCGCGCTTTATACACGGATGAATCGAAGGCTGAACACGTTAAGATGAAGTTTGCCCTCCATAGGCGCCGCGCAACAGTATCCTTAGGCTTCCTACCGCCCTAAAAGCACTGTCTTGTCCTTATTCTTGCCTCCTCTGTTACATGCTTCTCAGCGGGAGCCTACTTTAGGTTCTGCTTTCCTTATGTATCTTCTTCCATGATTGTCTTTTTCATGACTTCCGCTACTTGTTCTAAGGCATTCAAACGACTGGCTCCCTCTTTCAAGGCAGTCGCCCTCAAGGTATAAATACCAACCATTCAAGAAGCTCTCTCGTCAAAAAGTAAATATCACTTTATTCCCAGGGTACGGTGGCTGTATCCGAAGCTTGGAGGTGCTGCTCATGATGTCGATGCCTTTAACGAATTGGGTTGGAAGGACAGGGATATCAAGATTGAACAATAGACAGCTGCAGTAGAAGCTCTGCGGCGACCTGCTACTCAGTACCACCAGCCTTTTGGTACGATGGTGCGGATAGCTTCGAAGGCTATGTTCTTTGAGCATTATAACATTTCGACGGCTTGTGGATAGAGTCCTGGGGTTTGTCGTTCTGCTTTAATAGTGCACCCATGAGCATCCTTGCTTTATTGCTCGACCTGCTATCATCGATGTCGATGAATGCTGATAGACTCCTCACAGTCCAAATGGTCTTCCGCAGCTGGTTATGGCCCATCAAGAGACATGCATGACTTGTGTACGTAGTTCTTGTCGATCGAAGGCTTTCTTCTCCCTTCTCCACCAGCGCTTTCTTTTCCTTTTCTCCTGGTCAAACCGTCCGCGCACTCTGCTATTCTTTATCAGGATGTAAGTTCCTTGTCCATTTAACTCGCTCGAGACCAGCAAGCCATAAGTGATACCACCCAATAACTAATCTCTGCATTGCCGACCAAGGATCGGAGCAGCTCACGACGTTGGGGCGAACAAGACTCGTGAGACTGCGCTTTCACGGCTGACTCTGCAGGGTAAGAAGAGTCCAGTGTCTGGTGTAGTACCGGGGCCTGCAGAAAAAGACGTTTAATATCTGACAGAACTATGCACTGGATTAGGGATGAGGGCATCCATCAGCAGGAAGACGTTGCTTCTGTCGTCCGTGATCAGCAAGACGCCCTAGTCTCATCGGACGAACTTCCTTCCTTTTCAGAGAGTGCGAGATCAAGACTTGATGTCCCATCCTCAGACGATGGTCTGGAGGATCCTGACCTGTAGGTCGTCCTTCATATCCAGCTCTAAATGACGAGCAATACTTGACTGAGCCCATGTTCATCACATACTAGCACACATAAACCCGCCCTTGAGGTGGCGAATGAACCTCGACTGGCGCAAGCACCTCAGACGTGAGTGTATACCAGAGCTTGTTCGCCCGTTTATTTCTTTATTTGTCATTACGGTTGCTGGGAACTCATTGAACGGCATATAGCCGTCGCTTTTTGCTGCAGGAATGAAATAGTCCAGCCTACTTATAAGCGCGATCCAACGAGTGTGGACGAGCAAGGCGCCGAGCAGACTGCCTCAGACCAGACGCAAGGGCGAGTGACAAACCGGGTTACTCGCAGGGACTTGGCTTCTCATGCTCGCAAAATCAGGTGCCCCAACCGCGTCTTCGTTCATTTGATCCGAACTAGAGCAGCCCCTATCTCATACACCGCAGCGGCTCCCTACTTTTCAATGCGGATCCAAATCACACCACGCCTGCTTACAAAATCCTCCTGCAGGCCGAGACGAGCACCTGTGAAGCTCTTCACGTGACGTTATCTGACGTAGTTTTAGCTAGGAATCTATGATAATGAAGCGTTCACTCATCATCAAGAGGCGTGTAGCATTCATCAACTTGTCGCCGCAACGCTGTTCCTCATTAGCATAATCCTTCCATCATACTCGGTACGTGCACGGTATTGCATCTACAGCAGGAGGTTGTTCGCGTCGCAGGGGCAGATAAGAAATGCTACCGCTGAACTGATCCTGTGCGAAGGGATGCGATTTGTTCGCAAGGATCATCCGCTGATAATAGAGGAAATGGGCATGTTCTTTTCTTTATTGATGTTTTCCTCTGAAAATATCCTCTAATAGAGTCTTGCATGGAGATATCTCCAGGGACCACAATTAAATCGAAAACCAGCACATCAACAACAGCAAATTCAAAGGCTGCGAACGCCGCCAATCATCAAAATATGGCTGCCACATCCTCTATAACAGTGCCGGTCAGCAACAGCAAAGAGCCTCAGGAGCTGCAGGAAACAGTAGGGTCAATAAAGACAACAGAGTCCAGCAGCATTCCGGAGGAGGAAGATGACGATAACGATTTAAGGGGATATCACTATCCATCTGTAGTATTTCGCCCGCAACTCGACGATATCATCTTGGACCAAGACCTCCTCGACTTTTACGAGCAGCTCAAGTTCCTCGTCTCGCTTTCTCCGCTCAAGACTGCACAAGTTCTTTACGCCATTTCGTCTGCAACCGAACATCTGTCGCTGGAATTGGAGGTGCGCAGGTCCGTACTCGACATGAACAGGAAGGCATTCTCATTCTATCAGGACAATACCTGGTTCACAGTCGACCTGGAGCCATCGTTGGATGCCACGGACGATGACGAGGCGTATGACTCCTCAGACGCAAAGATAAAGATTTTACCCGCTCGCCACTCCTTATTTCCAGCATTCCAAAGGCAAAAGCCGGGCCATCAAGTACATTCAGCGTACCCACCATTCCCTTATTACTATGGCCACCCATACGCACCTTCATACATACCAGCGCATTGCCCTCAGCCATCAAACAACCAAATGGACCTTGCTGATTCAAGGTCAGCTCCACCCTTATCAGACGACATTGCGGATCAGGATCCACGGCATCGCACCAAGGACTGGGATCGTCAGAGCCGGAGTAATCATCATAGTTCAAAGTCCAGCAAGCGGAGGCATTCCCGAGAGCTGGATTCATCCGTTAATCTATCAAGGCCCTCTACCATGACAGAGGAAGCACGGTCATCAAAGAGATCTAGACAGGATCCAAATCTTTCTTCGCTCTCGACCATGGCCATGGATGGCACAGGGCGGTCGCCTATAGATCCATCCTCGCCACGCCCCCCATCAAACAGTAGCAACATCATGGATATAGACAAGCCAAGGCATAGAGATAAAGACAGAGATCATGATCAACCACAGGGGATGTCTCGTGCGGAGCGTCGCCTCGCCAAGAAGAAGCTGAAACAGGCTAAAAAGCTGCGTCTTCAACAACGTGCCGAAGAACTTGCATCGGCATCAGGCCAAACGTCTAAGGATGCGGGGACCAGCAACACGACCCTCAATCCAGGAAGAGGACGCCCCTTCAAGATCACACTGGTTCAGTCGGGCAAATCACTTCCGACCGCATTGGGACAGACTTCTTCTGAGGATGGTGCGGGACTCGATCGGCCAAAACCGCTGCATGGGTGGCTTCCTCCGGCAGGAGATCAGGGCGACAATGACCCTGATGCGGAGACAACAACGTCGGATTTGGCTGGTCATCGCATCATTCGACCATCTGATGGAAAGACTTCAGGAACAGGAGGCGATGTCGCGTCAAAAAGCTTCAACCAAAAGCCTGGAGTCCTCAGCATTCAGTTGGTGGGTCAACCTGGTGCCTCCAGAAAGTCGAGGGGTTCGCTTCAGTCAGCCTCATTATCGTCCGCAGGGTCGAACGGTCCTCAGAGTCCGCAGGGGAGCGCTGGTGCTGGCGCGAGCGCAATTTCAGGTGCAGGTGCAGGATCGGCAATGGGGGTGACCACTGGTGGACCTTTATACACGGACAAGTCGGAGGACAAACTCAAGAAGGGAACTTGGACAACATTAGAGGAAGAAATTCTTTTGGAGGCCGTTCGTGATCTCTCGAGCGAGAATTGGCATGCAGTGGCGATGAAGGTCCCTGGAAGAAATGCCAAGCAATGTATGCAGAAGTGGCAAACCGACCTGGATCCACAAATCAATCGCCTGCCATGGACACCGGAGGAAGATGAGAAACTAGTGGAGGCATACCATACGTTTGGTAATTCATGGCAGCAGATCGCAAAAACAGTCGAGACACGAACATGGTACCAGTGCTATAACCGCGTTAGGGCAAAGAGTGTCAAGACGAAGATCATGATGACGGCAGGATCCCACCCCGCTAGTCTTGCGAATACGGGAGCACGCTCATCATCTAACGGCGCAGAAGGACCTGGGCTCCAGAGAACAGTATCAACTCACAAAAATGCGGAAGTGATCAGGATTTCCAAGGAGGCACCACAGGGGGGACGCGGCCGAGCAGAAGGGCGGACATTGGACCAGCGCCCGCAGATAATTCAGACGCAATCCCCTACACCAGGAACAAGCGGAGATAAACCCATGAGTAGCCCTGGGGCCAGGTATCCGCAGCTGGCACCTGTCGCTGGACGTCCGCAGGACAGGTCCTCCGCTAGCCACTCGCAAAAAACAAGTCCTACTCAGCAGGCGGAGCAGGTATCGCCATCAGAGCCGCAGACACAGCAAGAGACACAATCGGAGTCTCCACTCTCACAGCAACAACCGATATCTCAACCTCAGGCACAGGATCAAGCACAGCTGCAGACGCGCGCACAACCACAGGCCCAACCGCAAGTCCAACCGCAAGCCCAATCGCAGGCCCAACCGCAAGCCCAACCGCAAGCTCAACCGCAGGCCCAACCGCAGGCCCAACCGCAGGCACAACCACAAGTACAGCCTCAGACACAACCATCAGTCCAAACATATTCTTCACATCCACAGTATCAGCAACAACAGCAGCAACACCAACAGCAGAATCAGCACCAATCTCAGAAACAGCAACAGCAGCCTCAGCGACTACACGAACAGCAGCAGCCTTTGCATCACTCTGCCAAGGGCCCTAATGAAGCTCCAGGTTACTGGCCTAAACAGGTACATTGAATAACTTGGGCAAGACTATACCCTGCAATTTGATTCAACCAGATAACTTATACTTTGTTCTCCTTTTCATAGGCTGTTCCTGCGAGTCCTCACAGTGCATCACCTCTTAAGGAGTATCGGACTTCACCAAATGGACAGGATCAGCATTCGCAGCCGCAGCAGCAGCGTCTTCCTAGCCATGTAATGGCGCCTAGTCAGCCCCCGTCGCAGTCTTCGTCACAGGCTGCTCAACAGCATTACCAGCACCAACACATGCATCACCAACAGCAGCAAAGCATACGTGCTCCATATCAACAGAACATGCACCCATCCGATTATTCAACTCTGTCCCCCGGAAGAAAGAGTGCTCCACTCCGACCAGTTGAGCAGAGCAGCGGCGGCAACAGCAGCGGTAGTGGCGGCAGTAGCGGGGGCAACAACAACAGTAGCGGTAATACCACCAGTAGCAGCAGCCCTAATCCCAACAAGGGTGGTGCGGGTCTGGGCATCCATGATTCCAGCGGCGGAGTCGGCAGTCAGATCTATTCGCCGCAACAAAGCCAGCACTCAGGTCTGCAGCAGCCGATGCACTCTTCGATGCAGCACCCACAGCATACGGCGCATTCACAATACTCGCAATATCCTCAGCAGCAACAGCAGCAGCAGCAGCAACATAGTCAACATCAACATGTTCAACAGCAACCCATACAGCAACAGCAACAGCAGCAACAACAGCACTTTCGACAGCAATCATCAAATCCCCAGACTATGCCGTCTCATCGCCAAGGGACTTCATTATCGGTGTCGACTACCCCCATGGCCCAGACACCTGCACTGGCACCAAAACCTGCCCCGGCGGCATCTGTTGCATCGTCCTCCACAGGCATGCAACATCATTCGCAGCAACAGCAGCAACAGCAAGCGCCCATGCACCCTCAGCAACAAGGATACCGACCTGTTGCCTTGGGTCAGCACTCTCATAGCTATTCGCAAGGATCATTGTCGCATATGCAGCTTCAGCAACAGCCATCGCAGCCGCAGCAAACAATGCCTAGTCAGCAGCCTCAGCCGCAATACAATGCCTCCAGCGTCTACCCTGGTCACCAGCGGGTACCCAGCTACAACGGTTCTCCTGTCTCGTCATCACCGCACACACAGCTGAACCAAGCCCAAATTCAGTCTCCTCCGCATCCTCAACAACAACAGCAACAGCAGCAACAGGGTTTCCACCACCAGCCATCTCACCAACAACAGCAGCAGGCATTTGCTGCCACATCAACCTCGGGCCCTCTGAAGATGACATCTGTCCCTGGACCATTATCGGGCACAAGCGGCGGTGGAATTCCCGTACCGAACATCGCGACATTCTCATCCCCGCCTCTGGCGCCTCCACTACTATCACCAACGATCGCATCTTCGCCCACAGGGTTCATCTCGACGTCTGCGTTGCTCATGATGGCCAGGAATGCTCAGCAATCGTCGGCTTCGAGCGCGGCTCCAAGTTCTGCATTGCCGTCACCGTCGACTGGGATACCACAGCAGCAGCTTCCTTCAAGCATATCGCAAGCGCCAGGCAGTTCATCACTCACCAACCCCAATCCTTGAACTTGCATGGCTGACAGATGATAATAATGAAATATATAAACCGGAACCAAAGACAGAAGCGTTTTTGCATGATAATTTATTATTATTATTATTATTATTATTTCGAGTGGAATGGTGGTAAGGTGTCTAATGCAAAGGTCTCGCTCTAAATATCGAGCTGCTCTTTTTAAAAGTAATTGCCCTGAGTTCCATAGGCATGATGCTGTGAAGGATACTGCTGATGAGGATGTTGTTGGTGCTGCTGTTGCCTTTGTCCATACGCTCCCTGACTATTCCCGCCACCGCTGTTTCCGGGAGGTCCGCCCTGGGGTGGATAAGTCGGTCTGCGTTCATAGTCCGGTCTTCCGCCACCGCCATATCCCTGCCCCGGATCTGGACCCCTGGATCGACCTCCATAAGCATCTCCCCGTGAAGATGAAGATGGCGGCGGTTGCTGGTGATAGTTATTGCCACCACTGTTGGGGTGATTATTGTAAGAGGGCGAGACGGGTGGTTGTCCTGCGTACCGTTGCCGTGACGACGCAGACGAAGATGACGATGGACCTGGGCCTGGAGCTGACGAGGGCGAATCATAGCGTCGATTAGCTCCCGGTGAGACCGAGCGTTGTGAGGGCGAAGACGAGTAGTTGTTATTGTATCCAATACCACCACCTGCAGATGATGGCGAGAGCTGGTTGTTATACTGCTGCTGCTGTTGGTACCGGCTACTATCGCTATTTCCGTACTGTTGCTTCTGTTGATATGCCGAAGACGAAGACGAAGACGAAGACGAAGAAGGAGATGGTGCCGGAGGACCGTCTTGTGGTCGATGCCCGACATTCGGAGAATTCGCGCGCCCTCTCGGACTAGTGCTTCCTAGATGACTGACCTGGGTGGCCAGTTTATCGCCCTGACTTTTGCCCTCCAACCGACTCAGCGCATCATCCCGACTCGCGTCACTCGTCGTCCTGTACCTGTTTCCTCCTCCTTCCCTTGCAGAGTTGCTAGGCAGATTCAAGCTTCCACTTCCATAGCTGTTATTGCTAGTCGCCGTGCTGATCGAAGAGGATGTGGGCGACCACGACCGCTCACTCGGATCCTGTCCCCCACCACCACCACCCGTCTCGCCCCTGGCTCTGAGTGACCGCCCATAATAATCCTCCCGTTCGTTCGAAGACGTCGAGGAGATGATTGACGGCGAGTGTTCTTTGTTGACAGCGTCCCGGAGGTACTGGTTCCTACTTGCTCCTGTGTTCTTTGAGAGTGACCCTGGCGAATCGATCGGAGTCATCTCCAGCTCTGCAACCTTGGCTGCTAGCTCCTTCTCTTCCTTCTTGTCGGCGAATTCGCGAAGGGTCCGGCGAACATGTGTCTCGCCCTCGTGATCCGAATCGTCCGATTCTGTGTCAAAATGCCAAAAATAATAAAATAGAAGAGGTTCGTGAGTTGATGCGTTACCCGTCTATGATGGGCTAATAGTAACCCAGCCCAAAGTATATTCTAGTATGCGCACTTTGCTTGCATCTTTTATTGCCACGCACTTCCCCCCCCCTCCCTCTCTCCCTCTATTATTATTATTATTATTATTATTTTTTATCCTCCTTACGCACACGACCAATTCTCCATGCCGATAAAACCAAATTGAAACCATTTCACATACCAGGCCACTTTTCTTCTCCTGTGATCGTCGCATTGATAACCTCCTTCGCTGCCCTGAGTCTGCTCCATATTGTCGTTCCTGCTCCCGCTGCCGGTGTCGATGTCGACGTTGTCGGTGCATCCAATCGAGTATCTGTCAATAAAATAACATTACCAATTTTTTTAAAAAAAAGAGGCAATTGATCGTTATTATCTCAGCTGCTGCTTAGCAAACAAAAAACGTTATCAAAAATGAGAACAGTGCGAGTGTGAACAACGAGGAGGAGCGAGGTTTTCTTTTGTCTTTACCTTCTCGGACAGCCCTGGCAGCAGCTTCACGTTCCTCTCGCTCACGCTGCTGCTTCTCCCGATCTCGTTCCCGCATCCGCTCCTGAAACGAGGATGCTGTGGGCGTACGGGATCCATTGCTCCGTTCCTGGAACGACGCTGACGTCGGCGTCCTGCTATTATTCCCACTACTACCATACGAGCTCCCAGCACCACTGCCGTAGAGCGAGTCCGGGTTCAGGTCGGGGGGTCTTCGGCCGTTGGAACGAGATGGGGCTGATGAGGCCGAGAATGAGGATGGGGCTTGCTGTTGGTATTTGAGTGGGATGGAGGGCATGGTCGGCATGGCCGGTGCGGGTGGACATTTGTGGCGGCCTGGGTAAAGGCCGACATCGTTGCCACAGTCCTTGCAGAGGACGACGATTTGGGAGACACGGTAGTCCGTGGAGGACATCTGGTTTCTCTTTTCTTTCTTTTTTCTTTCTTTTGGAGTGATGAAGCGTGTTTATATGCTCTGATGTAATTATGGATGGAGAGAGAGTAAAAAGAAAAAAGAAAAGAAAAAAAAAAAAAAAAGAGAAAGGGCGAGATGAATCAGGATGAGGGATGGGTGAGTGGGTGTTGTAGAATGAGATGATTCTATTAGATGAGTTTTCTGGGATAAAGAGGTGTGGGTGTGGAGGTGAGCCCCTTTTAGGTTCAGCTAAAAATATGGCACAATTTTGTCTCTCTCTCAGGGCAGAGACCTGATCCACTGGGCGACCACGCATACACACACAGCAACGGGGCATGGAAGTGGAAATGGAAATGGAAATGGAAAACATTGGATTACCATGCTCACAACGCTATGCTATATCATACCCATACCGCGAACTAAAAAATAAAAAATGAAAAAAAAAAAGAGTCAAAACCCTCCCCAAAAAAAAAGAAATGCACATTTTGTCTCGGGTCCGGCAAAGTGCACCAGCTTGCTATTAGAAAAGGGAATCAATCCCTTTGCTCATTCATTCATTGAAGTGACCTTGAAACGAGAATCCGGTACAGTCTTCAGTCATACAACCAAACCAACCCCCCATCTTCGTTTATCGATCTTGGGTCAACCTGTTTCATCTCTACAGTTTTTTTTCTAGCGAGTGCTGGCGGGCAGTGCAGAGAGAGAGAGCAAGGAGAGAAAGCGATGACT